TACCTCCCCACCCACCAACAACCCCCCCAAACCCATCAAAATGGTTAAGGCTAAGAAGTCCGGCGAGACCATCTCGTCCCGTCTCGCTCTGGTCATGAAGTCCGGAAAGGGTGAGTTCCCACAAATCGAAATCAAAAGTACTCTGAAACACTTTTTCTAACTCAATCGCAGTCACCATGGGCTCCAAGTCCGTCATGAAGACCCTCCGCTCTGGCAAGGCCAAGCTCATCCTCATTGCCGGTAACTGCCCTCCTCTGCGCAAGTCCGAGCTTGAGTACTACGCCATGCTCGCCAAGGTCCCCGTCCACCACTTCAACGGCAACAACGTACGTGCATCCCCTTCAAGTCGACACTCTACCGAGTCGTCGCAGCTGGATGCCAGCTCCACTACTCTGAGAAGAAGTGGGAGATTGGAGACGATGAGAATGTCTTCCATCTCCTGCTTCGGAGAGTGAAGTTGCTCAGCGATGGGATCCCCTTTGGGGATACCCGGAGAGCCAGTAAGAAAACTAACAATCGCATAGATTGAGCTCGGTACCGCTTGCGGTAAGCTCTTCCGCTGCTCCACCATGGCCATTCTGGATGCCGGTGACTCCGACATCCTGACCCGTGAGCAGTAAATGCTTGTTTGTCGGACCAGCCTCGGCGTTTAGGGATGGTGCAAGCCTCCCCGTAGCCAAAAATCCCGTTGGTGGGAAAAAATAATGATTGATGACATCTCTGGCCTCCGTGCTCAATTCTCATACCCTGTTCAATAAAAGATATAAGGATGGTCATAGAGGTGGCGTTTTCTAAAGAAATAGCCTACTACAATTATGAGATGTTTCAATAAAACAGCCCCCTATGTCTCCCAGTATCTGCAAATAAATAATCTTGATCCCCGTCCATGTTAATTTTCCGATAAGCCGCCCTTCCTGCAATCGTCAAGGAGAGAACGCTAAAGAGACGACGCTAAAGGGGCACCCCCACGCGTCGGTTGCGGGGAAACTCCACTTCGCTGCTGCACTCCTCATCTTCATCAACTTGGCTGCCCACTATAGCCTGAAAGCATTGCTCAACTAGCTTGAAGTTAGTATCATTTAGCCTGAAGCCCGGGAAATGCATTCTCCAGGGAGTTGCCGATCGTCTGATGCGTTGACACGGGTCGGTATAAAGACTCCCGGTAGACTGGGGCTTAGCCTGGTCCCTCTGTTCTCTCATGGTCCAATTCGTTTGAAGCTTCAAAATGCGAGTCCTTCTTTTATTGGCCTCCCTAGGCCTTGTGGCCGCTGAAAATGGACTAGACGGCTGGCTACGATATGCCCCGTTATCATGCTCCCAGCAATGCAAATCCAAGCTGCCCGCCAATGTCGTTGCCCTCAATGCAACTGAAACCAGCCCTGTATACGTCGCGGGCACGGAGCTACAACAGGGATTGAAGAGTATATATGGTAAAAAAATTGGTATCAGCCACAACAAGTGTAAATCGTCTTCGTCTGCCGTGGTCGTTGGTACCCTCGAGCAATATCGCAAGACTTGCGGAGCTGTGAAGGATGTTCCTGACCTGGAAGAAGATGGCTTTTGGATTGACACTCGGAACAACAATATCCGTATCCTAGGATCGAATGAAAGGGGTGTTCTATACGGTACTTTCGAATATCTCTCAATGCTGGCCCAGGGTAATTTCTCCGAAGTCGCATATGCTACGAACCCAGCTGCCCCGATTAGATGGGTAAACCAATGGGATGACATGGACGGCAGAATTGAGAGAGGATATGGTGGACCGTCCATATTTTTCAAGAATGGTGCTATTGTTGATGATCTGACCCGAGTCAAACAGTATGCTCGTCTCTTAGCGAGTGTGAGAGTCAACGCCATCGTCATCAATAATGTCAATGCAAACGCCACCCTGCTCACCCCTACGAACATCAAAGGGATAGCCAGAATTGCAGATGTTTTCCGGCCGTACGGTATCCAAGTTGGCGTGTCCCTCAACTTCGCCTCGCCTCAAACATTTGGTGGCTTGGACACATACGACCCCCTCGATGCCTCTGTCATCAACTGGTGGTCAAACATCACTGATCAGATTTATGATGAAGTCCCAGACATGGCTGGCTATCTCATAAAGGCTAGCTCTGAGGGGCAACCGGGCCCAGAAACATACAATCGCACTCTAGCTGACGGTGCCAATCTTTTCGCCCATGCCCTTGAGCCACATGGAGGCATTGTCATGTTTCGCGCCTTTGTCTACAATCAGCTCAACGAATCGGACTGGGACGCTGATCGTGCCAATGCCGCCGTCGATTTCTTCAAAGAGTTGGATGGCAAGTTTGAGGAGAACGTGGTAGTCCAAATCAAATACGGACCTATTGACTTTCAAGTTCGAGAACCACCTTCCCCCTTATTCGCAAATTTGTTCAATACGAGCACCGCGATTGAGCTCCAGGTTACGCAAGAGTATCTAGGACAACAATCACATCTCTTCTATCTTCCACCTCTTTGGAAAACTATCTTCGACTTCGACCTTCGGGTTGATGGGAAGCCCTCCTTGGTTCGAGATGTGTACTCTGGCAAGCGCTTCAACCGGAAATTGGGCGGATCTACTGCTGTTGTCAATGTTGGCACAAATACTACTTGGCTCGGTAGTCATTTAGCCATGTCAAATCTATATGCCTACGGTAGGTTGGCATGGAATCCAACTGATGATTCCGAGGGCATGCTCCAAGATTGGATTCGTTTGACCTTTGGCTTGGATAAAGCCGTTCTCAATACCATCACAAAGATGTCAATGGAATCATGGCCAGCTTATGAGAACTACAGTGGAAACTTGGGCATACAGACATTGACCGATATCTTGTATACTCACTTTGGCCCGAACCCTGCATCGCAAGATAATAACGGGTGGGGTCAATGGACTCGCGCGGACCATACATCAATCGGAATGGATCGAACAGTCTCTAATGGAACTGGATTCTCAGGCCAGTATCCCTCAGAGGTTGCAGCTATGTACGAAAAGATCGAAACTACTCCCGACAACCTTCTTCTGTGGTTCCATCATGTTGATTACACTCACCGTCTACATTCTGGGAAAACCGTTATCCAGCATTTCTATGATGCCCACTACGACGGTGCAGATACTGCACAAACCTTTCTGACACAATGGGAAAGCTTGCAAAGCAAGATTGACAAGGAGCGATACGAACATGTCCTCCGTCGTTTTGAGTACCAAGCTGGGCACTCGATTGTCTGGCGAGATGCCATTGTCGACTTCTACCACAACCTCTCCGGAATCGCCGATACATCGAAGCGTGTCGACAACCATCCCTGGCGTATTGAGGCGGAAACCATGTCTCTCGATGGCTACAAGGCCTACACTGTCAGCCCATTTGAAACGGCGTCAGGCGCAGTTGCAATTGTCACGTCTTCTAACAACACCGTTGGAACTGCTACGACAAAAGTCAAATTCCCATCAGGAACATACAATCTGGCAATCAACTACTATGATCTCTATGGAGGTCAGTCACAGTGGAAAGTATACCTGAATGAGAAGAAGGTTGGCGAATGGATTGGAAACGCTGAAGACTATATCAGTCATACCCCCTCCATATACTTGGATGGGCACTCAGCTATGCGTATCAATTTCCGGGACATCAAAGTGAAGAAGGGCGACACATTGAAGATTGTTGGTACTCCTGATGGAACCGAGCCGGCACCCTTAGACTATCTTTCTCTTCTCCCTAGGGGAATCGTGGATTAAACAGACCCTAAGGAGGTCTCTACATTCCGATGGTTCTTAAGATGAGCCTTACTCAGAAAAGTCTTAGACTGTCTAAGACTTGATTGATTCACAAAAGTGCTAGCTATTCTCCTGGAATATCTCATCTTGAGAACATTTCTCCATTTTGATGATTGCCATAGGAATTTGATTTTATATCGTTTTCACTTGATCCGAGTCGACAAAAGTAGGAGCTAAATGTACTTGAAGCCACGGAAATTTCGAAAAATCTTAAAGACTCCCGATAATGTAGCGAGCATGCTACCGCCGGCAGTAGCCCAGGCAGCACCTTGGAATCGCAAAGAGTTGACGGCTATCCGCTTTTGTGCTGCCGTTTTATCTGGCGCTTTCCCTTCAGAACGAATTAGTCTTGATTCTATAATTTCAAAGACAAGGTTGACGATACTTGGAGTAGCTGGCCAGGATGCGCTTGGGACCCTGCCAACCTGCTGGTCAAGTAGAGTTTGGAAATTAATTGTGGACATCTTTGTCACTTGGGCAGTGTGGTATCATGGCAAATACACCGTGACTGTTTGTGATGTGGCCAAAAGCTTGGGTTTACCCCTCCTCTATACCCCAGGCCTTCGACAGCCTCCTATGACATAATGAACCATTGATTACGAGCATCAGATGATAGCTAGAGCTTTGAATTATACCATAGCTTGCTGATTGGTAGTAATTTACTGGCGACCGGGTGGGTGTGGCCATCATTCGTCTCGTGGACCGAGTCCAGTCGTAAGTAGCGCATTATGGTTTGCCACCAAGTGGCAAAATGTCCTCAACTATCCCCTTCGCAGAAACAGCAGCGTATGACATGGGACTCGAGGTCTTAAAGATCCTGTTATATTGTTAGGGTCTAATGAAAGACATTTGGTTGCTTCGGCTCGCGATCATTACTACTAACTCATCTGCTATGAACTTCCAAGGTTCAAGTTCTTTTGATAGCTACTATTATATTTTGTCTCAGGTCAGTTCTAGATGTGGAATCTGAATTATTAGAATTAATACCATCCTCTCACATGCTGTGAGTGATTTATCATAGCCTGTTGGTGTTGTATCGTGCATGATTTCAAAGTAGACCTGCATGCTTAGCCTAAGGTTATATATAACGCTAGTCTCGATCCGGAAACCACCTTACGTCATCGGCGCGCCGAATGCGCGCGTGTTGAAGAGAAGATTCGCAACTTGAACACTTGATTCAGTTTCACCCTCACCTCACCTCACCTCAATTCCATGCCCCGCCATAATGACTGATTACTCTTCATGGAAGGTGACTGAGCTAAAGGCCGAGCTGAAGAATCGCGGCATTCCTGGCACCGGCCTGCGTCTCAAGCAGCACTTCGTCGACAAACTTGCCGAGGAAGACGCGAAAGTCTCAACAGATGATGCTGCACCGGCCGATCATGCGGAACAACAGACTACCGAAGAACCATCTCCAGTAGCTGAATTCACCGATCAGCAACAGCCCGAAGAGCAGCAGCCCGACCTACCACCCCAAGAACCTGCAACGAAGGAACAACCGGCCGTAGAGCCACCACAAGCCCAGGAATCGCAGGAAGAACAGGAGCTAGATAAACAAACAAATGGTAACGAGGGACAATTGGAGGCTGCAACTGCAGCTACTGCCTCCGAAGAGCCCAGTAAATCGAAACTCGTCGAGCAGGACGCTGGAGACGTGCAAAAGGAGCCCCGAGAAGAATTGGCGCAGCCTCTCGATACATCAGTGCCTTCATTAGCTCCAACATCCGAAGCCAATACGGAGCTTTCAACGCCTTTGCCAATTGAAGAGGCCCTGGAAGATAAACGGAAACGCAAGCGTCGCAGCCAGAGCCCCGTTCCCACACCGGAAGCAATCGCGGCTAAAAAGGCCCGGGCAGAAGAAGAGGGCCCGCGGATCATATTGGAAGACAAGGCGCCAAGCGCTCAGGAAACAGAACCTACTCAAGAACCCGCCCAAGAGCCGAGCCAGGGAGAGCAGAAAGCAGTTGAGAGTTCTCTGCCGACTTCAGCTCCCAAGCCTCCAACTCCAGTCAAACAGGACGCTCGTTTTCGAGGCCTCTTTGCTGAAGCGGCGCCGACTCAAGAGCCATCACCACCTCAAGATGTTGTTATGGAAGACGCCGATGTTGAGCCTGCCCTTCACGCGGCCACATCAGCCCTCTATATTGACGGACTGATGCGTCCTTTGCAACCCCCAGCACTTCGAAACCATCTCGCCAACCTCGCTTCAGCTCCCGGCGCGCCGACCGACCGAGAGGCAATCCAGGAGTACTACCTTGATCCAATCAAAACACACTGCTTTGTTCGCTTCCGCGATGTACAATCCGCATCACGAGTGCGTTCCTCCCTACATGGCAAAATATGGCCCAATGAACGTAACCGGAAGAACCTCTGGGCCGATTTCATTCCCGATGAGAAAATCCAAGAATGGATCCAAACCGAAGAATCATCGCGAAACCGAGCCGGCCCTCCAGTCCGCTGGGAAGTCCGTTACGATACCACTGACGATGGCACTAAAGCCACACTCTCAGAGGCCGGGCCAAATTCGCGCTCCGTGCCGGCTAAACCACACCCAAGTGGGATCGATGGCGCGCCGCTGGGTCCACGCGGTAGCTTCAGCCAGCCTCCCAGCGCCCCACCTGCACCTCCGTCGCGACCTGGTCAAGGCTTTAAGCCCTTGGATGAACTATTCAAGTCTACAACAGCTAAGCCCAAACTCTACTACATGCCCGTGGCACGGGATATTGCGGACAAGCGGTTGGACCAGTTCGACGAGCTACTTCGGAAGGGCTCATGTCCTCGACGTGGAGGCGATGAGATGCGCCGAATTACGTTCGAAGAGGAAAATGAGTTTGTGGATATTGGCCCGGAATACGGTCCAGCAGCTGCACAGCGACGTCAAGAACGCGCAGGGCGTGGGGGGCGAGGGCGGAATTGGCGGGGACGTTGAGAGGCAATTCAAAGGCCAACATAAACAAAAAATAAGCAGATATAGATCTGCCCTGTAAGATTAGCAAATGAAAGCGAAACAAAGCAAATTATAACAAAGTTATGTCATCACTACCAACTTGAACTCATTGTCTACTGAAGATTTAGAAGGTCGAGAGAGAGAGTATATTATTATCTACTCCCAAGAGATCCATGCATAACTTTATGCAAATATTTCATTCATGTCGGAGTAGCTTTCAAAATTATCAACCTCAAAGGATTAACTACACAGCTTTTAGAAGCCCGTTACTAAAGAATTTTTTTTTTTACAAATCATCAATTACTATCTTATAGGACTCCTCAGATTCCCAATGTATCCATCAATATCTCTGGCTAGATATAAGGCTATTGTAAGTGTCTCGAACGCTATATTTTCACTGTTTACACCTTGTCGCACACGTCTCTGTAAGGCAACCACTTGAGCATGCTACATTATGGACAAATAAAGAGAAAGAGACGAAGCTATAAATACCTAGGTATAAATATCAACTTGAAGATGTGCTACACGAGGGCCCGCGCCAAGCCTCCAAGCCTCCTAAGGCTGCCTAAGACCGCCGATCGCTGCACCCGCAAATGTGGCTTGGTTGACGAAAGGACTTAACGATGCCCTGTTCATTCCATTGTAATGATTTAACTGGTTCCTTTGTCTTCCCTTCCTTTGTTCCCACTTACGCACGTACAGTACAGTACTCTTCCGGAGTTGTCGGAGTTGGGGCAAGGCATAGTTGTTGAACCCACGGATAAGATTTGACACCCCTGCTTGGCGCCCAGAGTTGACCTTTTGGACGAACCTTGGGCTATTTCCCTCCCTCCCTCTTTCACTTTGGCCTTTAACACCTCCATTTACCTCGTTCCATTCGACTGAATTCGTCTCCCACCAGCACTCCCAGCCAAAATGGGCTGGACAACGTGCAATACCACCACGGAGGAGCAGAAGAGTGGGTTGTCCCTCCCCCCTCCCCCCTGGCGCATCGGCGCATCGCTTAGGAATTCCCGGAACTGATTTGCGACAGTCGAGGAGGTCGATCTCTGGGATGGCGGAATCACATTTCACGAGCTAGCCCTGATCTTAGGCGGCGTCTGCGCCCTGATCGCCTGCTTCATATCCATTTTCCTGATTATGGGCCATGCCACCCACTACAGTAAACCCATCGAACAACGCCAGTAAGTGGGGAGGACCAACCTGGTCGGAGAAGACATTTGACAGAGGTCCAGTCGAACTGATATCTCGATCGTCGCGCAGTATTATTCGCATCCTCTGGATGGTCCCCATCTACTCGCTCGTCGCATGGCTCAGTATTCTTTTCTACCACGATGCCGTCTACTTCGAAGTGATCGGCAACTGCTACGAAGCCTTCTGTATCGCCGCTTTCTTCGGCCTCATGTGCCACTACATCGCCCCCGATCTACACAGCCAGAAGGACTATTTCCGAGGGATCCAACCAAAGACATGGCTGTGGCCGTTGAATCACTTTCAAAAATGGGTGTGTTGTGGTGGGGAACGCCTCTGGAGGAATCCGCGTAGTGGATTGACATGGTTTAATGTAAGCGGAGGAACGTTCCGGCGGTGGAAAATAAAGCTGGCTGGATGGAATACTAATGTTGGACCCTTGACAGATCATCTGGACCGGTGTTTTCCAATACTGCGTGCTGCGCGTGTTGATGACCGTGGTTGCTGTGCTCGCTCAAGTCGGCGGCAGGTATTGCGAAGAGTCAATGAGCCCGGCCTTTGCCCACGTTTGGGTATGCTGTGACCCTTTTAAATGCTCACTTTGATCCGGGGCTAAGCTAACACTATTCCTACAGGTGATCATCTTCGAATCCATCTCCGTCTCGGTTGCGATGTATTGCTTAATTCAATTCTACTACCAAATCAAAGATGATATCAAGGAGCATAAGCCGTTCATGAAGATCCTCTCCATTAAGCTGGTTATTTTCTTGTCTTTCTGGCAATCGGTAAGCAAGAATTACTCGCGCGTACGCTGAGGTTTCTTCCGAGCTGTTCTAACATCTGCTAGACACTCATCAGCATCCTCGTGACCTTGGGCGCCATCGATTCGACCCCGAAAATTGCCTTAGCCGACCTCAAATATGGGCTCCCCGAGCTTCTTATTAACATCGAAATGGCTATATTCTCCGTCCTACATCTGTGGGCCTTCGCCTGGAAGCCCTATGCCGTGCAACCCGGCGAGGTAACCGATTTCTACGGCAACGGCAAAGACTCCTACCAAGGCGGACGCTTCGGCCTCAAAGCGCTCGTCGACGCCATGAACCCATTCGACCTCGTGAAGGCTGTTGGGCGCGGTGGCCGGTGGTTATTCGTCGGGCGCAAGAACCGCACGCAGGATTCGAGCTATCAGCAACGAGACGAAAACAACATTGGCCTAGAGTCTTCGCAGTCCGCTACCGCAGGGACTTCCTACCAAGGCGCCGGCACAGCGATACCTGGTGCTCGAAAGAACCGATATCCTGGCGACGAGGAGGGCCAGGTCCTGCTCGCCAATGCCCAGTCAAATCCCGAGACTGGCCACTTCGGTACGTCTCCATCGTACTCGGAGTCGGACGAGTACCTCTCCGAGCAACCGAGCCGCTTTTACCAGAACAGCAGTGGCCACGCTCACGCCCATTCCCTTGCAAACGATCCCTCGCCCTACGATGATATCGAGCAACAAAATCTTGGGTATATCCACGATGGCCCGAGTCACCCTTATCCAGCTGACGGGCCTTTGCGGGAACAAGCACCCATGCCGATGCCAGACCCGTACCAGCCCCCGCCTCCATACCCCGATGATCACGATCACCGCCACCCTGGACATTCATGATCTCCCTTATGTGGGCATGGCAAAATTCTCTCTGACTGAAGTAATTCGGTCCAGCGCAGCTCCTAGAGCACGGCAGCTGTTTTTGCTTCTTTCTTTCTATTTATTATTCTCTATGGTACCCATGATCAGCTTGCCGGATATCCGGTTTGAACTTCTTCTTACTTCTTTACTACGCTTCCTTTCTTACTTTCCGGTTATGCTCTTTGGACGAATACCCGTTGGTTGTTTCTGTTGGCACGTCTTTCGACGGATGTCGTGTTATATTGCATACTGTGTTCAGCTAGCATAGCATGCATTTGTACAGTACTGTTTTGATGAATGAAGAGCCCTATGTCTCAAACGTGGCTATTTTGTGATCTAACCATTGACACTTCTACGATACAATCCGTACGCTTGAATGATATAGGAGGCGTTCATTCATTATGTCGTCTAGAATCTCATGTATAGCTTTGAAAACGGGCAGCATCGCCTTGAGCAGTCCATCAAGATAACTTTGAAAGCGCAGGCAGCCTTTTAATCTATGCCCGGGAACCCATCACATCTTGACGAAAGAGGTCCTCCTCAAAGTTTCTAGGTAGAGCGTTAGGTTCCATGAGTGTGCGGGCCTGTCTCGTCTGACGCGCTCCCTGAACGATAACCGACTTGCGGCCGAGTTCAGACATGGCCTTGACGCTTTCGCCCATTTGACCGAGGAGCGAAACGAGTTTGACATCGTTGTTTTGCGAGAGAACTTCTGATCTGAAAGCGTTCGAATCACGCGGGGACAGGATGGAGAGATGAGCGATGAGCGAGTTGATGTTGCGAATGATGGCATGCGACATCTGCGGAGAGGACGGGTTGGCGGGATCATTTGATTCCGTGACGCTGGAGACGTAAGATTTGATGAGGGAGATTCGGGATTCAAGAGTGCGAATGGCGTTGAGGCGGGTGTTGAGGTTTGCGATTACTAGTCTGGTCAGAAGGGCTGAAGTTGGAGAGCGGAGCGGCGCTGGATTAGCATGCAGGGACATACATTCTTCTTCCTCTTGCGTTAGCTCCACCTGTGAGCTTTCTTTCTTATTCTTGTTGGTCTTATTTGAGCCTTGGGCTGCAGGTTCGGTCCATGCAGCAGTTCCAGATCCCTTGGCAATAGTATCAACTCCAATCATCTCCGCTTCGCCGGTTTCGACGGAATATGGCAACTCGCGGAAACGGATGTTCATTGCTCGCTCTTCCCCGTCTATTTGCATGTCCTTCGAGCCATCTGCGGTGCTTTCTCCTTCAAGTACAGTCTCGTATATCGTCAATGGAAGCTTCGCTCCGAGAGTGTCGGTTTTGAGTTGAGAGGGGTGGAAGGCTAGAAAGAGCGCGGATTCGTTGTAATCTTGGAGAAGCTGGCGGTGTACGGGGAGATGTGAGACATCAGGACCTGATGGTGAAGCGGTTGACCACCAGCCCACAAGATCGAGAGGAGGGTCCTTGTGTACATCCTTGACTATAGGCGCATTCAATTAGACCGGCATCAGCTGGCCGGTTGGGAGAGGGGTCAACATACATTGCTTCAGTCGCTCCTCGAACCATGACACGGGTAGAAGAGCCTCATTTGTATCATCTGTGACGGGGCACTCAAACACATGCTCGATGGTGATCTCTCGGCCATTTTGCTGGCCTAGAAGAGCCCCAATAGTCGGGCCTTGTTGCTGCCGTGCGGCATGGCGGGTGATGTGATCGGAGATGGTGAGGAGCACTAGAGGGTGTAGCTGAATGTGAAGCCCCGAGTCTGAGGACTTTTGGGAAAGGAGGGACTGTGTGGATTCCATGGCAATGTTGAGGGGATATGAGAAGAAGGAAATTCAAGTTGGTGCAGTTGGAGTTGGAGTTGGAGTTGGAGGTGGGCGACAAGGCGGTCGCGGGTCATTTTGGGGGGGGGGGGGGGAGCTTTCCCCGCCGGATGTTTTTCTCTCCAAAAGGTTCAAAGGCCAAGGTCCCTTGACATCAACTCTACTTCCTACCATGGCTATTCCTACTTCTTTTGATGCGGTCAAGTTGCACCTGGAAAAAGTCCAGCAGGATCCATCTACCCCACTCGATGTTTCTCTGATCGACCGATTAAAGCTTCAACTTATCCACGGAGTTGACACCACAGTCCCCGCTACTCTCTTATCTACGATATCAGCTTTACTGCCTGTGTTGCAGGAAGATCCGACACCTCTCACTACTCTTGCTATCAAAGCTACGAGTTATTTTAGCTTCGCCGATCTGCGTTCCATCCAGCCACCCATTAATCTCATCGCTGGCTTCAAAGCCCCTTCTGAGCCGGTTAACCTTCTCGCCTTGTCTTTGTTGAGCAAAGCAGGACAAAGACCTAGCGATGCTGCTATAGTCGCAGGTGATCCAAGCCTCGTTTCCTCTCTGGTGGAATTATGGCTGTCGACCTCCTCTACTTCGGTTGCTCAAGCGGCCCTCGAGACATTGTGGACCCTATTGGAGGCCGATCTGGCCGGCCCCCTCGACATGGCCGAACATGATCCCGCCGGGGAAGAGGGACATGCTGGTCAAGGTCTCATGTGGAGAAGGGTATTCACTGACAAAGATGTATATGCTCTTTTATTCGGTCTCTGCAGCCTCCAGGACGGTGCACCCGGCGATTTGACGAAGCGTGAGCGGACCTTGGCCCAAGGAAGGTTGATGAGCTTCCTAGTGAAAGCCGGTCGTATCCGTTGGGATATCATTTCCAAATCTCACATATCAGATATTGAGGCTCAATATAACAGCCAAAGCCTGGTTCACTTCGCCGCGAGTCAAATGGTCGACCGGGGCGACGTCCTAATGCATATGACTCTATTGGGATTCTTCCGCGACCTGCTGGAACTCGAAGCGCCCGGGTTATCTGCTCGAACCTATGTTCACTCCGGGTCAACGTTCTCATCTCCAGCTCTCGACTTCCTCATTTCAGAAAAGCGCCATTCTCAGATACTGGAATATTACCTTGATGATTCCAAGCTTGATCCAGTGGATCAGATCTACCTTTCTGGTCCGGTCATGGCTTACGTGGCGAGATATGCCGAATTCTACCCCAACCACCTACTTCAAAACCCGTCTACCCTTCTCGACGGCATTATTTCGCGTATTTCACGGGCCCTTGCTATCCCAACTGCACAGTGGGCTCATGGTGAAGCTCCCACTGGTCACATGGCTATCCTTGCCTGTCTGCCTCGAGTTCTACTCATTGAAGCTGGAAAGCACGGTGCAAATCCTCTGTTGAGCATCCCGTCTAATCCTCCCAATGGAGAGGCTTTAGATGTGCTGGGTAAGGTCTTCCAGGGACCGTCCCGAACTCACGACTCGGATTCAATGGATTTGAACACCTCGGGCCAAACTCCAACCGACTGGCACCATGAGGCGGCTGCGGCTCGAATCCTTTACTTCCTTTATCTCAATGAGCACTCGACATTCTGGAATGATGTTGTCAACGCCGCGGATGTCCTCGTTATGAAGGATGTTGCCCTCTCTGCGATCGCTTTCATGAATTCTATTGTCAAGGCTAACTGGCAACCGTTGCCCCCTGCATCGCACGCCTCTGGAGCCTCATCTCGTTTCAGACTCCCATCAGAAGAGAGTCTGGGACAACTCTCTCCCGCTGCAAGTGGACTTCTTCCTCTTTCTGGTCCTTGGGCCGTTCTCACCCCACCCGCCTTGACCACGCTCCTCCCTTACCTGTTCAAGCCCCCCTCGATCATACGCGGAGTTTGTAGGAGGAGGTGCTGGTGATTCCCAAAATGCCGTTTGGAAGGTGGCTACGGCAAAGCATGAAGTTCTCGTGGCACTCCACGATAAGCTCCGAGAAAGTGGGGGGGCAGATGGAAGGATTCGAGGATATCCTGCGAACACTACGACAGCGGGTGAACGAAGGGCCCATGGGACCAGTGCAGGCCGGCTCCACTCAGGTTGAAACCGTGGGGATGTAATGAGTGAGTATATGGAATGAGCAAGAATAGAATCATATTTAATGTTCTAATAGTCAAACGGGTACAAACGTCGATTGTGCAGCCAAGACGGATGGATACCTGGGAAACTAAAATATATGGAGTTTCTTACTAAATATGGAGCAAACAGTCACCTGAAAGACAATGATAGATTCACCGCATTGGAGCGGTTAGGTGCAATACCAGTAGCTTTGTGATTAGACGCTTGGTTGAGAACAGGGCTAAGTTTGACCTGGCAAACGCAGTCGTTAGGAGGCAGGTCAATGTGACAGATAGGGTTGAAAATGGTAGGAAGCTCCAAATTTGAAACCATATATTCAACAAATGGTCACAAACCTATGATCATTTTAACCCACGTTGCTACTAGTATTACTAGATAAATGTCTAAGTAGAAGAAAGTGGAGAAGAGCCTCGCATTTGCCCTATCCTAGGGTAGATGCGGGGCAGGGCGGTGAGTCGGCGAGTCGGCGGGCTGGCGGTATTTTTCTTTCAGTGAGCCTCGATCTTGCATCATGACATTGACATGACATGACACGAAGATAGCTCCCCCCCCACTTTTCGAACTGAATTGGCTGTTTGGAAAGAACGATGTCGCGATTCTCAAAAGGGAAGCGGCTACCCGGCGCAGAGTTCACTTGGGACGCCGACCCTGGTGGTCAGCCTGACACTGCGCCAACACCTCTTTACCCGGTAGGTCCTTTGTTCAAGCTCGGCAACCCAGCTCTACTCAAGTCTCTCGAGCTTGTCTCTGCTTCTCGTCTTCGATATGGTCCCTGACAATCTATGGAAGGATTATGTTGTCCCTCTCGCTCGCAAACTTAGCCCGAGGGAGCAGACCTCAACCGATTACTACCGCAGCCTGCGCGAACGCCACCGCGAGGGACCTTATTACTCCGTGATCGACGTCTCTTCCTCCAATTCGAAGAAAGGCAGTAGCACCCGTGCCAATTTCGACCCTTTCCATGGCATGCCCTCCTATGCTGGTCGATACCAAAAGAAAAGGCGGACCGTCCCCAAGATTGCTGGTGCCCGCGTCCCTGGTGATTACGGTAGGTTCCACCTTTCAATGACCCCCCAATTATAAATATCGTCTCTTATGCTGATCCTTCGCTAGAAACTCGATTCTTTCCCCGCAGCCTCTGGCAGACCATCCGTCCTGACTTCCGACCCGATGCCCCCGTCGACGGCTTCAAGCCTGCAATGACCGTAGCCGGTATGAAGCGCGGTTTCGAAGATGACGAAGATGACGCCGCTCAGCCGTCGAAGAAGGGGGCAGCTGATGGCGACGAGGAAGAGGGCGATGAAGATGGAGATGAAGGCGAGCTACTCGAGGGAGACGAGGATGCTCAAGAAGAAATCTCCGACAATGAATTCGACTCCGAGGACGACGACGGTGGTGACTACAATGCCGAGAAGTACTTCGAGGACGGCGGCGATGATATGGATGACGATGGACTGGGTGATGGGGGTGGCGGTGGTGAAGAGGATTTCTAGAAGCACGGACTTAGATACCCTTTCTTTTCTGCTCCGCGCGTGCTTTTCCTTTTTATTTTCCTTTTCTTCCTTGCTCTTGTTTTTAGCGTGTTCACTTGGACCTTGGGTCTTTTTTGATCTGCATTGGCCAGGCGGGTGGTGTTTTCAGTCATTACGCTCTTGTGAGCATTGCAGCTACAACGTTAGAATCTACCGAATGTACTGTCTCGATATTCCTGGCATTCTCTAACTTCAGAAAACAAGGCCTTCTCAACAGGGACTTGCAGATAGTTCCTCAATCACCACATGGGCCTGTGACCAGCACCAGTCTGATGCGACCACCTGGACACTTCAAATTATATGACAAGAGCTCACGTACTTGTACCAAGGAACTTTTAGCGGGGTTCAAGTTTGAGGACAACGGGCTTGAGCGTATTAAGATAGCCAACTATATCCTCCAAGGCTCTTACCATTTCGATACAAGGCTCGGCGGAGAAGAACTCCGTCATGTATCGCCAGCACAGCAGTGTGGATGCACGTCGGGATTAATATACAGAACTTTGTTTTGGCTTCACACGTTTTTAACATCATTCCCTGTACAAATCGATATTTGACTGGCAGAAAGATAGGTGGGGCCATATGAATGGAGAAAAAAATTCATCTTTCATTGGACAAGTGGATATACTAGGTTATACGGTATCGTCGCGGTCCGCCATGGGGCAACTTTTTTGGGGAGACTACACCAGCCCACACTCTGAATTTAGAGAAGATCATCAGTGCTAGTTCTTCAAACAGAAAGTACCGTCACGTTCGCTTAACGTGGCGCAATCCTCTTTGGGATCCTTCGTGTCTTGAACTCTCTTCAACCTCATACTTAAGACCTTGTCTTCCCCGACAGAGCCAGGCCAAACCACGATCCCATCCGACCGCCCGGATTCCCATCATGGCCGACGATGCGCCGATTGCCGTGGACCCAAACATCTATCTGAATCATCAAGATGATGACTGGCAATCCGAGACCACTTCAATTGGGTCTTCGATATATAAGGGCATCATAGAGAATGGCAGACGATACCAGACCCTGAAAAACGAGTACTGCTACCCTTCCGATGAACAGCAGTTCGAGACCTACGAAGCGACACACCTTGCAGCCCTTGTCGCAGATTCAGGCCGAACGAATCCGCTCTTCCAAGCGCCCCTCGGCTCTTCGCCAAAGAACATCCTTGATATCGGCACTGGAAAGGGTTCCTGGGCCATCGATGTTGCCGATATGTTTCCCGACACAACCGTTCGCGGCGTCGACCTGTTTCCACCTCCCGTCACCTGGATGCCTCCCAACTGCATTCTCGAGGTAGACGATATCCTACACGAGTGGACCTGGCGCGAAAAGTTCGATCTTATCCACCTTCGCGTTATACAGTGTGCTTTCACCCCTCAAGAGACTGCGCAGTTGATGAAGCAATGCTATGATAATCTCGAGCCCGGTGGCTGGATTGAGCATCTTGAGCTCCACCCAAATATATACTGCGATGATGATAGCATTCCGAAGGATAACCTTCTCTTTAGCGTTGGACCTACCTGGGATGCAGCCGGTGATGAGTCCGGAAGACCGATGAACATCATCGAAACAATGCGGGAATCGATCGAAAAGGCTGGATTCATCGATGTCCACGAAATAAATGCTAAGTGGCCTCTTGGACCGTGGCCTAAGGAAAAAACAATGAAAGAGCTTGGTTTGATCAACCTCCAGCACTGGCTAACTGGTTTAGAGGGATATGCGATGCACTTATTCACCAAGTATGGAAAGCCCGTCCCGTGGACCTCGGAGGAAGTGCAGGTTTATATCGCGGGGATTAGAAAGGAGTTGCTGAATCCTCGTCATCATCCCTACCAACGTGCTAGGAGAATTTGGGCTAGGAAACCATTTCCCAGTGAGGAGGCTAAGAACTTGAAGACTGTTGAGATTAAGAAGGAGGAGACCGCCGAGAGACCCGTTCAAGTCAAAGTCGAAGTCGGACAAGACTGAGACATTTCGTCTTCCATCTTAACTGTATTTTACATGGTTGTCTTTGTATGAGAACCAATCATATTACTAGTACTCATTAATAAAATTGCCTTGACTATGTATTCTAGAATACTTTGTAGTAAATACCGGATTCTTCAAGCCGGAGCTGAGACCGGCGATGTGTGATGACGTCAGCCAGCGAGATCGGCAACTGGCAATTTTGAGATGCGGAGGGGCATTCAAACAACAAATCACCAGAATGGCCTCGGGTCCCGATCAGACGCGGTCAGCGCTGATTCTCTATGGATCCGAGACTGGGAATGCACAGGAGGTTGCAGAAGAATTGGGCTCTCTAGCTGAGCGGTTGCGTTTTGCGACGCAAGTCTGCGAGTTGAACCAGTCGTCGCCAGTAAGTATTGACAAAGGAGCTCGGTAGAATTGTTTTGATACTGACTGGTGAGCCGTCACTGAATAGGACGTGCTTGCTTCCTTCACTGTCATCATCTTCGTCATCTCCACCACTGGTCAAGGTGACCTACCGGCGAACTCGCGCAAGTTCTGGAAGTCGCTGCTGTTGAAGAAACTCCCCGCGACATACCTCAGCGGGGTCAATTTTACAACCTTCGGATTGGGGGATAGCTCATATCCAAAGTGAGTGCTATAGGACTTGGTGAATATGTAACTAAAGCTAAACTGGGATTTCCAGGTTCAACTGGGCAGTCCGAAAGCTCTATAAACGGCTGGTCCAATTGGGTGCCAATGATATCTATCCAACTGGCGAGGCAGACCAGCAACATCCCGAGGGGTAAGACCATCCAGGATACTGCATCTTCATGGCTAATCACCTTGTGGCAGACTTGAAGGAACCTTTATCCCATGGGCAACAGACTTTCGAAAGCATCTACTGGGTCGACACCCTCTTGCGCCCGGAGAGCACCCTATTCCAGATGATGTCCAACTACCACCGAAATGGGTATTACATTTGAAGGACGACTCATCCGCCCCTCCGGAGGCAGGACATCCTGCTGCAGCAGCTGATATGGACGAATATCCAGGCTTGACTGATTTGGACAATGACGCCCGACCTCTACCCGACACATTTACTTCAACCTTGACTGAGAACCGAAGAGTGACTCCAAAGAACCATTGGCAAGATGTGCGAAGGATAGCTTTGACCATTCCCGAATCCGTCAACTACGTACCTGGCGACATGATCGCAATAACCCCGAAATCTTCCCCCAAGGACGCACAAATACTCATCGACTTGATGGGATGGAACGAGCAGGCCGATAAACCAATCTCCCTTGTTCCTACAGGAGAGTCAACCGCTGCTTCACCGATCCCCGGTGTCGAGTCGTACTCAAACCTAACTCTTCGCACCCTCCTCACCGACTACCTCGACGTTCGTGGAATACCCCGCCGTGGATTTTTCTCCTCCGTCGCTCATTACACAGACAACGAGCTGCATAAAGAAAGGCTCCTGGAATTTACAAACCCGGAATACTTGGATGAACTATGGGACTACACCACACGACCTCGCCGCAGTATCATCGAAGTCCTGCACGAGTTTGACTCGGTGAAAATCCCCTGGCAACACGCTGTTTCTGTCCTTCCTGTAATGCGAGCCCGACAGTTCAGCATCGCTAGTGGCGGAGAGCGCAAGAGAACAGCAGACGGCAAGACACAGTTCGAGCTTCTCATCGCCATCGTGAAATACCAAACCGTGATCAAGCGCATCCGCGAGGGTGTGTGCACCAAGTATATCTCCACCCTTCGACCTGGCAGCACACTTCGCATCCAGCTACAACCAGGCGGTCTCAACTCCTCCCAACAGCAACTAACGGCATCAAACATCCTGATCGGCCCAGGAACAGGAATTGCTCCGCTCCGTTCAATGCTCTGGGAAAAGGCAGCTCTAGTCCAAGCCTTCCGCAACCAAAACCCAGGCGTAGCACCTCCAATTGGGCCCACCGTTCTCCTCTACGGCGGTCGTAATCGAACTTCAGACTTTTTCTTCGAAGAGGAATGGGGGCATCTCAGCACGCTGATCCCGCTGCAGGTGCTCACGGCGTTTTCGCGGGACCAGCCTCAAAAGGTCTATGTGCAAGACACTGTGCGCCAGAATTTTGGACTGTTCTTCCGTCTTCTTCACGATATGCAAGGATCGGTGTATATCTGTGGTTCATCAGGGAAGATGCCCCAGGCTGTACGAGAGGCGCTCATTGAAGCTTTTCAGAATGGGGATGGAGGGCCGGTACCGGGGCCATACAACCGGTCGCAGGCGGAGGAGTATTTGATTGGGATGGAGAAGAGTGGGCGGTACAAACAGGAGACTTGGTGAGATTAGAACTTAAGAAGGGGAATCATACATAGAACAATACATTCATCACTGACATAAATTGAAGTGTATTTTGGTTAGTTACGAGACCTGACTAGTTTGTATTTTAGATCTACATCTGGCACATGTTAAAGATGTAGCGCAATCACGAGCCAGGCCACCATCATGGAAATACACGCCAAAAAACTATGGTCAGAAATAACAAGCACATACTTAGTACTATGTGAGGCTTATCAAAACAATACTCTTACAATCACCCAAGTAAATCACCGGCTATATGCAGCAAGGCATAACCTCGGTTGGCGGAGGTGGTGTGAAGAGGGCTATACTCGGGCCGCGTCGGCGTTTTCAAGGGCTTGGCACTCCGTCACCGCAGTCCTCATCTCTTCTCGGTCCCTCGCTTGCTATCTCGACTCATTAACTCCCCATTCACCAACCCAAAGCTCGAGTTCACCATGAGCGCCTTGCGCATTCTAGTTCCCATCAAGCGGGTTATCGACTATGCGGTCAGTCCCCCCCCCAAAGCAAATCCGAGACGATTGGCCGCCGACCGTACTCGGAGAGAGCACAGCACAGCAAACGGAGCATTCGTGCTCGTGCTCGTGCTCGTGCTCATGCTCATACCCATGCTCATACACACACTCGCTCGTGTTCCAACTACATCTACACTCACAAACAAAAACTAAATATTCTTCCCGACTAGGTCAAACCCCGCATCAACAAGGCCCAAACGGGCGTCGAAACCACGGGCGTCAAGCACTCAATGAACCCATTCGACGAACTCTCCGTCGAAGAAGCCGTCAGCCTCCGCCAACGCGGCGAAGACAACAGCAGCCCCATGAAAGTCGAGAACATCCTCGCCCTCTCCGCCGGCGGACCCAAAACGCCCGACGTCCTCCGCACCGCCATGGCCATGGGCGCCGACCGAGCCTTCCACATCGACGTCCCCGACGCAAACGGCAGCCCCGAACCCCTAACCATCGCTAAGATGCTGCGCGGTGTCGTGGAGAAGGAGAACATCAACCTCGTTCTTCTGGGCAAGCAGGCTATTGACGGCGACCAGGGCCAGACCGGTCAAATGCTGGCTGGTCTGTTGGGCTGGCCGCAGGCGACGCAGGCTAGTAAGGTCGAGATTAAGGATGCAGAGGGTACGGTCGAGGTCACGCACGAGGTGGATGGTGGTGTTGAGACTTTGCGCGCTAAGCTGCCTCTCGTTATCACTACTGATTTGCGACTGAATACGCCCCGCTACGCCAGTCTGCCGAATATCATGAAGGCGAAGAAGAAGCCGCTGGAGAAGAAGACTCTCGCCGACTTTGGCGTTGAGGATACGCGGCGGTTGAAGACTGTTAAGGTGACTGGTATGTATACTCTTCCCCCCCGGTGTTGCTGTTGCATGAGGGAACTTGGACTAATTTGATATTTCCTCTTTCAGAACCTCCCCCACGCAAGGGTGGTGGTAAGGTCGAGGATGTCGATGGCCTTGTCTCCAAGCTGAAGGAGCTTGGTGCTCTCTAGTGTGTTGTGATAGGGTTAGCCTTGGATGAAAAGGGGCGCCTGAGTTCTGTGTTTCTATACCACCCATCTGTGTTGCTAGACTTTGTCTCGGCTGCGAATTGCGCATAAACTAAACTTACTCCGTAAATGAAAGATATATCGAATTTTAAGAGATCCCAGCCCGATCCCAGCCGCGGGATCGTCCGGTAGTTGCTATTTATGTACTGAATAGGGAAGATGTGGTGATTATCCTTTCAAGTTGAAGAACCCAGGCGATTCAGGCCGACCAGAGTGAACTGTGCTGGTGTGGGTTATTTCCGATTGGATGTGTGAGGGGTGATGGTGAGAATGATCCTATTGGTCTGTCAGATCAATAGATCAATAGTGCGGGAGCTTGGGTGAAGATGGACTTGGAGTCGGGGAATTATTGAGTCCTGTGCAACACCCATCCTCGACGATGAAAAATGTACAGGTGAAGTCATTGCCGTGAACAATTGGTTCACCTGGCTAGTTCGGGCGTGTTCCCTGTATGTACAGATACTTATGCAGAGCTAGTGTGGGTTGCAGGAGGTCTGCAGCTCCGGGTTCCTTACGCAAGTCCTCGTTGCTTTTTTAAATGAAATGATAGGCCAATCGGGGATAGTCCACGTATCAAGTGACAAATTTGGAGTTACGCTGTGCTGTCGAGCGTGAGCACTCTGACCTCATGACGGTCTAAGGAAGAGCATAAGATCGACAAGGTCAGGAGCAGAGATGAAGTTCTACAGAGTGCGTGTAAGATACCTGGGTGATGTAGACAAACAGTATACATGATACTTATAGTATAGACTAGTGATTCTAGATCGGACTGGTCCCCCTCGAGTGGAAACATGGACCCTGCAGTGGCTAGCGTGGCCAACAATGGGATTAGTATAATCCGTAGAGTATACTCCGTATAGGGTAGGGTTGGGAAATAAGAGAGTGCAGCCGATCCGTCTGGATTTGCAAGAAAGCCAAAGACCCTAAATTTCCCCACAGATGAGATCTCGATGCCGAATGGACCAGTGGGTGTCGTCGGGCTTTAATTGCCGGGGCTGAAGCGGTGGGGCAGTGATCTATCGAAAACGCATTCAGCTCAGCTGAACCATGGACTATTGACTATTGACTCGGGTCGGGTGATTTGGAATGTATAGCAAGATGCTCTGTACGGAGTGTACGGAATGAAGAGTAGGAAAGGTCAACAATTACGGAGCACTCCGCAGAGTGGTGCAATATAGTAAAAGCCTATGTATAATACTTGGTATAGGCTGCAGGAATAGTAATAGTAATACTAGATTAATCAGTCAATGACGTCGGCCCGCGCGTTACCATCAAAAATCAGTCTAGAACCAACTTTGACGAACTTCCGTCAGACCCGTGAGGGCTTTGCTTTTTAGCATTGGGCACTCTCATGGTTAAATACTAGTATACTATATGCCCTGGTACCTCGCTATTTTCCTTTCCCCTCTCTGCTTATTTTCACTCTCTGGGATTCTCGGATCCCCAGATCCGCGCTCTCCCACTCTCCCGTAAGCATTCCCATCATCCCATCCAACTCGATTCTATCCCAAAGAAATCCCCGAGATTCCGCCACCCGGCTACTCGGCTTGACTTCACTTTGACTCTTACTTAATTTCTGCCACTGCCACTGCCACAACCACAACCACATTTCCCTCTTTCTATACTAACTTCACCTCTTCCAGCTCTTCCACTCTCTATACTGCACGCAGATCGTCGCATTCCAACGGATCATACATTCCGCCCCACCTCTCAGCATTCCGCATCGTGAAGCATTCTCGGCTGTTCGCAGCGCATCCGCGCATTAGATATATCGTTGGCGCCGAACCTGCTAGACGCGCTTGCTTGCGCTTTTCTCGCACCTGACCGAGGAGTCACAGTCATACTCCCCGCCCACCATGTGGGAAAAAAACGAAACGCTACTCGAAGAAAGGCTTCGACAAGACATGGGACACCATCGATAAGCTCGGCGCTCCCGTCAACCGTCTTTCTAACAAACTGGGCGCAGAAGCCTTCTGGCCCATGGCCATCGATAAAGAAAGCGACAAGGCCGCTCGCATTCTACGCAGCTTCTGCAAGGATGGCTTCTATGCCGCTGAATCGGAAGAATATACCGACGCAGATGGCAAAATCAATCGCCCCAAGGGAAAGCAGCGGGTTGTCAAGAAAATCCCTGCGCAGGTGGTGAAAAATGCAAAGGGCCTGGCCATCTTTACAACCATGCGCACTGGTCTCTGGGTGAGTGGTTCTGGCGGTAGTGGGGTATTGCTGGCTCGGATCCCTGAAACGGGCGAATGGAGCCCGCCCTCAGGAATCATGCTCCACACGGCCGGTATTGGATTCTTGGCTGGCGTTGATATCTATGACTGCGTCGTTGTTATCAATACCTATGAGGCTTTGGAAGGGTTTAAGAAAGTGCGCTGCACTCTCGGTGGAGAAGTCTCCGTCAGCGCCGGCCCGGTTGGTGCCGGAGGTGTCCTCGACTCCGAAGTCCACAAGCGACAGGCTCCGGTCTGGACTTATATGAAGAGTAAAGGACTCTACGCCGGTGTCGCCGTTGACGGAACCATCGTCATCGAACGAACCGACGAGAACGAGAAATTCTACGGCGAACGCATCTCCGTCTCGGATATCCTGGCAGGCAAAGCCCGAAACCCACCAGACTCCCTCCGAACCCTCCACCAAACCATCAAAGCAGCCCAAGGCGACACCGACGTCGATGAAGAAGTGATCCCGCCACCCGGCGAAGCTCCCGGCGATATCAACCTCCAGGACACGGAAGGCTTCGGCGTCCCCGCCGCAGACGATCCGGATCCATACGGAGTGAAGGCATTGGAAGCAGAGGGCCTCTTCATTCGGGAGGCTTCTACAAAAGTAAGAGCATCACCTGAAAACTTCCAATTCAAACCGAGCATAGGCAGTCCTGTCTACGCGACGTTCCGGCGCAGCCTCGACAGCTCGCGAAATAGCTGGCGGGCCAGCGTCCAGAGCTACACTAGTGTGGACCGTGGCACTCAGACTGATGAGGCCCCGCTAACTGCCACCACGTCAGTAAGCCGAGCGTCCTCACGCAGCGCGAAAGAATCCACGGGTATCCCGGTAAGTAACTGGGATGAAGATGCACAATGGGATACTGTACCGATCCACGGAGGGGAGGAGGAAGAGGAGGAAAGGAAGGAAGAGAGGGAGTTAAGCGGAGCCCCGCATAGAGACACCCACGAATCCGACGATGATGTTGAAGTGCACGAGGTGAGCAATGTGGCCGTTTCCAGACCGGAAAGCAAAGCGTCTTCCATTATGGAAGAATCGGATTCCAAGCGCACGTCGCCAACCTTTACCCGCGCCCGTCTGGTCACCATTCCTAAGCGTCCTACGCCTCCTGCTCTGCCTCCACGTCACCCTCGACACACTTGGGGCTCTGGTTCTAGCCGGGAATCACCATCCCCGACAGCTCGCTCGCATTCCACCGAGCCCACCGATGTCGAGTATGAGTCCGTCCACTCCGTCGAGACTGTCCAGAAACCATCGGCCTTGCCCTCCAACGTGAAGATGCTTCAAGCCAACACCGTCCTCCCGGCTGTTGTGAATGAGGACGATGACGATCTTCTCGATGAATCGGAGTCTGAATTCCCCGCCGACAGGGATGAGTTCTTGTCTGCCAACGGCGACGACGACCTGGAGGAAAGCAACACCCCGGTGAAGGATATGACTCCGGCGGCTACGGCAGACTCTGACCGTAAGGAATCAGTCTCTGCCATATCTGCCAAGTCAGGCGACACAATCGAACCCAAGGACGCGGAATTTGCAGAGAAGCTAGATGAATCGCTCTGTCTGGCCGAACTCGAAGACAAAGTCCACGGAGACAAGGCCGAAGGCGAGGCCATCGTCCCTGCTTCTACTGCCACGACCGCCGACTCAGAGGGGACACCCACATCCTCCCATGTCAAGTCCGACAAGCAAGACCTCGCACACATCTCCGCCGATGTTGCGTAATTCCGCCCGGCAAACATCCGGTTCTGTTCCATTTGAATTCGTCACGATTTTCGTTGCTGTATAAAACATGATACCTCGTCCATATGCATTATCTAGGAGTTCGGGTTTGCGGAGGCTGGCAGAGCGCTGATTCTGTCTGGGGTGTGGATTGATTGGGTTAGTTCTGTTGTGTATTTCTTAGCGTCTGCATGAGTGCTGGGAGTTTTTGTATATCCTTTATTACGTCTTATTCTTCAAGTTCCTGCTGCTCGATAAACAGCTGCTATAAAGAATATATACTATATTTCAAGTTGAAGTAGAATTTGACCTGCTGTATGTCAAAAGAGAAATCATAACACACTCTTCGAGAGATTGAACACTTGGGCAACCTTGGATACCTTCCCCCAAGGCTGGAATATCGGCCTCTCGGCTACATCCACCCACCTGGGCACCGCTTCATGTTCATGTTCGGCCAGGCTCAGATAATCTCATCCTAGACCAGCCAATCCCCTGTCTGACAGTTCCGTGACCTAACCGACCTACGCTGTTTGGCCCATGCGAATGTGATGCATTAGCGTACTATATGGTGGCAACGCTAGGAATATTACAATCTGCAGCCAAGTTAACATGCAAATACTCTTTCATTTAGATACCAATCCAACGCAATTACCTGCCTAGGTACCTAGGTACCTAGGCAGGTAAATTGCAATCTGAACTCAGGCTGGAGAATCGACATAGTTTTGGCCAGGCAGTGTACTAACTAGTACATAGTTACTATGTACGAGTACTAGCCCTAATCGACCCACACCTCCACCAACTTGGAAGATCGTCAAGATGCCCGCCCCCCTGAGGGTCAGCACGGCGGTGGTCAAAGTGCAATATTTACTATTTAAAGCCAAGTTCCCGAGGAGATTGTGGTCGAGACGACCTGAAATCCCCGCTTTCATCTCAACTAGCTCCGTCGTGGCGTAAAATGAAAGCTGAATCCATTGGCCGGAAACTGGGCAGACTACCCTTTGATACCCCAACCTGCGTGTCGAGTCACCTATGACAGGCGCATCTGTGTCACAAACGTTCCTCAGTTCCACCGTAATGCGCAACGAAGGGCCTTAGACTCGTGATTATCGTGCGATGGAGCTAGATGGGGGACGAAACGCATTTAAGACGGGAAATACTTGTCCTTCAAATTTCCCTTCGAGTCCCATAACCGTTCTATAACGGCCGTCACTCCAACCCTCACCACAGGTTAAAAGACAACACAAATGGCCGGTTTAGCAGCCTGTGCAATTCTCGGCGGCCTCATCTGGCTGGCCATCCGTAGTATTTATCGACTCTATTTCCATCCACTCAGCCGGTTTCCCGGCCCCAAGTTGGCCGCCATCACAAGCGGATACGAGTGCTACTTCAACGTCGTCAAAAAAGGGTCCTTTGTCTGGGAGCTCGAGCGTCTACATGAAATCTACGGTCCGTAACCCTGTCTCCGACCGAGGATTTTCAGATGTATCTCATCTCATCTCACATTGAACCCAGGCCCCATCATCCGCATAACCCCACGGGAAATCCACATCAAAGACTCAGACTACTACGACGAAATATACGCCGGCGCAGCACGTAAACGTGAAAAGGACGGTCCAGCCGTCCGCCAATTCGACGTAGATGGCAGCGTCTTTGCCGCAATCTCGGCAGAAGTCCACCGCGAACGCCGCGCATCGCTGAACCCATCCTTCTCGAAGCAAGCAATAAGCCAGAATGAGACCGACATCAAGAAACGCCTCGACCAATTCTACCGCCATCTTTCAAAGGCGTGTCAGACAGGTCGGACTATCTCGTTAGACGCGGGGTTCTCGGCGCTAACCACGGATATAATTCTTCACTATGTGTTCGGGTTTGAGAGTGGGAATTTGGAACAGGAGGATTTCAATGAGCATATTCGGGACGGGATCATTCAGCTGTTTACTTCGGCTCATGTTGCTTATTTCTTTCCTTTTGTCCCTGCGATTATGAAGTCGTTGCCGCTTGCGTTGGTTCGAGTGATGAATCCCTTTGCGGTTGCGCTGACGCTTCAGAAGGATGATTTGAGGCAGCGTGTTAGGAAATTTCTTTCCGGACATCACTCGGAGAATGGCTGTGTTATGGAAAAACTTTGCTCGCCAGCTATGCCACCGCATATGTTGGATGTGGAGCGATTGACTGATGAAGGATTCACGATGGCGATTGCTGGTACCGAGACGACTGCTCGGTCTCTTTCACTTGGGGCTTTTCATATTTACACCAATGAGAGGGTTAAGAACAAGCTTCGGGAGGAGCTGAGAACGATAATGCCGACGCCGGAGTCGTGTCCGTCTTGGAACGAACTTGAGCAACTGCCGTATCTTTCTGGGGTTGTTTATGAGGCTCTGCGCGTTTCGACGGGGATTTCTACTCGATCGCCTCGGATTGCGCCGACGGAGACGCTGGTGTATAATGATTATCAAATCCCGCCTGGTGTGAGTGGTGTTGTTCCTCTAGAAACCATTTGTGTTGTGTGATATTAATGTAATGGGACTTTCAGACACTGGTCAGCGAAACACACTTCTTCGTCTTGAATGACCCTGACATCTTCCCCGACCCTGAGGTCTTCGAGCCTGAAAGGTGGATGCGCGCTACAGCCAAGGGTGAACACCTTGGTCGCTACCTGGTGAATTTCTCAAAGGGCTCACGAAATTGTTTGGGAATCAAGTATACTATTCTCGACCCAACCTTTACGGCATCTGCTAATTTTTACACTCTAGTTTAGCCTACGCGGAGTTGTTTATGACAATTGCAACGCTCGTCCGAAGGTTCGATTTGGAGATAGATGAGAGCTCGAAGAAGCAACTCATGTTTGTGCGAGACTTTGGAAACCCATATCCTGATGAGGGTGTTCTTAGTCTGCCTGTTAAAGTCACGGCTAGTATTGATTGAGGTTGGGGATTTCGAGGCAGTACTATTGGCATGAATAGGAGCCTTGTCTATGTCTAAGATGATAGTTCATCTTCTCCCTCATTCACTTTTTTTTTGTATGACTTTGGATTATTGCCGGGTACCTTATTCTTTGGTTACTATTGGAACAATCCTGATCTCAAGCAGGCCGCAACTTGGAACTTTTAGTGCCTACCGAGGAATTCATTGACTGAGCACTGCCTAGTACGGGGAATCTCTTTGGTGTTTTTATTTACCATGTCTATTGTCCAAGCTGAATCATTGTTTTGTCAATCAATTGGAAGTAGAGTACCCTAGAGTAACCTCGAAGTACACGGGTGGGCCCGGATTTAAATTGCTATCGCCGAAAGCTTGACTCGCCCTACTTTCCTACTTTGCTCACTTCCCAGGTGCTCTGTTTTGTTTTCCACACACTCCCACATCGTCGCTTCTTCGCATCATCGCGCTCTCACGAAAATCACCATGCCGACCAACGACCACGTCAAGAAGGCTTTTAGCCTCATTGAGAATGACAAGTCCAAGGTGCTGGGCCTCAAGGCCGGTGACCAGGCTATCCAGCCAGGCCAGTATCTTGCGCGTTCAGGTCCGTATTTCTCTCCCCCCTTGATAACGCTAGACCTGACGAATTCCAGCTGCTCAATCTCCCCCAAACCTGTCGTTTGACGGAGCGGATCCCTCCAAGACGTACCTCGTCGTGAGTCTCGACATCGATGCACCTTTCCCATCTTTCGGTGCTCTGGGACCTATCCTGCATTGGATCCAGCCCGGCGTCAAGGTCACCGATTCTTCGTCCCTTGACACGCGCCAGCCCTTTGTGGCGAACTACATCGGTCCAGCTCCACCTCCTGGCAGCTCCCCTCATCGATACATCTTCTTCCTTTACGAGGAGCCTGAGGGATTCGACTTCAAGAAGCACGCACCCCGAAATGGCAAAAAGCTGGGTAATATGTCTCGCATGCGCTACGACCTAGATTCCTGGGCCGAGCAGGTTGGGCTGGGTCCCGTTGTTGCTTTCAACTATTTCAAAAGCAATTGAAAAGAAGAAGGAAGCGGGAAGGGGAAGCAGGGAAAGGGAAATGGGTCAATTACTTTACTAGGATGCGGAAGATTCTTTTTGTTTTATTTTCAGTTTTATCTTTTTCTGGGGGGATCAAGCTTGCGGGATTGTGTTTCTGGGAAGTTCCTATCCTTTACGCCCATTTAACCAAAGTCCAAAGTGCGGACTGGCATGGGCCACTGCTGCAATTTCATGGTTCATGCCGTTATTTCGCCGTTTGCTTTCATGATAATGTTTGCTTTTGATGAAGTATCATGATGTTATTCATGCTCAGATAACCGGTCTATCTATTACTATGAGAGTATCAATGATATTATTGCCCACAATGAAATCTTTGTAGTAATGGTACATCCATGCAAATGGCCTGGCATTGTCAAGCTAGTTTATTTAACGAGAGCACCAGTTTGAATTTTTATTTTACCATTTCTCATTCCTTTTCCCAGACGTCGCCATCAAATCTACTACTATCATGACTTCACCCGTCCCCTTCTTGACCAATCTAACCATCGCAGTGAGTGGTAATCTCTCTGATGGACAAATGCACAGTATGTACTAGACCGGTTTGGAGTAAAATACCCTCTTGATATTTATTAATATCCTGAATACAGGTGATATTCAGCGTCTAACAGAGCGATATGGTGGAAGATTTGAGGCTCTTGACATTGCCGCTTGCACGCATCTAGTCGCATCACGGAGAGCAGTCGACGTTGAGTTCAAAAAAGGTCTGAACTTTACTCCCTGTCTGAAATATTATGCTTGTCTTAATTACTTACTGGTTCTCTGTACATAGTCAAGGAAGCGTCGGTAACGGAAGGCTTGCAAGTCGTCAGTCAGGACTGGTTTTTCCTGTCTGTTGAGAAAGAAATGCTGCTCGACACCAAGAAATTCTTGCTTGTAAATCCTTTTAAAAGGAAAGGTCAGGCCAAGGCCTCAGATGAGAAACCTCCTGCAAAGCCTCCCGTCAAATCCCCCGATGCATCTCACAAGAAGCCCCTTGCAAGATCCCCTCCGAAGACTCATGCGAAAATCGACGAGAAAAAGCAAGAGCTTAACGCAATCATCGCTGATGCATATGTTGGCCCTAGTAAGCTTGCTCTGATGATCTTGTATTGCATAAAACTAATACCATGACAGAAACTGATCTTGTCGTTTGGTTGGATGCCAACAATTTGATCTGGGATGCTACATTGATCAAAGACAACTCAACCAAGAAGTCAAACGGCACTGTTGCAAGCTACGTGGCTGATATGGACCATTTACAGATTCTCTACAATTTGAAGACGAAGGCCTTCCAGTTTTGGGCTCACGGTGCGCGTCCTTTACGAAACTCAAAATCCCCCCCAGGTTCAGTTTGAAGAATACTTTGAGAAGAAGACTGGTCTTTTATGGGAAAATCGCTGGGACGACCCTAAAGAAGGTCAATACGTCTTTGTGCCTCGCATATTTGAAGACGTTGAAACCGAGGATACCTTCTTTCCAGGGACGGAAAACACGACCAAGCCCTCAGCAGCACCCATCTTCCTTCCGAGGTCTACAAAGTATTGGATGTGATTTTTGACCCCCGTCAAAAACAACACATGTTGGCATCAATCAAGAGAATTTCAGGTGGTAGATTGGTCAATAAGCCATGGCAGATCCGAGCCACTTTACGTGCTGCGCAGTCTCTCTTGGAGAGAGCCAGCGAAATAGCTCTTGATAAGTATCAAAGAAGTGACGAACCCCGTGCCAGACTCCTCCTTGTTCTCGGGAGATGCTATCTGGCGCTGATGTGGAACAACCACCTTGATGCTCCGCCAAAATGGGATTTACCAGCCCATTCAAAGGACAAAAGCTGGCTGAAGCAAGAGAGAGCCGCTCTCGAGCTCTTGCACAATCTATCGTTCTCCCTTGATCTCATGGAAAACTCCACCAAAGTTTCAAAAAATCAAATTCTCAATCGCGCCTATCGAGGGCTCGGTCTGGCGAGCATGACACCTGGTTAGCTCTCTGTCCCGATTGATGATTTCGGCACCACTAATTTTGAAATAGTGAAAGCTGGCACTGCAGAGTATAAGGCACTGGCAAACTTTCTGAGCAGCTCGGTATCCCCCCGGCACAGCTTCTCCGTTGAGGTGCGTTTTTTGAATTCGTTTGAGATTCCAATTATTACAGCCTTCTAACTCGATGGTTTATTTCTAGCCGGTCAACATCTTCAGAATCGAACGCGAGGGGGAGTATGAACGTTTCGAGAGATACCAAAAAGCACACAGTACCCTCGTTGGTGACCGGCGCCTATTATTCCACGGAAGTAGCGCAGTCAACTGGATTGGAATCTTAAGCCAAGGACTGCGAACGAATGCCCAAACACGAGTTACCACGGAAAGCCCAATAAACGGTATTTATTTTGCTGACGTTTCTTCCAAATCGGCTTCGTATTGCCGACACATGCCTGGTGATCCCGGTTCTTGCATGCTTCTGTGTGAGGTTGAAGTGGGCAAGAAGCCACAGGTATGCGATGTGGCGCCTCCTGGCGTTATAAAAGCTATGCATAAGCAGGGCCATATTTCGTACCTCGCCGCGGGGAAGACAGACTACAACAAATGGTGCGATGCCGAAGCTGTGCATCCAAGCCTAGCGGGTGTCCAAATGCCTGATACGCCTAGCGGAAGATCCAATTCGAAGATTGATCCTAAATCCGTGCTCACTTTCTCTTCAGGTCGGTGGAACCACAATGAGTGGGTTGTTTACGATCCGGCTCAAATCCGCCAGAGATACTTTTTTCAATTCAGGACGACCGCTCGGCCAATTTGATGGGGACTATTAGTGCATGAATCATTAAATTCTTCAGCAGGCTATTTGGTAGATACTTTCGAAATGAATTATTGCTCTTCGTACGTTCTTAGAATCTCATCGATGTCGTTGTAACCTATGCATATTCGTACCGTAGAAAACCGACATGTCATCGACAAAGTACTAGTTGATACCAGTTTGTTTTAGCTTTTAACGTCGAGAGTATTGATTCCTTCTTAAAAGGTATCAGCCGGTGGCTGGCCACACCAGGAGCAGACTATACTGACTGACTCCCTAGTCCATTCCAAAGTTTGTGTCTTCGCATCATCGCCCACAAAGCTCCGTACCTACTCTACATAGAGCAGCACGGATTTGAGAACATCTTTCAGGGACGGAAACCAGTCTTCTCCAAATTAGATGGCCTTGACAATAAATTAATGGGGTTGCACGCGTCAAGCCTAGAAGTGCCAGTGGGAGAATGATGACCAAGAGCCGGTGAGCTCTGGCACTTGAACAACACGATATCTTCTCCTAACGATCAGACAAGCCGACACGTTTTATGAAAAAAGCGTGTTCGCATTGATCGAAGGTAGTGTAAGCCCGATAACACGAGATGGCGAGGCATGCGCGAGCACAGAGGCCAAGCCACAGAATTCAAAGATAAGAAAACCAAGGTTTTCCCCAACGGGATAACACATCAACTGGAGCCCAACACTCCCAGAGCATAAAGCTCTTCTTCAACTGGATGATCCTGGAAGATAAACTTCTCAAGCATCTTCCCACTGACATTGAAGTCATATTCAGAGCACGAAGCTCAGAACCAGGAGCCAATGCCATCAGAGCAACGGCAGCCTTGGAAATAAACTCCACAAACATTCTCTCAATGACATTAAAGTCATAATCAGGAATCTCATAAAGAGGATCTCGCAGAGCGTGAAGCTCATCGGGAGCACGAAGATCTTCTGCAAATGGGCCAACCCAGAGGGTACTTTTCCACAGTAGCAAGAAGCTCGTCGGACACATGAAGATAGTCTTCGAGTGGGTCAACCCAGGGGGTACTCTTCCCACGAAAACTGAAACAAGCGGATCACAGAAAGCTCATCCAGGACTCAAGTCTGTTCAATCATGTCAGTCTAGGGGTTTCGTTCGATTCACAAGATCAGGTGTACTCACCACATCCTTCCACGGGCGGTTCACAGGATATCCTGCAACCTTCCTGGGTCGTTTGCTCTCGAACTTCTCTCGGATAGTTCCTCTGGTTCTAGAAAATTTTCATCAGCATCAAGGATCGTGATATTCCCCACTTAGTCTTTCGATTGGATCGATCGTGAAGGATTCGGGGTGGTCTGTCACGTTCGCAGCTTTGGCAGAGACGGGGCCTTGGTCTTTCCTCGAGGGGAGACGCGCGAAGGAAAACACGGGAAAACTCACCCTCAAGTAACAACTCTTCCATCCTCCGCAGAACGTATGATCTTGAAATAAACACCGAGATATTTGAAACACGCTTTCGTGGGCATTTGAGGTGGAGAGGGAAGAAGAAGAGAAGAAGAGGAGGAAAGGAGGAAAGGAGGAAAGGAGGAAAGGGAAGGGAAGGGAAGAGGGAGAAAGGGCAGTCACGCCAGTAGGCTGTCGTCCTTCCTTTTGGGGAACCCTCTCATTTCCATTCACTCGAGACTTTCAATTTCAAAGTTTCCCACGCTCGAGTCATCTGTTTACACAGTACTGGTATTTTTAGTGCACGTCTCTGGTTTGCATTAGGCCTGCAATGTAGCATAGTGCTTTCTCGGATAAGATTGACAACGAAGGCGAGTTCGCATCCTGATTGACTGATTTAAGCCCGTCAATAGGGTCCTCCAGGTACTATTGAGCTTCAGATTTGTGGCCCTGTACTTCAAGATGATCAAGACTTTTTTACCAGCGAATTGGAAAGAGATATCTTGAATTGCGGCCTTCAGGGCTCGGCTTTTGCGGCCGTCAAGAGAATTGCGAGGACTGCGAACAAAGAACTCTGCCGAAGCCATAATGCCATGGCAGAGCTAGACAATTGCCCCCATGTCACACTACAGAATTTGCACAAAGTTCTCTTTCATTGTCTAGGATACTCTAGGAGCTGACCTGCTGTGTGCTTCTTAACAAGACGTTTGTGCCTGAGGCACTTATCAGGTGCTTTGACGGCAAGCGAGCAGCATGCACGAAATAAGTCAGATGTTTTCGTAGCAGCGGCCACACCGCTAGGTATGGTGCTGCTAATCTGAGAGCTACCAGGATTTCCTTTGATTCCGACTAAATTATATGACGTGTCAATGCATTGTCGTTACACAGAGGGTTTCTCAATTATTTTACTATTTAGTGTCTCGGAGCACTGCTTACATTCAACAATTCTTATGTGCGAAACACTGGTGCACGATCAATTGCAACAAAAATGGACTCTTGCCAGATTCCATCGGTGAGCTATTCCGAGCTTCTGCACGATGATGAAGATACCAGGAAGGCGGCTGGTCTGGAACTGGTCAAATCTTTAGATGAATATGGAGCTTGTCGGCTTCGGGACCATGGTATTGCACAAGATATCATAGACAATTGCTTCGGCAAGGTTAGTGGCTAGCTTATTTCCCATATTTTTTTTATTATATGTTAGCTAACTATGGGAGATCGATAGTCCTGGGGCTTCTTTGAAAGAAGTCTTGAAGAAAAGGTCGCAGATTTCTCAAACTCTGGCGCAATGACAGCATCGAGATTTGTTCCGTTTGGAAGTGAAAAGATCCGCGATGAGCCTCATCTAGATGAGACTATGGAATTCCAACACGGTGTTTATGAATTGGAAGGTACATGGTCTGATCCAGGTAGAAGGTTACTTGAGGCTTCGAGGATATTACATAAAGTATGTGCCTGCCCCCTTCAATTTAATTTTCATGTACGATACAGATATATAACCAACGTGACAAAAAAAAAAAAGGAATGCAACCGTGTCCAATTCAATCTACTCGATATTCTATCATCATCTATCAACCTTCCCCACTCATTAAGCTCTATTCATAGCAAGCGCAACTCCTTCTTCGCTCCGTACTATTACTCCTTTGAAGGCATCAACGACACCAACCCGCTCCGTGTCCCTCCCCATATCGACCCAACAACTATGCTATTCAATTTCCAAGACTCACATGGCGGTCTAGAAGTCGCCGATCTTAGTAATACGACAGGTTGTTTATCCGCCACATCAGTTGAAAGGACCGCCAACTTTATCCCGGTCCATTGTCAGCCGGGGGAATTTCTTGTGTTGGCTGGCCATGTTTTGCGAAGACTGGTTCCAAACGTTAAGCACTCTGTACATCGGGTGAAGCGACCGGTGGGAATCTCGGGGTTTCATTTGAACTATTGGATTGTCCCGGATTTAGATACGAGTTGCGATTTTGGAGAGAAGAAAGAGGATGTTGCGGCGTATTTGGCTAGGGTATTTCCGGCTGCGTTGAGAAATACTGTGCAGGCATAGCATATATTTTTATCCTATACCACTAATCAGATCCTAGTATTATTTTCTTTTATTTTCCATTGAAATCGAGTAATTGGGTTGAAATATGGATCCTATACTTCGGGCTGCCAAAATAAGTGGGGCCGCGGGTAGAGATATCCTGCCCTACAGTAGGGTAGTTGGGCCGTCAACCAGCGAACAGAACTTGAATAAGAAACGGATGGCTATGAAAGGTCGGCTACTCTTATCATTGAGTGATGGTTTAAATTAAACTTGCTCTTCATACGATCACCTGACATACGGCCTATCAAAGTGTACTACATATATACATAACGATCGATCCTTCTGGAAGCTTCCACATGATGGTGAAACGACTACGTCATTAACTCTCGAAGGGCCCCGACATTTCCAAGTTCAGCCAAGTCAAGTCCAGTTCGGTTCTGTTCGGCTTAGCTGTGTCCAGACTTTTCCAGTTTCACCTTCTTTCTGCACTTTCTTTCACCCTTTCAACGACTAACAGACCCCCATCTCACTCCTCGTGACTCCTCTTTCTGCCATACCATCCCAACTCATATCACGACCCTTCCTCGAACTTTCTACAACGTTCGAGAGCCTACTGGTCACGATATTTTCTTTGTTTCTTGCCTCCAAGCACCCTGCTTTTAATCTCGGAAGCCCTCAGTCGCCCGCGCTGACTTCGTCTCGCCTCTTCTGCACAAACTCAATTCCATACCATCCACAACAACATGGTGGCCGAAACCAAGCTATATGATGCCTTGAGCATCAAGCCCGATGCTACACAAGACGAAATCAAGAAGGCATACCGCAAGGCAGCCTTGAAATATCACCCCGACAAAAATCAAGACAATGCCCAGGCGGCTGAAAAGTTCAAAGGTATGTACTCTCTTTGGTCTGGTTGAAGGTATCAACCGGTACCCCGCACTAGTACCCTTGCGTGCAACACGAGCTAACTATCATCTGCAGAAGTCTCACAGGCCTATGAAGTTCTATCCGACCCCGAGAAGCGCCAAGTATACAACCAATACGGTCTTGAGTATCTCCTCCGCGGCGGTCCTCCGCCCTCGCCGGGTGGTGGTGCTGGTGGAGGCGGCCCTGGCGCTGGCGCTGGCCCCGGTGGCATGCCTGGAGGATTCAATTTCGGCGGCATGCCCGGTGGCGGTGGCGGTGGTCGAACATTCCACTTCTCAACTGGTGGTGGCGGCCCCGATGGCTTCAGCTTCAGTAATGCAGACGACATCTTCCGCGAGTTCGCCAAGGGCAGCACCGGCGGTGGCAGGGGTGGCTTCGATGATGATGATATATTCTCGATGCTGAATGGCGGTATGGGTGGCGGCGGATTCCGTCGCCCTAAAGGAGCATCCCAGCAGAAGAAGCGCGCTCCTACGCCTGAACCTACCGTCATCGAGAAGGATCTACCTGTCACCCTCGAGGAGATCTTCAATGGCGTCACTAAGAAGGTGACGACACGAAGCAAGACCTTCGATTCCAGTGGCAAGCTCAATGCCCGCGAAGTCATCTTAGAAGCCAAGATCAAGCCAGGTCTGCGCAGTGGATCGAAGATCAAGTACAAGAACTTTGGCGACTCAGAGGAAGGTGGTCGCCAGGATATGCATCTGATTGTAAAGGAGGTATGTGACACCCATGTTCTAACATCTGAAAGAAATATTCGAACTGACCATCTATAGCAAAAACATGATATTTTCACACGCAGCGGCGACAATCTCATTATCAACGTCGATCTCACCCTAAAGGAGGCTTTAACCGGCTGGGAACGAATTGTTCAGACTATCGATGGAAAGTCGATTCGGGTGTCGAAGCCCGGCCCGACACAGCCCGGCCACGAAGAACACTACCCCGGCCTCGGTATGGTGATCTCCTCGAAGCCCGGTGAACGAGGTGATCTCGTTGTCCGTGTAAATGTCAAATTCCCTGCCACTCTTCCACCGGCCACCAAAGACATTCTGCGAGACGTCTTGCCCTAAAAGCCCAACCTGTTTTACAATTTATCACTTAGCATATACCCGGCGTTTTCAGCGGTTTCAAATGGGAGGTCATGACAAGCAACGATTTCACACGATTGGGGAGTCATTTGGTGTTTTTAGTACTCACTGTACATAGTATCAATCTATTACATTATATTTTCATTCATATATCTGTATCACGTGGGAGGAGGAATCGGGGCACCTTGAGGCAGCCTCCCCGTCGGAGCCTGAACCCCTGGGAAGTCCTATGCAGGCAAGGTCGCTGCGGGCCCGGGGCTGGCTTATCCTTATCGCCGAGTTGGCAGCTCCCCCCATAGGATACCTTAGAATACCTGAGAGCAAGTTGCACTCCCAGCTACCCCTTCCACTTCACACACTTTCGTCTCTCGAACCAGTGACCACCATGAAACGGAGAATAACCCTTCTTCAGCCTTTGGGCGCCCCATTCGAGCCACACCAAGCAGTTCTATCGTCTAGCAATTTCGTCATCCGCGACCTGCACGCCGCGCGCCATGATCGCATCACACTAGGCCTTGACGACCTTCCCGAGGAGGTGAGGCAGGACGCTCGAGCTTTAATATAATATGGATTACTAACACATTCTCTCTATATTGTTTTACAGCTTAGCAATGTCGTCGAAAGTTCTCATGAGCTTCACCTCCGCTGGGCGACGGAGGAGCCCTTTGACGCCATCGCGCCGTTCTCCAGCAGAGTCTCGCCCGGTCTCCATGTGCATTATACCCCTCTGGTTTCTGGTAAATCATCGTGAGTTGAGCTCCAGCCATTATATGTAAGAGCAAGCTGACCGGGTCCCGAACAGTGACGCATTATGCTCAGTGCTCCGCACTGTGTTCGGGCGGATGAGGGGGACCGGGACGGAGTTGGCTGCACCAGCCCCGAGGTAAATCACCCTCTTCGCTTCTCCCATAATCTCAGAACACCAGGCTGGCGAATACGGGAATATATCTAATCCCCTCATATAGAAGTCTTTCACTACGCACCCGCTTCGTTCGACACGATTTGCGACCTCGGCCTCCCTCCATTACTACACGCGCCTCCCCTCTCTCCAATCCTTAGTCGGCTTTATCCGGCGCACAGTCTGCCACCAACGCCAGGGAGGTGCAAAGTGCCATTATCTAGCCGATACCCTTCTCACGGCCGATGTCGTCGATGTCGACTATGACAGCACGTCGCACACTTTGTCTATATCGGGATTCTGGAGTTCATCTCCTACTGGCGGCTGGGTCGAAGATATTGGAAAGCCTACCGCGGATGACGAGGTTGAAATCGGCCTCCTAGGAGTCGAGCCTGGAGGTGAACCTGATTTGCTTAAGGCAGGCGGGCTATTAGGAAAGATTGGAGAAGATAAAAAGCTCAGTATGTGCCGATCTTGCCTATGTATAGGCCAGCAAGACTAATTTATGCAGCACCGGTGATGTTTGACTTCCCTTCGCGTCATTATCCGCTCGCCGAAACAGCTACATACAGCATCTCGTTCTCCCAGCCAACAGGGCTTCATCCGGAGATGTCAATCTCTATCCCGCATTCTGCTCTACAACAACCCCCGGCACTCAAAGACTCCACATGTGCACTGCACACATATCTCACCCTCCCATCCTCGGTGTTCATTGATCAATATCAAGTCGGCACGGAAGACCCTCTTTTCCTTCAAGAGCACAATCTCGTCGCCGTCCGTGCATTCTCCGGCGAAACAGACCTCGAGGCGCCAGATTGGGCCGTAGATCGCTGGGGTTCAACTTGGCTCGTCGAGCTCGCGACGCCCTCTGTTGATAATTCATATCCCGCATCTAACTGGACCTCAACGATCCCTATGCACCTCCGATATCTCAACCCCTCAGAGTCCGGATATCGATCGGCAGCCGTGCCCTGGCCCGTCGTGTTTTGGGCGTGCAGCATAGAAGAAGAGAGTCAAATAGGTAAAACCCCCTTTGATCGGACTAATTTGGGCTACGATAAGCTCTTCGGACCACGGACGATCTTCTATCAGCTCCATCCGGCGTCTCAGCACCTTGTCGAGGAATTAGATGTCCCTGTCCTGAAAGCTGAAGGATGGTGAAGGTCTCTTCCAGGCTCGGAACATCGAGCTGGGGACAAGCGTTGTCATTGTTCTTGGTTTCTTGTGGATAATCTGGCGCTTGGCTCGTGTAGTTTGGGCGACTGGCCTCGGCGCGAACGAAGTGAAACGGCCTGAGGTGCATGAGAAGAAGGAATAGTTTATTCCTTTCTCCCTTTCTGTTTCTGCCTCTCTTTTTTTCAAGCGTCAAATATCGTTTTCATCCATCATAGCACATTTACGACCTGGCGTTCGGATTGAGATCCTCAAACATACGCATAGACCAAAATAACCAATTATATACAGTATCAGTCCGTATTGAACCCCCAAATCACCCGCAGACCTGCCTAAATCCCCATCTCAGGAAGCGGCCACGGCACAGTAGTTCCAAGAAACTGCTCCAGATCAAAGTTCTGCAAAGAAGGCATATCAATCATCAAATCGCCCAACCAAGAAAGGTCTGCATCAGCCGCATCCTGCTGAAGCTGCATCTGCTGGGTAGTCTGGCCTTCCGTTCGCACATCCTGCTGCAATGAAGCCCCAACCAACGCATTAACCCTCGCATGGACATTCCCATTCCCATTCGCTGTATCATATCCAGCCCCAACCCCAACCCCAACCCCATCACCACCAGCAGTCCCCGACACATCCCCAGCAGCAGAAGCATTCTCCCTCAAAACCTCCGCCAAAGCCCTCGTATCATCCTCCTTTCGCCGCTGATGCAACGCAACAAGCAAATAAGCCGTCGAATAAGCCTCACGCATAACACCTGTATCATACGCAGCCTGCACAACCCTCAACGTCCCCATCGCATCCGCCAACAAGCCCAACGCCGCGCGATTATCCATCGCCAAAAGCGTGCACACGATCTGGAACGGTACATTGGCAACCTGGTGCCAGGGGCAGGAGGCGGCGACCATTTTCCGCGCGGCGGTGAGCGCGCGGCTTGCGAGGGCGAGGATGCGGTCTTGTAGGTCTGCGCGGAGGGGCGCGTAGGGGTTTAGGGCTCTGGCTCGGCGGTAGATGCAGAGCATTAGGTTGCATTGGACTAGTATTAGGGAGTGTTCTGTGTAGTTTGGGCTTAGGACGGAGGTTAGGGCTTTTTCGAGCTCGGGGGAGGTCTTGTGGGGAGGGGCCTGTTGGGTCCAGGGATTCGGAGAGGGGGAGGAGGTGGAAGAGGTCTGTTCCTGATCCTGCTCCTGATGTTTGAGCTTGGTCTGGGGACTGGGATGTGGCGCCGTGGAGGACGACGCGCGAACGGCCTAGGTCGAACGAGATCCAGGTGTTTAAGTGGCGTGCCATGCCGAAGAGGCGCCGGCGAGTGTCAAGGTCGGATTTGGGTGAGGTGTAGATGCTGTTCTGGCTGGGATGATTTCCGGTAGATGTATTTCCAAGTTCTGTGGGTGTTTCTAGGCTCGAGGCTTCGAGGTGTAAGCGTGCTGCTTCGATTAGATGCATCAGTGTGCAACTAGCCATCCATGCAGCATGTGGGGAGGCTGTCATTCGAAGGTAGGCTGTGCGTAGCACCCAGCCTGTTATTGTGTCGATTGAAGGTGGTTCGCCGCATATGACGGACTTTTCAAGGAAAATTCGTGCGTCTTCGGCTAGTTTGATCTCAATATCCATAATCTCGCGCTGTGAGAAGAGATAGGCTAGGGCCGCGATGCCACAAAGTACAGTATCAAAGGCTGGGTCTTGTTCTCCGTATGTTTTATTTGACCAATGCCGTACTATACGAGATAGGATGGTTTCTCTGTTCAGAAACGCATAGCATGGGTGGACCTTTTCAAAGTAAATTGATGCTAACCCCAGCATCTGGGCCTGGGACAGGATTTGGCCAATTGAAGCCGTCGTCCCGGGTAACGCACGATCTGGCGATTGCTTTCTCTCGCCGACATTCCATGCAAATAGATGGAGTCGCGGTGCGCGAGCAGGGTCGATACGCAGCCCAAGTTTGCGGACAAACGAAGCCCCGGAGTTGGCCTCTAAGGACTGACTGGTAGGTTTGGAGTCATCCGGTCGGGAATCATTGGATCCGGGGCCATTAGGATGAATACCGGAGGCGGGTGATATGGCGCTATCCGAAGCACCAGTTCTAATGCTGGCAGAGCCGGGCCGTGGCTGTGTCTTTGGCCAGTTCTCAGGTTGCTGCTGTCCCTCCTCCGGCGCAGACAGACTGGTCCGATACGCGCTACTGTGCTTCTTGCGGGGTGTGGGGTTGAATTGGCACGGTGTGCCAGACTGGATGCAAGTTGTGCATGGGTGATCGCCCGAGCATTTTCTCTTCCGTGATTGGCATGAAAGACAGGCCGCGCGAGAGCGTTTGCGCAGCTTGGAGTCGGCCATTGCTTTGATGCCAGTGGAGGAGGACTCGGAAGTGGGAAGATCGCCAAGAGTCCGGGGATATCACGGGTTGTTTGCCGACTTGAATTTCGGGCGGAGTTCGAATTTCTACACTACAGAGATGGCATACACCACTGGCAGTGGATTCTAACAATGTATCTACATTCCAACTTGAATGTCACGAGTGGTTGATTTATTCCAAGATTTTTACTCTCATCCCAGCCCATTTCAATTATACCTACGTCCATCCGGGTAGCCCAAAAGATCCTCAAGCTCTTCAAGATTCGGCATGCCTGCCGGGCCGGGCATATACTGCAGGTTATCTCGCTCACTCGTCCCATTCCACCAAATTTCATTCTTGTGCAGTGCCTCCGTAATGGATGGTGCATCAATATAAGTGCGGATCTCGGCCATTTGCTGGTTATGATCCCACCTAGTCACCCATACATTGACAATATCGAATTTATCACCTGCAGACGATCAGCCTGAAATGCAGAGACCACTGCAAATTGCATGCCTACCAGAGTTCATCACCCCCTTGAACTGAATCTCCTCGACTGACCAAGCACTATTACACCCGCCGTGGATGGCCTTGGGGTGGATCTCGAACTTATCGGCGTGGTCATAGAAAAGTACGCTCACTCGACGCAGGGCATTCACGTAGAAATGCAGCAAATCATGATACCGCCCAGCGATGGGATGATGGCCGACCACAGTAAATTTGACGTCCTTATTTATCAGTGTGAATAGTTTGCTCATGTCTTTCTCGAGATCTTTGAAGGAATCCCATATGTGCATCTGGGATACAAAGCGACAGTGGGTGGACGGGTTCTCGAATTGGAAGCCCTCACGGTGGCCCGAATGACCAGGGCCGGGGTCATTAATGAGTCCATCACCGCTGCAGGGGTCATGGCCATCTGGGTCGACCAGGCCAGATCCATCACATCCGGGTTTGTCGAGAGGCTGCTGCGTACTCGTAGCCCGACTGACTGCTGGGGCGAGGATCGCCAAGCCCACGATGAGATAGCGGTAGATGATCATGTCGTCACATTACCTCAACCAATTGTCTTGTTGGACCCTCAATGGCCTTCAGCTATCTCGCGGTGAGCAGAAATGTGGGTAAAAGTGGGTTTATCGTGCCTTCGCTATCTTTCCGGCGGCCACTAGTGCCAGGTCAAGGTAATTTCGTTTAGCAATGAGTTCGGTCGGGTTCTGCACCATGCCAGGGCTGAAATTATATCTTTTCATGTTGAGATAAAACCACTGTTTGAATTTCATGTTAGTATTTAAAGGCATCATAAAAATGAGAAATGCACCGTCCTGGACGTGACACGACAATCAAAATACACCGAGTCAGGGCAGTTTGCAAACAGACGAGAAACGGAGTACGGGAGTGCTGCGTACAGTAAAGAGCCGGCGGGTCACCAGCCAGCCACTTTTACTGGCGGTGTGCAACTGCACAGCGATGCAGCTGCAGTTGTACCTGCAACCACACATCAATTTTTGCTGAAACTGCTGAATTGAGTTAGCTAGTACTCCGTCCAATACTGAAGTCCGCAGTAAATATGTACTGTACAAGACTAGAGTAACTATGATTGGTGACCTGAGTTGCCGATGACTCAGCCGGGGCCAACCGATATCGGCCCACCCTTCTGATTGGCCACGCCGGAGTCGGTGAGGCACGTGCCCGCACTGAGTCAAGCGTTCAATTTCTTCCCTTTCATCCCCAACTTTCTTCCTCTCCAGTTTCCATCCTCTTCAAGCCAACTCTAAAACTCCACTCATGTCGACTTGAACTTTTCCTCCCAACCCCCCTCTTCCTTGACTGCTATACCTTCAGTCGCGCTTATGTGTTTGGCACCCTCAATCTTCACCTCCCAGGTATGTTGTTGTCCCTTCCACGGTCCATCCATGGTTGCTCCCAGTTACATCCAACTAACATAACACCCTTCTTCAGGACTATATCTCGGACCACCTTTGGAAATCCTCCAAGAACTGAATTGACTTCTTATACAACCGTTCAATTCTTACTCTACTATCAAAAAATGTTCACCAACCTCTTTAAGGCCATGCCTGCCCGGGCCGGCGCCTTCGCCTCTATGAAGACCCCCGTCCAGGCTCGTTTCATGGCTACTGTTCGCCAGCGCGCCCCCATGGAGCCTGCTACCTTTACCATTCGTGATGGCCCCATGTTCACCGGCAAGTCGTTCGGTGCTCGCTCCAACATCTCCGGCGAGGCCGTCTTCACCACCTCTCTGGTCGGATACCCCGAGTCTCTGACCGATCCCTCCTACCGTGGCCAAATTCTGGTCTTCACTCAGCCTCTCATCGGTAACTACGGTGTCCCGTCGGCCGAGAAGGACAGCAATGGTCTCCTCAAGTACTTCGAGTCCCCCAACCTGCAGGCGGCCGGTGTTGTCGTCGCCGATGTCGCCGAGCAGTACAGCCACTGGACTGCCGTTGAGAGTCTGGGTGAGTGGTGCGCCCGTGAGGGTGTTCCCGCCATCTCTGGTGTCGACACCCGTGCCATTGTCACCTATCTGCGTGAGCAGGGTTCGTCCTGGCCAAGATCACTGTTGGCGAGGAGTACGACGCCAACGAGGACGAGGCTTTCACCGATCCCGAGCAGATCCACCTGGTTCGTCAGGTCAGCACCAAGCAGCCCTTCCACATCAGCGCTGCCGATCCCACTTCGCACGTTGCTGTGATTGACTGCGGTGTTAAGGAGAACATCCTGCGGAGTCTGGTTGGCCGTGGCTCCAGCGTCACTGTCTTCCCCTTCGACTACCCCATCCACAAGGTGGCCCACCACTTCGATGGTGTTTTTATCTCCAACGGCCCCGGCGACCCTACCCACTGCCAGGACACTGTCTTCCACCTGCAGCGCCTGATGGAGTCCTCCCAGGTCCCCATCTTCGGTATCTGCCTGGGTCACCAGCTTTTGGCTCTGGCTGCCGGTGCTAGCACCATCAAGCTCAAGTACGGTAACCGCGCTCACAACATCCCCGCTCTGGACCTGAGCACTGGTCGCTGCCACATTACCAGCCAGAACCACGGTTATGCTGTTGACGCTTCCACCCTGCCCTCGGACTGGAAGCCATACTTCACCAACCTGAACGATGCTAGCAACGAAGGCATGATCCACAAGTCTCGTCCCATCTTCAGCACCCAGTTCCACCCCGAGGCCAAGGGCGGTCCCCTCGACTCTTCCTACCTCTTCGACATCTACCTCGACAGCGTGCTCAAGTACAAGCACAGCCAGGCCGGTCTGTACCCTCAGCGTGACAGCCGCCCCAGCCCCATGCTGGTCGATCTGCTTGCCAAGGAACGTGTCGGCGTCCAGCCGACCATTGGTATGCAGAACGTGGCTGCTGCCGCTGCTGCTGCCGCCGCTGCATAAATGTCTCAGAATATTGGTCCGGGGAGTTCTGGTTTGGTTATATCTTGGAATCGGCAAATGTTTTTTATCTTTTTCATATGTTCATAGTTGATCTTGATCGTACATGCAATTTCACATCAGTAGACTTGAATCTTTTTTCTCAATTCGTAAAAACATCTGCCTGAAGCCGCAGTTCTTCTATTTCGCTACAATCGACACCACATCCTCGTCCGCTACCATGTGTCCCAACCCCACGCGCTGCGGGACATGACGAGCGCTAGCACCCCATACCAAGGCGTGCTTGAAGGTGTCTTTCAATGTGCGGTGAATAGAGTCACACACGTCCTCGATAGTCGAGTCCCGGCGAACGATCATAGCCTCGCTGAAGTCGGGATCAACTCCCTTTCTGTAGCTGAGTTAGAAATCGACATTCTCGGGATTAGTGAAAAGAGGGCTGGTAACCTACCTCTTCGTGTATAACCGCATCAGTCTTAGTTCCTTCCAGATACGTTCCACGACCTCCTGCACGCCAAGATCGAGCTCACAACTCATGACAGCTGTGTATGGTTCGCGGGCCAGTTGGTCCAAGAATTCCAGGCTGATGCCGTCGATCTTGTTGTAAACGTATAAGCTAGCTGGGTGTCAGTGTCTATATTTCAGGAATGAACTCAGATGGGATGGAAATACCAGCGAATATACTTGCGGTGATCCTTCATAATGACATCGATAAAGTCATCGATTGTGGCTGGGATTGTCAGTATAGCTTTGACGTGGGATGATTCTGGAATCGTGACACACCATTTTCATCTCGCACCAGAATTTCACAGTTGAGAAGCTTGTAGTCACGCATGACGTTGTAGATCATCTTCTCATCCAGGTACTTGGGCGGTGTTTGGAAGGTAATCTTCATGCCACCGGCATTCTTAATCTTGAGGTAGATGTTCGGGGGCTCCTTGTTAAGTCGAATGCCCACTGCATCCAATTCAGCCTCGAGGAGAGCGCGCTGTTCCGCACGCTTTGTGGCATCCAGAACCATGAGAACCAAATCACTAGTCTAGAGCCGTTTGAGACCCATCTTAGAAATTGGTTCACTCTTCCTCAGTGTGGGATATCACGTACCTTGGCTGCGGAAATGACTTGACGCCCACGACCCTTACCCTCGGAGGCACCCTCAATGATACCAGGCAAATCCAGAATCTGGATCTCGGCACCACCGTATTCAAGCACACCGGGAATAGCCGTCAACGTGGTGAAAGAGTAGGCAGCCGCCTCGGACTTGGTCTTGGTGATTTTCGACAGGAAAGTAGACTTTCCGACGGAGGGGAAACCAACCAACGCAACACGCGCATCACCACTTTTGCTGACATCAAAGCCAGCGCCACCACCAGAGCCTGCACCGGCAGCGGGTTCAAGCAACTGGGCACGAAGACGGGCCAGTTTTCTGTATTCTTTAGCTAGATATTCTTCCGTTGAGGGGAAATGTGGACACACACCCTTTCAATAGACCCAAATGATACTCTGAAGTGCATCATGTTAGTATATAAACCCGAAGCATGGTCACTTGTGTTTTTCGACATCATACCTGTCGCCTTGTTCTCTGCGGGGCATTGTTAGCGGGGTGCTCGGTGCAATTTTTGGCCAGTATCAACTCACTCTGCGTCCGGCGCATCTCATCCTCAATCCTAGAGAAAGACTCAGCAAATGAAAATCCACGCAAGACGAAACCAGCTCTCGTACTCTTTGATCTTCTCCGTAATGTTCACCATTGTGGCGGTTGTGGAGGCTTTTCGCCTATTCTCTCACGCGGGGTATATGACGCTGGTTTCAGGCGTAGAGAGTGAACTGCCGATCTGGTGACAGTATTATCAGCCTTAGGACGAGTATTCTCCCTTTCGATCGCAACCAGATCAATCGTAGGACTTCAATCGCTCGTGATATCAAAAATCCGCTGCGGAAGTTCCAATGCTCGGCGGCGCCAAGACCGTCCTCCACCGCCTGCCCAAGTCGGTACTCCCAACCTTTTTGCCGCGCAACTTGATGTCGATTGAATCTCGCCTCACCTCAGCTTCAACGCTGCAAACTTTACAGCAAACCCAAGCCATGGCCGATACAGCAGAACCAGTGCCCACGCCCGACGCGCTGGTCGTAGCCGAGGCCGATCCCACGAATGCGCCAAACGAAGAGCAGCAGCTCGAATCGACGAAGAAAGTCAAGAAGATCATCCGAAGAAAGAAGCGCCCTGCGCGCGTCCAAGCAGATCCCTCAGTTGCGAAGGCGGATCCCTCAACACAATCTGGACTGCAGTGGAACATCTGGTACTCAAAACATGAGGGTGGGCAGCGAGGGGACGAGCAGCACAGCTTGAACAAGCCGGCTCCCGGCCGATGCTCGATTGCCAGAGATGCTGGATACACCCGTGCCGATCGGACACCTGGAGCTTTCTTTTGCGGTAAGTTTCGTTTCCGGGGGTAAATCTGTCTCTTTTGTCTGCTCGGTGCTGATATGGTCTTGTTAGTTCACTTCGCTCGAGGCGTGTGCCACAAGGGTGCCGATTGCGAATACTTGCACCGCCTGCCTGGAATCCACGATTTATATCAACCGAATACCGACTGTTTTGGCAGGTGAGTGGATTTTATACCTGGTCGGGAAGGTCTTGGGGGCTTCGTTCTAATATCCTTGCAGGGAAAAATTCTCGGACTATCGTGATGATATGGGCGGTGTTGGAAGTTTCCAACGTACGTATAGTTCCAAAGCTGAAGCTTTCCCATCGGGTTGCTGACAAACTCACAGGACAGAATCGCGTTCTTTACGTCGGAAGGATCCATGTTACAGATGATATTGGTACGGTCTTTGCTGTTATAGCCATGAATGCTCTTACTAACGTCTTGCAGAGGAGGTCGTGTCTAGGCACTTTAGTGAATGGGGCCAAATTGTACGTTCCTTTTCTCGTCACCAGATATACAGTCTCCTCTAACACATAACAGGAACGATCCCGTGTTTTGACAGGCAGAGGGATAGGCTTCGTAACATATTCCAATGGTGAGAATATTCCGTCCAATATCTCTTAATTCCAAATATACTAATCTCGTTCAACAGAGGCAAATGCGCAATTTGCAAAGGTATGGAAGAACCGTTCCAATACTGCTTCCAAAGTGATATTCTAACACAAAACAACAGGAAGCCATGCACCAACAGGCTCTTGATCATGGTACGAAATCCCCAAATTAACATCTCAAATTCCCAGCTAACAGTATCCAGAGGAAATCCTGAATGTCCGCTGGGCAACAGTCGACCCCAACCCAATGGCACAAAAGCGCGAGGCCCGCCGATTAGAAGAACAAGCCGCCGAGGCCATTCGACGCGCACTCCCCGAGGCATTCGTCGCAGAAATCGAGGGCCGGGACCCCGAGGCCCGAAAGCGGAAGAAGATCGAGGGTAGCTTTGGATTGAACGGATACGATGTCCCCGATGATGTCTGGCACGCGCGGACCCGGCAGCTCGAGGCATCAGCACCGGCGGCCCAACTCGAAGCCCCCGAGCAAGCCCAAATGATTGAAGCCGCACCACCCGCGGCTGAGCCGGAGAACGGAATTTTCTCCAGCTCGACTGTGGCAGCTTTGCGCGGTCTAGCGGGTGGCAATGTGACGACCCAGGCTGCGCCGAAGAGCTCTGGCCCCTTGGTTGGCTACGGGTCTGATGATGATAGTGACTAGATGTGTAGCGCAGCCAGGCTCTGCGTGCATACTTGATGCAAAAACAACCCCCATTTTATGTATAATATCAGCGATACCTCCAAAGATGAAACTACTGCCCTCCCATGCAATCTTCGTTAATATTGGCGTTATTCATAACGGGGTATCTCCCGGGCTCGCTAAAACATGACAAGGAGGATATGTAGGATGTCAGGGAAGTGGAGAGGTGATGACAAGAGCAAGAAGGTAAACAGAGCAGACCGCCGATACATGAGGTTTTATGCAAGTAGTAAGGAAATTTCCAATCCCCAGTATGCACCAGAAAAACAAAACACAGAAAAAAACTCCTCTCGATGAACTTCACCCCCTGGTGAAATTACCTGTCGCTTATAGGGCCGAGGTCATAGTACACGCACGAACCGGTGCGGTAGTTATAAATGAAAGCATTTGTATATCCGTCCGCTCCACCGCTGGCGCGGATTTCAGAGGCTAAATCAGCGAGGAGATCGTACACCTGGCCGAGATATTTCCGCTCTGTTAGAGGTGCATTTTGGATGACGGTGCGCCAGCTGTCAGGATCAGATAGGCGGGTGTCGCGAATGGAATCGAGGACGTCGTCGCGCGTGTCAAGAGCGACGACTGGGGCGTTCGCTGCGTTTTCGGCGATCTCGCGTGCGCTGAAGAGGGCTGGTTTAAAGTCAGTAACGGGAAACACATGACGTTGACTGGGATCATACCGGACTCGACGATGTTTCGACGATTGGTCTTTTTGCTTCGGTGTTGCGGTACAAGAATGCGCACGTCGTTTGCCCTCTCTCTTTCGTTGGTCAGGAATGGATCCTGCTGTCCTGGAGGACGTGCTTGGCGGGCATCTGCATTGCCTCCTTCACGCTGGTGCCGCGCTTGTACCTCAGATCGGAGCCAGGGTACAAGCTCGGTGTTGCGAATGTCAAACTCTTCTTTGCGCACGAGGTTTCGCACTTTGAAGCCACGTTCTTTGCTATCTTGTTTCGCGATCACGATCCAGCGGTGGTTGTTGTCTTTGTATTTAGCAATCAACTCTTCAATGGAAGAGGAGTCGACCGCAAGTTCTGCGCTAATACCATTTCCCCAGAGGTCTTCGATGAGTTTCACGGCTGTGGTTCGGAGAACTGTTGGGTCAAAGCTTGCGACGAGAACATCGCACTAAGATGAGTCAGTAAATGTACGCTTTTCAGATTGCTGGATTGTCAACATACCCTGCGAGTCGTCCAATACAGTTCAGCGCCAGACTCGGCATCTTTCGGAGGGGCCTTTGACTTGAGATACTCCCTCATAGACGAGCCCAGCTTATCGGAGCTGAGATTGAATCCCACCGCGTGTGATTGGGGCCGATTTGACAGAGATTTGGGAGCAAATTCTTGGATCAAGCGGTCATAGCGGCCGCCTGCAGCGAAGACATCACGGCGTTTGGTGTCGAAAACGCACTGGAATAGGATACTACCCCGGTAGAATTTATCGTGCAAACTGCTCAGAGGGTTGATAAAGACTCTGCGCTGTACGCCAAAGCATTGCAGATATGTCATGAGTACATTTAGCCGGGCGAAGATTGGTGGTAGCCGCTCAGCAAATTCAGTCCCTTCCATGATAACCTGCATCTTGCGCAGTGTTTCTTTGGGGGTGCCTAAAGGGAGTTAGTCGGAAGGGAAAGGAGAAGTTAGAGGGCTGCTTAGCATACCTCTGAAATCAAACCGAGCAAGATCATCCAACGAAGTCGAGGCAACACCGATTGCTGGAGACCGAAGCTCACTTCGAATCTTTTGCATGGTCCATTTACCGACATTCAATTTGCTGATGACTTCCTTTGCGAGAGGGATCTGGGATGGCGTCATACGACAAAACTCCATGATAAGCTGAAGAAGGTCAGAGTGATTAACAAGGAAGCACATATTCGCTGATCGAAGTGGCGGAAATTCTTCAATAATCTCGTCCAGGACCTTGATCACCTCAGCCTCCTTAAGTGCTAGATCTAAGGTGTTGTACGACACGATATCAAAATCAACCTCCCGGTGCGTGCGAGGCTCACTGCCATGAGTTGATTCTCTGTAAACCGTACCAAAGGCAAATGTTTTCTCGAGGGATGGATCCTGGCGAGGAATCGCTCGTGCATTTGGTACTGTGAGGTCAAAGGGCAGTTGAAGAAGATTTCCTGACGAATCTAGCAGACGTACTGCACCGGCAGAGTAATGCTGAGACCGCGGGAACAACATCTGCCTCGTTGATTCCACTGCCCCATGTCGTCGAAAGATAGAAGTGAGTTTCTTCTTTACAAGTCCCTGCACAAGAAGCTCATTTGCCGCTGGTACCCCATGGGAGTCCATATCCCACGCAATGTCTTCGAACTTTTTCGGGGATTGCGAAAAGATGGCAGAGAGAATCTTCTTGTAGTCGGGGGAATTTGGATCCGATAGCAAGTGTACAATAGCCCTTCTAAAGGTCTCCTCTTCAACTTGAAGGGGGATCTTACCACTTGCAAGAAGCTCCGACGCAGTTGGTCGCTCACTCTGCGTATGGCTTAGAAGAGATTCGATGATCTGACCCTGAACAACTTTTTCCGATTGTTGGAAAGTAACCGGGAGGACATGGTTCGATTCTCGGATCTGCCTCAGCGTTTGATCACGCTCCATGCCTGTTGGCAATGGGTGGCACATTTCGAAGAAGATGACACCTAGCGAGAACATATCAACCTTCTCATTATAGTGTCCCGAGAAGCCAGACTTCATCTCCGGGGCAACATAGTATGTTGTACCCAGGCTGCGCGTAAAATTTCCTTCGAAATCCGCCGCCGCTGATGAACGTACTGCAGTCATAAACTGGCCGCTAGTAGCAAGACCAAAATCACCTATTCGGGGGTTGTTGGCAACATCAATGAAGATATTGTCGGGTTTGAGATCGCGATGGATGATTCCATGGCTATGTATGTGGCTCAGGCCGTCCAAAATCTGCCGGAAGAGGCGCCAAGAGCTATCGATATCGTCGTATAGGCCGTTCTTGATTAAATCACGCAGTGTCTAGTAAAGTACCAAGTTAGTTTGAACCGACAATGACGGTTATTGTCGTCTTCAACTTACATGTTTCTCACAGTACTCCATCTGAATGTACAGAGTAGTCAAAACAGGTCTTCCATTGGAACCGGATCGTGTCCCACTGGGCTCAGCATCTTCTACGCTTCCTGTCTCATCAAATGTATGGGTATACTCTCCTGATCCACGATCGGAGAGCGTCCCCTCACTATCATCGTCACTTTCCGATGCTGCGAACTCAATCTTCGGGTATCCACTAGAGCTGATGAAGTCAAGGCCACCGGTACTGAATCCACCATGATCCTGGCTAGCATATGGGTCGCCTTCAGTAGAGGAGATAGCCTCCTCAATATGATTGAAGTCTTCCTCCAGCCAAGCAGTATAATATCTGACAACATAGGGATGATTCAGACGGGATAGCAGCATAATTTCAGAAAGTGTATCTTTCAGCGACATAGTCGATGTCTGCGAAATCTTTTTCACGGCGTAAAAACGGCCATCAAGCTTATTACGAGCCTTCACAACTTGACCAAATCCACCTCGTCCCAGGTGACCAGCTTCATCGAAGTCTTGGTGATAGCGCGAGAAGATAGGCATGGCACCAAAAGAGTCTAAACGGGGTCGCCTCTGTAGAGAAACCGAATTGGAAGACCTGTCCCGCATGGTCAAAGGTGCGTCTACTCGGAAGAATTCTGAAGGTTGAAGCTGGAAAGCCGTCGGACGTTTCCTAGGGTCCGGCCGGAAGAACTCTTGCAGAAGATCTTGTAACGGTGGGGATAGTCCCAACGATATCATCAGTTGGTTGGCCGATGTGTATCTCAAAAGCACATCTTTGCCAAATGCCATCTGCAAAAGGACGATTCCAAGGTCCCAGACATCAGTCTTCATGGTCGGTGGCATATCTTCGGTCAACTCCGGAGGCAGCCAGAGCGGTGATTTGGACGTGGTCAATGAGCGTCTTCCACCGGGAGCGTCTGGTAGAGCCTCCTCCACGCTGGATTGTAGTTTGACAATTGTGCCTCCAGAACCTGTCCTACAAAGCATGACACGGCCACAGTGAATGTTCCCATGAACAAATCCACTGCGGTGATAAAACTCCAAGGCCTCTAGAAGTTGAATCATCCAACCTCGAAGAGTTTCGGCAGCAACGGTGCCCACAATGTCAAGTAGCTCTGAGAGCGAGCCTTTGTTTGCAAATTCTAAGAGAGTATAGACTGTCCAAGAGTTGTCTGGCGAATTAAACTGAGTGATGGGGCGAATAATCTTGAAACCAACAAACTCAATCAAGTTGGGGTGTCGAAGTCGCTTCAAAGCCTCCAATTTGTCCTCACTAGTCCGCATCTGTTCACGAAATGCAAGGGTATTAGAGGCTTTCTCTTCCAAGAAAATCTCTTTCAGCACAAGGAGTGGAACGTGGCACCGACTTTCGGAAACGAGAGGTCGCACCGTAAACGTCTTCTTGTCCTGGTCATCTTGTACCAACGTCTTCCCATGGACGGCACGGAAGACCAAGGGCTGCTCATCGGTGTCACTAACAGCCAATGGCGGGTCAAAGGAGATTGCGCCGGGGGTGGTTTCCACGAGGTCGCCAATATCGCTAGAATCCATGCCGCTAGTTCGACTCTTCCGTCGCAAGATCCGAGCCTTATTCCGTTGTCGCATTTTATCTTGAAGCATCTCTTGCAAAGCACGTTCTTCCTCTGCAGAGGCGGCTTCTTGTTTGCGCAATTCTTCTTGCTTTTCCAGTTCGGCTCGCTGGACGGCGGCGGCTTTCTGTTCAATGCGTTCCTCCTCCAAGCTGGGGAGATCCTTGTCCTGCTCGCGTGCTTGGGCAACATCTTCCAGAACGTCCTGTATTGAGACTGCCAGCTCGTAGATCATCTCACTTCCGAGGAGGGTTTTGGGTTTATTGCGAATGATTTCCTGGATTCGCGATTGGGCACCATCGCGAAAGTCGGAGAGGTTTTCTAACGAAAGGTTCGGTATGGTCTTTGGGTAGGTGGCAGGCAATTCGACAAGGAGTACAAGACAGACGTCCGGATTTGAAGAAGCGCGTAGGTGGAGTTTAAAGGTCAAGTCGGAGGATTGCTGGCGATCAGTGTCAGTGGGGGCCCAACTGGGCGGGGAAGAATTGAAGTTGCAGATTAACGATTCACACCCACCTGCCATGCTGAACGTCGAGTCTCGACATCTTGGTAATCGTCGCCGTAGATTGAGCGCAGAGCTTCAACCTCAAGCTGGTGAATTTCACGGTAATTGGTGGTTGCAATGGTGGGGGATGTTATAGAAGAAGAGTCGGAAGAGGTTTGCTTTTGGTGATCCTTCTGGTTTTGCTTTTTCTCGCGGGATGCTTTCTTCTGTTTGGGAGGCATCGCGGGGGCGTGGCGAAGTCGCCCTACATCCGGGGATTAAGGGACATTATGAGGGGGAAGAATATGGGTTGGGCCAAGAAAGAAAGAAGTAGTTGGGTCTTGGAGATGGTGTCAGTGTCAGTTGGACTAACAGGCGGTCAGGTACGCCCTTTGCCATGTGGAGTCGAAGTATGGGATGGCCACAGTTACAGAGTACTGGAGTACTCCATAATGATACAATAACTACGGTGTACTTAATTCAACTCGGTTCAGTTCAATTTTCATTTGCTTGACTTCTACTTTTGATTCCCTTCCTTCACCTGCACCACGCCAGGTACCATGGAGAAGCGGTCAGATCGACACGAGTCTCTGCTATGCCCAATGTGGAGTTACGTACAATTGGCACGAGTACTACTCGACCACTACTCATGCACGATCAAAAATACCCAGCAAGAGACTGCCAACCACCGTGATCATCGGCGCATACCCCCAATGGTTCCACTCGCCTTGTCCGTGGCTCCAGCACACCGCGCCATCGCCCGCTGCAACCGCACTGGCCGAGATTAATGTCCATCCCAAGGATTTGGAGGTGCCGCAGAAAGTGGCGGCATAGATGGCCAGTCCCATGAAGATATCCCGGGTTCCATACACGGCCATCAGGCTGTCCACCAATTGATGGTCAGTCGCGCCAGCTGGCGGCGCAAACTCGAAAAATGTCAAGGCGTGGTCCGGACGCAAGATGGCATTGATTCCGAATCCAATGAAAATGGTACCAAAGGCAGTAGCAGCCAGTCGAAGAACAGAAGATTGTGAAAGAGCCATATTAAGGTCCTATCCAGCCTTGAAAGGTTGTTGACTTGAGTGGAGTTGGAAAAGTACCCTAACCTATAGAGTGAAGTGGAGTTGGAAAAGTACAGAGTACAGGAGTAATGAATGAGCAAGGGGTTTTCAGGCTAGGGTTCACACATGTCAGCTTTTATATCTTAAATTGAAGGAATAAAAGAGTCAAGGCAACAACTTAACCTTTCGAATATCTGCCTACTACCTTAGGTACCTAGTACCTGGGTAGTGAACTTGGCGTCAGCACAGAGTGTCGAGGTGAAGGTGGAGATTATCGATAAGCTGAGCCTCCCGTTAACCTGAGGTCCACCTTCAGTTCCCACTTCACGCGTCAAGCTTGTAAACAACCTTTCCTCCGCCAACTTCCACCATGTTGGACTGGATGAAGGGGACCGAGGGCCCTCAGGCAGGTCGGTTATTCCCTGATATTCTAAACCTCGTCTCAACAACTAACCCTATTTCGTCCAGACACCTCCAAACTCCTGGAGCCGCCCGAAACCCCAGCTCCCGTGTTTGCGATTCGCGCCTTCAAGAGCGCCTTGTTTGGCACTCCTGGTGCTGAAGAGGAGAAGGACCAAACTTCTGATCTCAACAAACCCGCCCATCACCGCAGCAAAAGTGATTCCACCAATTCCATCCCAATTCCCGTCCCAGCTCCCGCCCAATCCGAAAAGGAAGACCCAAAACAGGACGATTCCCTTTTCAACCCCGCGGGTTCCCCTACCAAAAGCATCCTCGTTACACCCGGAACAATCTCCAACCGACGCAAGACTGTCTCCTTTGGCGACGGGGTGGTGGATAACGAGGGAAACGCGACAACCAATCGACCAAAGTGGTGAAAACACCTCCCAACCCTGCTGGCAACCTCACTGCCCAGTGGATGTCAGGCTCCGCCGACGGAAGACCGCGCAGTCAACTCACACAAACACTTATGGATGCCCGCGACAACGCGTCCAAAAATGCCGAGGGGGCGGAGACTTCGCCTTCCAAGTCCGCCGCCCGCTTCCAGATGAAGGACGACTCCAGCGCCGACGACATCACGGTCAATCTCGAAGATCCACGATCGGAGTCGGGTAAATACTGGAAGACAGAATTCGACAACTACCGAACGCGTACCAATCGCGAAATCAAAACCCTCATCCACTACCGATCGGTCGCCAAATCCTACGCGCGCAAGAAAGACACTGAGGCGCTACGCCTGGCAGATAAGCTGCGGGAAGAAGAGGAGAAAGTGGCGGATATGGAACGCCAGGTGTCGCGTCTTGCCGCCACAATTGTGGGAGAGAACTCAAAGGCAAATAAAGAGGACTTGATACACGACCTGAGCAGGCAGACCACTCTAGCTCTGCAATACAAGCAGCAGGTCTCTTCATTGCGTAAGAGTCTCGAACAGCAAGGCGTGGTGGGTGACAATACCGCAACACTCAACGAGCCGGTCAAGAAGTCACCGCCCGTAGATACGTCTGAAGAGCTTCGCAAAGCACAGCAGGAGCTGAAACAGGCCAATGCCAAGATCGAGGAACTGACGCGCGAGCAGAAGCCATCTCAGAACCCAGATCTCAAGGAACTACAAAATCTTGCCCAAAGTTCAGAGAAAAAGGCACAGGACCTCGAGAAGGAGAACCATTCTCTCAAGCAGACCATGGCACGTGTCAAACAGGAAATGTCAAGGTATGAGGGCCGGCGCAAAGAAAAAGAAACCAGATTCAGGCAGAGGGAGATCAAACTAGAGGGGCGAGTCCAGGAGTATCGTGAACGACTAAAGAAGGTCACCCAGGAGCGTCGTGAATCGGAAGATGCACTGAGAGCTAGCTTTGATGAGGAACGTCGCCGCATGCAGAGCCAAATTGATACGTTGAAGTTGAGGGCCACCAATGCAGAGCGCATCCCCGCGCTGATGCCTCAACAACGACATACGTTTAGCCCACGAAAGGACCACACGGGTGTGCAAACCCATGACTTCGCAGAACTAGACCATCCAGTGATCGAAGAAGCTACCGAGGACATTGAGGCACCACCCAGTCCAAGCCCCCGAACCAAGACGCGTCATACGCGAAATGCCACCACTGGGACATTCGACTTGAAACGCGCAAGCCAGAAAATCACGGCCGACGATGCGGAAGTCACACACTACCTCCACGAAATCCTGGACAGGCCACGCCCGAAGTCATACCAATTTGACAAGGGTCACGTCATGCCCTCTTCTCTTGACACCGCCCCGCTCAAATCTCTCGATCGCAACCTCAAAACACATGCCCACCAACCCACGGGCGATAAACAGCGATCATACCGCTCACTATATCTACATGAACCCGAAAACACAGGAACTCGGCCTGGGCACACGCAGCGGTCCCGCCCTCACATCCGATCTACACTCGACAATATCTCCGGCCTTCCAAACACCGATACTGGTAATTATGCCGGACACACAATTTCCGGAGGGGAGCGAGGGGGAAGACAAACGGGTCTGGCCGATGTGAGCAAAGAACTCCTGTCGCCGGAGCGTATTGCAGCAGCACATTCTCGACTTCATCAGAAGAAGAATATTCGGAGGCTCCGAGCTATGGGGGAGGGAAATATCCGGCCGATGGTTCCTTCGGGTGTTGGTCAGAGCTAGATGTTTGATTTTCTTTCTGTCCGCTTAGATTGGTGCGTAATAGCGATCTTTTGTTTAGCGCTAGGTTTGCTATGGACTATTTTCTTCGCAATGAACCACACTACAACCTACCATAGGAACCTCGGTCTCATAGGCTTGGACTTGAACTCGGACTGAAGATCAATGGGAAACATTTCTCTAGTCAACTTGAAGTTCTCGTAATCAATCCCCTAGTGCAATGCCTTGGTGGAGCCCCTCCAGGCTAATTTCATGCAGCAGCCCAGGGTCACGCGACATCATACATATCTAAGACTCACCTCGAGGACTTGAAACAAAGAAAACCGACTCGGTGATGTCATTAACGTTGGCAACAGGGTTTTTTGTTTAGCATCGATAGGATCTGATATGCAACAACAGCCTGGTGGATTGTTTTGTTTCAGACTCATGTTGAAACAGTTGGGGGAATGCGTATTATTTTCAGAAATGAAGGATAGACATGAATATGGACCAGTGGCCAAAAAAGCCTTTTTCTCATACATGAAGCTCCGATCGAACCTAATTCTTCAACTTGGGCATGTGTAAACGACAGACACGAGGATAATATAGTAGCAGCCCACAGTGTGCCGCACTAGTATACGCCTCTCCAGGGTGAAACATCAGTGCGACTCGGAGGTGGCATGGCATTTCCCCCTTTTTCGCTGCATGATTCAGTACAGGGGAGCAAGGAACCCTTGCTCCAAACGTGTCAATGGGATGTTCTAGAAGTACGCAGAAGTACTCAATATTGACCAGAGTTTTCATTATCACATGCCGCGGGGTACGTCGCCACGCAATAATACTAGTATCTCCGTCCATTCAACGCGGGCCATCTCGCTAAGGACTCGGAGTCCGTACAGCATCGCTACTAGATGCCACAATACCACCTCGCTACTGCTTCTGCTAGACGCGAAGAGTGGCAGAGGCCAATTCGCCGCCAGCCCGAGGACTCTCCGTTCGGCCGCCACCGCTGATTTTCTAGGAAACTATGATTACAGTTACCCTAAATTATGCTGACTTTCGAGCTCGACAACCCTTGCAGCGGTGAAACCATCATGCTACATATAGTAGATCCCATCTCAACGGCTTTTTGAGTGAATAAAATAAACTCGGTCGAATCAAAAATAATAAGAAGAAGGATCTTCAATGAACCGTGGGTGAAAGCAAGTCAAATGTGTCGGTCGCAAATTTGAGCATCTAACCCGGTTCCACGCCAGCTGCAAAACCAGCCGGTCTATTATTCGAGACGAGACGAGAGACAAGTTGCAAACTGAACCTTAAATCCTTTCATTGGGTATTTTATAACATAATATTATGAAGCCTGGCGTGGCTTCGTCTGACCTGGCCTTGCCTAGAGATATTCAGAACCTGAAATTATCAACCCTTAAGGCTCGATCAAAAACCGATCAAGTTAGTTATACTAAGCATCGATCGTCGATCATGGATTGGCTTGACTTGACTTACACAGTCCCAACTCCACAGATCTTGCTCACGGACTGTTGGTCTATACTTTCAGCCTACAGTAGGATGAAGATCTCACCCCCATCCAGGATGCCGAGTGAAGCATCAGTGGATCACCCTGGATCATACTAACTTACACTAGTCGCTTCAAAGCGGGTTCGAAGAGAGATAAGATGGGTTTTCCAGCCAAGATCATCAAAAAATGGTTCGTAAAAGGATCGGGTTCTGACCGACAACAACAACAAGGCTGAAAATTATTTGCAATACTCCGTACAATTCACTCGTACTCCGTAAATGTGGACACTCCCGAGTGGACCACCTCTGGGCATAAGTCAACTTGGCCATTCTTGTTCCTAAATCCGATCTCAGCTCGCTCCACCTGAGCAGACTAAAACCGGCAGTTGAGATGTTGTTGATTTGGAGCATGGATTTGGAGCTTGTGAATCAGCAGTGCAATGTATATGGTTCACCCTCCCAAGAAGGCATGTGTATTCGAAATCACTACAATCTCTCCGTATCCAATCATGATGGGCAATCTATGCCGTCGACGCTTGGTTCAGCGCAACCTTTTTTCTTTAGGTGGGGCATGGAACATGGAGAGTTGAGAATGGAGAATGATGACTCGCCAGGCCACGGACCCCCGCACACAATAATTCGCTAAGGATCTTGCATTGTGGTACAAATCTTCCGTACTCCGTACGCCATCAGGGCAGATGAATTGATTTATGGGTTAAGTTTCGAAAGTGGCGACGCCTCGGCATAACCTAGCGACATGCGGGATGCAAATTCTCCGCCACGAGCATGGCTCGGGAATGCAAAAACGCCTCTACAGGGGGCCTTCGCCATTAGCTGAGTCCATGTAACACAAAGTGCAATTAACACGCTGAACAATGCGTGCCTGGCACCAGGCCAGGGGCTCGGGAGTCGCCTTTCACAAGCTTAACCTCTCACAGCCTATGAATCAGATAGGTCTCGCCTCAAGTGGATCGAGGTGTGAACTCTGGGGCTCTGGATCGACCTATCGCGTTGCCTCAACATCGGTCGCCTCCGCTGGCCTCGGTCGTTTTGCTGCTTTTGATCTCGTGCATGTTATTCCCACGGCTCATCGCCGTCGGAGTTATGTGGAACAACCATGGTGTGAGCCTGCTCCAGAGTTTAATTTACTTCCCATGGGTCCTAGTTCTCGGCTCTAGGTTGTCTCTACTCCGTACTCCTAGTATTTGAGTATATGTGTACCCAGGACCCTGGCGGGGGTGCGACGCTGGCCGGCATTTTTCGAACGCCATACTAGTACGACTACTCTGGAAGCACTACAGTCACAATGTTCTCTGTCGTTACACACCAATAGTCTATAAACACAATCCTTGCACGGTTCTTCATATTAAAAAGCCACTCTCTTCTATTCCACCCATTGCTGGCCTACATTTCGATATCATCGTCCACCATGCAGCTTCCCCCCGCTGCCGTCCTGGCGACATGGACACCGAACTATGTTAACCCAACCACACGCGGCCATGGAGCCATGATAATCAACGTCGTATTCATTATTTTCGCCATCATCATCGTTGGACTCCGCCTTTACACGCGTCTGCGCATTACTTGCAGCACTGGTATAGATGATCTCCTCATTGTGATCGCCCTCTTCTTCGCCATCGCTATGGTTGTGGTTACTTCGTACGCTACAGAAGTATGGGGTTGGAATCGACACGTCTGGGATGTCCCACTGGATTGGCTCCCCACCGTGCAAAAGCTGAACCTCGTTTTCCAAATAATGTTCTCTTGGTCAGCTTCCTTGACCAAGATCTCACTCTTATGGTTCTGTCGACGTCTTCTCGGCGCCGGAAAGGGAAGCAATAAGGTGTTTAACTGGGCTTTCATCGGCTCAATGATTTTTGTTGGAACCACCTGCACCCTCTTTACTTTTTTCAGTATCTTCCAATGCTCGTGAGTATCATTCAAAGAGTCCCAATTTAATTTCATCCTAACCAATCATCTAGACCAGTCAGGGCTTATTGGGACGTTGAACCTCAATACAAACACAAATGCATGAATAGCGGTGATATTCTCTTTGCTGCCAGTGTTATCAATATTTTTACCGATTTCCTGGTGACTGCTTTGCCAATGCCTCTCATCTGGAGTCTGAAGCTGCCTGCCCGCCAACGCCTTGCCGTCATTTCCATTTTTGGACTTGGAATTATTGTCAACGTCGCGGGATCTTTCCGGACCTATTTTGTTTGGCAAGCGTGAGTCTCGTCTATATCGGCCGTTTTTAAGGTATCATCTTGCTAACTTTGAACAGATTTGTTGTCGGCTATGATACTACTTGGATGGGATGGCCTGTACTCATTTCAGCCGCCATTGAAATCAATCTAGGCTTGGTATGTAGCTCACCTTACCCCCATACTGTTTTTATCACAATGAGACTAACGTGTATATAGATCTGCTCCTCGGCCCCCGCTTTACGACCACTCATTGCAGCCGTGCTGCCTCGCCTCTTACAATCCACCCGCAACGTCGGCTACTCATACAACCAACGCAGCCGTTCACAAAAGCTCTGGAACTCTACCAGTCGCTCCCGCAACTCGCATATGGTTGTCGGACACGCTCTCGACTCACGTCAAGCCGATTACGAAAGTGACCGGTTCGAAATCATGCGAACTGTGGAGATGGAAAGCTGGACCGAGTCTAGACTCGCCCATCACAACAATATGGGCCACGCATATGATATTTCAACCGAGAACACTCGCACTGGTTCTCCAGACCATGGCATTGAATTGAAACAGACTGCTACGGTCTACTCATCGGCCGCCAGCGACAAATCGTCTGGCTCACTCCCACGGACGGCAGTCTCGCCGTTCGATGAACGATACCCTCGCTAATTATTTGCGATAATTATTGTATAAACATGCAGCTTTTATTTCCTTTTGTGTTTCTTTATGAGCCTGTTTCAGATCTCCGTGGGTAGACTTTAAAAGCTACTGTATTCTTTAGAAGATCGCGTTTAAGATGTAACGACTATGATACCTGTATGCATGCAAATCTCATAATTTTATAAAATTACTACTGCTATCTCACACTGGCAATATTCAAAATTCTCTATGAAAATGAGTGTCATCGTCGACTTTTGTCTAGGTAAGGGCCTACTAAAGACGAGACCGAGCTTCGGAGATTTATCCTGCACGATGACGCTTGCCCCTCCCTTGGTAGTACTAAATCTGACACAACAATTTCGATCGTGCAGCTTGCTATTGATGTAGTAGAAAGATGACTAACCAAATATATATTCAAGCTCACGAAAATTAATTACGATATGTTAAAACACCTAAAAAAGCAAGTTTGGTATGGAGATGCATGTCCCAATTGCAGCCCTGCATTTGTCTCCCAGCTCCGGAATCTCCATTTCTCTCCGAGTTTTCAAGCTGATAACTTGAAGCATGTTCTTTCTTACAAACACCCATGCGAATATTTGGCCGGCGCCAATATCCCGAAGAAACTTCAGAGATGCCGTGGAAAAAAAAAAGTCTGCGCCGTTGGACTTAATAAACGGCTCGAATATGAGCTTACTTTTCTTTTTCCCCCCTGTCATCAATGCTCATGGTCATATGCCAAACATTTTGATGGACAAATCTAAACGCTCCCATCTCTATTACCCGTGAATGGGACCGCCCGTGTGCGTCCTTTGATCAAAAGTGTGACACCAGAATCTGTCAAGGCAGGGGATTCGGTCAATATCACTACCGATGACCCTGTCGAACTCCAAGCTTCTATTACCCGCTACGTATCTGCGACACACTCCGTGAATATCGACCAACGAAGCATTATTGTTACCTGGACTCATTCTCAGGACGCTAGCAAGTATACATTCAAGATCCCTGAGAAAGCAGGCATCTCTCGGCCTGGATATTATATCCTGATCGTTCTAAAGGCATAGTATAGGACTCCAGGAATTTCAAGCAATATCAGAGTGGAGGTCTAAGTATCGGTGGACAATGGTCTTGCAGATATGAGAACTGTACTACTTATGAGCAGGAAATGTCGGATCTTCATCCTGGACCATGCCTTGTATAGGCATATCAATATTAGGATTAAAAGATAATATGATGGTGTGTTTCTCCAATAGCAAGCTCTGGCGCAAATAGCAGATGGATTAAACTGGAGCTGATTATACCATCCCCGTAGACTTCCTTGCTCAGGTATGCGAGGATGAAAGTAAGAGGAACTGGGCATTGACTCTGGCCTAGATCACTCTCGCCAATTGAATCATGGCTGGCTGCTGTATTCTAGTTGGTTTTATTTGCTTAGACATCGGCGCCGCACAAAAAATCGACCCGGCGGTCCGCACATCAACACACACACATCGACCTCGTTCAACGTAGTACAATTATGAGAGCAAGACAGGAGCATGAATAATGCAAAAAATGGACTCGCGGGGAATCGAACCCCGGACCACTCCCATGCTAAGGGAGTATTATACCACTAAACCACAAGCCCAGTTGTATGAAAGGGGTGAGATTTATGGTTAGTTGACCCTTCGGCTAATTATTGTGCGGACCCACCTTCCACCAGGATACCTAGAGGGAATGCGACTCCGACGGATTCAATTGCCATCGTATGAAACAAAATGGATATCATTCAAGATCATGGGGTCTCATGGTCGGTCTGGGGAACATTCGCATGTATTTTGTCTCCAATTGCTAGACTAACTTCAGGATTCGAACAAGTTGTAGGTGGTAGTAATTGATTGAATCGCTGTGCTGCCAGTTGATATAGCCAGCATTAGACGCATGATTTATATACTATTTCTACATCGGATGTTCGCATCTCCACAGCTAACTGACGTGACATTGAATTATTATAATTGAATATACCTGTACTACTAGCAGGGCAATTGCAATAGAGAATTTTCAATATTTCGCACTGTTGAATAATAATCAACCTATCCTACGTACTAGGAACTGGGATACCGATAACAACTTTAATGCCCAGGTGATCACCCTGCCAAGACCGAGCTTATCTGCGGTGACATCGGCGAGCCTGACAGGGATCCCTTGCGAAATCCATGCTGGGCTAGGGGGGCAAATGGGCACGTGAGTTGAAAATTGGAGCCAACATGGCCAGTTTAGGTAGCCGATGGGAGAAAATGGGGCTCACCCTGCCTCTCCCCAGGTCTTTGCTAAAGCTGTTACTAACATGAAAGGCGAAAAGGCGTAGAAAAGCGTAGACCTACTCCAAGCGGAAGGTGGGCCGCCCTCACCAAAGAAGGCTGGTCTCGGCGATTCCCAGCCCAATTCTTGTAATTTGATTGGTCCGCGCCGCCGAACGCCAATCAGCCATTGCATCGCATATCAACGCGGGGAAGAGCTGCTTGGAAAGCTCCCAGAATCTCCGAGACGTCCTTGATCTATAAATCTTGAATGCCCCGCGTTCAATCTTTTTTTTCTCCCCATACACCTCGATAATTCACACAATGGCCTCTATCCTCCGTTGCAGCCCCAAGCTGCGCACCGTGGCCCGCGTGCCCGCTGCCCGTGCCCTCTCCACCACTGCTCGCCTCCAAGCTGCTGAGAAGCCCTTCTTCCCCAATGAGCCTACTGCTCCTTCGCTCAAGACCGCTATTCCCGGCCCCAAGAACAAGGCCGCTGCGGCTGAGCTCGATGAGGTCTTCGATGTCCGCAGCTTGAACATGCTCACCGACTACCAGCAGTCCATTGGTAACTAGTATGATATACCTCCCCGCACAACCCCTCACCTACATTTCGAGGAGGAATTGAGTAACGAGCATTGGGCTAACCCTGATCCCAGCATCGCCGATCTCGATGGCAACAAGCTGCTTGATGTCTATGCCCAGATTGCCTCTATCCCCGTTGGTTACAACAACCCCCCACCTCAAGCAGGTTGCTCAGTCCGATGAGATGATCACCTCGTTGATCAACCGTCCTGCCCTGGGTAACTTCCCCTCTGCCGACTGGTCCCAGATCCTGCGCACCGGTATCCTCAAGGCTGCTCCCAAGGGCCTGAACCAGGTCTTCACCGCCATGGCTGGTTCTGATGCCAACGAGACTGCCTACAAGGCTGCTTTCATGTACTACCGCCAGCTCCAGCGTGGTGGCCCCGACGTCGAGTTCACCGAGGAGGAGCTTCTGTCCACCATGAACAACCAGGGTCCCGGTTCTCCCCAGCTCTCCATCCTGTCCTTCAAGTCTGCCTTCCATGGCCGTCTCTTCGGATCCCTCTCCACCACCCGCTCCAAGGCCATCCACAAGCTGGATATCCCCGCCTTCGACTGGCCCCAGGCCACCTTCCCCACCCTGAAGTACCCTCTTGAGGAGCACGTCCAGGAGAACGCTGCCGAGGAGAAGCGTTGCCTCGAGGAGGTTGAGCGCCTCATCAAGGAGTACCACAACCCCGTCGCTGCCGTCATGGTTGAGCCCATCCAGTCCGAGGGTGGTGACAACCACGCCTCGCCCGCTTTCTTCCAGGGTCTGCGTGACATCACCAAGCGCACCAACGTTCTCTTCATTGTCGATGAGGTCCAGACTGGTGTCGGTGCCACCGGTAAGTTCTGGGCTCACGACCACTGGAACCTGTCCTCTCCCCCCGACATGGTCACCTTCTCCAAGAAGGCCCAGACTGCCGGCTACTACTTCGGCAACCCTGCCCTGCGCCCCAACAAGCCTTACCGTCAGTTCAACACCTGGATGGGTGACCCATCCCGTGCTCTGATCTTCCGCGGTATCATCGAGGAGGTTGAGCGTCTTGGCCTCGTCGAGAACACCCGTGTCACTGGTGACTACCTGTACGCTGGTCTCGACCGCCTGGCCCAGAAGTACCCCGCCCACTTCCAGAACCTGCGTGGTAAGGGCCAGGGTACCTTCATTGCCTGGGACACCCCCAAGCGTGATGAGTTCCTCGCCAAGGCCAAGTCCGTCGGTGTCAACATTGGTGGTAGCGGTGCCCAGGCTATTCGCCTGCGTCCCATGCTGGTCTTCCAGCAGCACCACGCTGATATCCTTCTGGAGAGCATTGAGAAGATCATCAAGCTCCTCTAAGTTCGAGCACTATCATGATACCACCAGGTAGCCCTGGGGCTACTTTTCTTTTCTAAAATTGGTTTAATGAGCGATTATCTATTTCCTTTTCTTTTTGTCTGATCTGTTGAGGATCCCGGGTTGGGAATCCTATTTCTCTTATCTACTTTTTTTTTCTTGTTGCTACGAGTGATGCCATCCAAAATCGGCGCTATACATTCATAGACATTTCAAACGCCTATTTGTCGATTGAATGAAACTTCCACACTTGAGATGTGGCAATTGAAACCAGAAAAAGACCTCCAACTTCCAAGTAAATCTTTTCTCTCTCTGAAACCCTGCATAGTAATCAAAACTCCTGCTTGATTAGGGTAATCCCGAATATTGAATGCTAAAATAGACAAAAATGCAATGCTTCCAACCGATAACTCCTGAAAGATCCACCTTGGTCACCGGCGATTCCGATTTCTAGCGATTTGCGTCCATGTCTGGTATAATGAGGTAGGATATGTGAGGTGACTGGCGTTGGCTACTGGTAGGCGGAGTCGCGGGGTGATTGCTGTTGGTAAAGTGAAGAATGACTGTTTCAAGCCTCCTCCTCACCAGTACTTCCGTCTCTCCTAAAAAAACAAGAGTGTTAGCATTGGTCTTAACAAGAATGGAATGCCACGTACGGAACGTATTTAATTCCAGCGTCCTCCAAGCTACCAATGATGTAATCGGGAAGCTGTAAATAGCCGAGATAGTTAGCAAGAAAGCTCCTGACTAGAAAATGCAGCAGGCTAGAAAGAAATCCCTACCGATCCTGTCACTTTCGTGGCGTATGTCCCCGGAACGTAGTTATCCAACCGTTGCCAGCGCGCAACCCAGCTGGCGGACGGGTCGCGCACAGCGATCAAGCCCTCGAAGACCTGCGAGGTACATTCTTGAATAGCGTCGGTATTTCCGCGGAGCTGAAGGGTATTCTCGCAATTGGGGCAGCCGTCACGCATGAATTTCTAGCAAGCCGGTCGTTAGCACTGGGAATGACGGGGTCGGGGAGAGTTGGAGAGGCACTCACGGTGTGTGCCTGGACGACAGAGCAGACCATGCAGGCGCGCAATGAGCGCTGCTGGTTCGAAGGAGCAAAGAATGACATTTCGGGAGGAGTGATGTGACGTGGGAGTGTGAAGGCAGGATTGGAGGTTGAAAGGGAACTGGAACGGGGCCGATGGTTCTGACGGGTTCTACGTGCCAAGCCCGCTGGCCGGGGAAAAAAAGAGTGTGAGAGGAATCAAAGTCAACTTTTTGCCCTGGCCCCTTTCACTGTCACAGGACTCGAGCTTCCTGACTTTCTTTAACTCTTCTTCTCACTTATTCGACCGAAAAACCGTTCCTCCAGCGATTCTTCTCCCTCTTAGATCCTCCCTTCCTCTTCGCAAACCTTCCCCGATCGGTTGTCTCGTGCCCCTCTTTCCCTCCGCAATGGCTTCCGACAAAGAGGCTGCCAACGCGCTCAAGCTGCAAGGCAACAAGGCTGTTGTGGCCCACGACTGGCCTACTGCCTTGGACTTCTACACCCAAGCCATTGAGAAGTACGACAAGGAACCGGCCATCTTCTGCAACCGTGCCCAGGTACGCCCGAATCTGTCTCCCCTTCGTAGCGAATCGCATTCGCAAGTCCGGAGCACCACCGCTAACACTGCTTTGCTTCTTTTTCTTGGCAGGCTCAAATCAAACTTGAAGCTTTTGGATTCGCCATTGCCGATGCTACCAGAGCTTTGGAATTGGACCCGAACTACGTCAAGGTTAGTGGCCGTTACAAAGATAGCCCTATCGTTCATGGGCAGGAACCCGACATAATGAATCGCGGAGTTAAAGGCGTGTGCTTCTTTCTTTCTTTTTTTGCTAACGTCTGATATCTGTCCCAGGCTTATTGGAGACGTGCCCTCGCCAACACTGCCACTTTGAACTATAAGGCTGCTTTGAAGGATTTCAAGGCCGTCGTTAAACGTGAACCTAATAACCAAAATGCGAAGCTGAAGCAAGCAGACTGCGAGAAACTCGTCCGCCGCTTGGAATTCGAGAAGGCTATTGAAGTTTCCGACCCGCCTTCCGCGTTTGAGGGCCTGGATATCGATGCGATCAACGTTGAGGATGCTTATGATGGTGTGCGGTTGGGCGAGGAGATGACCCAGGAGTTTATTGATGATATGATCGAGCGCTTCAAGAACGGCCAGAAGATCCACCGCAAATACGTCTTCCAGATTATCAAGGCTGTCAAGGAGCTGGTTTACAACGAGCCGACCATGGTCGAGGTTGGCGTCGAAGCTGGCAAGAAGTTGACCGTCTGTGGTGATACCCACGGCCAATACTTCGATCTGCTGGAGATCTTCCGCCGAAACGGTGCCCCCTCCGATACCCACGCTTACCTCTTCAACGGTGATTTCGTTGACCGTGGTTCATGGTCTTGCGAGATTGCCCTGCTTCTCTATGCATACAAGTGGCTGCGTCCCAACGGCCTGTTCCTGAACCGCGGAAACCACGAGACCGACGATATGAACAAGGTTTATGGATTCGAGGGTGAGTGCAAGGCTAAGTATAACGAACGAGTGTTCAAGGTCTTCTCCGAGTCCTTCTCCGCTCTGCCGCTCGCCACACTGATTGGCGAGAAGTATCTGGTCCTCCACGGTGGTCTCTTCTCCGATGACAAGATTACCCTTAATGATATTCGTAAACTTAACCGCCACAACCAACGGCAACCCGGTCAACAGGGTCTGATGATGGAGATGCTCTGGACCGACCCGCAGACCCAGCCTGGCCGCGGACCCAGCAAACGTGGTGTCGGCCTGCAATTCGGCCCCGACATCACCAAGCGCTTCTGTGAGAATAACGGTCTGGAGGCTATCATCCGTTCGCACGAGGTGCGCATGGAGGGCTACGAAGTCGAGCACGACGGCCGCTGTATCACCGTCTTCTCTGCGCCCAGATACTGCGACTCAACGGAGAACAAGGGTGCTTATATTAACATCGGACCCGAGCTCAAGCTTGCGTATGAGGTGTTCGAGGCGGTGCCGCACCCGGACATCAAGCCGATGGTAAGTCCATATATTGCCCGATACCTGCGACTTTGAACAAGAGCTAATAAACATAACAGGCTTATGCGCAGAACTCGATTCTGTCGCAAATGTGATGAAATCAATGATTTGCAAGCGTGGGCGTTGTTTTTCAAAAGAGCTAGAAGTCATATGCATGAATATACGAAGAGAAGAATTCGATGCCCAGAGCCTCATCCCAGTTGTTTGTTTTTATCTTTCTGTGTGGCGGCACACGTCTGACTTTGTAGATGTTGAATGCTAGCAGATAGGATGACAAGATAAAGTGCCCAGGTGGTCTCAAGGGCTTAGTAAATCTTCTTTAGTTCATCGACCTAAATAGAAATTAGACCACTACTCACCAGCGCTAACTACCTAGGTACTAGTCTGATGATAGATCTCTCCCCCGTCAAGTGGCGTCCATCCCATGGTCTCTAGTACTATTCTCGGTCCGATATCCGGTGCCACGGGATGCCAGTGAAACGATCTGCTAGAAGCCAGACCCTCAAAAAGAAACCCTGGAAACTACTATGCTTTTGTTCAACTGCCGAGCGTTTGGCGATAGGATTGCGTTGAAGTGATCCATGGATCTGCGCACCGCATATGGATTTTCTAGCGGCAATCTACTTGATGCTTATGCAGATGAGAATTATATTCGTAAAAAAAAACAAAAAAATGATGTCCAAGATGAGGAAGATATACTAAGATGCTGTTAGACTCTGGATAAAGTGGGTTTCTATAGTTGGTAAGTTCTGTGTACTAGTACTAGTAGCTGATTGAGATACTGGCGTGTTCCTAGAATTGTGACAACCCGGGGACCGAGGAATAATACGAAACAGGGTCAGATTGCACCACTCGAAGCTTGGAACTAGTACTGGAATAATATTAACCTTGGAACTGCAATAAAAAGCAAACTAAAACACAAGAGCCCAAAAAATGTTACTCCCACTCTGCATTCCAGATAGACTCAGCAAACCTCTCCAAATCTGCTTTTAAGAATCTGAGATCCTTTTCGGCTCTTCCAGTATCTATCGGTCGTAACATTAGGCTGTCGAAGGGGATCCAAAAGGGGTAATCCCCAGACACTATTGGGCGGCCCTTTGTCGTCATCCGCGCGTATATAACCTGATTGCGATAGATTCGTGTGCGGTTGTTGTTGTTGTTGCCTGCTTCTTGTCGTATCCCACTTTCCATCCGGATCTCGTTATTTTCGCGATCGACTCGAAATGTTAGACACATTTTGACATTCTCCTCGTTGGGACTCAACCAATATCGAACATCCAAATTAAGTTTCTCATGATTCTCAGTATACATTACTTCAATTACAGTCGAGGGCATTTTGGGCTCAGCGGGACCAGATTGACGGGGTGTCCTTTTAGGACACCAACCGTAGTCGGGCTGCTTGCCTCTGGTGCTGGTTGTGCCTATGATTGTAGCGCCAGGAAAACCTTGAAGGGCATTGTAAAGCCTCATTGGTATAAGCTTCTCTCTTATCAGACAATTGATCTCGTCGGCGGCGGCAGCGTGAGTTCGGGATGTGATATTCATAAGTAATAATCCCTCAATAGTATCGAAGGATGAAATGAATGTGGGGATATCAATAGTTGATTAGGGATTGACAATAGTCTCGATAGACTTTTTTCCAGAATAAAGAAGAAATTGTCGGTTGCGTTCGAGGTTTCTGAGTAAATGATATCAAAAAATTGAAGTTCTCCATCGTAAGCATATGTGTTTGTGAATGGAAGTAGATCCTTTAGGAAACTGCGATCAAGAATATCCAGTTCGCAGACATAGTGATCACCGCTGGCATCAAACTGGTGGTTCGACCTAATCATCCTCAAAATAGTACTGATAATGTTATTGAGACTTCAGGGTGTAAATATTCAAATAGATTCGAGAAATCATAGACCGGGCGATATCTAGCCCGTTACATGTAAGCAGGTCATCCCTCATACTGACGACATTGGTCATCATTCTTAAAAGGAGTAAAATAGAAACCGAAATCTAGGAAGTAGCAGAAGAAACCCAGAAGGTAAACAATTGGGTCAAACTTGAAGTTTATTTATGCCTTATACATAGAGTACCCCGTAGTCCAAGCATGAGCATTTACAGAGTACGGAGTAGTGTTAGCAATGATCTTCTACCTGCGCTGTCGGACCGCATCGTGTATTGTGTGCTTCCAATTATTGAGATCCTGCCCATGAAATTTGGCTTATTAGACATCTACCTGTCCATTCGGACGTACCCGACAGACTCTGACTCCCCACTGTGCAGTCTCTGCGAACACGGCGTTCTGTCGTTGGCGGGCGTGTTGTTCCCATTGGCGGGAGCGAAAAGGTTTGAAGGGCCTGGGCTGGGATCCGTTGCGTTGGCGTTTGTACCGGTTCCAATCAGCCTCTGCCAGGTACCCCGTACGGACAGCGCATTCGTCGGAAAATACGATGGAGGTGGAGAAGGGGAAAAGGGGCGTAAGCTGGAACCTGCGGGACCATCCGAAGTATACCCATCATGTCCAGAAAGAAGGTTTCACAACGCAGTATGGCAGTACTCCGTCCACTACAGACAGTAGCATTCTTACTGCTGTACATGCATAACCCAAGATTTATAGTCCCCAATGGAATATGTATGTACTATACCATGTCCTTGCCAATCGGAGAAAATCGAGTCTATAATTAACTTCTACCCCCTACGTGGCAGTGCTCGATGGTGGTACCCTAAAAAGCTCCACTTATGACAGCGCGCGTCAGGTCTAGATCGTGATGAAACCGCCACCCTTTCTGCAAGCCCTTTGTTTCAGAAATTCTCCCTTTCCTTTTTTTTCCTCTCCGCGTTTTCGTTCTTTCTCCTGATATCATCTCCTTGTCTTTCGCTTCTTGTCCATCATTTGATTTTTGGATCCGCTTCTTCAACACCTTCGCTTTTGCAATATACTTTCGTTTTAAACCAACTCACCCTCGAGAACCCTCGCTTTTTCTTTCTCCTTTACTATTTTCTTTCCGTTTTGCTATATTCAAGATGACCGACGGGCATTCTGCACCAGCCCCAGACGCAGCCCCCGCAACAGCGGGCGATCACACCGCTGCCCCTGTACCAGCCGATGTACGAGCCCATGGTGACCACCATACACAAAGCCAGCCTCATGGCCTGAAGGAGCAGGACTCCGCTGAAAGGCTCACCCCACGACCGACATTCATGGAGCACCTGGCGACCTCACGCGATAGTCAATTTCACCTGGACCGACAGGACTCGAGCGAGTTGGACCGTTACTTTGTATGTAGACCTATAACCCGTTGGAATTGGAGCGAGTCTTGCTTACCTGTGCTAATGGGTTCCAGCACGGTCCCCGCGACATGGACAAACACTCCAAATGGCCGATCTTTTTGCGTATGCATGGAAGTGTCACCCCGAAGATGATTCTACCCATGTTGTGGGTGGCAGGCTGGTCAACTGCCGTCACTTTAATTTCGGCAAAAGTCCATGACTGTGAGTTCAAGTTCTCCCCTCAGAAATATAACCAAGCCGCAAAAGCCTAATCTCGGTACCTGCGTCTTACAGTAAGCATTAGCAATATCTTACTCACCGTGCTGGGTTTCGTGGTGGGTTTGGCATTGTCATTCCGCAGTTCTACTGCCTATGAAAGGTAGGAAACCCCTCTTCTATTCTCCCGGATGTTCGAAGAATTAACGCTAGTCTAGATGGGCCGATGGACGCAAGTACTGGTCCCAGCTTATACAAACCTCGCGTAACCTTGCCCGTACCATCTGGATCAACACTGGCGAGCGCGAAGGTGATTTGGGCAAGGAGGATCTCTTGAGAAAAATGTAGGTGATCCGAAAAATCATGATGGAAATTCGACTAACAAAATTTATTAAGCTCCGCCATGAATCTCATTCTTTCCTTCGCCGTCGCTTTGAAACATAAGCTCCGCTTCGAGCCCGATATCGCTTATGAGGACCTGGCCGGGCTTGCTGGCCACCTTGACACATTCGCTCGCGATGCTCACGACCGCAATATTATCAATCCCAAAGCTAAAACTCTGTGGAAATCTGCAGGAGAGTATCTGGGCGTTTCATTTGCCGAGTCTAACCCTCGCAAATTGATCAAGCGTTCCAAAAAGCCCATTGGACACCTTCCCCTGGAGATCCTTAACCACCTGTCTGCTTATGTCGACTCTATTGTGGCAAATGGAACACTGGTGTCTACTCTGCACCAGGGTCAAGCGAGTAAGAAAAAGAAAAACACCGACCCTATTTATAAACCTGGACAGAATGCTAACCAAATGACAGTCACCATGCTGGCCGTATTCAACGAAGTTCTTACCGGCACGGAGCGAGTGCTCGACACCCCACTGCCCACCGCGTACAGTATCGCAATTGCACAGATCTCCTGGATTTACGTCCTAGTTCTCCCTTTCCAGCTCTACGCATCCCTTCGTTGGGTAACCATCCCAGCCTCCATGGTCGCCGCATACATCATCCTCGGTTTGGCAACTATTGGAAGCGAAATCGAGAACCCCTTCGGTCAAGATGTCAACGATCTTCCTCTGGAAGTATACTGCCGACAGATTGCCCTTGAACTGGATGTCATCACTGCTACTCCCCGGCCCAATGTGGAAGACTTCATGACGCGCGCCGACAACTTGGTTCTCTTCCCGCTTAGCCAGAATGGCTACGACGAGTGGAAGGACCGATCTGTCGAAGATATTCGCGGAGCGCTCCGGGCAAAGGTCGTCGCTAGCCCGACTGCCCTTGGCTCGGATGCCTCGACTGTTGTGGCTAGCATCTCCACCCAGCCCAAACAGTCTGTTTGACCGAACCATGAAAAGACCTAACCCGGTCGAATTGTATAAACCACATTGAACTATATGGAGGAGGACAGATAGACAGTCAGACGGGGGAGCTTGAAGTTGTGCATTGATCCAGCGGAACCAAATTGATCTTGGGAACTTAAGTTCACCAGCGAGAGAGTTACGGCGTTTCACCAGGGCAGCAGTGGTACCTCACGATGTCCAGAAAAATTTTGATATTTTTGCTATTAGACTGATATTATTGGAATTTGCATCGACTTGTGTCATCAATCATTTAATTTTCCTGATAATCCGCATAGCGTTAGTCTGAGATGCAGGCTGGGGCTATCCCTTGGCTTTCAACCATGGTAAGATCGAGAAATATCGCGAATAGTCGACAAGGGATTCATTCACATGCACGACAATCTTTTAGACATCTGGATTGGCGTAGTACATATCGACGAATGGGTCTTCATTGGTCCCGAGTCCTAAATAGGAGTGTATCACCAAGTGCGCCATCAACAAAGTGACAGAATACGCACACTGGGAGCGGGACTTTCCTGTGAGACCAGGTCTAACCCTTGGGCAGGGGGTGGACTCGAGGAGTGAGTAATTTCCGATGTCGCGCCCTCAGATGTAGTGAGAAGAAGAGCCAGACGGACATGCCTGGCTCACGGAACGAACAAGTCAGCCCCAGATCCCGAAACCAGGGCACCCAGGTAGTTTCCCTTTGCACAAACTCTCCACGCGACATTAGCACCGCTGCCGCTTCCACCTCCGCCAATCCATGAGCTGAGCGCTGCCACGACGGCCGCTGAGTCTTCGCGTGGTACGCGTACCCAGGCGCAGTCGTATTTATTTCCAGTGGTGTTGGATGATATGCTTTGATCGGCACTGGTTGTTGTCGCTTTGTTCTCAACCTTTAGGATATCGATTGGAATCGCGGTGCCTGTGATTCCGAGGAATTGCGATAGGGCGGATGAGAGATAGGTGCGTGCGGAAAGAGCATCGAGGGGCTGTGTGGAGGAGACATCTGGCTGTGGAATACTGATTGTGTAGTGTTAGTCAATTGAGCTTTTTGGAGAAGTAGCTCGTAGGCGTTGCTTACAGTTGAAGCTTGAGGTAGGTCCAGGGTGGATTGCGCGAGGTGAAGTGGATGGTGTTTGAGCTTGCTCCCTCCGCTTTTCGCTTCAGCGGCGCGGAAGAAGAAGTCTCTGTCGCCACCTCCATGGATTGGTTGGATGTCATTCTCTTGACTGGTCGAGTGTTAAGGTGCGCAAACTGCAGGCCGAGTGCTATCGCCGCGGCAGAAAAGTGGATTTGGATTTGGATGTCACGGGATTCCCGCAGCCAACGGAGACGTGAAGTAACTATAAGTGATGCGTTATCTCGAATTTGACTTCCTCACAGAATCAATGAGTTTTTCTGTTGCTTGCTTCATGAAGGCCTCCTCCGAGCCTTGTTTAATCTCCAGTTCTGTAATGGATAGCGTTTTCTCTCTTGCTTTTGCCCCACGGGTCACCATAACATTGGATTTTGGCACTTGGAACACCTTTTTATCACAACCACGAACATGTAAGTTGAAAAGATACATCTGGTCAATGATATTATTTTTTGGATTATTTGGCATACCTCAGCCATGATCTCTGAGACAGCAGTATTGGCAGCATTCTCGCGTGGAGCTACTGCCACGGAGACATCAACCCGATCCGTTCCCACCCTTGTCACACCTGCGCGGTTTGCGGCGGCATTGGGTTTGACGTAGCAGCAAATGTGGAGATCGTATAGTCCAAGTGAAGCTTTAGATTTATGGGCAATTAAGCGAAGCATTGCCGGTCGGTTCATGATTGATGAGAAGGAAACTGCAAAAGAGGGTCGATACGGGAGAAGTCCTCTAAATAGCCGAAGTACCTCCCGCACCTTGAACCCTGACAATCCCCTCAAAGTACCCCCGCATGCACTATCTAAATTAGAACCTTTATTTCATCTTGGAATACGATTCGGCAAGATATTTGCCATGTTTATCAAATAATTATCATCGAAATCAATAGATTATCAAATCAGCACCTCGGATTATCAAAGGAACGACATAGTATCTCCATTATAGCCCATCAGTATGGTGAAAAACGATAGGTACCCAACGCGAAGGCTCGCCGAGGAGGAGACTCCCCCCCGCTGAAGAAGCTTCTGGCCTGAGACAACTCCATGGAAGTTTTTCTGGACACTTTCGAAGCGCATGAATTGACACGATTCGCTCTCAAGGTGTCCGAACAAGGCCGCCAATGAGACGAATTCTCTACTGCATTCCAGGCGATTAGGACAGTGATACACCTTCTGCTGGTGAATCAAAGAGTTCAAATGTTGGACTAGGCCCGTCGAGTTCGAAAATTGCTTGTGGCATATGTAACACTCCCATGAGGATCCATTCCAGGCATTGTCGCTGACAGTATATGTACCTCTTGCTTCGTTATGCCATTCAATTTGTTTATTCGCGATGGACCCTGCGGTATCGTGGCGTCGAACAATTGAGAGAATGGTGTCGCGGTTCAATTTGGGAGCTTTTGGGCATGAGCCAGATTCCAAGTGTGTGCAAGCACCGCTGGCTGTGCCGTAACTTGTCCTACAGAATGGACATTCTATAGATTTGCCACGATGGATTTTTGAATTCAAGTGCTGTTTCAATTTTATTTTGATGACTCCTTTTGGTCTTTTCGGTGTTTTGGGGAGGGGGGTTCAAGGACATACCATTCGCAAATTGTTAGAATTTATGAAGAATTGACGACATTCCACGCAGTACCTGTCCGAATGGTCTAGTGCCATATGGTGATTTCTACCGGCCTCCGAATCAAAAGTACCAGTACAGCTGATGCAGGAAAATCTAGGCTTCCAATGATTCAACGTGTTCATATGCTGGCTCGCGGCTCTTTGTGTAGAGAACTCGCGGGTACATGTTTCACATTCAAACGTTGGGGCCCAGTGATCAAGGGCATTCATGTGTTGGTTCGCCGCATGCTGACTATTGAACTCTCGATTACAGCTCTCGCATTCAATTATAAAAGCCATATGGTGATTTTCTTGGGAACGATCGGCTGTAGGTATGACAATCAATGACGGAGAATGGCCTCAGAGTACTATGCCTTTATAAGGGGGACCGCACCCACGCCCCGCATGGAGCACCTGGGCACTTCAACGCCCTTGGGCGCCTCTGCTGCGGCCTTCCACAAATGCACGTCAGAGTGTTTGCCTGACGCAAGGTGAGCGGGGACGTCGGCCGGCAGCACAGCCAGAGCGTTCTTCCCATTGCACACCTGGGCAGGCTTTGTCAGTCTAGATCCATCTGACTCAGATTAATTCATGGTCATTCCATATTCCATTTCCATCCATTCTCCGAGTCATCTCGTACTTCCCATGTTCATGACGAGTCCAAGAGAACCATATATGATAGATCATATTTGATGGATCATAATAATATTGATGTTTAGGTTTCACATTTTTAGGTTCTAGTTTCCACGATTTATACTCCGTAGTTGAGAGGGGATGGAAGTCGTAGAAATTTTGGAGTAGAGCGAAGAAGGAATGGAATGTATTCCTGTAGCTACTGGGCTGCCTACCTAGGTTAGATTGAAAAAATAACCCGACTAAGAACCATAACAGCACCAAGAAACCAGAAAAAACGATGCTTTGACCAAAGCACTTGAGCTCACACATCCTTCGATATTTCCTTGTCAGTAGTGACCTCGTGGATCTCAGATGATTCCTGGATATCAACAGGCTGAGCCATAGTTGTCTCGCCACCATACCGGTACAGCGAAGGGCATACGAGATTCTTGCGTCGGAGGATGTAAGTCCTGATCCACCAGGGGAGAACTTGGGTCAGTTGGTATTTGGCATGAGTTCGAGTGGGAACGCCAAAAACATAATCCAGCTCCTCCAGAGAGCGTTGTTTCGTCTCCGGCATGAACAAGAAGATCAATACCAGCGCTATAATATTCAAACCGGCATAGAAGCCAAATGCTCCCTGGGGGGTCAATGCTCGTAGCATGTAAGGAAATGTCAACGATAATGCTGCGGCCCAGAAATTGTTGGTGGCCACTGCCCAAGCCATGCCTATCTCACGGTGTGAAAGAGGGAATACCTCGGCGGAGTAGGTAAACGGGACGGGCCCCTCTCCCGGGGAATAAAATCCATCGAAAAGGTAGATGAAAAATGCAATCATCCCCAGGTGGGCATTACTGCTACTAGGAATCCAGTAGCAGAAACCCGCAGCAAGTAACGTCCAGCACATGTTTGGAAAAGTGAAGAGCAGGAGGCCACGTCTGCCGAAGGTATCAATTGTCCACACTGCGGGCCATGCGAAAATGAAGTTGATAAGACCAAATCCCCAAGAAGCGAGAAGTGCATGAATATTGTTTGCTCCGGCAAGACTGAAAATGGTTGAAGAATAGAAGGAAATAATGTTGACTAACATTAACGTAGGTCAGATCGGTGAGGCTAGATTAGAGAGAATATTTGTTATACTTACTTCCGCACATTTGCTGAGCGATCATGACAATCCCAGATGCTTGAGTGGCACGGCGCAGCCGGGGAACCGTGAAGAGCTCCATAAATCGAATAAACATATTATTCTGCTTCGAAAAGCCTGATTGTTCCAGCATTTCCTTCTCAGTCTGAAGTGTCGCATGTATCATGTAGAGATCCCGAGCAGCTTGAACAGGGCTGTTTCGAAGGCGAAGTAGAGAAGCATAGGCCTGACTATGGCGTCCCTTGGTCATCAACCAACGAGGGGATTCGGGACACCACCAGATCCCAAGAATAAGTGGCACCGCGGGAATAAAAGCAGACCCGAGCTGCAGCCGCCACGAGATATCCCCGGTATTTGCAACAATCAAATTTGCACATGTACCAAGGAAGATACCGAAGGCAGTCCAGAGTTGCCACGACATGCATAATCCGCCTCGAATACTGGTCGGCGCATTCTCTGCAGAATAAACGGGGACCGTGACTTCCTTGAGCCCCATTCCAATACCAAGAAGCACTCGACAAGCTACAAGTTGACCCCAGTGCTGTGTAAACGCGGATCCGATGGGAGCACATAAGCTGAAAACCGCTGCAATGAAGATGGTGCCTTTGCGACCGATTAAGTGATTGAGGGGATCAGATAACCAGCCAGCACTAATACCAAGAAGGTTAGCCAATATTATCATAAAAGCGGATTGGAATTTCTCACAATAATGCAATAGTGATGTAGGGCGTAGCATTGATAAACCCGACGATCCATTGGTTGCGGTCACAGGTCGCTTTATCAGGACAGTATGGGCTATCGTTTGGAATACCGAAAACACGATCAAAGGTCAAGTTTGCACCGTTGGAGCCTAAATCATTATTAGCAAGTCCCGCGGAATTGATTCAATTTTGGTAAATTATGTACCAGTCTGATCCCACCCTTGAATTGCCGCAGCAATTGAATTCAGGACAATGGTGTAGTATAGGGCCCACGGGTGTTTCCAACGGCGAGTGACTTCTTGACGGATAAAGACACGGTCTTCTTCGGTGAGCTCAGGGATCGAGTCAATTTCTGTCGGATTTTGACCTGCGAGGGCACCCTTCTGGAGTACCTCGGTGAGAGCAGTCAGGTCATGTTGTGCTGCATAGTTCTTGACATCGTCCATCAACTGCGCGCGAGTCAACCCCTCAAGAGGATTCTTGATCCTGCGACTATTAAAATTTGCTCGAAATCCAATAAGGCGGTTGTAACTTACTCTCCTGTAAGGTTGTTGGTCATACTGGATAGACAACTATGTCAGTAGATCCCTATACTAAGTCACAAAATGCTTGTCACTTACCCACCGAGGGCATCCTTGGTGGCCTGAGACGTCATACTAGCTGATCGAGTACCTTGCAATAGACTGGATCAGAAGTAGCGTCGGAGATCGAAGAGAGTTTCGGTGGGTTGTGTTGTAGATGTGAAGAAAAGTAGAGTGAAAAGAGGCGGGGGAAAAGAAGGAAAGAGGCTGAGCACTGAGAACTTGAAGGGAGGACTACAAACCAGTCAGAAACCTTGGAAAATAAGCGGTATATTCCACCAACCGATGGCCGTTTGTTTCTGTCCAGGTGCGTCAGAAGGTGCCTTGAGGGTACTACTGTTGATTAGTAGATACTCGGCAGATTCCCCAGACGCGGGTTGAAATTACCGAGGACAGACCGTGCTGGCCATTCACATAAATCATGGAATGTAAGACTTGCATAAGAATATCAACTTTGGTGGCCTGAGAGCAGTGACCTCGACAACACCAACTAGGCAACTATCAGACATGCTAGGGTTTCCATTTCCCAGACGGACTTTCGGGAGCAGAATTCAGCGCGGTGGCTGTTTCGCTAGTATTCAGCTACTGCAGTCAGCAATAAAATAAGACAGGTCAATTGACCAGGGTACATTGCGCCACTCATAAAGGGTCTATACAAAAAAGACGGAAGACGAACTTACAGGACTATGCCCCGCAAAAGGATCATCTGACGGTCTTAGCGCGTGGCTTAAATTATAGCCAATTTAGAGAAGCGGGGAACATGAAACCAATCAAAACACTGAGATGTATTGAATAAGATATTGCCCAGCCTCTTAGAAAACAGGGGCGCCTGTTGGTGGCTTCGACACTGCATCGATATGCGTTTGGGGCTGGCGAATAATACGAGATACCGACACAAGAATCCAATGAGCATAGCCAAAAGAGTCCCCAAATGACGATGTACTATGCTTAATGGCCAAAAAAAAGCTTACTCAGGCCGGAGGTTTAATACTTTGGGGTCTTAGCTACACCGAGGTTTGAGAATGCACACGTGGATCGTATGAAACTGACCCTGTCCAACAAAACGAAAGTTTCCCTGTCCGAGAAACTAATTCAAGAAATTAATTGCAATACAACGAGGTTTTAGGGGAAATAATCTTTTCGAAAGGTGAATACTACTAGTAATTACAGCTGACGATATTGTGCTTGAATTTAGTCTGCTTCTGCTAGTAGAAGCTGTGACGCCCATGCAATATAAGCACTATTTCAGGCTAAGTTCACGTTTGCAGAGTAATCACCGAGAGAAAAAAAAGATGAAGAATTTATGAATAGGTACTTCTATAGAATGCAAATTAATGCTACAGACGCTGCGATCATTCTAATACAATGAGATTCAGATGCTGCCGCCCGCGTATGGTACTCTCAACAAGAATTTCTGGTGGGACGTTGCCAAGAAGAGCCTTTGCTAGAGCAAAAAGGCGGGTCTACAAATTCCTTATACTGCTAATGCTCCGGCGGACAAAGCAAAGATGAGGGATTTGGCATTACTCTATAACCGGACAATACTGTTCATCATGGGACTGGAACTTAGGAAAGTAATTCTGACCTGCCAAGAACTCTTGAGAATGTTCAATTGCCCGGTTGACTTTGAAAAGAGCACTGTCCTCTGACCTAAGTCCTTGGATCTTCACTGTAGATATTATTCTATTGTTTCTAATGCACTAGTAGAGTAGTATGCTATCCAAGCTGGAAAAGCCAGCGGCCACGCCACCTTCATTGACCTCCTTTCCTTTGGTTCTCAACAACCAACCTCCTTGGTCGTTGTGTAGGACCTTGCCGTTTGTTTCCCAGAGAATAGTGCCATAAACACCGAGCTCAGAAATGACATTGCCACGGAGAACTTCTCCATCATTCCGCAGAGCGATATTCTCAGCGTCGGGGGCGGGATCGATTATTTCCATCAAAACCCAGCCCTTCCAGTCCTTCTCGGGAATGGAACGCAAGAAATTGGGAATTTCGGCCTTGTAGATATTATTTCCACCGCCCTCGCGCTGAGGCTTGAGGACATGCTTCATAGCCGTCTCAGGATTGAGGGCGAGTTTGCGCCCCTGGCCATCAGCAGATAGGTCGTACTGAGGGGCAAATGTTTGTCGCAATCTCGAAATTATGGCAGGGTCGATACCATCCATAAAGCTAATGAGGTGGTCTGGTCCTGTAGGCTCAGCAAGGACTTGTTGAACCTTCTTGCAACCAGACAGTTGATTCAACACCGTTGGGCACTTAATCGCAGCAGAGCGCTCTAAGTGAGTGCGCGCTTCCCAATCCCGGCTGGATTTGTATTCATCTGGTGCGTAGTAGGCTCGGAGATAGACCGTCGTGACTTCAAATGCAGTTTCTGGCGAGTGTGGGGGTCGATAGATTAATGGGCGAGAAGAATTGGAGCTCGGGATCAGTGTGTCATCAATGATTCTATTACTTGGTAGGCGGAAGACAGGGATCTTGTGGACCTGCGTGAGGTGTTTGGAGAGCGCCAGCTGGTCAAAGATGTTTCGTTCCCCCTCTTGGACCACAAAGAGAACACACAAAGGAAGCGCCGGTGTTGACTTCGACGAGCCGTAAGCTGTATGAGCAGCGGCCAGTCCTCCCGAGAGGGTTTCCACAGCGGTGTTTTCCGGTGGTATGTTGGAATCGAACAGAGGATGAGGCGGGTAACTTATTGGAGAACCCGGTGGGGAAGTAAGAAGCTCCGCATGCAACGACCTCACCAAGGCAGACAATCCCCCAAAGGAAGAAGAGATCGTGTTGAACTCGACCTGCTTCAGAGACGGCGGGCCTTGGGGAGTGACATGTGCCATGTAATCGGATCGGAAGAGGCCCAAGGAAAGATTTTGGACATATCCCTCCTTCTTCACCTCCAGGTGTGTTTTCCAAAGATTTGCGACGAAGTCGTCTGCATCAACGAGACTGAGTCATAGAAGATCAGGTCAGCAAGAGTGTACACCAAGGACTTCTTGTATTCTTACTCTTCAATGATCTTCCCTAGCCACTCCTCGTTGCAAGTGATCGCCGCATAGAGCTGGTTATAGATTGTTTGGAGAGCCGTCGCCTCTTCAAAGCAGGCGGCTGGAAATGGACTTGGGAAAATGGTCACTGGAGCATTTGTAGCCAGGACGCGGTTATCATCTGCGCCAGCTGGGAGTGCAGTTAGGGCGGGTCGCACAGCGAGGCCATTCTGGATCGCCCAGTTTTTAATCGTGGTGACGAGGTATTCTTGTTGGACTGGCGATAGGTTGGGAGGATATGTAGAATAGATTGAGCCTCCCATGATGCTGGAAAAGCTTTAGGAAGCTTTCGACGGGGCTATTAGAATAGGTACAAGCTCTGGATGGTATAGAAATAAAAAGGAAAAAAAATTGGAAACGGCGAAATAGAATCGAATTGCGAATAAGCCCACTTCCGCGAGCTCCCCGCGATGACAAATGCAGATGGAGGGGGAATTCACCCGGTCTACACCGCCCACACTGCCTACACCGCCCTGTCGATCACAAATATTCTGCCGGGTGAATCAGGAGCTCTCATGCGTCGTCGGCGTTTGCCTTTGCGTTTGCAGCATTCAACTTTCCTGGGGAATGCATACCTTTTTGACTCGCATGTGCTCCCCCAACCCTCTTTTAATCGATGCCAAAATCATTCCACTTTGCTGGCTACCAAATTCTCTCCCTCTTACTCGATTCCCATTCTCATATCGGATCTCCATTAGTGCTTCTACACTAAGCTCAAGCTTGCATCCTTATCGGGGGCCAGCAACTGGTGAGGATAACCTTGAGCAGTTTTCTCGAGCTAGGAACCTCCGGCTAATTTATTCTCCAGGCCCCCCCCAAGAAACAACCATGGAGTTTCATGATTCAGATCCCGTTGACTGGGATGTTGAGGGAGTAGTTAAATTCCTTTGCGATCCCGAGTCTCGTCCTTGGGCCGAGGGCTCCAACATCCCGTTCCCAAAACCAGCGGACCTAGCTGCAGCACTTCATGAAAACTTTATCACTGGAGAGGTCCTGCTAGAGGAAGTTGACAGGCTATCTCTCAAAGACGACCTCGGAATCAAGGCCTTAGGTCATCGATCCGGCATCATGAAGGCGATTGAGTGGCTGCGAATCCGATCTACGAAGTACCAAGCCAAGACTCGTCCATCTTCATTACAAGATTTTCTCTCCCCGCGATCTGCATTTTCACCTCAGATTCCGCATTCCAGACCTCTAGGCTCTATTGCTACTGCTCCTGCCTCGGAAGTTCCCCTTGTCAGCTCCTCTGGAGCTGGTGTGCGACCATCGATAACGCCACAAGGAAAACGCAGAATTGCTCCTCAATTGGTGCGTACATTTAAGAAAAGCAAAACGTCAAAGGAGAACCCACCGTCGCCTGGGGGTCATTTTGATTCGAACAATACCAATAAATCCGTTCCAGCTCACAATCATCCAACAACCCAACCTCCCCGGACGAGACAAGTCAATACAGCCGAAGACCAACCCCACTTCTCCCAGCAGGCAGCACCTAATCATAGTCCCCAGCCAGAGAGCATTGAACAGCCGGAGCATATTCACGAACAAGCCACCTCGAGAACTCCCACGGAAGAAGCATTCCTCAATAGTCTGCTTCAAAAATACCCACCGGAAGCTGATGACGCCGATTTGTTCCCTCTTTATGGTGATTCTGGATCCGAGGGCCAGTTTGACGAGGAAACTTGGGAGGAGATGCAGATCGAGGCCAAGGAATTACAAGAGAATACAAACCAACCTAATCCCGCCGAGAAGGCTAGCCTTTCCCGCGAGGAATGTATGGAATTAATTGCAAACCACATCGCACAGAAAGAAGACCTCTGGAAAGAAAAGCGCTTGCCAAAGGAACTTCCAAAAGCTCCAAAAATATGGGACCGGTCACACATGAATGGATCACTTGAGCAAGACAAAAGTGATCTCTCCAGAAGAATCTTTCTCTATCAGAAACGCTTAGAAAAACTGAAGGCTGGGCTCTTGGAAGTTGACTCCAAAGATCGGGCATTTTTCTTGCTGTCATGTGCCTCTCTTGACAACACCATTTCCGATATCTGCCTGGACAAATGGACACTCCAGATACTGGAGCTTGAGAATCGTCCTCCTCGCGTGGAACCGCCACCAAGAATCCCGAAGCCTCAAAAGGAGCCTTTGAATTTCAGAGATGATGAAAGCCTGGCCTCCGAAATGGATACAGACCTTGAAAGCTCTGTCGACGAGTCGGAATCTGATGAGTCTGAATCTGAAGAAGGAGAAAGTGATTTCATTGAGATCGATCTCGAGGATGATTCTGTGCATGACCAAGTAGACAAGCCTCACAAGGTATTACCGTTTACTTTGGGCTCGCCTCCTCCTGCTGATAAACCCCACAAGGGATTACCGTTCACTTTGGGCTCGCCTCCCCCTGCGGATGAGCAAGACCTATCGACTGAACCTGCTCGAAAAAAGCGACGTATCCATGACAATGAAAGTGATGGTGAGATCACTTCTGATACTGGGACATTCTCTGAAATTTTGCGACGGGGTGATGTTGATACTGTTGATTTGACCGGTGCTCTTCCTACATCGGCCAGTGCCGCCGGCTCACGGTCAGCTGCAATTCCCTCAAGCCTACCACACCCAGGGACTTTGAACGATGCGGCAGATGCCGATGAGATGCAAATCGAGACGCCTCCCTTAAACCCAAGCCACTCAATTGTTCCACAAGATGCCGATGTCCCAGAGCTTTCGGTTGACAGCACGCCAACTAGTCCAGTGCGAACGGTTAGAGTGAATTTGACAATGCCGCGGCCTGCCGAGCCCGATTCTCATAATTCGCGCAAAACCTCACGTGGCGACAATGATTTCCTCAATGGACTTTCCAGCATCCCTGAAAATATGATGCTTGAAGTGGATGAAGATGATCTTGAGCTTTTCGACGACGTGAAATTGTTGGACTTCGAAACAATTGCAGCTTCAAGGGATCGCGTTCAATTACTGGCGAAATCGATTCTTGGTCTGCGCCCGCCTGAAGCAAAACTGATTCGAAAGTTTCTGGATGATTTCATGCTTCCTCAGCTCATGGATCTAGTTCATGAAGCTCTGACTTACCTGCATAACGACCGAGCGAGCTTTCCCGATCGAGACGAAAATGAAAGTCTAGGGATCATGCGTCTCGCGGTATTGTACCACTCTTGGCTTCATTGTATAGGTCTGAGTCCCAGTGGACTTGATAAAAAACAGGTCAGAGACACGATCTCCCAAATCGAGAAGAGGCCCAATCTATGTTTTCAACGTTCGTTGAAAGATTGAACAAATTGTTTACCGCTTACGATTTGTGGGTTTTGAAGAACCCAGGGCATTCTTCTGGCTCTCATAGTGCATCTCTCGCATCATTTTTAACTGGGTCCAAATCAAACGCGAAGGCCAAAAGTAAAACCAAATATGCCCCAAGAACTCCAAGCAACATACAAAGGGAAGCCCAAGTTAGACAAGAGAAACAGGAGGCAATGAGACATGAGAGAGAGAAACGAGGCCTTGGTAACAGTGATCCGGACAAACAGGCCGTCAACTTCAAAGAGCCTCCAATCTACTTGCATAAAGATATCGGAGAGCACGTGAAACCACATCAGCTCGCGGGTATTCAATTCATGTGGCGTGAGTTGATAGAGGCCAAAAAGCCTCAGGGTTGTCTGCTTGCCCACGTGATGGGTCTCGGAAAAACAATGCAGGTGTAAGTCATCATATGGTCTACGGAATATCTCTTGGCAGAGCTGATTCACGAACAGGATATCCCTATTGTGCACAATCGCCGATGCAGCGGCGTCAGATGATCCTCGGGTTCGCGAACAAGTCCCCGAGAAATTTCATCGCTCCCAGACTTTGGTTTTATGTCCCTCTTCTGTGGTCCAGAACTGGACAGAAGAGTTCTCCTTCTGGATGCCCAAAGGGCATAATCTCGGCGCAGTCTGGGAGATCATGTCTGGAAACAACATGGAGAGCGAAGATAGGTTTCATGTCATCAAGGCCTGGGATCAAGGTGGCGGTGTTCTGATCATCAGCTACGATTTGTTTCGCATAATCGTACTCAACAAATCAACCCGACCGACAAACCGCAACAGTCTCTCTGACGAACAACATGATTTTGCGAAGGAGGCTCTTCTGTCTCGACCTAATATTGTCATTGCTGATGAAGCCCACAGGCTCAAAAATGAAAAGTCTGCCATCTCACAGGTAACATCACGTTTCAAGACATTGAGCCGCATCGCTATGACAGGGTCACCATTGGCTAACCACCTTTGGGAGTATTATCAAATGGTCGAGTGGGTTGCACCGGGATATCTTGAAGATGCAGCTTCTTTCAAGACAAAGTTTTTGGAACCAATCCAGTCCGGGTCTTATATCGACAGTACTCGTCAACAGCAGAGGGAGAGTCTCTGTGCCCTCAAGATCCTCAATGGAATTTTGAAACCCAAGGTTCTCCGAGCGGATACTTCAGTCATCGCATCGGATCTTCCCCCCAAGACCGAATTTGTTATCCGGATTCCTCTCACGAATCTACAAGAAGCAGCCTACAACACTTTCGTGTATGCTGCCCAGGAGGGGGACGATATTGACAGCAAATTGTACACCTGGCTTGCTATTTTGCAGCTTTGTTGTAACCATCCGCAACCGTTCTTGGAAAAGCTTGCAGATCGCGTGAAACAACCCGAAGATCCTGAAGGATCTGTTCTGCCTAGATCCATGAAGGAGAGTGGACTCCCAGCAGACTTGTGGTCTAGGATAAACGCACTTTTCACACTTGTACCACGGATCGAAGATCCCAGTTTATCCCATCGTGCTACCCTACTTAACAGAATCCTTGATGAGTCCATCAAGATCGGTGATAAGGTTCTGATTTTCACCCAGAGTCTCCCGACCATGAACTTCATTAACCTTATGTTGACGGAACGCCGCCTGAAGTTCCAACGAATTGATGGCTCCACTAATGCGGTTGAACGCCAAGCGATCACCAAAAGGTTCAACACTGGACTTGATCAGCAGGCTCTTCTCATCTCCACCAGAGCTGGTGGGGTGGGTCTCAATATGTTTGGGGCTAATCGCGTCGTCATCTTTGACTTTCTGTTCAACCCGATGTGGGAAGAGCAGGCTGTTGGCCGAGCTTACCGACTCGGCCAGACCAAAACAGTCTTTGTCTATCGATTTGTGTCCGGCGGAACCTTTGAGGAAAATGTCTTCAATAAAGCGGTGTTCAAAAGACAGCTCGCAGTCCGCGTGGTGGATAAAAAAAATGTCGTCCGCGAAAGCTCCAAAAACTCACCGATTCTTCTGCATCCGGTGAAGCCGGTGAAAAGAAGAGATCATACTGAGATCAAAGGGAAAGACAAAGTTCTTGATGAGATTCTTGCAGGGCCACACGGAAATATCATTCTGGAGGTCTCCGTATCCCACATCCAAGACAACGAAAATGATCGTCTCACCGAGGCAGAGAATCTTCGTGTGGACGATGAGCTTAGAATGGAGCGTCTGAAACGTTCCAACCCACGGGAATTTGAAGCAGAGATGAAGCGAAGGCAAGATATCCAAGCAGCCCGTGATAATGCTCATAATCAGGAGATTTTCCTGCGGCGACAGTCTGATTTTGTGACGGCGATGCAGTCTCCTAAACCACCTGGACCTGGAGTACAAGCTGGCCCGACGCCAGGTTTGTTTCTCCCACATTCCCCTCACCAACTGCCCCCGAGGTTTCAGCCTCTTCCAGGAGCCGGCCAATCCATTACGGGTGTGACATCCGACTCCACATCCGCAATCGCTCCTTCATCTATCGGGCCTAATCCGAGCTTCATACAGCCTTCGTACACCCCAAGCTCTGCAGCTTCCACTTTCAACCCTCCCGGGCCTCCACAGATGCCGACAAATTACATGCCAAGCACGATGTCTCTGCAACATACAAGCCATCAGCAGAATCAGCAAGCCCCGAGATCAGATCTCCCAGCATCTTCTTTGGTGAATCAGTTCCCCACAACTGATGGGAGTGCGGACTTGATTGAAATTGTCGACCTATCTACTCCTCGCGCAACAGCATCACCGGTTGCAGAACCCTCCGATGACAGAGATACGGCAGTGAGCATGAGTGAGAACGAGTATGAACCCCCACAACCAAACCTCTGAGGGTCGGTACCCTGCTGGGTCAGTGATACGCTCCACGCTCCACAACCAGTTGTTCTTTCTTTCTTGTAGATCATGATTTCCTCGCAAAAGCCCGGAAAGAGTTCTGTTTATTTGTTTATTTGCCTATCTGTTTTCTTCACATTATGATACCCATCCATCAGTACCCCGGCGTTTTGTTTGGCTGTCCAACCCCGGCGATGGGCCGCGCAATGATTTCTCGACTCCTGGTATTCTAAGTTGAATACAAATACTCTAGTATCATGACCATTGAAAGCTTAGCGTAGTTAGTATCTTTTCCGTTCAAAGTCCCGTACATAAATAGTTTCTGTCGTACGCCCTAGCTCGGAGCACCCCGATAGCCCCTCGACCCCATTGGGGCACTGGAGTAGGCACTTATCTTCCCCGCAAATTCGCTTATCTTTCTCTGCCTCGGAGTAACCCCAACGAAATGAACATGGAATCCCCCAGTTTCCCATCCCGTCAGCATGCAAAATGGCCTCAATCTCAAGGGCCCGCACTGGCTGCTGGACCTGTCGTGCGCGCAGGATAAAATGTGATGGTTGGTATCTCTAGACCAGCCCTTTGAACGAATTCCTCACTAAACTCACAATCGCCTAGAAACACACCCCGTCTGCCGTCGCTGTGCACGCAAAAATAGCCCCTGTGGGTACGGAGTACGCCTGATCTGGCATGAAGAATCGCTGGCTCGTGGTGTCTGTCATGGACGGGCGGGAGTTTGGTCTCAAGCGCAGTGACTCTGCTCGAGAAAACGACAAGAATAGCCCGAGGCAGGGGGTGGCCTTGAAAGACGGAGAAACACGACTATTGAAGAGAGGCAAAAGTTACATGCGGACATGGCAGTTTCTGAATACCACCACTAAGGATCTTGAGATACATTTCGATGACAATTGGACGAAAAGCAGCAGCGCAAAACAACAATCCCGGCATGAATCGCTGGGACTATCGCTCAGCACCATTCCGTGCAATGCACGATCCAAGTTTGACCCGGTTCTCATGTCATATTTCGAGCAGATTATTTGCAGTAGCTCTACGCTGGTGGACAATGTTCTTTATAATCCGTACCGCTACCTGATTCTTCCCATGGCCCTCCAGTCTCAAGCTCTCTACCACGCGACCCTCGCCATTGCCGCCAATACGCTGAAATTATCCGACCCAAGATACAGACTCCCCGCATTAGAACATCATCATCGCGCTTTAAGTCACCTTCGAACTCTTTTATCGCGTGATTTGTGGACGGAGAAAGAACTGGATGAAATGCTCGGACTCGTTCTAATGCTATGTTGGTTCGATGTAGGACACAATCCTCCTGGCCAACTACCCCAGTCATTCACTAACACAACCCAGATCTCAGATAGCAGTCGGCCATCATGGGTCACACATTTGACCGGGTTCCAAGATCTGAGCAGAACACGACAAAGTCGCCCTGGCCGCTCATCTCACAGCCAGGACCTGGCGAGCTTCTTCGATCGCTATTTTGCTTTTCACCTTGTTCTTGCGCGGACTTCGTTTCGAGTTAACGACCTACCATGCGAATCACCACCTCTTCCAGTCAGCTTACTTGAGAACCCCGACACGATTGACCCATACATGGGATTCAGCCACTCACTACTCCTCTTAATCAACCAAGTTGCCGAACTAGCAAGGAACCAGACCGATAACCAAAAAAACACCCAGAGTACAGCAGTCTCAAAACTAAGGAAAAGTCTCGAAGGACTTGATCAAGTACTACCATCGCAATGCGATGATCCAAACACAGAGTGTGCCGCAATCGCCGAAGCAAATAGACTAGGAGCCCTACTCCTTCTCCAAGAGATATGTTCCATAAAATCGGCCTTGCCTAGCAATCTACGTCAACAGTCAATCGGAACGCAAGAGAAGGCTCAATATGTCAAGTTAATTTTGAACCTGATGCTGGAGAAAAAAGCAAATATGATGCGGACCGCTGTGCTACCGCTATGGCCTCTCTTCTTAGCAGGATGCTGTGCTTCCAGGGAGGAAGAAAGGATTACAGTGATGCAATTTTTCGATGAGGTGGAAGGCATTCATCGCTTTGGGGTATGTGTCTCGAGTATTCCAGGCTGCACCCATGAGAGGGAAATGACTGACTATTCTAGAATGTCGCGCCTGCTATGGAAGTTATTGAAATGGTCTGGAGACAGCAGGATCTGTCTGTACAAGACGAAAGGAAGCGCCAAAGGAGTGTAAATTCAAACGAGGGACGCGACGAGCCGCACAAATTTCGGTTTCCATGGGAGCACGCAATGTTCATGTTAGGCGATTGGAAGCTTAGCTTGACCTGAGTGGTTTTGGCTCTAGCTATCTCAATCTACTGTATCTTGATTCATGTAATTATTTGAACTAGGCCGATGACACATGGTCTTTTACTTACGAGTAACTAGATATCATCGCTCTACACGTTTCTTCTCATCCTTTCAGATCCTTGTAAAAGTAATAATTCGTACATTCATATCTAATAGAGCACCTAGCTACTAGAGTTATCGGCACACGACCAGGCTGCCGAGCCACCGGTTTCGTTGTAGCTCTTAATAATGCTAACAACGGATCCATAAGTACCACCAATCATCAAGAAAGTTCCCGCAATAATGACAAAGGCGCACCAGGCGACCATGGCATACCACCGGGTTGACCTGTGGACATTTCCCTTGCTCCAGTTGTCATACAGCCACATGCCAGCCATTGGCTGGAAGCACATGGGCGTGCCAAGCAAGGCGCCAACAAGGGAGACAAGGTCGCTGAAGACAGGGATGGCGCTGGCGATAATATAGGCGGCCAGACCGACGCCGAATGTGCAGGAGAGCCAGACGACCCAGTGGATTAGGGTGTTGGATGTCAAGTGGCGGGATCCTTGAAGGATGCGGACGAAGATGTATTTACCCGTGATCTGAGATGGTTAGTTAGGGCCGGAGGCAAGGGGTTTATGTGCCAAGAGGAACTCACGTGGATAAAGAGTAGAGTACTGGCTAGCAGGCCAGGAAGAGCAAATCCATAGCTGACCTTCTTCACCAGCGGACCGGCGGAGCCAAGGGCGGGCGAGGAGACGTATGATCCGCAGTAGTAGTAGATAACGATTCCAATAGCAAGGTAGAAGCAAGTGACGACGGACTGGCAAAGAATCAAGGCTTTGTTGAAATGCTGAGGTTCGCGCATCTCCGATGCAAGGGAGAAGAAAGCCGGAGTGCCGGCGTAAGCAAAGACGATGGTTGAGACGGCGGTGATGGCATCAGTGAAGGAAGGGTTGGCGACAATCTTGTAGTCGGGAACCCAGACGGCATCTTTAGGCGCGGCAGCTGGGCGGTCTTGAATGCCCACGGCAACAGTCACAATCAGAACTGGAGGGATATCATGTTAGATTCCATCTTGGATATATGGAAATCGACAGGGGAAGAAAACGGATCAGGGAAAGCTTACTTGAAGTGAGAATACAAATCAGACCCAGCCAGGCGATCCACGAGATGCGCCCGAGAGTCTGAATGCTTCCCAAGATAAAACACACAATAAAAGCGATGACCACATAGACGGCCGTGCAGACGGCGTGGGAGGAGATGGCGTTGAGACTGATGGAAATGCCCAGCATTCCCGAACCAGCCACGAAGATCCACCCTGTATCACATCACCAAGATTAGGAAACTTATCCCGACCAAAATAGGCATTGAATCCCACACTTACAGAGACAAAAGGCCGTTCCTAGAACGATTCGGCCGGCCTTGCCGAACAGCAATTCTCCCACATCGTCAATACCGTAGACTTCACGATGTCGTAGTTTGAAGGTGCCGATAATGAAATCGGACCACGTTGTGATTCCTGCGATGACACAGAGAACGATCACACCGGGAATAACTCCTAAGGAGTTGAAGGCGACTGGTATAGAGAGGACACCCAGACCGATTTGGGTTTTCATCATAAGGACAGAGGTACCCAACCATCCGACCTATGGCAATAAGAAAAGGTTAGCCATTGATGATAAAAAAAAGGGGGGAAGCAACAAAAACAACAGCAATAACATACATTTCGATAATTGGGACCTTCGCCATTCATTTCACCGAAGACAGCATCGTGAGAACCTTCTTGGACCTCACCGAGACGGGAGGGAACCGGCTCTAAAGGGTCCTCGAGGGTTTTCTTTTCGTCTAACATGATTGCCGAGGCATATATGATTTGAACAAAAATCGAAAAAAAAGAAGAACGAAATAAACAAGAGGATTGAATAGAATAGATTGAGAGAGGAAGTCTGGACAGAAGAGAAATGGGACCTGGGGGAGGGTTGGAGTTGCATATTTCAATGATTCTAGGGTTCCATAAACTTGCCTTGCAGAAGGGGACTAGTCCTAATTAGGGACAGTCTAGTTGACTGGGTCAGCCCATGGTTTCAATGTTTCAATGTGCAGGATGGCCTGAATGGGGGCCGGAGCGAGATCCAATGAGAGAAGATGACGATGATCCTGGTAGGTTTGGGGGGGGCAGTGGAAGGGGTAGATCCAATTAAAAGGTTGGCCTCACCGGGAAGGGAACCGGTCTTCATCGATTGGTTCTTTTAGAGTGTAATCAGTACCGTTAGGGTTAGTGTGGAAAGTGTTATCTCTTGCGCCTCCCGCCCAGATAAGCCCAGCCTTTTTACGGCAGGCAGTCAAGATAAGAGAATGATTGGAGCTGGGCTGACATGTTTTGCATACACTTTTGCCTCTTTTGCTTGTTTTTTCCCCCTTGTCTTTCTCTTTCTTCTTTCTTTTCTCTCTCTCTTTTCCTTCTCTCTCTCTCTCTGTTCAACACTCGTGTTACTGTGGGTCATCCCCAGATTTCTAACCCCAATTTGCCTCCCCGCATTCGAACCAACGGGACCAGCCTAAACTCCACTTTTTTGAGTGTGGGGAACCCTTCTTACGTCGTTCCCCCCCCCCTAAAATCCCTCAATCACCTCGGGCCATTCCACCTGATGTGCAACATCCTGTTCAGCCATCATCCTTTAGGAAGGTGGCCTCCACTTGATTACGGTGGGGTGCCATAACTTGCGATCACTAGTCTGATGAGTCCGCTTTGGTGCGCCCGCCCCCCCCAGTCCTTCGATAGGCATCACTTTCCACCGCTGAAGCTTGCCCTTTCCGCCATCTAGCCATGGCCCGTCTGACAGGGGGGGTCAATGGGCAAGGGAAGGGAGACTTTTCCCCCGACTGCTTAATACGGTTCGGAATACATGATGGCATGACAACATGGCGGAATCTCAATGGACATTTCTTTCCGACGGCAGGTGATGGACATGCCAAATGACACAAATGACACGGTTGTCATTACTCCGTTGCAAGCGAGATGCTCAGACGTCTGTTGTGATGCCCAATGCACTCCACTGAGCGACAAAGCCACTGCCAAACCGACCGTGAGACATCGCTCGGATTTCCTCCTTCCGCCCAGAAATTCCGCCCCTCTTCCTCTTCCCCCCGATGTTGTCAAAGGGGAACCTCGGAAGTGTGCGGACACCGACCGACAGTTTCACTATCTCTATAACCTGCATGACGTTCAAATTCCTGATGCACATCACATCAGACGGCCCACAATTGTAAGGTGGACACCCGTACTCTATACTCCATCCGTACCTTACCTCATACCTTCAACCTTGATGAGCGGAGATCCGGCCAGACACTTATCTGCTGGGCCCTGTCCCCAGTGCGGCTGGAAAATATTGGGGTACAACGCCTCGTGAGTTAAAGTCGCACGCCGCTTCAGATCCTCTGGGCTGATCACGCCACAAATCTGACTCGGCGTCATCGATAATTGGCCAATCCCCACCCCTTCGCGCACCCCTACCGCCTCGCCTTCACTAACCCTTCAGGGGTAGTTGGTTGGCCACTGAGTCAGATGGTACTTACGAAGTACCTGTTCCATGTCTTTGCCCAGCCTCTCGGCGTGGGGTGTGAGTAACGTAAACCTTACCGGCCCCGGTCGGATTCGACTGACTGAATTGGCCCGTTGGGGTATCTAAGTTCATCTTGGATTATCTGCCCGAACTCTTGTTCCCGTCCAGCGCTTTTAATAAATACTCCCTGCTCCGGGAAGGGAGCCGGTCCGTCCATGTGGCCTGGTTTCTAGACCGGATGGCCCGGTTGGGCCACCCGATGAATTCATTTTTGACCCTTTGCCTTATTTCTTCCCCCTGCAGGTAAATACATAGACAGTGGTCTCTTTATAAACAGGCGGACCGTGCCGGGTAGCCATCATGCAAACGGCCCGTCTGGCCGGCCGGGCTTCTAGGCTTTCGCGAAAGGCAGGCAGAAAGAGAGTATAGACGCCACTAAACCCTAACGGAGAAGCCTTCCTATTCCTATAAGTATATACTATCAAGAGAAGATAGGAAGGCGAAATGGAATGAGTGAATTTCTCAATCACTCAATCACCTTTTTGTTGAGTGATACGCAAGTGTTTTAAGTTTCTGGGCGAAGGTGCCCCGTTTCGGCCGGTTTGCCCCCTATTTGGATCATCCATAGTGGATTCCGTTGATAACCGTCTCGTATTATGATTAGAATGTTGACTAAATGGCTTTATTTCTGTTTTGATGTACGGAGTACCGGGTCCAAGATCTACTAGTATAGCACATGCATTCAACTTGCGGGCAGGATACCCGAAGCCAAATGGCATCTTGGTTTTCTTCCAAGCCTTACTCCGTACAACAAAGCGCATCATTTACAGCATAGCACTCATTCGAAGCAAAACTCTTGAGATTATTTTCATGAACTGTAGGGCTAAGAATAGACGGAAAATTCCGGAACTTGGAACCACTATCCCTAACATAAGAATCGAAATGCAGGAGATTGGGTATCAGAAACACTCTACATCAACAATCACCACCAGACGCCCCTTTTCACCACCAGTAAGCCCCCGTGAACGCCCTCGTTGTGATCACACCAGCAGATTCTCCAGATCAGCCACACGCGTAGCTCTATCCTCGGCCTTCTTCTTGCCAGTTTCGCGGAAAGCAGCCGACATCAAAGCACGCTTGCGCTCCTGTACCTGTATCACACGTTCCTCGACACTGTCCTCCATAACCAGTCGCCACACGGTAGTCTCTCGCTTTTGTCCGAGGCGGTAGACTCGGTCAACTGCCTGGTCCTCAATTGCTGGGGCCCACCAGCTATCGCAGAGAATGGCTTGATTCGCAGCAACGAGGTTGAGACCGACACTGCAAACGTTCAGACTTGCGAGGAGGACGACACATGAGGGGTCGTTGGAAAACACATTGATGGAGTTGTCTCGCTTGATGGACGGCATGCTGCCGTCGATGCGGACGAATCTGATACCCCGTTGCTCCAGCTGAGGTTCGATGAGATTGAGGAAAGAAGTCCATTGACTGAAGACCACCGTTTTCGTACCAGGGGCCTGGCCCTTCGCAGTCAACACTTTGATAAGCGCTTCGATCTTACTACTTGGTTGGCTTGGATCTGCAATGACGTTTGAGGAATCTTCGCCAAGCTCAACGGCGGGATCTACCAAGATTGTGTTGTCTTTGAGTTCGGCCCGGCATAGTGGACACTTGTGCTGGCGCTCGATGACTTGTTCGATGCAGCCACGGCAGAAGGAGTGGGCGCAAGCGGTTATGACGGGCTCCTCCAGGTTATCCAAGCAGATGGCGCACACCTCTTGGCTCTCGATTTGCAGCTGAAGCATATCACGCAAGGCCGCAACGTTCTCATCCGTCAGAGGCACAACCTTGCTTTGCTCCAGTGTGTCCATGAGTGCATCGATTCGATCCTTGCAGAGAGCCCAGTGGTTGCACACTTGACGAAGGCGTAGAAGTACCTCCAGAAGGTGCGAGTAGGTACCTTGCTTGTCCTTGAACTCCACCAGAGCACCCTTGGCCTCCTGTTGTAGAGCGGCGTATTTTTCCTGCTCGTGGGGGTGGAATTTGACTCGAAGGATCCGGGATGTCATCTCCGGAAGGCGAATATCCACAAACTTCATGGTCTTGGTACGACGAAGACACACCGTTGCCATCAAGGCCTCGAGAAGTAGACGTGCCTCGGGCATGCCGCTCATGAGGGGGCGAATCAAGACACTGTTGAACATACTGAAATCTTCCAGTCCGCCGGATAGCTTCAAGAAGCGGATCTGCGAGTAAAGATCCTTGAGAGTGTTGATGATCGGTGTTCCAGTCAAAGTCCAACGAGAGTCCACACGTAAGCCACATGCTGCAAGTGATGCCTTGCTTCGTGGGTTGCGGATGGTGTGGCCTTCATCGAGAACCACACGGCGCCAGTGAAGGGAAAAGATACCTTTAGCGGGCGGGGTTTTGGCATCCGCTTTGAATTCCATGGAAAGTGCACCGTAGCTCGTGATCACAACATCGTATTTCGCCAGATTTCCAGCTTCCTTTTTGCCAGTACCATGATAAATCAGAACACTGGGCGCATTCTCACTTCGAGTGTGGTCGTAGATTTGATTCCGCCAGTTGCTCATCACTCCGACAGGGGCGATGATCAGAGTTGATTTACTAGACTTGGGGTTCAGTGGTGTCGGATTGGTTAGAATAAGTGAGATGATCTGGATTGTCTTGCCGAGACCCATGTCATCAGCTAGAATACCACCACTAGCCAGTGGTGGCTGCGTGGTGGTTGAATAGTTGGTCGCAATATTGGTGAAGCTGTTCGCATCACGTTTCCATAGCTGCACAATAGCATCAGACCCAGGAGCTGGCAAGGTAGGCGATTCATGGTTGATCATCCATGCCAATCCTTGTCGCTGGTATGGCAGCAATGTCGTAGAGAGAGCCTCTGGCGAGTCTGCCATTGGCATCTTAGCCAGGTCACTCTCCTTCTGACCAAATGTCTCCACAACCTGACCGATCTCTCTTGGGTTAAAGAACTTGCTCTGGCTGAAAAGCTCCTCGAGGCTTTCTTCACCTTCGCCGTCTCCCCCGGGAGTAGATAGATTGGCGAATTGCGAGTTTTCGTTGGCCTGCCATCCTTGTGCAGCCTTGCTGAGAGCCATGGCACGAGCCTTCTTCGCTTCCTCTTTCCGTTCTTTTTCCAGCTGCTTCTCTCGCTTCTTCTTTTCGCGTTCCGCGAGGTCGGTTCCCTTGGGTATTAGATTATCCAGCTTCAATTGCATTTTCAAATCCGCTGCCACGGTAGGGTCAGCCGGGCCGTAGATCATCAGATTCATTGGACAGGTGTAAGCTCCGATGGTGCCGGTAAGAACAGCATCTACAACAATCTTATTGGGATCCTATATTCTTGTGAGAAACGGAATCGGTTTTCATGGTCGGTTACCGATGCGATCGACTTACCATGTATTTTGCAAGCTTTGCGGCCACGACTCGTCCGATGTGGCCGATCTGAGCACCCATGACGTTATCGACACGGACGGCATTGCGGTCATATTGATTTTGAGGTTCTCGCTTCAAGACTACATGCTCGCCCTTGGTGGCACGTCCTCGGTAGAAGCGTACACCCACAATTGTGGTGGGACAAATACCTATGCGGATACTTTAGTATTGTTCCAGTGATTCCCCAATGTAGAACAATAGGGGATAGTTGGATCATGACGTACCATATATTTCAAAGTTGGAAGAAGCTGTATCATCTTGGCTGTCTTGTACGATTTCTTCTGCGGCAGCATCCTCTTCGTCGGCACCGGGAACCTGGGTCAGGGGAATATAGTCGGCAGTCAGGTCGAAAGAGTCCAAGGGCGGAGCAGTATTGGAATCCGATGGTTTTGCGGGTGAATTGTTGCGACTGGTTTTAGACACGCGATCTGAGCCTTCTTCAAGCCCAGCTACGGTCAAGCCAGCTGCATCGGCGTTGCGCTTGCTAGTTCGCCGGGTCATGATACAAGTGTTTTACCCCACGCGGTGAGGAATCTTGTCTGGTAATGAGCTCAAGCCAAAGCTTAAGCGGAGATGAAAATGGATTTTTGGTAATTAATGATCAATGCAGGTAGTCGATGAATTTGGAAGACGAAGGCACCATCAGGAGATTCCACTCGAGCGCAATGGGGAGAATGAGAATGGGAATGTGAATGTGAACGTGGTTATTCGAATGTGGAGGTGACGGGATCCTCTAATCCCAATCGGGATGACTCGGGCGTCGCGCAAACACGTGGTCATGTGATTCCCACCCCCCTTTGCTGCAGCCACTTTCAGCTCAGCTGGCGATATAGCAAATTCTTGCTCAGGAACTTCAATTCTTCTCTGAAGTCATTTTGGATGTTGGCGTCGCATTCAATCATTGAAATCAGTCACGGTTCTTGGTTTTCTATAATTGACGCATGAGCCCATACTGCTTATCTGTTAGCGCTTCCCCAGGAAGTCAAGCTCCCGGCCTAGCGGCGCCCTATCCGTATGGCTGATCCACGTCATGGTTCCTTGGGGTACAGGGATCTTGCCCGACAGCATGGAGAGGAACTCGAGTCACTACTACAACAAGGAATTTTCAAGCCGGTTTTTCTCTATCAAGCCATGCTTTTCAACCTTCTACCATTGCTTGGTCTGATTGTACCCCGCCACCGAGGCGGCAAGTACATTCGATCCGCCATATTTGCCCTCAACCTCGGTATCGCCTTTCAGGTTCTTAAAAACCACCGCGCTCACCTGGGTGGTAATGGCTACATGTTTGGACTTATTGCCGCATGGTCACTTATATGGAGTGCCGGAATTTTAGTATTCACCGATATCGAGAAGGATTTCCAGCGTATTGAGCGAATGACTGCGGCCGAGAGTGAATCAACAAAGTTGGCGATTGGGACTCGGGGTCCATCTGGAAATGTCCAGCCCGAGCCTTATGGAAAGGACGCGAAGGTGGGGAAGTTTCACTGGCAGCCCTATCCTCATAAACTATCCCATCGTCTTGGGTGGTGCGCAGGTTTGCTCTTCAACTTGCGAGGACCCGAGTGGAACTGGCGGGCTCCTCATCTAGGGCCACTTCCTCGGTCCATTCATTCCCAACTACATGCTGGATTCGGCTCCAATAAACATAGGTTCCAGGCAGTGGATGATTCTAAATATCTCAGCGCGAACCGTCGTCTTAAGCGCGCTTTCCGCACGTTTCTAATATCCTACCTGCTTCTTGACTGTTTGAAAGCCGTCATGATGCGGGACCCCTACTTTCGAGGATCGACCATTACCGACTCGCCACCGTTCCCGTTCTCCTATTTTGAGCCATTTCCCATTCTTATTCGTTTTTACCATGTTTTTATCAGCGCTATGGGCGTTTACGTTGCCTTGAACTTTGTTACCTCATTGAGCCCCATCATTTTCCTCGGGCTGTCTCGGGCTCTCCCCAACGCATCCAGGAAATTTATGACAGTTCCGCTTGATGCATCTTGGCTCTATGCAGACTCCTTTGGGCCTTTTCTTGAACCTCTTCTAGATCATGGACTTGCTGGCTGCTGGGGACGTTGGTGGCACCAACTCTTCCGCCATGGTTTCACTATGGCCGCTGGATGGATTTTGTCACTTCTTCCAATCAAACTGGCACAAAATGTGCAGTTGAAACGGATGATTCATGTCGTGGTTGCGTTCTCGCTCAGTGGGTTCATTCATGCATGTGGCAGCTATACCCAGTTTACTGCTACCCGTCCCTTCTCCGGGCCATTTCTGTTCTTTTTCATGCAAAGCATCGGAGTGATCGGTGAATATATTTTCAAGACAGCGGTTTTCCCTAAACTCCGGCTTCCTAAACTCCTGAAAGGTTTTCGGAGGGCTGGGAACGCAATATTTGTTATATCTTGGCTACTGTTTTCAGGGCCCCACATAGCAGATGACTTTGCCAGGGGTGGGCTGTGGTTAGTAGAGCCCATTCCCTTCAGTCCACTCCGTGGATTGGGACTTGCCGAAGTTTCGGGCTGGTGGTGCTGGGAAGGGGTGTGGTTTCATCACTGGAGCGATGGTACATATTGGGGCAGTGGAATACGAGTGGTATAGTGGTATCACTACTATATCTTGTACTATACCTTGGATTAGTATAACCGCTATTGACTATATGAACCTGCCCAGGTGGGCAGGTCGTGCCTTCCTCAAAAAGCTCAAGACTTTTGAGGAAGGTGCCATGTCGAGTCGATAATATTTGAACTTCACGAGCCTGGGATGTTTCTTTTTTCTTTCTCTTTTCTTTCCTCGCGAATTTGAGTCGTTAAATATGCCGTTTTATTCAACTTATATTTTTTTTTCGCACTGAGGGGCAAGCGGGATACTCTTGCGCGTGCCTCGCTTGCACTGGCAGTATCTCCGAGCCGGTTGGCATGGCTTCAGATCAAAGACAGGTTGTTCCCACCTAAAACCGGAGTGCCAGCTGAACAAAGCCGTCCGGAATATGATCCACGAACGATTGATGCGTGCCCTAGGCGAACGGAAAAGGAGTCCCCTCAACCGATCACCTCAATCGGTCAAGAAACCTCCAGGGGGTGATTCGGTCACAGAAGAGTTGATGCTTCTTTGCTGAATGAGCGCATTGTGGGCGGGCGAACACCAATGCTGCTTGCGATTCTAGACCGCCACCCACTTGATTTCGATCAAGTCTCTTGCTTGTCTCCTCATCGCCCAGTGCTGTTCGCGATCTATTGCTCTTTGCTTTATGGTTGGATTGGAGGGTGGAGGGGGGTGGGCATCCCTCTTTTGAGAAACATCACGGTGATTCACTGCTCAAAGTCAGCATCCCCAGCCTGAGGAAATTGATTCATCCCATCATCTTGCTAGCCATAATCACACGCATTTCGTACTTATTAAACTCTTGAGCCTGCTCTTACGCCTATATACGACGCATCTCGATCAACTCGCTCTTCCAGTCACTTCAAAAAGCGAACTCAGGTAACCGCAAGACCCTTAATCTCTGTCACCGACTAAAGATTGAGTCCCCTATTTGTCAAACCGACATGATGACCGTCAAGTCTGCAACAAGATTGGGGTCATTACGATGGATCCTCGGCTATTGCACCCGCTCATTACTCCTCACCCGAGGGGTAAATACAAGGCAGACTCGCATCCATATCGAGTTTTCATTTGGGTACAATTGCCGCCTTTTGCTTTTTCTCGACTTTGAGGAATCGAGCCAGCTAGAAGATCCTCCGTGGCATGAAGCGATGATTCCGGAAGTCTCGTCATCGTGATAATCGTCGTCATCGCATGTGGCCCTTTTTCGAAATCGGTAGCCGTTTCCTCGGGCCGTCAAAGTTTCGGATCTCATTGGAATATTGGACGAGTCCAAAATCTCTCCCTTCCCCATCCAGTACATCTGAGGCAGCGCTTGGGATTATTGGATTCGTGGCAGCATTCTGAACCCGATTAGTGTTGAACATGTCAAGCCATGCTTGGCCTGCGATGGGATAAACTGGCCTTCAAGTTCCTGACATATTTTCTTCTTGGGTATTGGATTCATGCATGTCTAGACACTTGTCGGCTGTCGTAATGGGGCATTTGAGGAGGCCTTGAAAGGGTGAACGGCGAGGAAACCCACTGTATTTTGAAGAACTGTATGTAAATAATATTCGGGGCACACCTAATACCCGTGGCGGTCTATACCATCGAATGCATATGCCCGTGGAGAAACCTAAGCTCATGTGAAGCAAAATCCAAATCTGTATTGTTACCCAAATCTCAAAGCAATAGCTGAATAGCAGAAGTCCGAGGAACTCCACGATTCCATGATGCGGCAGTCTAGAAAATCCGATCTGGACATTTCTTAAGGGCCCGGCAAGCTAGTACCTGCCTAGGTAGTAGGTACCGTAGGATCAGACACAACCTTCGATCAGGTACTAATACCAGCACTAGTATATTTTGGACTTTCAAGTACGATATATTTTGCCTAGCTAAATTAAATCACGAGTGGAAATTATCTCAAAAAGAGAAAATAAAGTGGAGAATAGCAAAATCCAAACAATATCACACACCTGCACAGACATACATGAGGTCTTTTCTCCTTCGATAGATGCAAATTGGAAAGTACTAGCCCTGGAGTACTATCTGTCCAGCAACGGAGGGCTCTTCCTCGCTAAAGCGATATTGATTGCGGCATGTTGGGGAAACCATCAAGGGCCCTATAGCACCTAGGTATCAATAGGATTCTACCTACTTTAAGGTAGTAGGTGTGGAAACCACTCACGTGGCAGCGCTATCAGTCCTCGACAGATTGGAATCAAGTTAACTTCAAGTATTGCCTGGCCATATTTTCAAAGCCAGTTTCAAAGTTTTCATTTAACGCGCTTGAGCTCATCTATTTCATTTTGGAGGGAGGCTAAATGTTCCCAGTTTTGTCGCGTCAATTTCCTAGTGTCATGCTCTAGTTGAGACACCAACCAAGTATTGAAAGCCCACATATATATCGTCAGTGAGCCGGGCCAGCTAAGTCCTTTCATTTTGAAAGGATGGAATACGATCCTGGCTGCCTGAATAATTCGAGGAAACGGCATAGTGTAGATACTGGTGATATGAAGGGTAAGTAGTTTCAAAAGTTCGAAATCAGGGCTTGAGTGAATGATGAGGATCATAATTTTTCAAAGGGACGGTGGGCGTTGAAAAAGGCATGATGCAAAGTCTAAAACCCATACTAAGCCACCTATGGTCAACTGACCCAAATGGGACGAGGTAGTAAAGTTAGATAACCTATGGATACCTACTAGTAGGTAGCTTCTACGGAACCACAGGTACGGTCACCAGAGAAACGACTCGGACCCACAACAACCTCAAGTTGTGCCGATACAAGTAACAAGCCTTCTAGTAGTAGTAGTAGTAGTAGTAGTAGTAGTAGTAGTAGTAGCGAAGATGCTCCGAGGGTTTAGGTTAAATATAACATAAATAGTACGTCGTCCGAATATTTTTTCACAGACTAGGAGGTATATACATTAACAAATTATTTAGCCTTCCATTGCGACATCATCATCATCATCATCTTCATCCGTATCGGAGTCCATGTTCAAGGTAGGTAGCTCATCCCCACTTTCATCATCGGCCGGGTCTGCAGCAGACTGCGAGGTGGTCGAAACGGCTGAGACCTGAGTCTTGAACTGAGGCTGCTCATGCGAAGAAGAAGAGACCTGGGCAACAGCCACGGGCTGAACCTGTCCAGAAAGTGACTCGGCAGAGTTGGCTGAGACAGTTGTCTCAAACCGCGCCTTCTTACTCTGCACCGGTTGCTTCTCGGATGCCACGGCAAATCCGGTCGATTGAAGGGTAGACTCCTCAGCATATGTGCGTTTGTGGACTGATGAGACAGCTGGCGTCGGCTCATGCTTGGGAGCCTCAACGGCGGGGGCCTTCAAGAACTCGGAGGCGGAAGGCGCGGCATCGAATGTTTCAGTGTCCATCTCCTCCGCTTCCTCGTCTTCTTCATTCTCGGTGTATGCATCGAGTTCTGGCGCAGTCATCAAGACTGGCATTCTGGGGCGCACCAGAGCCTCGACCTCCATCTGATCGGAATAGCTGCGAACCAAGAAAGGCATGAGGCTAGCGCCAGCTCCGCGACCTTTGGTGGCGGGAATTGGGTTGAGAACGCTGGCAAGCATCGCGTCTTTATCCGCAGTCAAGATGATCGTACGATCAATCTCAGCTCGAAGAGACGCCGCCAGAAGCTCAGACGGGACGGACACAAGGACCGCCTGGAGCAGGTTGGAGGCAGTCTTTTCGATCTTCGACAAGCTGGAACCAGGGGAAACTTGAAGGGTAATGAGGTTGGGGTTCAGGAAAGAGTCGGCATTTGTCGTTCCTGGGCCAGCCTTCGACTTCGACTTGGAATCAGATTGGGACTTGGCTTGCGAGCCCGATTCCCCGGATGTGGGGAGAAGATCATGGCAACAAGAGCGCAGAACATTGGCAATGGAGGACACGCTCTGCTTCGGCATGGCAGGCCCGTTCACAGACACCAAGGACTGGAGCAAATCGTACGTAGTTGAGCGAACGTCCTTGCTGAAACTTTCGTGTCGGAAGACCCAATTGGCTTGCTCCAACATAGACTGCGTGATAGGAGTATTGTTAGTCTCGAGAACGCTGACAACCCGTGCAAGCAACTCCATGGCGCCAATGTGGATACGAGGCAGCTCAGCCCAGAGCTGTTCTCGTTCCTCCCGGCCAATCTCAGGGTTTGCTTGGGCGCCATTGGAGGATTGGCCGTTTGCCGGAACAATCACCGAAGTTAGTCGCGATGTCAAATTGAGAATTGAGCCCAAGGGGAGGGCCACAGTAGATGTGGTTGGCATGGAAATAAATCCAGAGAGAATTCTCAGAAGCGTGATGATCCTGTCAGTTCCAGTGTGAATGCCTTTCCAACTCGGCAATCCCAAAGCATCGGGACGATCGTTGCCAGCCTCTTGGCTATAGTTCTGCTTAGCTGCAACCAAGGACGGGTCTACAGACTCCCATTGTTCCCTCACAGCGCGGAAAACGTGATCCGCTGCGTTGTGGATCGACACAATTGTGGAGCGGCAGTCATTGTTCCAGCCGGAGGTTGATTTGTCCTTGGGCGCGCATTTATAGAGCGAAGCAAACAGTTGCTCCGCGACGTCAACCACTGGATCTGGATAGTACGCAGGCGAAGAGGCGCCAAGAATATCCGTAAGGAGGGTGCGAAGCTGGGTGCCGAAGGGACGGAAAATGGTCGGGTGACGAGGAACCAATTCCAAGATCGCATGAAGAACCATTTCCATAAAGGGTGTGTTGGGCTTGGGTTTCCGGCTCGATCCCGAGGGCAGCTTGACAAGGCTCGAGACAAGGTTCAAGGCAGCAGTAACAAACCCAGGCAGGTGGGGGGTTGTAATCTCCCGAACAAGAGTCGGATACTGGTAAGTGAGGTGGAAGATGCGAGTCAAGGTAATGATGCACATCTTTCTCGTGGAGATCGGGTCTGGTTTCTAAAAAGGAAAAGGCCAGGCAGAAATTAGTCAATTGCACGAGCAGCAGTGTAGATCACACATAAATCATATTATTGCATACCGCCAAAATACCAATCAAGCCACGAACGATGGGCTCATATCCTCGTAGGATTTCCCATTGTCCCGCTTCAACGGTTGCTTTCACCAAGACCACGGCGGTCCATCGGCCCTCAACTGTGCGATCTTGCAACAGACTTGCTAGACGGGTCTTCAGCTTGTGAATCTGTACAGTATTGTCGGAATCGGATTTTCCAGGCTTTTGGTTTTGCGGGGCAGACAGTAGCTCTGCACAATCACCCAGAGAAGTCGCAAGAAACGAGGCTATAGAGGGCAATTGGTCGACCGGGGTAGTGGTCAGGCGGTGCGTAATGGCACGCAAAGTAGTGGAGGTCATTTCACCGGGGACCTGCAAGATCACAGAGTGACTGTTTAGAAAGGTGAAGTGCAAGGATCAGCGCAAATGTCACAAGTGAGGAGTGCCTATCGGGCAACTTTTTTTTCTTCGGGAGCATCTCGGCAGAAAAAGAGTAAAGAGTAACCTAACCCCATTAAGGTAGGCGGCATGAAAGCTTGGGCCACATGAAGCCTCGGTAAATTACCGGTACCATATTACCACTCCCGTGACTGTGAAATTACGACAAGCCACTCCACAGGCTTGTGTGGCACTTGTGGACTGTGGCACCCCTGGGCGATCATTCCTCGGGGCCTGACGACGCTGCGCTGCTTGCTCCGCGCATGGCCTTTCTACCTTCTACATCTCTCCTCCGCGCATTCTTAGCAAGTCCTCCTGAACCTGAATTATGGCGGTAAGTTGTCTTTTCCACATGAACTTCATTTCTTCTAAATGAATTTAAATGTCAATTCTGATCGAGCTATACTAACACGTGCGTCTAGGGAGGTAACGCCGAGAAGGGGCAACGCTACATCGCGTCCTTGGACCAAGCGCGGGCCCAAGGTAGATGGGAAGAAGTGCCCGAACTGATTCGAAAGGTCACAAAGCACGCTCCGCAACGAACCTGTACGTCTACGATTGACTAATGTACGCCCACTGGCGGGGAAAAGCTGACAAGGGTTTCCCCAAAGGTGTAATCCAAACCGCAACAGCCGAGACTCGAGTGGTCGCATTTCTTCAGCAGCGAACGTCAACCGAGTCCACAACAACACCGCATCTTCCCGAGCTGATCCCTGCCCTATTGACGACCATCGAGAACAATGACGGAAATCAGCAAGAATTACTGCAGGCGCAAGTCTGCCTAGGTTGGATCCATTGGACTCTCAATGAGCCAAGTTTGGCAGCTGCTCGCCTTCCAAGGGACTTCAATGCGACAATCGATACTTTGACAAGCGATGGCCAGGGTCTCTCGCCGTGGACCGAGGTCTGCCTGGTAAAAGGATGCTATTTGAAGGGTACGGTTTGAATTCATTGCTAATGGCCCATTTCGCCTGGCTAATATAATTATAGGTTCGGCGCAATCCGCAGTGGCCGAAATCGATGAGATCTTGGAGACCTTTGCTTCTCTGGCAGTATGGCTCGAGAAGGGCCAGCTTGCATCTACCTCTAACCAGCAATTCCTGAGCTGGTCCGAAACTATGCTAGGGAGAGGCGCCTTGATTGCCACCGAAACAGCCACAAACACATGCCCATACTCGGATCCCAGACATGTGGAGATTGCGCTTCGGCTCTTTAGGCTCTGGGCTGCACTACCCGCAGTGAAGCAGGGAGCTGCGCCCAACAAGGCTGCATTTGCCGACAATTCAGGAACCCTCTCACGCCCAGCAATTTGGAAATCCTACTACGGGTTCCTGACAACTGTTCTTCAAAATGACATGACCTATACACCGCCTGTCGATGGTATTGCCGAGCGCCCGCAGTTTGCAAGCGAACTTCGTCGCATCGAATCGATCTGTGAGAACAACCTTCTCCGGGAAGCTAAATTCCCTACCGCCCAGGCCAACAACTCTCAGGTTGAGGAGTGGGTGGAACAGGTTATCAGCAACTGGGAGGTGCTCTGTGGACCACACTGGCAGGATCAGGACCTCGGCGAAGGGGGCCAGAATGCCGTGGGCCGGAATGTTTTGGATGTAAGTAGAAATGATTGACATTCCTCGGCGACTACTGACAAACTCTATCCAGATCCTCTACCGCGCAGCAACAAAAACATATCACTCGCATTTGATTTTGCGACGCTTGTTTCATGTTCATTCGGCATTGGCTGACTTTGATCTCGCTGTCAAATCATTGGAATCCTATATTGAGATCGTTACTGCTGCCAAGGAAAGAGCTGCCAAGGCGGCTGAGTCGGGCGAGCTGGAGAAAGACGAAGTACTTCTACAAACGCTCTCCGAAGGTGTCTCGTTGTTGAGCTGCTTGGGTTCCTTGGAAGAGGCAGAGAAGGCCAAAGATTTGACGGATTTGATCAAAAAATTCCTTAACAAACAAGAGACTACCCTTGAAAACGGCACGGCCAATAACAGCGCACTGGTATCTGGCGACCCAAACCCCGCTAACTCATCCGATATATCACAATCTGTGCTTGCCTTGGCTAATAGGGCAGTTGGAATTGGACTTGCGAACTGGGCCAATTATACACCGCAAAACGAATCTCGAGATCTCATTCGTGGCGAAGCAATTGATTATCTCGAGAAGAGTGTGTCCCCAGAGCTGGGTAATCAATTGAGTTATGCCTCTCTCTACACATTATCACTGGTCCTTGCGGAAAATCGGGACCTGGATGCTGCAATCAGCTATGTCAAATCGGCCTTGAGTTCTCATGGCTCACCGAGCTCCGAGGATTTGTCGCACGAACGCGACCTTGTGCCTCTTTGGCATTTGCTTGCACTCTTGCTTAGTGCTAAGCAGGAGTTTGAAATCGCCGAGCGTTCTTGCGAAGCAGCCTTTGAGCAATTCCCATCGGACATATTCCCTAAGAGCAGCCGTGATCGGCGCTTCTCAAGACAAACACACTGCAAGGACCACAGTTTTACTGGCCCTAAGCGCTCGGTTCTCAGTCGGCTGTCTGGACGAGAGAAGGAACGTATCATTCAAACACGAATCTCGCAGCTTGCTTTCGTCGAGCTCATTGAGGGCCCAGAGGCTGCTGTCAACCAAACCGAGCAATTGTTGAGCTTATTCAGCACACTATTTAATGATCTGAACCTTGATAACGGGGAGACGAAGTCGAAATCGGAGCATTTGGTACCCCCCAAGAGCTCTGCAGGTACAACTAAGAGTTTTCGGAGCAGCATCTTCAGTCGAAACAGATCATCTCAGCTGCCGGACCGCCGGGTTGATCAAATGAGCGATGCACCTGTAGTGCCGCCGATCCCCAATGGACACAGCACTCCTACCGGGGCACCTGCCATTCACATCACTGACGAAGACACAAACAGTCAACAAGAGCATCAGTCATCCCTTTCACGATCTGACTCTAAGAAGTTGAGAAAACGCAGCGGCAGCCTCCACAGCAAACACGAGAGGCCTCGTGATCAAGAACCGCCCATGCCAAATGGAGCAGAAACCCCCGAGATGGTTGGCATTGCGGTATCTGGTAATGCGTCGCCTGTTTCTCAGACACCCTCACCGAGTAGAGGCAAGCAGCCACTGCAGCCTATAGCGCATAACATCCATCATAAACAACAACCAGCCCCAGCTGGCCATGAGCGTCAACCCCCTCTGCAAGATACTCGTCTGCCGGGCCCTCACCGATTCGACTCTCCGACAAATGCCATCACCAAATTTTCTACCCCACAGTCTAATAAGCATGCCCTCGGTCTGCTTGTCAAGATCTGGCTCATAATTGCCGGACTGTATCGCCGAGCCTCCTTGTTCGATGATGCTCGCGAAGCCTGTGAGGAAGCTGCTAAGCAAACCGCTCGAGTTGAAGTCATCGCCTCCACTCACGAATCCTCGGCCCGTTCCCTCGGCAAGCGTGGCTGGTGCAATGCTAAGAGCTCGGAAGAGCTCTGGGCGGATGTGTATGCCGAGCAAGGTCTTTTGGCCCAGGCTCAATCAAGACCTCACCAGGCTATCAAACAATTTGAGGACGCTCTCCTGCGTTCTCCGGATCACCCGACGGCGACTATTTGCCTCGCAAATCTTCTTCTAGATGTGTGGGACCAGACACTGCCCCTTGAACCTACAAATGCCGACGTCAACCTCGAAGCATCGCGCCTTTCACTCTTAACCGAGCTTTCCCAACCGAAGTCTGCCCGGGCCGTGTCGACTGAGGAGTTGAAGTTCACCGAAAGCGCACAAAGTTCAGAACCGAGCGAGGCTCCCATGTCGGCCCACGATGTCGACCCCAAGCACCTACACCGACTCGCTGCCCGAGACCGCGCATATAGTCTTCTATCTGCGCTTACCAAACTTGGCAGCTCTTGGGACAACTCCGATGCATGGTACGCACTCTCGCGAGCCTACGAGGCCGGCGAGCAAACCGAGAAACTCAAAGAAGTTCTTTGGTGGTGCATTGAGCTTGAGGATCGCCGACCAATCCGTCACTGGTCGAACATTGGATCCGGACTCTATGTTCTTTGAATTGGTCTAGGAACCGAAAAATGCGTGTTGCTCCTATATATTCTTGTATTTATTTGATTCTCCCCCACCCCTTCCGCTGGTTCTGGTTTTCCTCCCTTTTTATCTTCAACATTTGATATACCATGCCAATAGCAACCAATGAGGACCTAATAGCATGGCCAGGCAGACATGGTTGCCAGCGATTTCAGAAATGGAACAATACTATTCAAAGATTTTTGAAGACTTTCTCTCGCAAATCCACTAGTAGCACAACTTTATATACAATCCTCGATGCGGTATCCAGGGTAGGGTGCTAAAGATCCACCTAAAAAAAGAGTAAAAAAGGAAATAGAAACAGAGCCAAGTCAAAGTACTAAAGATAAATCCATTTTCCTGGCCCATGAATCATTGATTTACCGCGGAGCAGCAACGGGGGCCCAGGCAGAGTACTTGGGGCGGGTACTGTAGGTTGCAAGTTAGCTATTGTCCGACAAATACTAGCACTAAACCATCGTTCACACTCACGTCGAATAGGTTTTGAAGGCAGCGCGGCTCATGGTCAGGTTAGGGCGGTGCTGGGGAATTTCCCAGGTGCGCTGGCCAGGCTGCATGAGCTTGTCAGCAGTTGGGGGAGCATCAACCATGTAGGAGATCCAGGCGTGCCTGCAATCCATGTTAGCTTCTTATTGCAAATATACACACACATCGTATGCATCTCATCGGACAATGCTTACCAGCCGGGCTCGACCTGGCAGGGCATGTACTCGTGCTCCTTGTAATCGACCCATCGTGTGCGGACTATGCGGGGACAAATTGTTCAGTTATTCGCTCGCAACCGACGATTCTTCGTTCCTTCTCATCGGGCAATTGTCTTACGGGGAAGTTCCTCGGTCATGTTCTCGTAGTACTTGTTGCCGTAGCGGTCGGTTCCGATCAGAGTACCGGCCTTGGTATCACCTATGAGAGCGCGCGAATTAGTGAACCACTCCAAGCAAGCAAGACACTGCGCCAGAGTATCATACCGATGTACTGTGAAAATCAAACAAGTTTCCTGTTAGTATTTGATCCATGCCACCCAGTCCGTGTCTTGAATTCCGCGGTGTTCAATCATACAATCATCTGGTTAAGATATTCCTGTGGCAATGTGTCAGTATGCAAGCTCAGTCGCAAGGAAATGGCGGTTGACGAACCTTGAAACCAATCCGGCGCAAGTTGCGCAGAGTACGAGTGACGGTCGACATTGTGAGGGGTGCAATGGAGGGAGAAAGTGGTCCAGACGGTCCAGCGATGTCCGTCGTTGAGGAAAGCGAGGACGGCGAGGTTCACACCGCCCTGGGAGTTCTGCCGGGTCCCAGTGATTTCCCTGGGCCGAATCTGGAAGCAGTTCGGACTTTGGGAACTTTCGCAGAATTACAAATGTTCGGTCGTATTGGAGGCCAGGCACTTCGGTGCGCAGTCCGACGTCCGCTCGCTCGCCGCAAGGTTTGCGACCGCAGGTTTTCGGCCCATACAAGCTCCAATGCTGCACCTACTTCAACCCCGTCACCTCTCGGCAGTATCACCGTCGAGCTCGATCGCATTGCACCTCGATTCGAGATCCCAGCGTCGCAGGTCACTATTTTGGATTCACCGGCAGAATTCTACTCGACTTTAAAGGTATACCCCCGTGAAAACAGATCTGTGACTCCGTATCAGGCCACTGCTAACAAAATTGTTTCCTCTGCAGTCAAAAATCCTCAACGCACGCCGTCGTGTTTACCTCTCGACTCTTTACATCGGAAAGACAGAACACGAGCTCATTGAGACCTTATCACAAGCCCTACTCAACAACCCAGACCTCAAAGTATCGGTTCTCACTGATGCTTTGCGTGGCACCCGAGAAACACCCAATCCGTCCAGCGCCTCATTGTTATGCTCTCTAGTTGAGGAATATGGCCCGGAGCGAGTTGATATTCGTATGTTCCACACCCCCAATCTCACAGGATTGCGGAAGAAATGGATTCCCCGTCGAATCAATGAGGGTTGGGGTTTGCAACACATGAAGCTGTATGGAATTGACGATGAGATCATCCTTTCCGGGTATGTATGCTTCCAACACTTTGAAGGCTTGGATCCCTGAAGCTGACGAATTACCCCAGAGCAAATCTTTCTTCCGACTACTTCACAAATCGTCTCGACCGTTACCATGTGTTTAGCTCCAAGGAGCTGACCGAGTACTATGCACGCATTCACCATGCGGTCTGTAGTCTGAGTTTCCAGGTCCTACCGGATCCTCACAGCAAGGCAGGGTATCTACTGGATTGGCCCACTGCCAACGGGGCACCGTCGCCTCTTGATAGCCCTAAGGACTTTATCAGCTACTCGTCCACCGTCTTGAACCCGCTCATACAGGCATACGACAACAAACCTGTTCTTCCGTCCACCTCAAGCCAAACCTTTGTATACCCCGTCGCCCAGTTTACTCCTCTCTTGAAACCCGACAGCTCTACGGAGTTCCCAGCTGTCAGTGGTATCTTGCGCCTTCTGTCCCAATCTCCAACATTCACTGGAGCTCGCTGGCTCTTTACTGCAGGATATTTCAACATCCACCCTGTCCTTTCTTCACTCCTGATCGCCGGCACTTCTACATCCCCCCAGTCCCCGTCCTCTACACAGGGTACAGTCTTGACCGCATCGCCCTGGGCCAATGGTTTCTACGGTTCCTCGGGTATCTCAGGCATGCTCCCGGCGGCTTACACGCATCTCTCGGCACGGTTCCTCGATCGGGTCGCTGCCGCCCAAGCCACAAATTCCATCCAACTCAAAGAATGGAGGCGTGGAACCGTCGGCACACAAGGTGGCTGGACTTACCATGCCAAGGGTCTTTGGATTACCTTGCCTGGTGAAGAGAATCCTAGCCTGACTTTCGTTGGAAGTAGCAACTACACAAAGCGCAGCTACAGTCTCGATATTGAAGCCGGCGCATTGGTAGTGACAAATGACCAACAGCTGAAGCAGAAACTAGGCGAGGAAACTAGGTGGCTGCAGGAGGATGCTACGCCGGTCTCCAGGGAAGACCTGATGCGTACGGAGCGTCGAGTTGGATGGAATGTGCGACTGGCAATGTGGATTGTCGAGAAGGTCGGAGGGGCTTTGTAAGCGCCATTTTGATATAATTTTTGTAAAGTAGATTTCATCTGGGGACGTTTATTCCCCCGGCTTGTACTTATAGATTCGGCTGTCACGCCATTGAAACATACCGTAATGAATTACCATTGAAATATTAGTCAACAATTTTATCTCCCCTTGATAACCTTTCAATAGAAACTTGGACTCCTTCAATCAAATATCATAAATCCCCGCATATCAACCATTAGGACATACGCATTCATCATGTCTGATTCTGCCTCGTTCGCCTCAACACTGGTTCAAAAAAAGTGGTTTGGCTTCGACCTCGATGACACCTTGCACGAGTTCCGCAAAGCCTCCGCGCAAGCTTCACAGCGCGTTTTCGAAACAATCCACTCTCATACTGATATCGACATCGAATCTCTTAAATCAAGTTACAATGAGATCCTGCAAAGCGCGACCGCAGACGCCTTTACCGACGGGCGTACTTCAGCGGAATACCGCCGCGACAGATTTACCCGTCTTTTGCAAGCTCACGGAGTCAACGAGCTTGGTGAAGAGGATCATTACATAGCACATCTTCTGGGTGTGTACAAATCCTCTTTAAGCTCTAGCTTGGCGCTCAAATCGGGCGCCCTTCCACTCCTCCAGGCTCTCAAGCAGCGGGGTAAGAAAATCATTGTGGTGACCGAGGGCCCCGCTGATGCCCAGGAGTTGACCATCCGGGAATTGGGATTGGAGCCCTACGTTGATGTTTTGGTGACAACGAATGAGGCAGGCTGTTCGAAAGTGGATGGGTTATTCCGCGTGGTACTTGAAAAGTATGAAATCCACTCGGAGGATCTGATTTATTTCGGGGACAATGCCATTCGTGATATCCAAGCATCACAGAAGGAGGGGATTCTTGCCGTGCTTTATGATGAGGAGCAAGAAAGCCAGCTCGTCGACTTCCAGGCCTTGCGTATTAATTCGTGGGAAGCCTTGAAAGATCTACTTGGTCAAGAATAAACTGTAATATATGAATATCATCAAGACAGAACTTTTGATCTACCAGGTATATCAGGCCTAAATATGCATAGAAAGTATCTTCAAATAGAAGTTTCAAAAAAAACCAAACGCCTTTTTTTCATGACAGGGAGTTCCATTCAAAGTCGTATCATCGCGGTTCAGCGTGGATCCATTTAAGCCCGCCCAGGGACCTTGGAAGCCTCTCTAAGCCGAGCGGGTCCAAGGCCAGAGCGAACCTCATCTAGCATGCGGATTCCAATGGCCTCGTTTCCGTTGCGGCCACGCTTGTTCTTGGCTCCTCTCCGCTTGGCCTGGGCACTAGTGTTGTCATCCCAGCCGGCTAAGAAATCATCCATGACATTGTGGAAATCACTGCGTGAGACACCAGCCCCGTCGGCATTAACGAGACTAGGCGCTTGAGAGGAGGCCATGGACATTCCAGTCATGCCAGTAGCACCGGTCATGCCGCTAACCATGGACATGCTGTCGTCATATTCCTCGTCTTCCTCGTCAAGGGAGTAGAGGGCCTCAACCTTGTCGAACCGGTCGTCCAGAAGACGATGTCCCTCGGTACGCGCCAATGCGGACGAAGTCATAGAGTAGGCAGAAGGGTTGGTCAGAGCACCCTTGCGCTTCTTGCGGCGGATGGGAGTTCCACCCACTGTGAAAGCAGTGGATGCGGTCGTCAGCTGCTCAGAGGGAGCAATTGTGGGAGGAGCGGGGGCAGCAGCCTTGCCAGTCTTAGCGTCTTTCTTAAATTTGGCGAACTCGTTCATCCATCCTTGATCCTGAGGATGGATGTCTGGAGCGGGGCGGTCATGTTCAGGCATCTCGCCGGGCTCAAGGTCCTCAGCAGGCTCAAAATCTTCACTGCTGCCCATCTGCACTGGCGCCTTTTCTGTCGCGTCTGACTCCCAGCCCTCGTCTTCCTCGTCGTGGTCAAAGAGCGTATCCTCCCAATCTCCCTTCTCCATCTCCTCATTTCCACCCTTGGTCAATTCGCCGAAAACATCATCATCCTCATCATCGACGAATGCCTCATCCTCCAGGGCCTCCAGGGCCTCTCGTAGACGCGGGTCCATGTCGGGCTGGAAGCCAGCAATGGCATCGGGAACAGCTTGCTGATCCTGGTATGTTGGCTTTCGCACGTAAGATGTCGCAGTTGAGCGCATATCGCCGTACTGGGACCCCGCAACGCTAGGTCCATCGTTCAAGGAAGCCTGCGCCAAGGCATCCTCCAATCTCATGCCCTTGACCTTGCCCTTTCCCTTCTCAGGCTTGGCCTCCACGAAGTGTGCATCGCCGGCACCAGTACCCAGTTCGCGCAAATGCTGCATGTAATCATACCGGGAGTCGTCAAAGTAGACGCCATAGTTGGCGGCTTCTCCTCGTTGCGACGGATCGCCTCTTTCGTGAATTCAGACTGGAGTTCGGAGAGGTTACGGGAGGGCTTTTGAGATGTTGTCGAGGCCGATGAAGGTGCCGGCGCAGGGCCGCCGACGTGGTGGAGGACTCGATCCTCCGCTTCGGGGTCGTGGATCAACGGATCCTGTTGGGAACGGTGGAAGAGCTGGAATGTGCTCGCATTTTTCTTGTCGCTAGATGTAAGTTAGAACAATATCTCCAAGCGCGCATAGCTTTATAACACGTACATCCACTGGCGGGGCGGCATATTGGCGGTATTGGTCTTGGGGATTTTTTTCCCTGGATGAACGAAAAAAGTGGGATAGATACCCAGTCACGTGGGGCTTATCTGCCTGAACCCCTCGGGTCCTCAAAAGGTGGCGACCTGACAGAAATGAGAATTTTCACAGATTCACCACAAGAAGAAGATGGTTTCAATTATACAAACGTAGAACTTGGACCCTAAGATCAGGATTAAAAAATCCGAATATCCGATTCCTCGTGTAAACATCACTCTAGACGAATAATCAAGATCAATACCATGGTGCATTAGTCAGCGTTATCTTATCCGCCTAAATCTTTTTTGAATTATTCAGGCGGGGTTATATTCCAAATCTTGGACTTCCACCATTTCTTCCATTCAGAGCTGCACCATATACTCCATCCACCATGGTGCTCGCAAAGTCCAAGAATGCCGTCGGGCTGGGTAACAGTCTTATGAACGATCGTTTCGGCAAAGGCAAAGCCTCGAAGGAGAAAAAGGCCTCGCACAACGGCGCCATCGCGCGTAAGGGTATCAACGGCGAAACCTACATTACCAATGCCTCCGAAGATGCCTCCTGGGTGAAGATGCGCTCTATCACTGAGCAGGCTGCCCTCGATGAGTTCCTTAGCACTGCCGAACTGGCCGGTACCGATTTCACCGCCGAAAAAATGAGCAACGTCAAGATCATCCATACCGACCAGAAGAACCCTTACCTCCTGTCTGCCTCCGAAGAGAAGAAGATTGCCAAGAAGCACAAAGAGAACAAGGCTCGCTTGACGGTGCCCCGACGACCCAAGTGGGACAAGACGACCACACCGGCACAGTTGGAGATGGCGGAGCGTGAGAGTCTGTTGAACTGGCGGCGTGGATTGGCGGAAATGCAGGAGAACCAGGATCTGTTGATGACCCCCTTCGAGCGAAACTTGGAGGTTTGGCGTCAGCTATGGCGTGTTATTGAGCGCTCGGATCTTATCGTGCAGATTGTCGATGCGCGAAACCCACTGCAGTTCCGTTCGGAGGATCTGGAGAACTACGTAAAGGAGATTGACCCTCGCAAGAAGAACTTGCTGTTGGTCAACAAGGCTGACATGCTGAGTGATAAACAACGAGAGGCTTGGGCCGAGTATTTCGAGGAGCACAGCATCAATTTCCGTTTCTTCTCTGCGCATCTCGCTAAGGAGAAGATCGAGGCTCAGTTGTTGGAGGAGGAGGCAGGCGGCCAGTCCAGCAGTGAGGAGGAAGAGGAGGAGGAGGAGGAGCTTGCTGCGTCTACAAAGAAGATGAACGTTGAAGACGAGGCTGACGAGGAGGCTTCCGGTGAGGCTGATGAGCAGGAGAAGGAGCAGAAGGCCGAGGCCGCCGCTAAGCTGGCTGACCCCGAGCAGTCCCTCGGTGCCCACATCCTAGACGTGGAAGAACTGGAGGAACTTTTCCTTGCCCACATCCCTGAGAAGCTTCAACACGAGGATTCTTCAGAGGAATCCAAACTGAAAACCACTATTGGTCTGGTCGGTTACCCCAACGTGGGTAAGTCCAGTACCATCAACGCTCTGCTTGGTGCCAAGAAGGTGTCTGTTTCCGCCACCCCCGGTAAGACCAAGCACTTCCAGACTCTGTACCTGTCCCCAGAGATCATGCTGTGCGATTGTCCCGGTCTGGTGTTCCCCAACTTTGCCTCCACCAAGGCCGACCTCGTGGTCAACGGTGTCCTGCCAATCGACCAGCAGCGCGAGTTCACCGGTCCCGCCGGCCTCGTCGCCAAACGTGTACCAAAGTCTTTCATCGAGATGGTTTACGGTCTTAAGATCAGGACTCGTCCCGTCGAAGAGGGAGGTACTGGTATCCCTACCGCTAGCGACATCCTCCGTTCCTATGCCCGCGCCCGTGGTTTCTCGACACAAGGTCTGGGTCAACCCGATGAATCTCGTGCTGCCCGCTATGTCCTCAAGGACTACGTGAATGGAAAGCTCCTCTTCGTGCACCCTCCTCCTCGGCCCGAGAACGAAGAGCCCACCGACCCCAACCTATTCAACAAAGAGCTTTACGATCTCGCCCATCTCCCAGAGAAACGTCAAGCCATGCTCGCCGGTGCGATGGCGGACCTTGATGCCAGTGTTGACTCCGACATCTCCGCACTTGTTGCCGGTAAAAATGAATTTGGTGCTCGCTCCCGCAATATCGACACCGGTTTCTTCGGCTCTGCCACAGGACCCTCCGCCGGCCGCCTGAGCGTACCATTCAACCACAAGTATACCGACCAGGGCCAGCAAATGCGCACGAACGTCACGGGCCGCAAGGAACGCATGATGATTGCGCTGGAGCGCGGTATCGATGTTTCGGAGGTTCGCAGTTCCGGCTCCAAGAAACATAACAAGGCCAACAAGAAACGGGCCAAGCACGTGCGCAATAACCCCGTCGACGATGATTACAACTAAAAAGTTTTGCCTCCTTTTTTCCCCTTTCTTTGCTCTTTTCACGATGGACATATGAACCCTCTTCTTTACGTTTTGATATCAGCTATGTGCTCATGTTTTTTTTCTTTCTCCTCTTCATGGCACAAAGGCACTGTGACGCTTTGGCAGGGGATTGGAGATACGAATTTCTCAAGTCATGTTCATTTTTGAAGTTACTCTAGACATTTGCAGGCGTTTGGGGTCCATTTAGTACGAGTTAAATCTACTTATCAATGACCAATTCTCATGACAGTAAAAGTAACAGTAAAAGTACAACTTGAAGTGAGAGAGGCAGAGGAAACTTGGAAGTAAACTTGTCTTTCGTAAGAGGAATTCATTCATACTTTGTAACAACTACCCCGCATTGAGCAAGTGGCACTATAATATCACAGGTCTATTTACAGGTGACTCTTAATCTTAAAACCAGCAGCCGAAAGCAGACGATCCGACTCCTCGCGCTGCCACTTCAGCTTAGCAGCAATAGCGTCCTTGCGCGAGCGGTTTTCCCTGCGACCAAGTTGCTGCAAGTGAACCTCATCAGGACCATCAGCGATCCGCAATGTACGGATACCAGCCCAGAGGTAGGCAAGAGGGGTATCCTGGCAGACACCAGCAGCACCGTAAGACTGAATAGCGCGATCAATGATAGTCAGCGCAGTCTGAGGGACCAGGACCTTCGCCTGGGCAATCTCCTTCAAGGCAGACTTAGCATCGCCCTGGTCGATCTTAATAGCGGCGTTTAGAACGATCAAGCGGGCCGAATCAACCTCAATCCGCGACTTGGCAACCCATTCCAGGATAACGCCGTGCGAGGCGAGGGGCTTGCCAAAGGTCTGCTTTTTGTCGTCGTTGATGCGGTTGATCATCCACTCGAGAGCTTTCTCGGCGGCACCGATCGTGCGCATGGCGTGGTGGATGCGGCCGGGGCCAAGGCGGCCCTGGATGATCTCGAATCCACGGCCCTCGCCGAGGACCATGGCAGAGAGGGGAACGCGGACGTTCTCGAAAGTGATGTGGCCGTGTCCGTGGGGGGGCGTCGTCGTAGCCGTAGACGTGCAGCATGCGGTTGACAGTGATACCGCGGGTGCCAGCGGGCACCAGGACGACAGATTGCTGCTTGTAGGTGTCGCTGTTGTTGGGGTCGGTCTTGCCCATGACCAGGTAGATCTGGCAGCGGGGGTCACCGGCGCCAGAAGACCACCATTTCTGTAAATGATCAATCGTCAGTGGATGTTCTAGCGGGAATGACGAGAGAGACTGGAGAGGAAATACTTACGGATCCATTGAGGACATACTCATTGCCCTCGCGGCGGATGTCCAGCTCGATGTTGGTGGCATCGCTAGACGCAACATCGGGCTCGGTCATCAGGAAAGCAGAACGGATCTTGCCCTCCAGCAGGGGAACCAGCCATTGCTGCTTCTGGGCATCATTGCCGTACTTGGCCAGCACCTCCATGTTACCAGTATCCGGGGCGGCATTGTTGGTGGCCTCGGAGGCGATCTTGCTCTTACCAAGGAGCTCGGCCATCAAGCCATACTCGAGGTTTGAGAAGCCAGCACCTTGCTTGAAGTGAGTCTTGGACAGGAACATGTTCCACAGGCCGAGCTTCTTGGCCTTCTCCTTCAGCTGCTCCATGATGATGGGGGTGGTTTGCCATCGCTTTTCACCTTCGCCCAGCTCGGCAGAGAAGACAGCATCGCCGGGGATACAATCCTTCTCGACGAACTCCTCGACCTAGTAGAAAGGGAAGTGTTAGCTTGGGATCGGGTATCAAAGCCCGAAATACCGGGGCATAGATGGGTAGCCACAATAGTGTGAGAGAGAGGGGAAAGAGGGGAAGTTACCAAGTCGAGAGTCTTCTTAGCCCGTTCGCTAACGAAGGGCTGGGCGATAGGAGGAATACGGGTTGAGGCAGACATAATGGGATGATGAGGAGTGAAAGAGCTGTGGGCTACAACGCTGAATATAAGTTGGCCCATCGAGGATTGCGGAGTAGCGCGGTGTGGAGAAAGCCGAGCAACGCGGGCATTTTGCCTCGGCCCAACGACGCTTTTGGTCACTTTGGTTACTTTGAACACCACACCACCCCCCATTAATGAGAGACATCTTCGGCTATGATGAATTCTAGTCCCTTGAAATAAAAAGTATGGGCTGCTGATTTGATTCCACCGGATTAGAGACCCCCCCTATCTAGCGCAAGTATCTCGCAAGCCTCTCGCAAGCTGGCCCCATCATCCTTAGCCGGCCTGCCGACGGCATCTCACTAAAGGTGACCTCGGGCAGATCTCCGGCCTTAATACGAGATACGTGAGAAGTAAAAAAAAAGTAATAAAGAAAAGCTACCCCTCATGACACACCCAGCTCATGCATGTATCACATATCCAATTGCTCCTAAACCAGTCCCGAAGGAACAAATTACCAGAATTCCGTAGCCTGAAACCCCCGAATACACACAAAAAAAGATAAAGATCCAACATAAAAAACCGATTGAATCACACAGAAGAAAGCAGAAGACATTGCGGGTCATGACAAAAGAAACAACAAACACAAGAGAAAGAGCCACGGTCGCAGAGTCCGCTCCTCATCCAATCTATCCCAACCTCCGATATACCTACCCTACTACACAGGATGGATGGTGGATCGTTCCATCGAGAACGACCAGCGTCACAGAGATGGGAACCCAAAGTATAGGTTAATAGAGGACGAGAAGTTCGGATGGAAGACTATCCGCGACAGAGACTCCATTCCCAAAAAGGAACAGCTGTCTATTCGACTGTGCGGCTTTGCTCGGCGGATGATTGCTCATAGCTCTTCTTCCCGAGCTTCGCGAACAGTGACTGTGGCTTGCCAGCACTAAAGAAAAACAAATATTAGCCTGGACTCGTAGGGTTGATATCATCGTCAGTTTCGACGTACTTCTTGAAACGCTTGCCCTTGATATCACTCAATTTCTTCGTGCAGGGGCTCATGATGTCGTCTGAGGGCGAAACGTAGGCGGTTGGTCTAGAAACAACGTTAGCACCATGATCAAGCTGAACTGCGGCCACTCGTCTCGTCTTGGGAGGAACTCACTTCTCGCCGCTATCCAACTTGTCCTGCAGCATTTGACGGTGCTGCTCCATTGATGAGAGGTCTGCAGACTTAAGATCTGCCTTGTCGGTGTTGACGTTGGCCAGGTGGGTGTTGGTTGGGCGGTCCGCGAGGGGCTGCGCGTGTGTTGTGGCGTCCATTTTAGATCGAGGGGAGGAGACAGGAGTGGGATATAGAGGGGTTTGGAGGTCTTGGAGTAATCTTTCTTGGGGTCTTGTTTTCACGCGAAGTGCAGATGGCAAGATCAGGGAGATTCAGTGTGGATCGGATAAGAAGAAAAAACGTGCGGCTTGGAGGGTTGGTGCAGGTGGATGAAAAATGCGGTTCGATTGTTGGCCTGGCAACGCGAGCCCCGGAGATGTTCAGAGGGGATGACGCACCATTCCTTGGGGTTTGGTTGTTTTTGGTCCGGGGCAAATTACCGACTACACTTCTTAGGTAGGCACTCCTCTTATTTGTTTTGCTTTGCAATTTAAGTTACTTAGAGAATTCGATTGAGCATGTATGAATTTGAATAGTACATGTTTACATCGTACAGTGGGAATCTGATCGTAGTCATCCGAAACATTAACACTCGCCAGACCGAGACAAGGCGAAAAAAGATACCTGGAGAATGCAAAGGGGGAAAAATAAAACAATAACTTCCAGAAAACGCCAATAGATCATGAGAAATAATCCCAAATGCACAAGAATATGCGGGCGCTCGGCAAACATCAAAGGGACATGAAAGGTGTGGTGTGTTGGGCCAGCCAACGTGGAGCATTACGCCCCTGGTGTTTCTGTGGGGCCAGGGCTAGTGAAATGACTTGAAAGATCATCGAGCATTATGACGTCCGCGGCGGGTCTTCATCTGAGGGTGTCGAGGCCTGGACCTCGGACGATAATATCCCGTCATCCTCTGCCCCATTCAGGTCAAGATCCGTCGTATGACCGTTCAATACAGGTGGCGTACTATGCGACCGGTAATGTGGGCTTCCGAGTATAGTTAATTTGATCGAGTCGGGAGATTGCGGTTGATCGCAATCAGCCTTGTCGTCCCCCAATTCCCGTTCCACGTCAGAGGTCGGGGTCGGCGGGATATAGGCAACATCCGGGCTAACGGGGCAATCCTGAGAGGATGATGTATCTGAAATGTTTCGCTGATGGCCACCATTCTGTCGGTACGAGGAAGTTGGCCGCGTAGATCCAGGGCTGGCTGATGGAGATGCATAGATAGGAGATGAGGATCGCAAACTATACGAACGGGCGACCATCCGTTGGACACGAGGAAACTCCATGTAATTGCTCACTGAGCCGCGTGAAAACAGAACGAGGGCGAAACAGCACATGACCATTATGCTTTGAATCACGATGACTCGTTTCTGAAAAACAAGCTCGTCGGCCAGAACGCCCAATTGGGCACTGAGCGAATGGACCTCTTGATGGTAGCGAACGCGCTGGTGTTCAAATTCAAAGGCGACTGATTTCCAAACGTGGTCATATTGTTCACGGAATTCCTTAAGCTCGTTCAGGACAGTGACATTCAAGTTCTCAAGGAAAGTGGAGGTCTTCGATAGTTGACGTTTTTCAACCTTATTGAACGCGTCACGAAGAATCCGAGACTGTTCCTCAATATAAAGCAATGACAGGGTAGAGTTAGACTCGAGCATTTGCAGCCGCTTGTGAACAGATTTGAAAAAGGATTCTTGGGTAGTCGGGTTTGAAGAGGGTGGTTGTGTTGAGGTTGGTCTGGTGGATTCTTGAGGCGGGTTTTGCTGTTCTTCCTTGGGGTTCGTAGTCGATCTTCCTGTGCTTTCGACGGTAGCATCCTGCTGCGCCGGCTCTGCAGCTGCGACAGAAGCATCCGGGGTCGTTGTTATAGCTTTGGGGGAGTCGCTCGCCTTCCGGGCATCATCAGCAGCCTTTGGCGGGACAGAGCCTGAATTTGTAGCAGGTGCATTGTCCCTCGGTATGAAGGTGAAGTTCACATCAGATTGAGTGACAGTCCGTCCCGTGGAAGGCGTACCTTCTTGAGCTGATTGCACAGACGGCTTCTCATCAAGAACGCATCTTTCAACAGAAAGGCCCAGCAGAACCGCCTCGATCTCCGTAAGAGGGTTAGGACATAGCTCTGCCTTAATCGGCTCGCGAGGAGGCTCTTCCCCTTGGGGCTGAACTTGTTCAGCTTCCAGCTCTTCAATATGCTGGCTTTCTTGAGTCGGCTGCTCAGCCTCGGCCTCGGCCTCGTCTTCAGCGTCAGTCTGACCATGGCTTTCATCGTGTTTATACTCCTCCATCATGGTCGTGCCATGGATGCGGACTAAACTGACGGGACAGTAGAACTCATGGCCATAATGAGTCAAGAATTCGATACGAAGGTATCGAGCCCAAATCAACGAATTCTGCACCGCAAATGCCTGCACTTCGCGAGAATTTCGGGCTTCGTAAACTCCTAGCTCTTTCCACTGATCCGGCTTCGCTGGATATCGATCCGAAACACTGACCCGGAAAGTATGAAAGATCGAACTGAAGAACTCGTAGTTCGCCAGCACCACCGTATCCACCAAAATATCATCGCACAACTCAAGAATTAGAAACTTATTCTGGGCGCGGCATTCGTTCAACATGTAACTATCCTTATTCTCAACAAGGATAGCTGATGAGCCCTTTGACTCGGAATTCGTCTTGAGCACCGTAGCCGCACAATCGAAGGACGCGTAATTGAACCGCTCTTTGCACGTAACGCCTGCATCTTTTCGGCGCGATATCTCCGTTTGTGCTGTGCCCTGTCTCCCGACATCACGGTTGGCATTTCGCTCCGAATGATCAGCCTCTTGCGAGGAAATCGGCGCCCCCCCAGGCCGTCGGACTTGCCTCGGGCGTCTCACCGAACCCACCAAAGTCTAACTCAATCTCCCCATCGTCCCCCAGTGCGTCCAAGGCATTATTGATTCCCGGTTGGCGGCTAGTGTCCTTCCCAGCTCCAACTGATCGTCGGTTCCCTCTCACATTATCAGCAGATTGGCCAACCTTGGCCAAATTTTGTTTCTTCCAGTCTTCGAACGAAAGGAAGCTCGCACTATCAAGTAACGAGTCTGCCTCATGTTCCTGCTCTGTATTTGGTGCCACTGCAGCCACTGTAGGCTCCTCGGGTGTTGTAGCAGAACCAGGAGCGGCAGTATCATTTCCTACAATACTGGATGCTGCCGAGTCGGATTGTAGCCACTCTCGACCCCGCCCCCAGCGAGTCTCTAGGCATACAGGACCCCGAAAGAGCTCTGCCTCGGTCTCCCAAATACTTTTTGCCGGACATGTATTCCTTGCCGACACCGCATCGCCAGAATATTGAGTATAGTCCGGAGTAGCCAAGGTCCCCGCCGCTAAAAGCACAGGTATAATAAGGGTCGAAGCATGGCGTATCCACCCCAGCCTCACAGCTACCATTGTGTCCTGTAGGCAAGAGAAGCTCTGCACAGTGGTGTGGTGAGACCCTATCTTCCCCCAGCCACGCGTAATATCCCGTCGGTATTTTATTTCTCGTTGTTTAATGGTCCGATATGTCGGTGAATGTAGCCCTGTACTCGTGGCTGTTTTCGCACCCAGGAAATTTGATTTATGAGAAGCGCATCGTCGACTTGATAGCGAGACCTATCGCGAGCTTGGACTCTATGTTCTGGGGACGAGGTGAGGACGAGAGTGGCGGGTGAGGGGTAACTAGGACGGGAGGGTGCTAAGGATCGAGTGGAGGCGATATCGGGGCTAGTAGCGATATTGAAGAGACGGTGAATAATTTGGAGTTTGGGAAGCAAGCGAAGCGACCAGCCTCGGTGAGAATGCGAGAAGTGGACCTGGTGGCATCTCAACGGTTGGCCCGGGGTCACCGCCTGCCTCACCGCCGGTTGAACTAGTTATTAGCTACAGTAGTAGTATCTATAGCTACCTTGAAGGTTTACGGGACGATAGTGAAATTATGGATAAGTTATAATTGTGTCATAGGGGCTATTCGAATTTTCTTCCTAAATTTTATTTCTAGCTGGTAAAGTCAAGCTCAAGCTCAAGCTTAAGGTGCGAGCGTAATGCGACGCAGGCGCACAAGTGCCGACGCTACTGCAGACCCACCTGGGCCGAGACGACCTTGAACAAAAAGTACCTGAAACCACCCTTTGTTCCAAGTCATAAGATACGAGGTACGTGATAAAATGGCAATACAATCTTCATAGAGGGTGTTTCCCATTTGACATCTCTTGGCTAGTAACAGTACATGATTGGCTTCGGTACATTTGTCAAACAGAACGACGACCGGATTTCTATCCTCCTTCCAGGACTTCCACCACATCATCCTCATCCTTAACAGCAGCTTGCTTTTTTTTTCCCAGTCGCATTTAGTCCGTATGCAATAAAAAAAAAGAGAAATTCCTCCCCAAAACAAATCCTCCCGCCTTCTAGTCTTTTTGGTGCTCGGCGCCTCCGTACCCTCTTATCACCCACGACCCAGTATAGTACATGAAGGGGAGAAGAGAAGAACGAAAATCTGGTCGGACCGGTAGGGGATATAGTCGACCCGAGACGTAGACACAAGTGCCTTCGCCGGTTGGGAGAGCAGGAGACACCGGCAAACACAAAGCCGAAAACAGAAAGTGATAAAAACGATTGCGAATTAGTTTATTGTTGGTAATTTTTGAACTTTTTTCCCAACTGAATCGAAACAAACTTGCGCAATAGGACGTATGGGCGACGAGGATTAAAAAAAGCATTGATGTGGTCGAGAAGAGAACGCAGGCATATTATTATGCTACAGGTGGAGGTCATGCCATCCGCCCACGAGATCAAGATCGTCATCAAGAGTGCTGTCATAGTGGAGAGGGAACTTGACTGGAGCAGGAGGAAGCTTAGAAGATTCCGCATTGTCACGGCGCCAATCTTTCTCCATGTACAGTCGACGACGACGGTCGGGTGGGGGAGAATCACGCTTAGGTCGGCCTCCATGGTCGAATCCAGAAGAGCCGAGGCCCCAATCGCTTCGCCAGTTGTTCGCCGCTCGCTGAGGGCCGAAGGGCTCACGGGTTTGGCAATTGCGGCGTTTGTCACCCAGCTGCGACCACTTATCCAGGTTGGATTTCTTGGGCGATTCCTGGTGAAGAGGTCGAGGCGTGCTGCTGGAAGTACCCGCATCGCTGTCGATCTCGAAGGGCTTGGACTGGATGGCACGGGGGGCACTGAGCTGATTTTCCATTGGTATGGCGTCACTTGGAAGAGCGGAGTCCAGCTCGCGCAATTCGGACAGGGGACTCGATGGCGAGTTCCGACTTTCTTGGCTCCAGCTACGAGAGTTCTGCTCGTGTCGTTGCTGAATGGCCATGTCCTCATTCTCCGATTCCTCCTCATCCCAGAGATCACTCCAGCTCTTGGAGATCTGATCGCTGTTGGAATTCTTACCGAAAACCATGGCAAGAGAAGGAAGGGGTTTAGTAGTGTGACTTGGTAGGGAACCAGTGATTGGAACTGGGTCGGATCGAGGGAGGACGGGTCCACGGGCCTTCAGATGCAGAGGATTGAAGGAACGAAAGGACTCACCCATCGCCGAGTCCAAAACAGAAGCCATAGACGGAGTGTCGAGGTGAGCCGAGAACCAGGATGTACCCGCGGCCTCCGAAGGAGGAAAGAGATCTTCCGTGTAGCTTTCGTTGTCCGGGATGACGGACAATTGGCGGGAGGCCTGGGCAGGGCTCGACTTGAGCATCTGGGTCCAGGGGAACGAATCACCTTGGTTGATGGCAGGGCTCTGGATGGAAGGTGTGCGGAGAGGCTCGCGGTTAGCACTGGCGGTGACAATGTCGCGATCCTCGGTGCAGAACTCGTCAAGGGACTCATCATCGGTGGTGAAGGAGACAGCGCGCAAGATACCATCGCGCACATCCGACAGGGACCGTTTCGCTGGGTCAATAGCCAGCGCATGAGTCAGGATTTCAAAAGTATCCTGAGACATGTTGGGGAAAATGTCAAACAACGACTGGCGATCGCGCACGTAGTCCGAGAAAAGAACATCAGACTCCGTGGGAGCAGTAAAGGGGTTGCGAGAAAATAGAATATTCAATAAACAGATGCCGACAGACCAGATGTCGGCTTGGGCGGGAGAATACCCGGTAGAGTGGGGCTCATATTGTTCGGGAGCCATATAACGATCACTTCCGACGCAGGCCTCGTGGCACAAGGATTCACGGGTTGCCAGACCAAAATCACCAAGCTTCATCGAGCCATCGGACATCAGAAAGATGTTCTCGGGCTTGATGTCACGGTGGTAGAGGCCGTTGGCGTGCATGAATTCGACGGCACTGAGAAGCTGAAGCATAATATCGCGGACATGCTCGGTTTCCAGGGGGCCACGATCGTGACGAATGGCTTCGTAGAGATCACCGTTGGCACAGTACTCCAAGACGAGGTACATGTGAGCTTCAGTCTCAAAAGAGTGGATCAAGTTGACCAGGTTCTTATGTTGACCAAAGCGGCGATGAGCTTCCAACTCTTCGAACTGATCATCCATCGGAAACGGAGTTGAAGAGTCAGTGGCGGCATTCTTGGTCAAACACTTGATGGCAACATCTTGACCGGTCGTTGTGTCTGTGGCCAAGAAGACCATACCGAATGATCCATGATTGAGTGGGGCAATGGTGCGGAAACGACCATCCAGGATGCGATCCTTTTCAAAATTGTCCCGGAAACAATCCATGTGTGCTGACATGATGTGATTGATATATCTCAAAGAAGAGACGATATGTGGAAAGTAGGGTATGCGAATGGGTCGATGCAATAGTAAAGAGTAATGGCACGGACGGTAGAAGAAAAATCTATGAACCGCTCGAAAGCACACACGTGGAAGGCACGCGTCAAACAGCAACCAGGCTTATGAGGGTGATTAATAGTCAAGAAGAGAAGAGTTCGGACCTGAATCTCAACGGCGAGAGGATTCAGAGTGAGGTCGAAATCGGAACGGGGTGAGGGATTTCGAGAACTCGAATGGATCATAAAAATATACGGGAGGTGAAGAAATTTGATAGATAGACAAGGAAAGGTGAAAAGACGAGACGGCGCAGGGCGCGGTTGAATGTGGTTTACCCGGGTGGGTAATGACGCTTCAAGGAAAATGTGTAAAGACCGTTATGTGCTCATTTGTATGTCGTATTCGTTTGTTGGAGGGCGGTGTTGACGGCCTCACAGGGGACGAAAGAAAGAAATGTGTCACGAAGGAATGGACAGAGGTTGGCAGTTGACAATGTTGCAAAGTTGTTGAGAAGTGGCCTGAAAGACGAACGGTGGAATTGAAGATAAGTATTTGAGTTGAGTTTTCGCTGCGTAAGATCGTAATTGAGAAAAGAGATGAAGCAAAGAAGTCGAAAGGAGCCTTTGAACACCGGGTTCAAGGGTTGGAGCGGCCGGGACTCTGGTTGGAGTTGTTGAGATTAATGAGTCATGAGGAGGCCGATTGAAGAAATGGAGAATTTGGACGAGAAATCGACGAGAACAAAGAATTCTAATCGAGTGACAGTTCGAAACGAGGAGATCAAGCTTGGGAGGCAAGATTCTCGAGTCGAAAGAGTCAGATGGGGATCCTGGGGGAGCGCCTTTATATTCCGAAGAGCGGAAGAGCCGGAGTACTCAAGACCAGGTTCCCGAACCGGGCAACAAGCTTGTTGTACAGTCGGTTGAGCGTAGATGGAAGGTATCAAAGATCCACGGATGGAGGCTTTCGTGAAGATTGGCAGGGACGAAAGCAACACGAATCTGAATCGTCGAGCTGTTACAAGACAGACAAGAACGAAGAGATGTTTGTTCGGATTCCAGGGTATATTCCAGAAGGAAACAAATGGAATGGAGAGAGCTGGAACGGGGGGGGAGGATAGCGCTCTTCAACAAAGGTATCGAATCAAGCGATATATGAAGTGGTTGGCTGATCGCAGTAGGCAGAGCGCTTGTGTCCCGGGTAAGGCGTATAGGGATGAGAGAAGGAGGAGTGGCGAAGTAGAAGTGGAAGGAGACGGAAGGCGAAAGAGAGGGGGAACGAGGGAAGAGTAGGACGAAGAAAGGAGATGGAGATGAAGATGAAGGAGGAGAAGGAGAGAAAGGAACAGGAGGGATTGCGTCGAGGGAAGTGGTTAAGAAAGTTAGAGAGGGAAGGGACGATCAGGAGTCACGGCAGTCACGACCACTACTTGAGTCACCCTGGACGGGTCTCCCCCCATACAGTAGTCTACGGAGTTACTCACTCAGTCCCCAGTGGGTCCCCCCCCCCCCCATTACCATACACGTATGGAACAAGTCCTCAGTGGGTCTTAGATCGACACAGCCTTCATAACCATTGGAACTTTCCGGGGCCCACGGGCTACTGCACACGGTATTGTATGGAAACGGCCTTTCTCGTACCGCCACGCAATCCCGAGGCTGCCATCTTCATGAACCTTCCAGACATTCCATGACCCTTGGGCGGCGTCACTCCAATCCCAGTTAGGATAGTGGGAGTTCCTACAGTATGTCACCGCATGTCATATGGCAACAAGATTCTTGTACGCTCTAAAATTCCAGCCATTTCATTTCCATTATTTACGAATGTATAGTATGGGTGGGAGAAGGTGTACACTTCAGTGACTCTATCTTGGGCAGCAGTACCAGTCTATCGCCATATCACTATTGTTGATCGGCATACAACAGACCAATCCATGGTTGTCTCCTCCACACCACTTCCAGTCGGGACCTGCAGTACGGAGTCTTGAGTAAAGTTCTGCACCTTTCCAGTGAGAGCAGCATATTGCATCAGCAGGGGCAGTCTCCTCGTCTCTCTCTCTCTTTCTCTCTCCCCCAACTCTCAACTCTTCGCGGCCGAGGGCGGATCCAGGTGGCGCACTAAACCCAATGCGGTGGATTGCGCAGCGGAGTCTGGGGCAACGACCAATGGATGCCTGTTTATGAAGCACTATTTCCAGGCTGCATGACGCGATGGATGGGGCATGGCGTGATTCCCTATGATTGGTGACCCAGTCGGCCCCCTACTGCAGGCCCCGGAGTTTCTTTGCCGGCAGGTACTGAATGTACTGCATAGGCTTTGTCCCGAAAGCTGTGATTACTCTGCTACTGCTACTGCCACTGCCACTGCCCACCACAACATGAGAACCTTTGGGAAAGTATGGGGCCGAAGCCACGATGCGATTTGGCCCCATCTATCTTCCTATCGCCCTGCCGCTATCTTTGGTATCACCCTATGGGACCCGAGGCTATCTCATTCTACGCGCCCAGTATACTTAGCAAGCAAGATAACAGGACAAGAACATGGGATATCCTATGCATCCATGTCCATGGCTGCGCAATCATTGCCCTATGGTACAAGGCCGAGGTTCCAGATAGCGCCCTGTTACACACCATGGTGCCGCCCATGCTGGATTCTGGCGCGCGGATTCTTGAGACACATATTGTCTGACCCAGTCCACCTCTTTGCGGGGTTCGGTCCATTCAGCGATGTCGATAATTTTATGTACATTGTAGATTCATCAGCATTGCTGATCCGATTCAGTGGACCGTTGACTCCCCTCCTTACTGGGGGAGGGATAACCCAAAAAAAGAGAAAGACACGTATTACAATTGAGTACGAAGTACCTACTCCGTACATGTACGGAATATGGATCTATCAGAGTGTGGAGCGGGCTTCCCCGTGGTGACTGCCACGATCGAGTCAACATCAACCACCACACGCAAGCCAACCTGTCTATGTACAGTATATACATCCTTCTCCCAACCACCCTGCCCCGTGTTTGGACACCCACGCAGCCCACGGATCTCCCTCCCGGTGCCGTGAATCCAGCGGTGAAGGGAGGAGTTCTAGCCCTCCACTGACCGCCTCCTGCGAGGGCCTGCAAGGTTTGTCCTTGCATCCGGGCGAGGCATTTCTCTGAGTGGCACGATTCGCTACGCTCATGACGTGGTTTCACAACCATCACGCGATGGCCTTCCTCAACCCTCCTTCGTTTCCTCGGTGATGTGATCTCGACCACCCTTCTTCTTCTTTGGTACGAATGTGAAGCTATATCGTGATCGCGGAAGATCTGGTCCGCCGAATGGCGATTCCATGTCAACACGCAATATACAGTAGCAGGGGCGAGATCTTCCATGGCGTGCACGACTCTGTTTTGGGTGTGTCTAGAGGCAGCCCTCCCTTCCGGTTCCCTCCATCGGCCGTCGCCGTTGACTCCCTCCCCTCCCTGCCTTCGCCGATACCAAGTCAATCGATGCAGGTAGGTTTCGTCATTTAGGTTGAATGGGTTCGGTGCAAGCCTGCACGGCACGGAGACGGGCAGAGTCGCGCGGGTTGAGTCTCAAACGCGCCGAGAAAATCTATCTCCTTCAGGGCGACCGTGATAGCCTTTCTCAGGTCTATCCTAGATACATACTCCGCTGAAGGTCGTCTCCCATGGGATACCCCGTAGTACACCTACTCCATCCTATAGACCGTAGAATCCACCCCCTCGGGACCAACTCATCCCCCTCCTCCCGTCATGGTGATCATTGATGATCCTACGATTCCATGGGTTGCAACGTGTCCGCTTTTTGGGGGCATGTTCGGCAAATCACTCTTTTCAGAGATTGCTCGTCTGGTCGATCAACCTGAGACGGAATCCGACTCCGACTCCGACCTACTGGGTTCACATTCGATGACATCGCCGCCATCAACATGATGTGCGATATGATTTGGATATGCAATATGTGTTATCGAGGGTGTGATTCCATATGCGATATTGACTGCGAGTGGCGAGCTGTCCCATAGGATATTTATGATTCGAGACCTGAAGAGGCCGTCATGGCCATCTGTTCCCGGGAGGAGTTATCTATGGTTTACAGGGAGTAGACTCCGCGATCCGCGATAACGGGAGTTTCCAAAGTGAATCTAACTCGGTCTAACGGGTTCCCAAGGGCTGTGGTAGGCTAAAGATAAACTTGATAACTTGTCTAAAGTTCCCCTCCGTACGGAATAATGGTAAGTTAGAAGGGGAGCGAGCCATGGAACAGGATGGGTTGTTATCGCCCTGATTTTGGGCCTATCGCTTTACCCCGCACGATCGTCATTCCGAAGTCATCTCCGGACGAATTCTAAATTCTGATGGGAAAGGGGGTTATGTGTCCGCCGATAATGGAAGTATGTTTTGACCTGAGCTGACCTTTGTCTGGTAGTTATTCAAGGGAAGGGAGGGGGAGGAGAGGTCAGCTTAGGTAGATCACAAAGGTACCCCCCCCTATCCTAGATTGGACTAGGGAGACCCTATATCTGCGACTTGATATAATAATGATCTCACTGCTTCGTCCTCCGTCCTCCGTTCCAGATGGATGTACGTATCTCATCCCACTACTCCCTTTTTCCTCTAAGCGCTCGAGCCAGAAAGACCGGGGGGGGATAGCAGTGACACCCATCGTCTCACCTTGGGGCCAAGGGGCTGAGCCAAACTAGTCCCAAAGAGGAGCATCATGGTGCAAACCATTGGAACTTTGTCGACGCTACCCCAAACCAGCTGACCAGGGCGTTTCCCCCGGATTCTGGTCCGAACGGGGACAATTGAGTGATAGCGTCGTCTTTATCCCACAAGTCCAACAATAATGCTCCACGATGGAGCAAATAAGAGAATTGGCTTTTCTGCCGTCCACCCCAAATCAAAATTACTATTGGGTTAAATCCCGGCATTTGATTCAACGGTTAGTCCGCCCCCAATAAACATCCTCCACGAAAGCAATGACCCCTTCCTTTTTGCTGATTACGCCCACACTTCCAGGGCTGAACTGCAGCCATCATTTCTCATTGCTCGTCTGGGTCTCGTGCCGTGTCTCTCGTCGTTTTTCTTTTCTTTTGACTTTGGGGGGGGCGCCGCACTTGCCTCGATTCGACCTGTGCAATCTCCCGCACTGCATTGCTCGATAGTAGGTTAGGTATGTATGGAGTAGGAGTACAGTATGACCAGGTCCTCCGTATACAAGTGGACGAATTGCGACTCCAACAGACCAGCATGCTCAAGGGGGTTTCCTGGTCATAGCACCAGCACTGGCAGCACTGTAGCTCAACTTTCCAGGGTCGCACCCAGGCGGCAGCGCAGATCGCAGGTCGCAGGGTACAGGTTGCAGGTTGCACCAAGCATGCCATCAGCCCAGCCTCTCGTAGGTCTCTTTTTCTCCGTGTGTAACCTGGCCCTCAACGCTGCAGCCCCAACGGAAATCGGATCGTTCGTTGCCTGATGTAAGGGGAGCATTTTATGCCAATGGTTATTAACTGAGAGGTTGTAGAGCCAAGCGACGAGGTGAATGATTTGTGTGGATATTCTTTCTTTGGCATTGGTTCACACACTTTGGTATACCATGAGAGTGACAGTGCTAGGCCAATCAATCCTCTTCCCATAATCCCAAACAAAAGCAGTACATCTACTATCTATCCCTAACACTCCTATGAACCTCCATCGCCGGCCTATCAAAAGTATCCTTCCAAAACTCCGACTTCCTATCCGGAACTTGGAAACATTACTCATCTTTGATCCTATCGACCGTAGTCTGCGTTTCACATGCAGATAGATAGACTATCAATAGGGTGTCGACGACGTTGATATTGTACCCTGACTCGTACAGATCAATCAGGCGCACATGAAGCAGGTCTGCCGTTGTGTTTGACGGTTGGTAGACCATGAATCCCTAGTGGATACGTTGGCTGGGATCCTCGCTGGTACCAAAGACCTCTATCGATAATTGGTAAGCCATGGCTGAGTTGCGTTAGTGAGGTCTTGTGCTGTGCAATTGCGGTATGTACATGTGCATGCACCTACATAGTTAGATACCATAGATGCAACGGGCACCGCCCCGAGGTTGTTCTAGCCGAGAATGGATGGCATGAGGGGTAAAACGAAGCTATCAACGGTATTTCGTGGCGGTTGATAGCCGCTGTGATCTGTAACGGCGCTCTCTCAATATTGTGTCTCGGTATGTTGAATGGTAGTGATTTAATGAAACTTTATACTGTTTATTACATTATTTACTTTTCGTAATTCCTTCCTGCTCTACCAGACCAATAAACTGTCCCATGCCGTACTCGTCCGCAAGTAACTTTCTCGAAAAACCATCCACAGAAAAGAATCCCTCTCAAGTAGTTTTCCTGGTCGTGGAAAGAAAGGACCATTACGCCAAAAAGCAATCACAGTTTGTTCCACACCAGCAGAATCCATTGCCATCTCCCTGCACAAATCGAAGTCGAGAACCCACAGAGAATGTTTTCCAAGAGCTTCAGACTCGAATTGACCACCGCAATTTAAATTCTTATTCGTGCATTCGGGATGGAACTTGCCACGGGATTCTTGACTCGATGGCGCAAAGACGGATTCAATATTATTCCCATCAATTTCACCGATCCAGCGCATCATGGCAAGAGTTTCTACCATTATTCTCGCACATTGTTCGATATCACCCCTTGTAATTCCGAGATTTTTTTTCCGAGTTGATCTAGGTGAAGTGAAAAATTCCGTAGCGAGAATACCGAGAATCGCGAGAAGAGCTACTCCTCTGAATTCGCCTCCGACCTAGATACGGGTTGATCAAGCAGTCACGATTTGGAAAACTTGTACTTATCTCCGAAGCAAGCTCTGGCGGACAGTAATGTTCTATGAGAAGATTTCTCAGACTCAGGGAAAGGCTTTATGCGTTGCGACTGAATCAGACTGCATGGCGTTCGAAAACCGGGTGGGAACTTTGATGGTTTGCTGACCACCGTTTCGAATTTTCCGCTTTGATAAAAGCATGGGATTCTGAAATACATATTCCGATCGTTGGAATGCTTCGTAGACTCTGCAGAGCTTGTTGATGCATGTTGAAATCGTTTTGTAAAGACCTGTCGGGCCCGCCGTCCTCTCTCTTGTAAGCTGGACCTTTGCCGGATGCCCATACGGTGCCGCAAATCCCTTGTCCGATAGTGCGTAGAGTAGAGTCGTCCATCTTGTTCGAATCACTGATTGACTCGGTAGTCGTATGATCATGGTTTGAAGTATCAATCATTCTTGCAGATTGGATAAAGCCACCAGAAAAGAGTAGTCTGTTTGTTCATAATGAAGTGACAATGAACCATGGAACAAACTGCACCCGAAGAGGACTAGTTCACACCCGCTGTTTTCCTTGATACTGTACAGGTCACGTGCAGGTACAATGAGTGATATGGATCTATTTTTGCCGATAAATAGCTATGCGTGGAAGAGAAATGATGAGAGTTCTGGGATGAGAGAGGAGTAAACGAAAAAATTATCTCGACACGGAAGAGAAGGCACAGTATGGTTGCCTGAATGCCCGAGGCCGTCTATGCTTAAGGCACCAACAATAACTATGACATATGGGCAAGAGGGAAGCCTTTCCCCAGAGATTTCTGGAGCGAAGCCGAGATGGGCAATGGTAGACAGAATCGAACTATGATCAGGGTAATCTACAAATCTAGTACTATGCTGAAGAACGTGATCGCTCTGCGGAATTGAAGCAAATAGTGAAGAAGCATATTCCCTGAATAACTTGAGGCAACAGAGCGGGAAAGCCCCACCTAGCAGAGGAAATCTGGTATGTACAGTACCTAGGTAGGTACTCCGTAGTGACATACATACTCCTTGCCACATTCCATCTGCCCTGTTAACGTCATTCTGTAATTCGTATTTCGCAGCTTTGCTCCGTACTCTGTACTTACTACGTTACAAGACAGCTCTATGTAAATGAGTATCCACCGAATGCTCCAATTTTGATTACGTGGATCCCTGATGATGATGATGATGTGAATTATGATGATGGCTATGATGGTAGACATGTCTGAAACGGGCTGGATCGGCCAGCTGCCAACGAACGCGGTTGCGGTGGGTCCGGCGCTTGCAGCCCACCTTTTCCATTTCTATTTTCGTTTCCTGGCCAGCGCGAAGGCATTGGTGCTGGAGCTCTGGATGATTCTATTTCCAGATTCAAAGTTTCCTGTAATGCTCATTCTGCCGTTCTGGTATCTAGGTACCTACCTAGGTACATACGGGAATGGCAATGGCACTCCCATGTTTATACCAGTGAATTGATCTATGCTTACCTAGTAGCTTTCAACTTGAGTTTGATGAAAATATTAACTTCCAAGAAGTTCCAAGACTCCAGAGCTCCGATTCCACTGGCATCCGGGCCTGGGCAACATCAATTTCAAAGTTGCTGAGTAGGTCGATACTACTAGCACTACTTCTATGTAGTACCTACCCTACATAGGTATGTAGGTACCTAGGTACTATATATCTCCGACTCGGAACCGCCCGCTGGGCACTCGCATGGCCGCACCTGAGATGCAATAATACCACGAAACGACTAGCACTCATCCACCATGAATACCTTGGTAATCAGTCAATTGCAACAATTACCTATAGTACAATCCGGCCACTTCAAGTTTCCAACTGTCCGAGGCCGAGTCAGAGATGAATCATAAGATGGCCATCTCCAATTGGTCCAAATCGACCAAGAGTCCCCACTTGCGACGAAAAAAAGAAGAACATCAAGGAGTCGCCGAGATGTCATCGGCTCCATGATGCACCATGAGCAAGCGCTCTTTCGAGGAGTTAAGGGGCCCTCCCGAATCAGATCACAATGGTCTGCTGGCCATTCAGGATTTGCTCTCTCCCGATGAGCGAGAGCCAACTCCACCATCCGGTCCCTCAGGCTCCAAGAAGCCCCGGAACTTCATCGCCACCGTGGTGCGCAATCCCCGATACCTAGGTATCCCTGATCGGAACGAAGAACCTGAACCCAGCTAATACTAAAAACAGGCCTGCGAAACATGTCGCCTGAAGAAAACCCGATGCGACGAGTCGCGGCCGAGATGCGGGCTCTGCAAGACCCTCGGTATCGAGTGTGTCTACAATGAGCGCAAATCTTCCAAGTAAGCCCCGCCCAATTGATCAATTTGCTGCGTCAAAATGCAAAATTGATCTCAAATTTTACCCTTGGAGTGTAACTGATCAAATCAAAAGACGAGATCAATCTTTAACGATGATCATGAGTACTCTTCATCGCCTGGAGACAAAATTGGAGAATATTCCTTCATCCATATTGAATGACATTCGTGGCCAAGTGCGCCATCTTGTCGATAGCCCCAACTCGGCACATCGATCACCCGCAGTTCGTGATGAGAATCAACCGGCGACAGTGTCAACATCGCTCAGTTTCACCCCTGCGGCTGGGGATGGATATGACTTTGACTTTGAAGAGAACAACGCCACGCCAGATGCCTCCGGCCGTACCTCTATCTCATTCAGCCAACACGGAGTTATTCTCTGGCCAGGTGCGCGACAGATTCTTCCTGATGAATTACTCAATTCCTACAAAGTGCTGGGAAAGAACTACGTGATCGAACTGGAATCGACACGACCACCATTGCCAATGTTCACCGACCCATTTCCCCTACACGCCGGAGAGCAGTGGCTGGAAGTTTTGCCTATCACAATGATCAAGGGCCTGGCAGATGCATTTTTCAGCGTATTTAACCCCTTTACTCCAATCATGGATAAGAGCTTTTTCTTCTCCTTTACCCTTGGCTCTGCCATTGAGAGTAGCTTCGGCTATACCGTGGAGAGTTGTATAGTTCTCAATGTTCTTGCATTGGGTTGCTTGGCTGTATTGGCCTACCAGGAGGGCAACTATCCACTGTCTGATTCTCGTGGAAATCATTTCGAGCCACCGGACTGGATGAATGTGGTATACGAAGAGCAGCCTGGGCTGAGGTTTTTCAACGAGGCTCGTCGACGCATTGGCTTCTTGATGTGCGACAACGACATACAAAGCTGTCAATTCTATATGCTATCCTCGTATGTATCTCGCCACTATTGACGACAGATTCCATACTAACCACCAGCAGAGTATATTATAGCCAAATACTACGACCAATGGACGCTTGGGCTATGATCCATCGTGCTGCAACGTGCTGTCTATCAATGCTAACAAAGTAAGCACTATTTCTTTCCATCCACTCCTGTGAATTTAAAATGCAATGTGCTAACCAAGGTCTAGTCATGATGTGAACTTTGACCAATGGGAAGGTGACATGAAGTCCCGCGTCTACTGGAACTGTCTCATGAACGAAACCATCCTTGTCCAAGAACTTCACCTTCCACCAAGTGGTCTATCGCGCCTTGAAGAGCGAGTTCCAATACCCAAATTCATCAGCTTCCAAACAACAGGCTACATTTCAACCCGATACCCATCATCAACCGCAGTCGACGATTCATACTTCCAATACCACTTCCTCGCACAAGTGGCCCATCGAATTATTCTCACTCGCATCCGCCACTCCCTCTACTTCTACTGTTTGTCAAATCCCAACAAACACTGATTTCCTTTTACCGAATACAACTAACAGCTCACAAGCCGACTCGGGAGCAATTCCCCTCCCCGCCGTCAACACCGAACTCCACCACCAGCTTGAACAATGGCGCACCAACCTCCCACCTGCCATCAAATTTTCCGACCCTCAACCAGCAACTTCACATCCCACACCCGTCGACCCTTCAACCTCCATCCATCCCTCACCGTCTTCAGTTGCATCTCCAATCCCCGCTTCGCCTCGACCACAAGATCCACTTCGCCCCATCTCCCCAGCAGTAGCAGTCACAGACGCAATGCTGCGCGGCCGACATATGATCGCTCAGTTCCACATCGGTCGACCATATCTGTACAAGGCACTCCGAATCCCGAATCTCCTCACCGATGACGATCTAGAGCAGATCAAGAGTGGGTTACGGAATGCGATGAACTGGCCCGTCACGCAGGGGATATTCCGGAAAATGAAGAGTTGCATCCCGATTAAATTCGCCTTCTGTTCACAGTGAGTCATCCTATCCTTGAAAATAGCATCATCTTTGATTTTTTCCTTTCACTACGGGGCAAAGCTGATCCGTATCCGTGATAGATTTTTTGGTCAGATCCTGCTCTTCTATTGCATTGCACACTCGCCTAGCCCGCGTGTCCGTGATACGCTGCCTTCAGGCTGGGAACGCTGGAATGAGGAGATGTTGCATTTCTTGGATGACTGCGCACGACATAGTCCTGCCGTGGCGCAGGATCTGGAATTGCTGCGTTCATTGTGGCCGGTGCATGAGTAATGCCTCTGCTACAGTTTTGTATATATGCCTTTTTGGCATCATTTTCTTTTTCTCTTTCTTTTTGTGATTATGGATATGGTCTCTTTGGATGCCTTTGGCATGGAGTTTACTGCGCTGGGGTGTTTACTTTGCAAAAAGACTTGCGACGATACAGACAATAATGATAGATTCCGAATTCTATACCAACAAATATTTACGGCGGCGTGTTCATGAAAAAGGGTATTGCGGAATAAAGTCACCTCTCTCCACTGTACTGTGCACAGAATAGGAAAAGCCTGCTAGCTGGACAGCACGAAGCCATACCATAGAAGACAGGAGGGGCATACAAATAAAAGAAGCGATGATAGAAATTCTCCAAGATTTATAGGGCCCATTCGTTCGAGGCGTCCGAAGCTGTGATGAAGGGTTTGTCGATTTGCTTGATGGCATGGTCACCGCATAAGATGCTAGTAAATCGGTTAGTACGGGCAACAGACGAGGATAAACCAAATAGAAACTTACCAAGCCTCGGCAACAAGTCCGTCCAGTTCCTTGACGATCTCCTCCCTCCGTGATGTAGAGATGTCGCCCTTGCTGAGTTGTGTCTGCAAATCTCGAATATACTTCTTCTTCCCCCCAGCGCCTTCCAACACCTCCTTGCCTAAGCAGTCGCTATGAAAGGCGTGTTGGCACGGAAAGACGAAGAATTGGCGACTCAGCAGGGGAAGGGAACAGATCCAGCATTTCTCACCAGGTTCCACGATAGCGTAACGGGAATCTAAGTCCGCAATCTCATTGCGAATTTTCCGGGCCGTCTGTGCCGAGTTATCCATCTCCCGGCGCAATTCATCAATGTGGCGCGAATATTCTTCCAAGGCAGTGCAGATTTCATCTTTGAAGTCGTCAATGACAACGAAGTCAGGGAAAAATGGGATGAGATCCTCGATGCGAAGAAGTTCGCAGCGGCCCAGAAATGCCATTGCATCTTTGATACCTGTTCCTGGTTGACGGATCTTTTTCTCGGCCACCAGTAGCCACAGTTTCTTACGGAGCTTGTTGTTGCCTTCAGGACGGTCGGCAACGATGGCTGCAAGATCGATGTCGTTGTGGTCCAAAGCCAGCTCTACTGCCTGCAGGTACTGACCCATAGCGCTGTAGATATGGATGCATGACTGGACTCGCTTGTGTTGAATACAGAGGCGAAGGGCGAAGTCTGCGTCGTAGGGAGGTGGTGAAGATGGCTGTGTTTGGAGATATGTGAGAAGTCCACCTTCCGAGGAAGATGGACTCGAGGCATGGATTGAGATGAGCGTGTTGTGCACAGCTGCAGCTGGCTTGGGATGGTTGATGATGATATAGTTAAGGTAGCGAACTGCCTGGTTTTGGCTGAGGGAGACATTGGTCGTCTTGTTGTAATTCAATAGCGCGGGAATGAGCTTCTCGGGGTCAAGGTTCGTTTGCCGCATGAGAATCTCTATTAAACCGGTAGCAGTATGTGTCATGAGCACACTGCTATACTTGTAAAAGACATCAGGCTCGCTTTGCCGTTGCAGGACGTTGAGAGCCTCCGACCACTTTTCTCTTTGGATCCAGTAGGATAGAACGTAGTTATGGTCGTTGGTAGCGGTTGCAAAGAAAAGCAACTCTTCTTCTCGCCCGTGGCTGCTAATGATGTCATACGCGGTCTTTTTGTCCAGGTCCGATTTGTAGTTCTTCACGAATTCCTGGAACTCACTTCGGACACTGCCAAGTTGATCTTGAATCTCCCCAGGGGTGACACCTTCAATCAATTCTGCCTTTGTAGCAATATCATCATCCAAAGAATTCAGCTTTGACATAAAAAGCTCCACAAGCCAGCTGGCTACCATCAACCTCTGCATGATAGATGCTTTCTTGTACATCGATAGTTGAGAAAGCAAGTATTTCCTCAGGGCATCGTATTCCTTGTTGTCCACCATGGTCAAGCACACCTCCTCAAACCCTTTGCTGCTTTTGCCCCATACTTTGGCGGCTTCGAGGAAATTACCCTCTCCAGCCAAGAAATCGCCGGATGCAGTCAAGATAGCGTCGCTCTGGGCCTGGCTCTTGGCAAAATGAAGTGCCTCATCAAATTTCTTCTCCTTCAGGAGAACTTTCCATACGTCTCTATCTTCGTCGTTGGCTACAACCTCGAAGATTTCTTGCCGGTGAAAAGCCAGTAAGTATTTTGTGTCAGATCAGTCAGAAGGCCCAAGGTACTTTGTCTAGGCTCCAGCACGGCCTCATCGTACACAATCTCCCCATTGAGGCGATTGACGGCAACCACTCTTCCCTCAACAAGTGCCAACACATGCCATTGTGACAAGGTCACAGCGGTAATGGGATCCTGTATGAGCTTTTTACCACCTCGGGCAGACTGGGAGGCAGGAAACTTGGATCGAGAAATCATTTTGGCCTTTTCAAATGGGGCCGAAGATGCAAGCTGGCCATGGTAGATGCCTTGCGAGCTAAGCCATGCAAACTCCTTTTCGGTATACCCCTCTGCATGAGTTTCAGATGAGGAGGATGAGGAAACAGCCAGCGAAGAAGGCGCAGAGGCAGATGGATTTGAAACATCATGTATCGATGGCGTTTCGCGTTGAAACAGATCTGTATATATAGACCCGCCGCCTTCGCGCCCGTGCTTCGCAGCTCCTGTCCGACCTAGGAAGTGCGTCAACTTCCCGTATGTTGCGAGAAGAATTCGCCTTTGCTCGGGCTTTGAAGGAACGGGTTCGACAGATATCCCAGTCACTGGGGAGGCTTCTGGCACTTTGTAAACCGCAGTGACATATTTCTCCTCGCGTCGATAGAACTCCGTAGACGGCTCGATGTAGGTCTCATAGACATTGCCGTCGGTGGCACCTAGTAATATTTCACGGGTAGAGGCAGTCGGCAGAGAGGGGTTCCAGGCAACACTTTCGATAGATACGCCCTTTAACCGGGACAAGGCCTTGGGCTGTCGCGATTGGGTGTGGAGGTAGTAGTTCTCGCCGAGGGTGGTACTGATGATCAAGTGAGACGCAGAGGGATCCATAAACATGCGCCGGATGAGACCGGTCTCCGAGGACTTCTTAGGGAGGTCGATATCTGTCGTGGGGGGGGCACAGTTAAGCTCCGAACGACGCGGCTAGCATTGCTGCGGGGTGGGAGATCGCATACCATCAATATCCTCAGGGGTATCTAGATCGATCCGAAGAATCCGACCTGTAGAGAGCGCCAACACTAGGACATTGTTGGCGACTTGGGCTGCCACGAAGTCCGCAGCGATCTGGAACTGGAGCTGCACTCGTTGCACGTCGAAGATGGGGAGGGAGTCATCTGCGGGCTCCGTAAGGTTGTTGGGAGCAACATAACTGCTGGATCCTTCCAGCGCCATGATGCGCAAGATCCAACTATATCATGCCGAGCTTTCAAAGAATAAGAGGAAGCTAGTGAGCTTCGGGGTAAGCTTGATGGTGGGAAGAGGACTCGGAGCTGGTGGAGTGGAATGCGGAGGGCTGGGCTAGGATTCGCTGCTGCCTGAGGCCACAAGGCTGCCACGGGATTAATAGTAACACTAGTAATACATGCCCAGGTGGTTTATATCTGCTTCAACTTTGCTCTACTCTTCCTTCCCCAATCAAGTACTTTATTCAAGTTGACATTCTACTCCATACCAGCACTGTTCTACTTAAGTAGTTACTCTAAGCTGTCGGCCTGGTCACCTATGTGGTAAAGTTATCTACAAAAGCAATTAATCGGTCGTTGTATAATGAATGCCTGTATCAAAAAAGAAGAATAAGATCGGGGACAAGGGGATATTCCTGAGATGATCCAGTCTGTGGAAGGCTCTATATTTCAGACGCTTGCCCATTAATTTTGATGTTTGCTGTTCGTTCCAAGCAAAATGCTTCGATCCACCGGACCAGTCTGAACAGTATACCTAGGTATCCCGCGCTTTTTCCGAGTTATGGCCGCCAGAACGTCACTATGATTACTGGTAGTGGGCGGTATAGTTGTACTCTCTTTGACTCGGGATCTTGCTAGTCATGCTCTTTTGCACTGGAAACCTCGAAACTGTTCTTGACACACCCACTGGATATCCTTTTATGGAGGTTTTCTATCAAGCGACCAACTCGCTACTAGGATCCCTTACTATGTGCACAATTGTCATTGTTAACTTTTCGCTTTCGATGGTGGGTATGCTGGCCGAGACTTCTCGCCAGCTGTGGTCTTTCTCCCGGGACAAGGGCGTTCCTGGGGGGTGGTGGTGGTGGTGGTGGTGGAGCCTGGTAAGTTAACAATGCAGATCATTTGGCAATCTTCTCCAATTCTAACGATTGACTAAGGTTTCCTCCCCAAGCTGCCAATTCATTCTACTGACGGCACCTGTCAGTGCGTTGCTTGCATTAATCAACATTGGCTCTCCAGTCGCCCTTGACGACATTCTTTCCATGGCTATATCTTCAATCTATCTGACCTATCTTATGGCTTCGGTCTTGCTTCTTCACCGAAGAATCAAAGGCGATATATCTCCATACAATGACAACTTGAATGACAGCGACATTGTCAATGTCCCGCGGGCACGGCTTGTTTGGGGTCCATTTCATTGCAACGGGCTCTTGGGTAAAATTGCCAATGCCTTTGCAATCGTTTATATTACAATGGTTGTATTCCTCAGTTTCTGGCCATCTGCATCGGACCCAGGTATTCATGGGGCTGAACTGGAGTGCCCTAGGTGTTGGAGGGAGTAGCATTATCGGCGTTTTATATTACTTCGCACGTGGTCGGAGTTTCTACACAGGCCCTATTTGAGAGCTCACAGAAGAAGCACTGACAAGCCCCAGGGTAGATTGAGATGACGAGATAGCTCCCGACTCGGAGAGCTTGGCGAGGCCGCACCGCAGCTACGATGACCATTATCCCAGTAGTATCTTCATGGTACTAGTAGTTTTCAAATTTGCAGATAAACCGAATCGAGGGTTCTCATTAAAGTTATTTATCCGAGATAAATAAGGTAAATGCGCAGTCTATCTATTCCGTAGGGATAGAGTAATGATTCTGCTGCTGCTTTGAAGAAGACACGCAGGGTAATCAATCTTCTGAGGGGTACCAATTCTTCAAGGTTGTCCCAGGAAGCCATCATCCGACTTCTCTATCATATCCTCCCATTGTGTTCTGCTCATGTAGCATACTTCAATTAGGGCTACCAACCCTAAGCCAACTCCCACTCCCAATGCCAACCCAGGAAGGTTCCAATGTAATCCAAATCCACAGGCGAGCGATATTGGAATTCCGACCTGTGTTGAACGAAACAAATTTATTTTCACTAGAACAATATGACACAAAGAGGCAACAAGGATGCACCGACGATGTACTTACAGCATAGTATGAGACCAAGGCAGCCCATCCCCCAACTTTCTGTTTACCAATACCTCGTAGTATACCGTTGCACGAACCAGCCAAGGAGTCACAAATTTGCACCAGCCCAAAGAACGGCATAGAAGCACTCGTCAATGCAATGACATCAGGGCTGTTTGTCATCAACGGAGGTATGACATTACGTAAGCTCATAAGCAAAATAAAGATCAAAGTACCGACGACAAGTGCGACACATCCGGATACTTTGGCTGTTGTTTTTGCTGCATCTGCTCGGCCCTCGCCGATAAACGTGGATACCCGCGTGGATGCAGCAATAGAAATTGGAAAATGTATCATGAAGGCCGTTGCCGTTATTGTTGAAAGGATTGTTTGGGCTGCTAGATGTTCGAGGGAAATGAAGCTGGACGATACCGTGATAATCTCAAATGCCATGTACTCTGCAAAAACCATGACAGCACTTGGAACGGCAAGCTTGACCATAGGCCACCAATTTTGGAATGCTGCTATTGTAAATTCATTCCAACACTCATATCCAGCGATCCAGTAAGCATATATGAAAAGAAGCACCGGCAAGAGTGTTTCAACGATGACCACTGATATCGGCGCTCCAATGAAACCCCATCCAAGTTTCTGCAGGCAAGTAGGATATCATTATTATTGGCCCTTTCGCATGATCATTGTGATAAGGATTATTGGAATAAACGTACCCAAACAAAGAGCCAATTAAGGAAACAATTGAGAGGGGCGCAGAAAATCAAGATCCACATGTTGGGACCTCGGGAGCAAATAGACCCTGAGCCATCATGAATCTTTTTCCACACTCAAAGATTGCATATCCTGGTGCACCCAGGATAAGAACCCGGAGGTACAATGCTGCCATTTTGACAACCTCTTCTTGCCGTACAAAATGGCCTAGAATCGCTGCTGAGTTGATCCATAGAAAGGCGATTGGAATACAAATCAGCAGAAGAAAGCAGGTCATACGTTGAAAATGTAGGCCGACCAGCTTCTCATTTCCGGATCCGTACGCCGAGGGGCAAAGCGTGTCTAGGCAAGATGCAAGGCCTTGAAAGACTGCGTACCCAGTCATGTTGGCTGTTAGACTCCCGATTGAGGTCGCGGATAATTCCACCGTTCCAATGTCTCCGACCGAGAAAATAGTGACCGCAGTAAACGAGTGTTCCATCATAAATGTGCATATTAATGGACATGATCTCTTGAGAATCAGCTTCAGTTCTGTAGAGGGAGCTGTCGTCTGAGGCAAACTTGCCCCTGGCGCATCTTCCGCAGCATTTTGACCTCTCCTATTAAGGAGAGGGGATGTTTCTGATGAGATAACTGGCATGGAACCATCACGCTTGTCCATGATCACTGTCCTTCTGATCTCTTAGAGATCGATGATGAGACTCTTGCGGCTGGATTTGGCAGCCAAAGGTGAAGGCTTAGGAAGCTGCCTTGTCCCAGTTTATTACCCGAGATTTGAATATCAATGAGGGGATATTAAAGGGGCCTTCATGCAACTTTCGCTAGATCAAGGTGGGAGGTACAGCTCCCTTGCATACCTAGGTATATCTCATTCAAGTTTATTGAATCGAAACGAAGCCACGCCACATCATGATGTCGGGGGTTTATTATCATGTGAAACTGAAATGATTCTCTGATTTTCTTTTTGCCAATTGGGAAGTACTAAGGGCCTTGAATAGGAGCTCATGACTACTTAATACAATGATTTAGTTATGGAGTAGGTATGACGGGTCTTTAGCGTCTAGTTTTCAATGTTTAATCAATAAAAGAACGCAGAAACTTCGCGAAAGGCTTTGGTCAATCGCAAGGTGAAATGCAATCCCACACTCAGACTTTGTGCACTCTGTACTCCATGGGGAGCCCCTATTTAGGGCTGGGGCACACCCTAGCAGCGATCTAGTGCAGATCTCCCGGGGGCCTATCATAGCTACCCCTTTGAAGTGTGTTTCATGAGAATTGGAAGGTACCCCTTCAAACAATACGAATTTTGAAACCAAGAATGATAATAGTTGTCGCTTATGTGTCTGCTAGGGGGAAGTAATGCGTAATACATGATTTCCTTGCTAATACTACCCGTACCCATCAATCAAACACATGATTCTACTGTTAACTGAGATGACCACACATAGGTGTAGAGAGAGCAGAATGAAAACAGCCGCATGATTACTGAATTGGCAAAAAAAAACTAAAAAAAACTGCTGGATACGTCGCCGGATACACCGTCATATTTTGAAAACAAGCGAGTCTGAAAGACAAAACTGAAACTAGTAGCTAGCCATGCCTCCAACTTGATGCTTTAGCTTCCCAAAATACAAGGCAACCAAAACCATCGGATTTTTGAGACCTTGAGGTTAATCCCTAGTATGTCTGAGTTGGACTATGTAGCTCTACTACATGTGTAGAAATACATACACTGTTTGGCAGAGAGCAGCTCCATTACAGACTTTTTTTATCAGATACTTTCCCTGGTTTATTGTTGGGGTATCATGGGCCATAGTCAAGATGCAATAGTTGGAAAGATATACATGGAAGTGTATAGGGGGTATCTCCGAATTCAACTCAATCACATCACATCATAATACACTCCCGCTCTGGCTTTCGGCTCTTCTCTTTCGCCTTCTCCTTCAACTTCTCCTTTGACTTGTCTTTCGACTTTTCCCTTGTGGCGCGGTCTTTCGTTCGACCTCTGCCAGCCTTCTCTTTGCTGTCGTATGCGGCAGGACCAAGTTTCATTTCATCTGGGATTGTCTCATCTATCTCGATGGCGGACTCGTCCCCTTCCCCTTCTCCATCACTGGTGAACCTATCCTTGCTCAATCGCCCAGTAAAGCGTGAAAAAGTAGTACCGATCTTGTCCCCAGACTGGCTGGTGGCTCGGCTACCGGCGCGACTCCCTGGGTTGCTCTTGGAATTGCGTGAGTTCCGTCGGAAACTGAATGAGTTTTTTCGCACCTCTTCCTCCATGGGGGCTAGCTTTGGCGACATGGACGCAATTGATCGTGCCTGGGCGCCAGTAGGTGCTGTCTCGGAGAAAATCACGCTGGAAGGTCTTCTCCCGGTGCTGTTCAAGGCTTGGGCGCTTGGGCTATCAGGAGCAGTGATTTCAACACTGGGTCGAGCAGAATTCACTTCGGTCACGCTTCCATCTGTTTCATTCCCAGAAACGTAACGGTACTTCTGGGCGATATCAGCCAGGTCCACATCGAGAGTAGCATCGGATGCACGCGACGAGGGCGCTTTGCTGGGAAGATTAGCCAGCGAGGCGTCTTGGTTAATGGGAAGAATTTGGTAAAATAGAAGATAAGGTGACTCTGTCCTCAATGCGGTTTCGATATCTATAAGGGTCACTCGCTCTGCGGCAAGATCATCGAAGCGCATCCAGTGTTTTGGGGTCTCGAGTGTGTCGGAGCTACCACTAGAATTAGAGGGAGTCAGGTTTGCGCTGGTCCCTCGGACTATGGAAATATAGTGTCCGGAGTCGACGGAGTTGCCGCGATGGCAGACCATTGCCTGGAGAGAAAGCTTGAAGTTTCCATACATCGGTGCATCTGCATCCATGTTGTCATCTTGGATAAAATGAGGCAGGCCGATCTCAGTTGGAATGTCAATGTACGTATCTCGTCGAGTGGCGTTCCCGTTTGGAGTAAAGGAGTAGCGCTTTAAACACATGCCAAGAATAGGTCGTTTGGAAGCAAAATGTGCTGCCACTTGAGCATCGTTTGTGGGTGAATTCTCCGTATACCATGCTGAACAAACATAGACGTCAGTTTGATGCCACCTCGGGCGAGTAATGGGAGAACGTACGAATCAGACTAAAGAACTGCCATGCCGGCATCATCACTTCCTTCCTGAATATGCCTCTTCGCTGTTGTGGGTCTGAGCCCGATGGAGGCTGATCATTCGCCGTCCCATCTATTGGATCAGGAATAAATCGTTCCTGTAAAATGCTGCTTCGCCGAGAAATCCCTCGTCTTGGCATAGTTTCGGAGTTATCTGAAACAGATGTCCACGGGCTGGGCCTTTCAACCTGGGGCGAGTTAGATTGAACTGGGGATAGTGTAGGCGTTGTTTCAATTTCCTCGATATGTGCTGTAAAGCCCTTCGAAATAGACATTGAATCCACAGAGCGAGTAGAGCTAACGGTATTCCGTCGCTCTAAATGCCGCTTCACTTCAATTCGATTGTTGAAGTAAGCTTCCAAGCAGTCTTCGAGAGTCAGGGTTGTTCCGTCGGTGGGTTCGGGTGGGAGTGCCACTTCAAGCAGTCTTTCGTTGATAAACTTGTGGTCATCACTGGCATCTTCCTTTCCAGTGTGATAAATATCCATTTTGAGGGTGAGGAGGGGAAGCTCAAGTGCCCCCGTTATGAAAGTGAATGCTTCAGAGGCATCCTGCTGTCTGAGGTTGGCTGCATCTGGCCAGCCACAGTCTGCGAGGGCATCCTGTATATGCTTGGTCTGTATATTCGATAAGTTCAAAGTACCGAAAAGGCAATATCAAACAGAGGAGTAATAACTTACAATGTCTGTGGTGATAAGCCTTCCGCTTCGCAACATATTCACCCAAAACCGCAGCAAGACAGCCATTTTCCGGCGAGGTTCATCATTGAAGGATTTATACAAGATGGCCTCGAAGCAGTCGAGCCGCGCAAACATGGCAAAAAGGAGCGCATCTAGATAGCACGTCACTCCGCTTCTGTTCTCGGCACCAAGCAGCTTTGTATTAGGCGTGTAACTCCGGATGATGCCCTCGATTGAATCTTCCAGTAATAACAGCAAAGCAACAGCATTGTCTAGATCCCCTTTGGCAGAAGTGAGAGCATAACTGAAATTCTCCTCATCTAAAGTCGTGATTCCCAGTGCTCGTATTCGGTTCTCGATAACTTTCACCTATAGATGAATCAAAGTCATTAGATAGCCCAGTAACGGGTGAGTCGATGTGGAGACAGTACCTTCTTCTGGTGCTCTTGGTCATCGTCCTTGGTAGCATGAGGGGTGAAAAAGCCTCGGAGTACTGGTCGAGCATGATTATTCGAGCCCTGAAAGTACGCAAGATTAGTAAACATGTTCTTTGCCTCCCAGTAGCTATTGGGTGGGTTTCAGATCATCGCGCTGATAAGTACCTCCTCTTTGCTCTGTCGCGATCGGCTGTGCCGATCGCGGCGAGTAGTTAAAAATCGGTGGATCCCACTCATGGCGGAGGTATTCCCCTAAAGACAAGGGGTAATTTCGATCGTTTCAGATCGTTGGAAGTTGAAGTTTGGAGAGGACGCGACATGCGGGGGAGGACAGCTCTGGGCTGGGTGAGGAGCTTAGTTGAGGCTGCAGGATTCTTATGAGGCGCACGGAGACCCCATCATCTGCCAAGTAGTTCTGACTCTGGCACGGGCAAAATACTAAGGACCAGTTAGGATGCGTAAGATTCGTGCATGCGAAATGATAGGAAAAAAGGTCTCCGGGGTCGATCTAATGACCGAATGTAAGCTAAACTGTTGATCACTTACCGCGGGGCAGTTTGCACCCTTCACCGCCTTATTTGTCAGGTGTCTGTCAGGTGATACACGTGACCTTCATCGTAGCCCGAAAATTGTTTGTCGCGACGGGACCATCTCGATGAATCTCCAAATCCAGCAACATCACATTATACACAAAATGGCTGCGAGAGAGCCATCCAGACACCTGGCTAGGGCTCTGCCCAGGGCATTTGCCCCATCAGCTCGCCCCCAGGCCTTGATTGGCCGACGCAATGCCTCCGATGAGGCTCCGACTCGACGCTTGTCGGATGAGCTGGAGACGGCTTCGTCCTTGACCTCCAAGGTCTCTGACAGCGCAGCGGAGTCTTTCGACCCAGTTTCTCGAGCCAGTGCTCGTAGGTCCCAGCTTCCTCGCAGTCGGTACGTGATGGCTTCATGGGCATTTCGACTCCTTGCCCTTCAGAACAAAGTAGTCTTGCACCGCAACATAAACTAACCTCACCCTCCCAACTTTCAGATACCAATTTCGATCCCCTAAATATGACCGCGGTCCTCTTCACCCTCACCAACCCCCTGCCCCCTCCGACCCCTCTTCCCGCCTGTTCGTCCCCGGACCTTTCTCTCTCCCGCGCACCGAGCAGACCTACAACTCGACAATCGCATCAGACATCATGACCCTGTGCTATGTGCACACACCACCTGGATTCAAGCCTCCCGTTAAGGCCCCGCGACTGCGCGAGTGGGACGACAGCTCCCCCTACCACAAGAACCGTCCCCTCCGTGGTCCCCGTGGCGGTGACGTGCTGCGATTACTCCGCAAGCCAATTCGGTTCAACAACATTCCCAAGGTTGAGCGGATCACGGTCCACAGTTACGTCAAGCAGGCCGCGCAGGAGAACTCGTCTTGGATTCATGTCGCCGGTATTGCGATCCAAGCTATCTCCAACGTTCGTGTCGAGACCTTCAAGTCGAAGTCTGCCGTTGCTACTTGGAGCATTGCCCCTGGCCGTGACACCGTCGCCGTCAAGGCGGAGCTGCAGGGCGAGACCATGCACCACTTCCTTGGAAAGCTGATTGACGTTGTTCTGCCTCGCATGAAGGATTGGCAGGGCGTCAAGGGTAGCAGTGGTGATAGCAGTGGAAACATCACTTTCGGTCTGGAACCGGAGCATGTTGCCCTGTTCCCCGAGATCGAGGTGAACTATGATATGTGAGTTTTCCCCATAGCATCCAGGTCTCGCATTTTCTATCATTTACTGACTCTTCTAAAGGTACCCTCCCAAGATGATCCCGGGTTGCCACATTACCCTCCACACCACTGCCAAGGCGGACAAGGATGCCCGACTCCTCCTGAGTGCCATGGGCGTTCCCTTCTATGGAAAGATCGTCCAGTAAGGGGTTAATGGGAGCGTATTGCCCAGAAAACACTCGCTCGTCTTTGGCATATGGCGTTGTGTTGCTATCCAACCTGTAACTTTAGAGGTGGCCTGCATAGTGGTCACTGTGATTCCAAACCTGTGTATTATCTCATTACCATCATCTTTTAAATCAAGCGTCAATTGCAGTTAACTCGAATATCGTAAACTGAATATTGTGTATTTTAGACAGCGTTGCTCATTACAATAAGTGGTTGTTTTCTATACGAAAACTAGCATCGTCGACGTAACAGTTGATTTAAACAGTGTAGTCAGTCCCCCTATCCGATCGATTTAGTAGCCGAAAGAAGCGCCCCCAAGATAGCCCAATATTCAAACAATCACCATCTTACACATCAAGGGGAAACATAACGAATAGGGCCTCAGAGACGAGATGCGCATCACGTAATTGGCATAGCCAGGAACTTGCATTTCAGAAGTTCATCTGCACTGGGTCTCTTCTCATACTCGTGTTGGAAGGTCATATCAAGGAACTCGCCCGCCTCCTCGCTAACATGGTCTGGAGTATGAGGGCGAGCCTTGTTACTACCGATAGCAAAGATGGCCTGCAACTGACTGCAGTCTGGAAAGGGGTGAGCGCCGATGAACATTTCCACGACGAGACAGCCCAGACTCCAGATATCGGCTTTCTTGGTATGCGCCGTTTGACGCACCACTTCTGGTGCCATCCAGTACACACTACCTTGCATGGAAGGCCGGTGCATGTGCCCAGCGCTGCCACCGCCGGTACTGGCTCGAGAGCCGAGAACAGCGGATGCTTCGACGCGCTTGGAAATACCGAAATCGGAGATCTTGACGCCGCCTTTGTTGTCGACGAGGATGTTGGCTCCCTTGATGTCTCGGTGGATGATGTCACAGCTGTGCAGATACGACAGACCGGCTAGAATTTGTCGGACGAAATTCTTTACCAGGGGCTCTTGGAAAGTATTGTATTGCTTGAGCATGGTAGCGATGGAACCACCGGGCACATACTCCAAGAAAATGTTGAGATGCTGGTCATCGGTGCCGGTGCCTAGGTATTGGACGATGTTGGGGTGGTGCATCCCCTGCAGGAGCTCAATCTCGTGTTTGAGGGCAGTGACCATGAGGTTTTTGCGTTTATCAAATTCTGTTCCTTGGGTGGCCGAGGGAATCTCGACCTGTTTAACGGCCATGAGTTCTCCAGTGATAGCATGGAGAGCCAAGAAGACACTTCCAAAAGAACCTTCACCGATGAGCGAACCCTTCATCCAGTTTTTGGGAGCAAAGTTGTTGCCTGCCAGGAAGTCATCCATCAAGCCTGCATCGTCCTCTTCTTCACCCTCTTCGCCTTCTTCGCCTCCGCCCTCGCCCTCGCCAATCAGGACGCTCATACGCTCTTCATTGAAAGAATCACCATCCGTAGCTGCGACACTCATGCTCTCATCCAGCATACTTTGGCGGGAGGGATTTGGCTCATCGGAGCTGCTCTCGAAGGAGACGTAGGATTTGCGATTCGGCTCGGTGGGGGATTCCTCTTGAAGGGGTTGAAGAGAACTCGAGGCAATAGAATCGCGGTATGAAGTGTGAGGCAAATTAAACTTGGAAAGTGAGGGAGGTCTTGAGGCGCGTGCCGCTTGCGCTCCAGATTGGGGCGGCTGGAACCATGAATCGGCAATGTTGGGCATAGGTGGAATAGGAGGGAGAGGAGGGAGGGGTGGTGCATCTTTGAGGCTTGAAGCAACACTGAAGTTACTGACAACACTCAAGCGGCTCGCTGAACGACTATAGCGCTGGGACCTGCGCACAGTCTTTGCGATATCTTCACGATCATGACTGGGGAAAAACGATTGAAGTTCGTGAATGATCATTTCACTTGGAGGTCTCTGGCCGAAGAATGACCGCAGCTTCGTAGCCACGGGATTACGCTCGCTGCCTGGAGAGTGTTGGCTCTGGTCACCTGGAGTGGGTGATGGACGATGCCTAGGGCCCACAGGAGAGACTGGTTGTTTGGTATTGATGACATTCCATGGTTCTCCCGTGAGCTGCTGGATTTTGTTCTTTTGCCGGAAATTGGATTTATTCATCGCGTTCTCATGAGTGACCTTGCTTTCATCGTAGGCAAGCTGGGACGCACGACGAAGCTCGTCTTGGTCTGGTTCTCCGGCATGGATCTTCCGGAGGATTAAACGACCACGTTCAGGTTTGTTCACGCCATCACAAATCTGCAAGAGCTCAGTTTCGGTGAGTTTCCGGCAATTAGACAGGTCTGGTTCTAGGCCGTCCAAGACATAGAAGCAGTAATTTCGGTATTGGTGCTCTGGGAGCTGCAGTTTCCTCAGGACTGATATAATGACCTCCTCCGGAGTTCTGCTGTTTCGGATATCGAGCACTTTAGTCTGTCCACCGGTGTAGATAACACGGATGACAGGGCTATTTTGTGGAAGAGGACCCATGGTAAGGCCATCAAGACTGTTATTTCGTGGATGTGAGGCACCTGGAGTGCTTGGGTTGCGTCCAGACCCAGAGCCACTGGTGAGATAACCATCCTTCCGCCAGGTCCGATCTGAATCAACCGGGGGCGAAGCAGGCTGCGAGGAAGATTTGTATCCATCCCGAGACCATCGACCGCTACCAAGACCCGAGCGAGTGCTTTCAGTCAAAACTGCAGCTTCCATAGCCGCCAATTTTTTCTATGAGAGGTTAGTAGATGGCAAGAATTAGAGGACCGGGGTTCGCGGGTTACCATATTCTTCTGTCTAGGGTCGACCATGGTCTTGTTCCGAAGCTGCTTGATAGCGACGAAGATGCGCACGCGGTCGCCCACCTTCTTTATACCCATTTCTTGCAAAATCTTTTGGTCGCAGTCGATTAGATTATCACCGTTAAAGTTGTTTGCTTTAAGAAATCAGCATCCACCTGAATTGCTCTGCGAGTCAAAAGAAAATTTACCTCGGAAGAGCGACTCATATTGCCCGCACTTAATGCTGTGAAGCCATGTCACCACCTTCTTCTCATCCCAGGCCCTGTATGAAGTCAGAAAACCTCTCATTCGCCCAGGCTCCATCCAATTTGATAGCTTACCGGACACCCAGTTGTTCATCGTGTCCCTCCGAAAACTCGGACTTGGTCGGGCTGGTGAATCCAAATCCCTCGGTCACTTTTGTCGCCGTTGCAGGTCTTTGGGAGGTCGAGTGAAAGGTGGTTGTAGAGGCTTGGGCGGCAGGCATGCCTAGGGAGGCCGAATATTGCGGTTGGGAAGCTAGCATCGTGAAGGCGAGCTGGTGAGAGTCCAGCCTTTGTCCGAATTATTGCTTCTTGATCTCTGGCTGAGCGATATGGGGTTGAGTTCGATCGCAAGAGCCCTTCCTCCGCCTGCGGGTAAGAGCTTGTCGTGCCGGGTTCAATAAGAAGTCGTCGGAGGATGGCGGGGGTCAGCACATAGTATCGAAGGGAGGCAGCCTGTGATTGTTGAGTCTGTCAGTTCGCGCGACTCTTTGGAACCAGTGAAGAGTGAACAGCGAATATTGGGCGTCGAAGCGTTAATGGGGGTCTGAGAGCGAGCCAAGGCTGACCAACACAGATACACACCAACTATGGAGGGAATACCAACAGAAAGAAGACGAAGGAAGAAATTGCGTACCGGCACAATGAAAGACGTCTTTGTTCCCAAAGGCCGGAGGGGACGATCGCGAAGTCTGAGCTTTTTGGGGGGGGGAAGATGGAGATCGGGGAGGGAGCCACTTAGTGTGGTCGAGATCGGGCGTTTATCTCATGGAAACTCTGACAAACTCCCCACCGCAACAAATACGATCCAATCCAATTCGATCAACTCTACCTAAGTCCGGCAGGTTGTGCAGGTTTTGTACTGTTGGCTGAAACCTGAGACGACTAGACGACACAACTCCATCAAGGGGCTGCTCACCGTCGTCTCAGCCTCCCCACGCGTTTCATGGCCATCGGAGGTGTCACGTCTCATCCCTTGCGACTCTGTCCTACATGCCACAACGCGAGCTCGGACGCTGTTCTTGCCACTCAATTCAATAGTTCATGACAGACCGTTCTTCTTCCTGTCCAACTTTTCAATTCAATCGTCAAAGGGAATCTTCCAAAGTGACTTTCCGGCCCCGGCCCCACTGCTGAAACAGCGGATCTGAAGTCGGTCCTCACTGAGACCCAGTTGCATCTTGCCGATAGGTGTGGCCAAAAAACAGAGTTCCGTGGTTTCGCCCATTGAACAAATTTAGAATGGAAATAGTGCCGTGTGGCGCCCTGCGAATGAGACAAATCCGCTTCCACTCATAGGGATCTCGGTCCAGATATCCCATTCACCCAGCTCAACGTCATGATGTCCTAGACGGTCTGGGATACGAGCAGCAGGGATGATTGATTAATACTAAAGTGGAAGGCCTAGGCTCCTAACAGAAGCAGATTTCCGATGATAAACACCCAGTATATTGGGGTGGATTGAGGTATGGGTATAATGAACTGTAGAAAAGGAAGGTTTGAAGAGGCATGGACATTCAAAGATGCTGAACAGGGCATTCGTTGATGCTGTTGATGTCGAGTCTGTTGCGGGAGCCAGTTGAATACTAATTCATCAACTGAATCTTGAACGCAATTTCTTCAACTTTATAGTTGCCCTACGCTAACTATGTGTCTCCATTCTCATCGATGGGAAAGAAAGTAAGATCCGACAGCCGTCAATCACTTTCTGTGCAGTTCTGGTCACGGCTATATTGTTGACTGCATTTATCATCCCCGAATCATCTCTTCCCCCTCACCCCTTTGGAGAGGGTCCATGTGGCTTCATGTGGCTTCATGTAGCTTCTCCGCACCGGTGGAGCCTGTTTACCGCGCCTTACCGCATGCATTTTCATGATTTCGGGCACATCATAGCTACTCAATTGCAACTGTGTCTGGCAATTTCTACGAGACGGATTCATATAATCCCAAGAAGCTATTTGTAGGCTCTGAGTCTTATCAAAAGAGCTTTACGAACTACTACTAGTAACTAGTAGTAGTTAGTAGTTGGTTTCACGCGATAATCGACTTGAAGATGACTTGAAGATCTAAATCTCTAAGTATTATATATACTACTAGTATGAGGAACTTGAAATAATAATTTGAACTGAGCTTGAAGTTTCCAAGGTTTAAAATTACCTAGGCACTACTTACTAGTGTTTTATGATCGCACACATGCCCTCATCGCCTGGGCAATAGCGAAAAAAAAAACGTGCGAATCATAGACTAGGGGATCAGAGTCAGATACTGGCTGGGTTTAAGTTATTTTAGAAAAGAAATACCCAGGGAATTGTCGGAGTGGGGCTTATGCGACAACAGCTCCTCCTGTCTCGTAGTATGGACGCAAAGAGCGAATGAGTGCTTTATGGCCCACAGCGAATCCGAATCCAAGCTTAGGAAATTATCGTCTTCCATTTTCCCAACAGAATGGATGGTCGAGCAATAACTTGACCGCTCACTTGCTTGTTTCCTTAATACCCCAATCAAAGCTTCCCAGACATGATATTTGTTGATTTCTTCCGCTTCCGTTTTGATTTGCAGCAAAAGCTTGAGTCTACTAATTATCGTGTGATGCCGTGAGGACTCGAGGGACTGCCTGAAGCGTTTTTGGTGTAGCAGAGTAGAGGGCCCGCGTATATTAAGCAGTACCCTGGCCAACGTAATCCCGCTCTCTCCTATGGCATAAGTGAGTCGTGATCCCTCCTCTGATCCATTCTGAGAGGCAACTCTTTCTAAAGTAGCGATATTATTTGAACCGGAATGATCATCAGAAAACGAGATCGATGTCTTCCCTTTGCCCAGGTGGTTGAGCAGCAAATACACAATTGACTCACACTACCTACCTCAAGCACCAATCCAGACCCACTCATAAACTTCATAGTGATAATTTTCTACTAGTAGTACATCAGGAGCTTTGCCACTTTGGAATTGATTCTTTCCGAGGTCCAGGAGATATGACTTGACCGCACCAATCTATTGGATTCAAGTCGATGCCCATAAAATGCAAATTGCGAGTATCCAAGTCTATGATTACTCTGGAAAAGACTATTTATCATTCTTGCATATCCTCACACCGCGACTGATAGGATAGATTCACTCCATGGACATGGCCCATTAGGAATCTTAGCGAGATAAGGCCCAGTGCAGGTGAGACAATGTTGGTTTTAAATTTGACCAATGCCAATGCTTGGTGAAAAGTTAATTGAATCACCTGAATATTTGGAGCATCTTCAGGATGCTGATGGGAAAGCATTACTATTGCCTTATAGTACCTGTTCAATCAGGCAGGTTTGAGTTGTTTGAGTTTGGGTGTTTGGCAGAGTCGCATCTGCTGAGACCCTCTTTAAAAAGTCGATTTGAGTCGCAGCTAAAAAGTACTACCAGTAGTCATTTCAGTTTGTGGGGGGGGGGGCTAGTATGATCGAAAAACGACAAATTGTTAGCGCACAAAGTCTTTGGCCTGGCCAGAGAATTAGGAATTCTAGAAGGTGAGACATCATTGAGACTATTTTGCGCTAAAATGCCGGGCCAAAAAACGGTTCCTGGGTTATTGTCACCCAGACCCACCCACACAAGCGAACCCTGGGAAGGAAAACCTTCGGAGTCTCCATCTAAATGATCAGGTCACATAGTATATCAGCTCCACTGTATTTTACCTCCAGATCGATCGATACTTGAAATGATGTCGTCTGTTTTTAGCCAATGAGCACCTATCAGGCGTGGGGCGAAAGACGATGGCCATCTTTAAGGGTCATGAATTTAAGTCCTGTTAGTGAACAAAATAGACCTAGGGGGGGTTAGTAGAAGTTGCAATTCCTGGGGGTTTAGAAGTTTGAAGGTCAAATGATGATTCTCAAAGTGCACGGAGTGTGTACATACTCCGTCATGTGTAGATGTTTGTTGTTTGGTGGGGCGACGAAGAGAGCCAAGAACAGGGAAGTCTGCCTGGTCCCCTGTGGATACAAAGTGAGGTCAAATTTTTATTTCCGAAAAGGGGCCAGTGAAGGCAAGTTCCACTAGTAGTACTCCGTACTAGCACCTAAATTCTTCAATACAGTGGTATACCTATAATTTCGAGGAACTAAACCTTGAATCTTCCAGCCGGTCATATACTAGTAGTTAAATTATAACTCATCAACTATGTAAGCTGATATTTACCCAATAATAGATCTGTATAGAGGTGATCATGATGATCCCTGGAACTGAAATCAAAATTGAACGGGTCTCCTACTCTGGTAATACGACGTGTACAGTACTGGCTAGATTGCGGCTCTGTGGCGGCTGACAGGCACGTGTCGCTTGATGTGGCAGGTGGGAAAGTTCCCAATAGCCACATTGTTCAATGTTGCCCAAGATGAGTCTGCCTACCGACGGAATGGGTTACTGGGGCCGAGACTTTAACCAGTGGAGGTGAGCAGCCTGGGCTTGGACCCTGCGCCCAAACTCTTTCAATGGAGGCTGAGTTCCGGGATCTTACTCCGTACTCTTATATTTGGGGCTCGACACCCTTTCTCTACTAGCTCACTATTCCTTTCTCTTACCTTTGAACGTTCTCATGATCCTCACTTCTTGAACCTTTCAAACAGATCTAATCTCTCTATCAAAATGCATTCAAAATTCATTACCGCACTTCTTATGCTGGCCCCGGCCGTTCTGGCCAACCCCGTTGCCACCGACACTGCCGACATCTCCGATTCCTACCCGATGGATGCCGAACTGAACGATGAGCTGAACAATGAAATTAACGATGCCCTCGCAAACATCCCCAGCTCTATTCTGACCGTGTTGGCGACTGCTATCCCCCAATCCTGGTATATGGATCTCCTGGACCCGGCTTCCCAGTCCGCTTTCCTGAGTGAGGCCTCGGCCGGTATTTACCCCGACTGGTACAGCGCACTACCGTCCAGTGTTATCGCCTGGGCTAGCACTGCTGCCGAGAATGGTGACGACTTCCTGTTCGGAAGCGCTACTGCCACTGATGAGAGCGCGAGCGGTGCTACTGCCACTGGTTCTCGCAGCTCTGCCAGAACTGCCTCTGCCACTGCTACCCAGACTGCCGACACTGAGTCCAGCACCGAGTCCAGCACCGACTCTAGTGCCGATTCCAGCACTGTGACCAACTCCAACACTGATTCTACCACCGCCACATCGGATGCTAAGTCGTCGGATTCCGCTTCCAACACTGCTTCCAGCGCTGCGTCTTCCACTCATGCGTCTTCCACCTCCACTGGCGGTGCTCCTCTCGCCACTGGAAGTGTCGCCATGAGCTTTGCTGGTGCGGCTGGTTTACTCGGCCTGATTGCCGTCCTCTAAGCTTTAAAATTTGAGGATTTTCTATGGCTGTTCAATCGACCATTTTTTGATGTCACGGAAAACAAGTGCAAACACAATTTCAACTCGAAATGAAGCAAACTGTACACGAACCATCCCATTCCACTTCTAGTTATAATACTTCTAATTTAATACTAGTATATCTACTTAGGTAGTCATCCAATAAAAATAATGAACAAGAGTTCAACAATAGGTAGTACCTAGCATTGTATCTCTATCTCACTTTTTTTGGGCCATTCCATGTAGTATGGGTTTAGAATTGCATTGATACCTTCAAGTTGCCAATTCTCAGAATTAAATTCGCCCTGTACCATGGCCCGAGGGGCGACGAACGTATTCGGGACGATGGGACTCCAACTTGAATGGTCAATGCCCTGGAAAGAAAGCCACACTCAGAAAGGATAGAATCATTGCAAGACTATATGGGGCTGGAAATGTACTATTAGTACACGATTTAGCAAACTACTAGTATATTACTTAAAACTTCCAAGGTTGAGATATACTAGTATTGAGACTCGGGTGCATTCTATCTTTTCCAATGTTTTGGATTCACTAAAGTAGTATACATACCATTTTCGATGCCATGGAACTAAGCCCTATTTTCTCTCCTTGGTTTTCCGCGGACAAATTAGTATTCAAGTATTAAACTTGAAGATGATCGATTGTGTATGTTATTTGAACTTGAAAATAAACGTCTCAAACACTATCTCAGATATCGGCTGTCGGCTTTAGTGACCTTTCCGGTAAGTGCGTACATGAGATCTACTCCTCCTCCATCAATCCATTTAACCCTTCCCGTCTCAGCCACGCCTCTTCCCCGTCACCCTCCAGCAGACCGCTCCAACCAGCCCACCTCGATCCCAATCTATCTCTGCATCTTCTCCATCTCTTCGTCTGATACAAGTTACTAGTATCTCTCGAACCCCCTCCTTCTGTTCCGACCCAATCGCTGGCTCAGGCACAGCCGGACAATACCGCCACGTGACTTCCGTCTCCCCTCACTGGTGCCAAACCCCACAGTTTTTTCTTTCCCCGCTCAGCGCTGGGCCTCGAATTCTTTCCCCTCTCTTCCCCCCAGACGGAACCCCGAACCCCAAATATGGATGACGAGAAGGCAAAAGTCAAGAAGAAGGGTGCCACTCACCGCAAGTCCCTTTCTTGCGAATACTGCAGCCGATCGTTTGCTCGCCTGGAGCATCTCCAACGCCATCTCCGCACCCGTTGAGTAACCCCCTCTCAACCTGTCGTCGCTTTCCTTCCCCTAATGTAGGACAACAGATACCAAAGAGAAACCCTTCTCATGTGACATCTGCTCAAAGTCATTTGCCCGGAGGTAAGATTGATCATAATTCTCATCCAATCACCCAATCGCTGATATCTTTGCTATTCGCAGTGACCTTCTGGTGCGACATGAGCGATTGGTCCATCCAGCCGAAAGTGCGGCCGGTCGTGAACATCGCACGCATAACGGAACCGAGAATAACCACCATGAGATTCCAATTCAGTCGTCCATCATTCAACCCGCCCATCATGAGTCACGCATGTTAGAGCTGGCCGACGCTATCCCGGTCCATACCCAAGTCCCCCCTCCACCTCCCGAAGTCCAGGTCCAACCACCCCCTATAGTCGAGACTACCCACTTCAATCCCTCTTGGGGTTACGACTTGAACCTCTTATCGCACGCCGCAAGTCATGTTGCCTTGGAAGGTCAACAAGAGACTTTGGATTCCATCCGCAAATCCTCGCATACAATCGACACCCCATCCCAACCTCTTCCCCCACCTCCAGAGAGAGCCATCACCGACAACTATGGTGTAGAGCCATCATTTCTCGATCTTACGGATCTTGGAGACCCCGTTCAAGATTTCACTGTATTTTTGGAAAGTGTCGGCTTATCATCCGATTGGGACTCGGGGATCTTCTCCTCAGTTGAAGAGCCCATGTTGCCGCCGAGTCTCTCTATCGACTCGAAACCGCAAGTCCGGGATACGCCGGCATCTGCACGTCTTGGTGCTGATCTTATGGGTGATGTGCGAGTTCAGGCAGATGACCCACCTTCGTTTTCTAATTTCGGATCTCGCTTGCCATCGCTGCAGCCTGAGTCCCACGAGATGGAAGATCGAATTGGCCTTTCGGATGATAGCGCACGTCCAGCATGGGACATCACTAATGCTGATCGCCAAATTTTCGTCTCCAAGTTGGAAGAATTCTCCTTCGTTCTTCCCAAGGGCTTTGTGCCGCCATCTCGTCATGCATTATCTCGGTTTTATGCTGGATACATCAACGGATTGAATGAACATTTGCCCTTCGTACATGTTCCTACACTTTCAATTGCCAAATGTTCACCAGAGCTCACTCTAGCCACGGCAGCTGCTGGGTCGCACTACCGATTCGAGAACGGTCGGGGATAGACCTTTTTCACGCTGCTAAAGCCATTTTGTTGGAACGTCTTCGCCGACGGGACAGCAGACAGGTACCACAGCCATCATGGAACTATATCTCTCCACCTTCCAATTTTCCAAACTCGCGTGGATCTTCGATTATCTCCAACACCGCGAGTAGTCCATTTCAAACCCATCATATGCCGAATCCTCCTGTGAACGCATCTATCTATACTCCAGACGACTCAGATGCGCACATGGAAGTGATTCGGACATTTTTACTCCTCACTGTGTTTGCTTCTTGGGAGAGGCAACCAGAGCTGTTGCGAGAGATCCTCTCGCTTCAAAGCACACTAGCAAGGCTGGTTCGGGAGCACGGCCTGTCTGAGCCACCCCCCCACGCCTGAACCTATTAGCTGGGAAGAGTGGGTTCGAAGAGAGGGAAATAGACGGACGAAACTGATCGTTTACTGCTTTTTCAATCTTCATTCGATCATGTACAACATACCTCCCATGATCCTCAACGGAGAGTTGAAGCTCAATATGCCCTGTTCGCATGACCTGTGGAAGGCCTCCAATTCAGCACAGTGGCGACGACTTCACCGTGCCCGACAAGGGTTAGATGTCTCTTTCCCAGAAGCATTTGCCCGTCTCTTCCTCAGATCATCTACATCCTTCCCTTCCGCTCCTATATCCCCCTTGGGCAACTACATCCTCATCCATGCTGTTATCCAGCAGATATTCTTTGCCCGACAGCTATGCCTGTCAGCCCCAACTATGAACGGTACCAGTTTAAGGCAGGATGATCTCAACGTACTCGATAACTCTCTGAGTGCTTGGAAAGCCTTGTGGAAACGCACGCCTGAATCCAGCATCGACCCTCAGAATCCTGCCGGTCCCATTGCTTTTACCTCTACTGCACTCTTGGGGCTGGCATATATTCGACTGCATGTTGATCTGGGTCCTTGTCGTCACCTCATTACCCAGGACCCTGCGCAGATCGCAGGTGCCCTTATTGAGTCGCCGCCGATCGTCCGAAGCCCAAGGTTGATCATGGCATTGCTGCACTCGGCTCATGCCCTCTCTATCCCCGTCCGACTAGGAATTGATTTCGTCGCAAGGACACACTCGTTCTTCTGGAGTATCCAACACTCCTTGTGCAGTCTGGAATGCGCATTCCTGCTCAGTCGCTGGCTGCTGGCCATTCCCGCGACACAGCCAGAGCAACGGCTATCTGAGCACGAGCGCAAACTTCTCTCGTGGATCAAGAGCATGATGGATGAAACCGACATGGCTGTTGATCCACCAGGAGCCCCAGATCCTGACTTCATGGCGAACCCATTCAAGGTTCGCCAGCTCAGTGTTGCCATTGTCCGTGTCTGGGCCCGGACATTTAAAGGTAACACTAGCTGGGCCATTGTTGACTTGGTTGGATCAAGTCTAGATGCTTATGCGGACCTTCTGGAACACTAAGTATACTTCTCTCAAAATTGCTGGTTTTGGAGTACTTCGCGCGGGCAAAAATGCGAGTGGCATCTTTGCGGAATAGTTCACTCTGGACTAACGTAGCATCTTTAATGACGTTGTGACTTCTTTCTTTTCTTTTCTTTTTTTTTTTGGTTGGACATGATATCTCACGGAGTTTCTCTTTGTAAATGCAAGCTTGAAAGCCTTGGGACGCGTTGGTTTGGATAGGTTGGATGGACGAACTTTTCATGCTTGATCTGTATATAAGTATATGCCCTGGGAGTGGATCTCCAGACGGGATCTTTATTCTGGCTGTTGCTTCTTTCTTAATGATACCTCGAATGGCGATGATTTGAAAATTCAGCGGCTACTACTAGTACATCTATGAATATCTACAACAGTGAAGTGTGAATTTTGTCAGTTAAAATCTTGATTAGATACCTAGGTACTAGTCAAATCGTTGATTGATTGAATAGTATTGCTTTTAGAATGCTTCAGTGATTATATCATAAGCCATTTGCCTCAAGAATGCTTTTGAGGCGCCTTCGGTCGATTTTTCATCACACTTGCAGGTACAAACCGGAGGGCTGACATGGATCGTTCTAACTCGTCAATCTCCATGTCATTGGTTTCCTCTTGAGGAACTGTAGTAGGTGGATTTGCCCGTGATACTGAACTGCGACGTCGAAGCCTTCCTTCTTGGGCAGATGAGATGGATGCAGTGGAGAGGCGCCTCCGGTTGCTGTTCAAAGGTCGTAGCAGAGAGGTCTGCTTATCGATTCCATCGTTAATGATATAGAAATTGTAGGTCTAGATTTTGTTTCATAATCGATTAGTCCGAAATACAATTATCTTTCAGATGAGATCTAATATACCCTGGGAAACATGTGCTTGTCGATCAGATGGAGTCGTCGCTTTTGAGGGGTAGAACATTTTCGCTCGCAATCCTCAATGAAGCAGCCATACTAAACCGGCATGAGATTTGATCATCAGTACATTATCCACCGAACATATCAATTCAATCCCGCTACAATTATTGCACTCACGGTCTTCTCCCCTCGCGCTTTCCGGGCTGCCGCGAGAGCATCATGGTTCTCTTCGATATGAAGATTCAAAAAATGGCCTGTTGGGAAATTCCTACCGCATTCCGCGCAGCGATTGACATGTGCCTGTCGGTAATGCACTTCGTAGTCTTCATGTGAAGCGAAAGACAAGGTCTCGCGATGAGGTGGTAGCGCGCAATGCATGGCTTCGACGATGGGGGCCGATTCACCATGGATAATCTTGCTGCGCTCCATTGGAGTAACGAGATCGGAAGTTGAGGGCCTTGAGTGTGTAGAAGGGGAAAGTGAGCGTGACTCGGAACGGCTTCGAGAACGTTTGGACATAATTGCGGTGTCGAGCCTTGTTACGATGCAATGCTTCCTTCAGGCACGGTAGATATGTGATCGATCCACTTGGCGGGGCTCAGTGCAGCAGAGCGCGGCGAGGGCACTATTGAGGACCCATTCGGTGTCCTAAGCTTAGGAAACTTGGGAAAGAAAAGATAAGAACAAAGAAGAAGATTGGAAAGGTGAATCCGATTCATGCAAGGATCACATTCATTCACATCAAAAGACAAAGATGTGTTGCGAAGGAAAAGCATTGTGGAAGCCTCCCACCAATCAGCGTCGACCCCAGGGGCAATTCCGCCGAAGTACTCCATCGCGCTTTTTCCTTTCGATAATCTCCTGCCTCAACTTGACACCCGCCCCGATGGCTCGACCATTCCTGCATTCATCTGTTGTCGCTGTAGCCATCTGACCGGTGCGGTCTACGGTGGTTTCACGGGAAAATGGCATCCTTCAAGGATGCGTGGAAGTCAGTTCTACCTTAACTTAACACCTTTCCCCCTCCCCTCCTCCCTCGCCCAACCCTCCGGAAGTCGGAGATGGTCGATGTGGACTGTGGACTGAATCTAATCGATCGCATATAGGACCGCGCTCAGTTCTGAAAGCGAACTGATGCGATGCCTCACCCAAAAAGAACCCACCTTCGCTGAAATCTCACACTTTCTATCCGAGTCAGTCAACGCCGCACACTTCCCAGCACTTACGGCCCAACTCGTCTAATGCCAGTACTCTCTCTACAGGTTTCGCACCATATGTCAGAATACTATTCTGCTTGACTTTGATACTGCCCGCGACACCGATGTCGAGAGTCGCTTGTGGGAAGCGCATCTGAAAGTGAACAATCGGTTTCGCAAGTTGCTTTCTCGCGTGAGTGTCGCTGGATGAGGGCGGGATAACATATCAGGCCCAGTGAACTGACCGGTCCGATTGACACAGTACCGCGAGGAGAACGTAAGGAAAAAGCCGGTGGAGAGACGAAAGCTTGAGAAGCACTACTTGGACTTCATCAAGTCTAGTCAACGATTCTACCGTGGCTACATCCAACACCTTTCATCGCATTTCGGCGGCATCGTCGAACTGGAGAAGGTCGCGCGCAAGTTCAACTTCGAGAGTATGAATCGTCTATTCCCCATTATCGTGCGCTGCACGAAACAACACAAGAACTAACTCGGAAACCCCTCTAGATTTGTCCGCACAACCTCCCGTTCCCGTAACCCCCGACCTGCACAAGCGCATCCTTCAATCTTGCCATGCGACCCTCATACGCCTCGGCGATCTTTCCCGCTACCGGGAAACCGAGCTCGTCAGTAAAGACCGCAATTGGGGACCCGCAACTGGATACTATGATCTAGCCTCCGTGATATACCCCGTCTCTGGTGCGTCACATAACCAGTTGGCCGTGATCGCCCTCGCCGATGGCAATCATTTTCGGGCGACTTATCATCTCTACCGAGCGCTTTCAACCCAAAACCCTCACCCTGCCAAGGGTAACCTTGAAATCGAATTCAAAAAGGTTATGAATTTATGGGCCAAGAAGGAGCTGATTCGTCCCGAGGACGCCGGAATCCCGGGCAGAGCTCTCGCTCCCTGGTTTGTCTATCTTCATGCAAAGTGCTACAAAGGAGATGATTTCTCGGAGCATGACGAGCTGGAGAGTGAGGTCATGAGCCAGCTCGCTGTCGAAATCCGTGAACGGTCTCTTGAAGGGACACTCCAGAAATTCTGCCTTATCAATATTGCCGCAGAAGACTTTGCCAGAGCTAGATCGCATGAAGAATCGGTATTAAGCGCGCCCCTGTTTTTCCAACGAATCAATGTGAAGACTTTCTTCACCTTGTTACAAATTCTTCTCGTTGAACTCGAGCGATTTGCAGCTGAAGATTCGAGTACTAGCAGCAAAGATACCCTAACCGCTAGAAACGGACCTGACAAGATTACCGTGGTTGCGCGCCGAATTCTTCCAGCGTTGAGACAATACAGCTCTTGGCTCCTTGTCACCAATGAATTCCTCGTTGCACAGAAGGATGAGAAGGATTCGGCGCTCTCAATCCAAATCCAGGAATTTTGGAAGATTTACGCAGAGACCTTAACTCTTCTTGCATCTACTTTTGATGTCGCGCAGCTCCCGGAAATCGACTATCTTCTCGAAGATGATGAAGAGAGTCTTGGATTTGTTCCTCTCGATCAAGCAGCCACATCCCGCCGGTATATCGGCACGAATGGTCAGCTCAAACCGCGAATGAATGATCCGGGCATCGAGAGAAGTCATCCAAACATGGAGATGCTCTACAGAATCCGCGAGTTTGTCATAGATGGCCTTGACCTAGTCGTGGGAAACAAAATTCCAATTGCATTGATTGACGATGAAGACAAGAAGACATTCCTCTACCGAGAAGACGGACTGCCAGCCCAGTTTTTCTCAAGTCCTCATGGCCATCAGCAGGCCCTCTCGACCCCGATAATCGAACGAGGAGATATTCCTCCCATGGCTCCAGATTCGAATTCTGTCGCTGAAGGCCACAGCATGTTTGGTGGATCCCAATCTGCATCAGCATCCATGTCGGCCAACATGCATCGTATCGTGGAAGATGTGGAGCGATTGGTTGAGTCTGACACTTACGAAAATGCGCCCGATATGTCCGGCCAATATGCGTTCTTAAATGAGCCACGAGACATGCCCACGCCTTCGGCTCCAGCGGTGTCCACGATGAGTGCGTTCGCATTTGAACAGCCTACGCCACAACTTAGAACATCCATTCCACCTCCTGGGCTTGGCCCTCCCAATCCCGGTGCAGCGGAGTCCCTTCGCGCTTCAATTTCTCAGTCCTATTCACCACTTCCGGCTGTACCTGGAATGCCCAGCATCTGGAACACATCGTCGCCTACGCCACTGAGAGAGGGTACATCTCCCCGCACGCCTCCTGGCCTGGGTCCACAGCCTCAAATGCATCCCATGGCACCCCCGAATGTCATCATGTCCGATCGATCACCATCTCAAGGCCAGACTGGAAATGATCTTCTCCGGCAAAGTATGATGGCGCAGACTCAATCCTCTGGCTTCTTTGACCCGGCTGGATCGGTGCCTTCCTCATGGATCCCCCCCAACCAATTTGTCAACGACCCTTCCTCAATCCGTCCCAGGTAACTGGGATGCCAATAACTTGAGCCGCATGAGCTACTCTTCGTTTCCCAGCCAACCTAGCTCGAGCGGGTTGCCAAATCAAACATGGGCCAACGAAGCCTTTATTGGAAGCGGTCTCCCAGCAGGCGGCGGGCCTTTCAGCTCAGGTTTCGGCGACCACCGCAAATCTGCTGCTCGACTTGGAGCCGTTGGGCAAACTCCCCCTTGTGGGCAGGGAGGCTGATCAAGAAGTAGATATGCTTCTATGCAAAGATAACACAAAGCATCTACAGGCCATGCATCCTCGAATCAGCTATCTGAGTGAGAAACATCAAAACCCTCCCAGCACGCAGCTAGACCTTCCCTCCAATCATGGCATATGTACGCCGTTTTAACACAGCTCACCAAAGTGCACATGCGAAACAATACTAAGTTAGCTACTCCATTTTGCATTCTGAACATGAGAGTCGGCTCTGGTCATTGCGATCCAATGGTCCTCTGGATAATCACTCTATCCCAGTAACGCATACACACCAATGATTTCGAAGCTCAATTGTTCCTCTTCGGGGGAATGGCTCAGGGCATCTGATCTTTCTCGACTCCTCTCTGGCAGCCCTGAGTGTGTCTTGTACCTTCTCACTTGATTGTTTTCTCTTTCTCTTTTTGTCCGAGAAGGGCAATGCCTCTGGGCTGTCTGCGCGTTCAACACGCGACATAGTGCGCAGTCGAGACCTGGAAAGTGACCGCTCCCCCTTGTTATGCTGGAGGACACGTTTCGTCCCATGGATTCACTTTTGGTCTTTTTCCCCCCTTCATGCGAAGAAATTTGTCATTTCTCAAGCAATCCCTTTTTACCTTTTTTGATAGCCTTTGTTTTTTTTTACTGTTGAGTTCGTCGGATAGAATGGATGGATGAATGGCATAAGGCAGCTATTGGGTGGGCCGTATCCAATGAACATCGTAAAGTTCCTCGTCTGCAGTTTCAAGTTCTTTTGGCCAAACCTTGAAACATATAGTAAACTAGTATAGATAGTGCTACTTCAATGCCCGTAAGCCATCAATTAAACAAATTGTAACATTCATTTATCTTGAATCATTCGTTATGTCGTTGTTGAAAACGAGATCCATCGAGAATCCGTTCATTCGGCCACCAGATTTCCATCCCCGATATTATCATGGTGCTTTAATCACGTTAAGTGTTTTGTAAAGGGACAACGGAAGAATAAGAGTAGAAAAGTAGAAAGGTGGACAGGATGTCCAAAGGACAGAGCCTTGATCTTTTGACGTTAAGTCGTTTTTCTCGATGTATAGGAACAGAAAAGGAAATTTGGGTATAGAGGGTTGAATCATCCAGGGTTGAAAGGCGCATGTTCAGTCCAATTGTTTGGGATTGAGCTGCGCCGAGATCTTCCTCGCTAGGTCGATCTATGTGTTGAAAATCTTCATTCATAATCTATTCTTTTAATGTTGGAGAATCGTCACCGCTTAAGAGCGGGAGTAGGTCTGCTTGGGGGGGGGGAAGCTACGTATCGATGTTAGCATGAAGCACTTTCAGCCCGGGTCATCAAGTGGGAAAACTCACGAAGGTCCAAGCTCCTGGATGCTCTTGCTGGCCAACCACTGACCCATGTCAATGCTGTCCTCAAGAGACTTGCCAGAGACAACACCAGCGCAGAAGCCACCGGCGAAAGCATCACTGTTGATTCCACTTTTAGTCAAGGACAATTGAGTTTAAGATGGGATGGTACTTACCCGGCACCGTTGGTGTCGTTGATGGCGTCCTTGGAGATCTCGTGGACGTTGAACTGCTTGATCTCAACGCTGCCGTCGGCGGAGGCGATACCGACAACGGTGGGCTCAGTGCCCTGGGTGACAATGGCAACACGAGGACGCTGAGTGTTCTTCTTGGGGAGGAGGGCGAGCTTCTTGGCGATCTCGACAACGTCCTCGGTACCCCACTCGTGACTGGCAGCGTAGGCACGAGCCTCGGTCTCGTTACAGAAGGTGTAGTCGGTGTAGGGCAGGACGGTGTCCAGTTGCTCCTTGAAGAACTGGGGAATGAAAGGAGCAGAGAGGGAGAGCATGAAGACCTGGAGTATCTATGTGTGAATAATTGCTCGCACCACACAGCGATTGGGTGTACATACCTTGTTCTTGGCAGCGGCCTCCTCACCGAGAGCCTCGATGGCAGGGACACAGACAGTCAGATGGTAGCCACCGACGTAGTAGAACTGAGCCTTCTCGACGAGAGACCAGACGTGGGGCGATTTCAAGTGCTCAATCTTGTACTCGTTGGCGGCAGCGAGGTGAGTGCACATGCTGCGGTCGTGGCCAGTGATGACAACACCACACTTGCCAGTGGGCTGGTTCTCATCGACGCGGTACTCGGTGTGGACACCGGCCTCCTCGCAGGTCTTCTTGAGGATGTCACCGTACTTGTCCTTACCAACACAGCCAATGTACATGACGGAGTTCTCGGGGAGCATGTACTTAACATTTCGTCAGTCTCTTTTGTGCAAAATCTTCAATCAATGGAACAGCAAAGTTCCATACCTGGGCACCACGGGCAGTGTTCTGGGCGGCACCACCGGGGATCAGCTTAGCGTCCCGGGCGAGGAGGTCCTCATAGATGCCCATGTGCTGCTCCTCAGCGAGGATAGCATCGTTGGGCTTCAGGCCATACTTCTCAAGGAAAGCGGCATCACTAGGGAAAACTAATCAGCAATCTATATCGATAAGACCCAGCCTGATAGAAAAGTCCCATCATACCCACGAGCCTGGATGTCTGGGGAAAGTCAGCAATCTATACAATTCGGCCAGAAAGGTGAACGTATCACATACCGAGGAGAGGGTTCTCAAGAGCGAGCAGAGGGTATCCTTGGGGAGCAGCCATTTTGAAGAAATTAAAGATCGAAGTGAATTGAGGGGAAGGGGATGAAGATGAGGGCCCAGCAACCTTGGAGGGCTTGGAGGGGCATCTTTCTGCCGGGCGGAAGACCTCCAAGGTTCGCGCCCAGACCAGTTAGTATGTGGACGGCTCCAGCAACCTCCCCAAACATCCAGATCTAATCCCCGATATCCCATTGACCCACCATCATGTCCAACCCTGCAATGGAAATCTCAGAGACGATTCAGGCGGGACATATCCGCTCGAATCCTTCTCCGACTCACGATATCAACCCCCCTACCGCGGCCTCGGAGAAACAGCCCGTTGTTGTTGGTCCGGCGTCGGACGCTGGCAGCCTCCCATCGGACTTTGTTGACCCCAGCCGGGTCATTCGTCCTGTACGCCGGCGTCAGACGCTTCCTCCGCTGCCAGACCTTCGCTTTGAGCAGAGCTATCTTGCCAGTATCAGAGACGCCGATACCTGGGGCCGCGTGGCGTGGATCACTGTCAGAGACCAGGTAAGATATGCTGCGGAGCAAATAAGAACTCCGAGAGAAGGGAGAGATGAGAGATCAACGGCCTGAAGAATATATTTATCTAATAGCATTTCCTTCTATCCAGGTTCTCCTCCCTCTCATTCAAGGCACGGTGTGGACTCTCGCGCTCTCAGGGTGGCGCTTCTGGAATCGCACCGCCTCGCTCAGCGGCCAAACTGTCGGCAGCCGAATCCGCAGGTGGTGGTATGATGTCAACAACTGGAAGCTACCTCCTATGAAATGGTCCCAGGATCCTAAGCTGGCTGAGCAAGTTGGAGATGTAAGCTTATCCCTTTCCCCGTTCCTAGGGTTGCAGCCCATTTTGACAGAACATATAGAACTAACGGTGCCGGAGTTCTTGCAGTTCTACGAGGCTCAATTTTCCAACGCAGGGTCCGATTGATAGGCCATGGCTTTGACTTGGTAGCATGGCCAGGACCTTGACGGACCATGACCTGCTCCCCTCCACTAGCATCATCATAAAGGCGTTTGGTATTTTCTTGATTCATGGCTTATTGGGTGAAGCCTCTGTTCGATATCCCACCTCTTAGACTAGGTCTTTTTTCTTGATCTTCGATCAAAAATACGTGTACTACTCATTCACATTCGAAAAACAATTGTACATTATACACTGGCACTACCGTTTCTTTTATAGCAATAGCATTACAAAAGTATGGTATCAATCAATACTAGAAAAGTCGGTATCATTTTCAATTGGAATCTTTCCAAGTCTATTCACAACCCAAAAAGGCAGCTACAAAGCAACTATCAATCCCATTCCAAGTAAACCTTGATTTCAGCCGGAATCATCTGGTAAAGGTCTGCTTCAAGCGCATGCAAGACCCATACGCTTAGCCAGTCGAATTTCAGCTTTAGTGGGTTATGTTTGGGGCAACGCGTCTCCAGATTGGCCCTCCGTACCAAAATTGGGACGAATCGAGCCATTTGACTCGGTTAGATTGTTGATATTGGGCTGGTCGGCCGGGGCAAGAGCTGGAGCATTTGGAGCCAGGGGTCCGGTCGATACCGGCATAGTGGATGCTGCCAAAGCTGCCTGTTGAGGTAGGGGTGCAAGGGGAACGGATGAGGGCGTCTCGGTTGACTGTGCTGGCTGTGCTGGTTCCGACGGGTTCAACATGGACTCTGGAGCGTAGCTTGGGCGGGGTTGTGATACGGAAGCCGATGAAGCTGTCCGTACTTCGACTTTAATCATTTCATTCTGGGAAGCGCGTCGGTCAGGAGGAGGCTCATCGACTGGAATAGGACTAGACGGCACTTTGCCTTTGCCATACCGAAGCTGGACAACAAGGCTATGCGGTTCTCCATTCACAATTGATTCATCGCCACTCATATGTTCTCCTTCATCGTCTCCCTCCATGGCGTTTTCATCGTCGTCCCCGTCCTTCCAATCATTTCCACTCTCATTTTCATTCGATGCGCCGTCCGATTCATCTTCTATGTCGCCCGCCGCATAACCAGAGTAGCCATTAGGATAGGTAGATGTGCGAGCTCGTTGCGGCCTCGTATTGTCTTCGTCCTCGTCCTCGGAATCTTCGCGTTGGCCAGTCAGCAAAGCCTCTCCATAAAGCCCTCCGGCACGGGACCGGATCTGCCGTCCACTGGCGGTATAACGAGGTCGAGACGGTTCAGCCGGCGTCACGGTAGTAGAAGTATTGCGAGCGGAACGCCTAGAGGGGCCCTCGTCCGAGAGAAAATCTTCGTCGTCGGAGTATGTATACTTTGTCTTCTTCCCGCGGGTCCGACCTTCGTACAAAGAGAATCCGGGCTCCGGGCGGGCGAATGCAGCTTTGCGCGCAAGACGGTAGTCGCGACGCTTGCGTTTCTAAGAGAAAATGGTCAATCCAGCCCTGTCTTCTGTTCTAGGTTATCAACCTACATCTTCTGAATTCTCGAAGCGGGGAATCGCATTCCGGATCTTCTCGCAGAGCTTCTTGGAATTTGTGCCTTTCTCTTCTTGCAGTCGATTGGCAATAAACTGCAACTCTGGGATGTCTCCAGCAACACTCCACCAACTAACGTTTTTGAGGGCGGGGTTACTTTCCCGGTATAGACGAAAGTGGGTATCATCCATGCCTTCAATCAGCCAGTATCGGCGCTTCAAGCTATCGCGACCCCATGGTTGAACGGACAAAGGCTGGTTGAGGTCATCATCATGGCGGGCTTGCTTATAGGATTCCTTCAGTTTGGCTTGGATCGCATCGGATGACGAGAGGGACCAAAGAGCCAAGGATCTCAGAAGCTCGATCTAAGAGAACCCCGTGTTAGTATCAAAATTCAATGTTTTGCCAATGATGTGGCAACATACACGTTCTTCCGGCTCCATCGTCGCAAAGCTGCGACCCCCCGAGAGGGGACTCTTGCCTGCCCATAGCTTGGGCCACTGTGACTGATGTGTCTGAATAGCCTCCTCCAGCGGCCGTGTATAGTGGTTTCGCCTGCATCAGCGAGAAATCGAGTTAGCGATTGCTGCTATAATCAATTGACAGGCGGCGATCCAAAGCGCATGTGTTGAAGGATGCCGCGCGGGATTGGGCATTGGGTGGCGGCCATACTCAACATCCTTCTTGCGGTTCAAAACAAGGCCCAGCAATGCGCAAAGCAGTCGCTCAATATAGTCTCCGGGTGGGTTGTCTACAGCTCCTCGTTCGATATCTTGAGGGCCGTAATGTGGGAGTGACTTGGGGAAGGCTTCATCAAACCGCGCGCGGAACATCACGATGAACTAAATATTGCGACAGTTTAGCAAACGTGTCATCGAAAGAGGTAAACGCGTGGTGGACGTGTCTGTTGACGCGAAAATAGAGATTCAATAGTTCTGCCAAGCGCTAACTCACAGGAATACTTGGGTTGTCCGCAATAACGTATTCATGCGGTGGTGACGGCTCTCGTTTGGGTGGCGGAGTCGACGACTCCTTCTTGAAATACTTCGCGATGCCTAAAGGCTTGTCAACCTCCATGGCTGTTTCGTCGTCGGTCGGCGGTGCCGACGATAATGATGAGGAGTCTGAGTCTGAGGGTGCCATGTTGGAAGTGGTGGTTGTGAAGGTCAAAGGTTAAAGTTGGGGAAGGCGCGCAGGAAAGAGGAAGGCGCGATGGTCACGTCGGCAATGGCTCCTGCCTCGCGCCCGTACGTCGAACCATATCATTCTCATTTTAACAGCTTGATTCCTCACGATGTGATTTTAAATTTTGAAATGGATGGTTTTATCTTTGACGAGATATGACTAGAATTACAAGGAATTCAACTACTGATCGAGTATCAAATGCAATGGTTGTAGATATTAAGCTGTACCTACATCCTCGGCTTAGAATCTACAAGCAACCTGAAGGTGGCGAAGAGACAAGCCGTATCAATGGATAAATTGAACGCTTGGATACAATTTAAGTATAGGTATATGATACAATGACTACTTCAAGGGACTTGAACATATCGTATATGTTGTGAGTCCCGGTATTCTATTGGACCCTTTCCAACCTCTTTGTAGAAAGTACCTTAACCCATCAACTTGATAATCATGAATATTGACCAATTGCTTCTCACAGAGACCACCAAATTTAACGGTACATTCATGGTGAGGAGATTTCTTCGGGAAAGAAATGACAGCAGCCTTGGTGTTGACTATGCTATTTTCATTGCCGCTGACTGCAAATATGTATATCGCTAGGGGGTTTGAGGGATCTCCGCAAGGCCAAGCCAAGCAAGTCAGCACGGTCACTGCGTCAGGGCTTCGGTGGAGGTCACGTGTAATTATGTCAGCTACAACCCCAACTAATGCCCTGAACACAATCATCAGCTTCAGGCCTAGAAACTCGTTAGTTCGTTAATAAAAGATATTTAGTGACTTTCACGTAATTCCTGCATTTATAGCAATACTATAATCTGCCCATTCCAGCCAAGTTCTTTAGAATGAGAATGAAATTCCATCTTCCGGCTCGCTAACCTAGTCAAATCGGGTTTAGCCCGTAATGCTTACCTCAGCGCACCCAATCCCAATTTCCCACAATGGGGCATTCTCCATTGATTCGATTTCTCGTCCTCACGACAAGCCTATCTTCAATTCGAGGTACGACCTTTCCCTACCACACGACTCCGTCAATATCGGAACTCGACTGTCAACTTCCAGATACTAACCTCTCACACAGACAGTCGCCATGGGTCGCGTTATCCGCAACCAGAGAAAGGGCCGTGGCTCCATTTTCAGTGAGTTCGATCGCAACAACCTATCCAGCCCATCCAATCCATTCGCGCACACATTTTTTTGTTCGGCTTTGCACACAGGACGGCCAGGAGAATTGGAAGCGCCAGGACACTCCGCAAGACACAGGAATTGGAATACTGATCTGGAATTTTTTCTTCACCTACAGCGGCCAACACCCGCCTGAACAAGACCCCCGCCCAGTTCCGTACCCTCGACTACGCTGAGCGTCACGGATACACCCGTGGTGTTGTCAAGGAGATCATTCACGATGCCGGTCGTGGTGCTCCCCTCGCCAAGGTCCAGTTCCGCCACCCCTACAAGTTCAAGATGGTGACCGAGACCTTCATCGCCAACGAGGGCATGTACACCGGCCAGTTCATCTACGCCGGTAAGAACGCCCAGCTCACCGTCGGCAACGTCCTGCCCCTCGCCTCCATGCCCGAGGGTACCGTCATCTCCAACGTCGAGGAGAAGGCCGGTGACCGTGGTGCGCTCGGCCGTACCTCCGGTAACTACGTTACCGTCATTGGCCACAACCCCGAGGATGGCAAGACCCGTGTCAAGCTGCCCTCCGGTGCCAAGAAGGTCATCAAGAGCACCGCCCGTGGTATGGTTGGTATCGTCGCCGGTGGTGGCCGTACCGACAAGCCCCTGCTCAAGGCTTCTCGCGCCAAGCACAAGTTCGCTGTCAAGCGCAACTCTTGGCCCAAGACTCGTGGTGTTGCCATGAACCCCGTCGATCACGTAAGTTACGCTCCATCAATCGAGTTCGCTATACGCTGCAGTATCTCTGACCTGTCTTCTCTCTACAGCCTCACGGTGGTGGTAACCACCAGCATATCGGTAAGGCCTCGACCATCTCCCGCTACGCCACCCAGGGTCAAAAGGCCGGTCTCATTGCCGCCCGCAGAACCGGTCTGCTCCGCGGTACCCAGAAGACCAAGGATTAAGCGTGATATTACGTGGAGTTTTCTTTGTGACGGGTTGAAAATGGACTTCTGCTATGAGACACATGTACTTAGGCGAGTGCGGATAAGCGTCCCATGCGCCCTTAGCGAATTAAGGTTGTGGCCACCATCTTTTTCATTTATCAAATCAAAAAAGGTGATGGAATGGGGTCCGGAACTGGCCTCATGTCAAGGCAGAACGGAAAAGTCAAAAAGCCCCCCTGGGGGATTGGAAATGATACACCTTTGAAATTCATCTGTCCTTGGTCACCCTGTAGACCAACGTAGTTGACCATGTGCCTCGGTGCTTATGAGGACTGTTGGCGATTCCACATACAGAGCATGTCGAAGTTCCTTGATGTCAACTTTAATGTCTTGGATACCTCCTTGGAAGCCCTGGGTCACGGTAGTGAGTAGCAACCTGATACATGAGGCTTTGCTGTGGCACCACTGGGCTGGCATGGTCGATTCATGATTGGTGACGCATCTCTCATATTCTCAAATCTACCTGGGCAGATGATTGCGCGGCGCACTGCTGTAGGAGCTGCTCTTTGATTTCAAGTTGTGTTTTCTCCTTCAACTTAGTAGCCCTAGTGCCAGTAGTAGTGGCAACTATTATCCATGTAGGTGCCCAGGTAGGCACTTATTACCACTGGTAGTTCTACTCTACTAGTAGTACTACTAGTAACAGAGCCGCCTGCCCATGTCAGAGCCCCGGTTTTTGAGGTTATACTTAGGTAGTCATAATACTACGGCCAGAATACGGTAATATTTTACAACTAGTACCTAGGTAGTAGTACTACTAGTAGTAGCAGCCTTCACAACTTCAAGCTGAAGCTCCCGACTCGGAGGTCTGGAGGCAATTTGAGCGTATCCTAGGGTTGAAAGCAAGATCTTAATAATATTATCAAGTAGTAATACGACATGAATACTATTTTCGTTCGAAATACGATTAGAATTCCATCTTGAAGGTTCACGTGATTGATAGCATGAAATATATATGTAGAAGTGGGTTGCTATTATTACCAGTAGTAATATGCAAACTCCAAGTTCGTTGAACTTCAACTTGAACCTTGAAGGTTTAGTTTAAAATGGATCTTCAACTGAGATGAGAGTCACATTTGATAAAATCTGAGGAGCAGAATCAATGATTGAAAATAAATTGGAATGGCCTCCAGGGCTACGATATGCCCGATTCACTTGGAATTGGTTGGATGTGCCAGTGGCCGCTGATTGGCCAGTTTGAGATCAAGACTGAGCCATCGAGCTTTGGCTCGCCTACCAGTATTTCATCCTTTATTATTCCCTTAGGAACTCAACATGGTGTCCTTATAGATACAACTACCTCAGATGGAACTTGAAGGTATCAGATTCCCCAATACCTAGATACTATGGTTTCAGAACATACCCGACAGAAGATTCCCCGCCTTAACCGATCGAGCGATGTCCTCACCTCCGCACAACGGTGGCAAGCCGTAGTCAAACGCGACGCAACAGTCGACAGTTTCGTCTACGCAGTCCTAACCACCAAGATCTACTGCCGCCCCTCGTGTTCCGCCCGGCTGGCCCGGCGCGCGAACGTGGAATTCCACGACACCCCATCACAGGCAGAGGACGCAGGGTTCCGACCCTGCAAGCGCTGCCGGCCACAATCGGGACGAACGGCGGCTCAAAGCAACCCACAAACCGCCATAGTCTACAAGGCCTGCGAGCAGATCCGCGACGAGCTTGCAGCAGGGCTGAAACCGCGGCTTCAGGATTTGGCCGCACAGGCTGGTCTGACGGCGTGTCATTTCCATCGTGTCTTTAAAAAGCATACTGGCGTGACGCCTGGGAAGTACGCTAGTGGTCTTATTGTAAGCACCACTACTACGCGGCCTTCGTCTTCGCCGGATGTCTCGACGCCTGATACACTGCCTACCAGTGAATTTGAAACATTGCATGACGGGTCGAGGATAGAAGGGAAGCTGGATTTAGATATGGGGGATTCTTTGGTGCCGCCTCTGAGTGGTCTGTTGGCGGTTGGGTCTCCTGTGAGCATGGATCCTAGCTGGGGGGAGTGGAATGAGTTTGATCTCTTTTTTGCTACTGAAACGGAACAGATGTCACCGCGGGACGTTTTGTCGATAGACCCCCGCATGCTCTTGACGTGACCTTGATGAAGGGAGTTGAGGGGAATCTCGGAGATTGTATATTGCCCTATCGGGTACGAATACGGAAGATGGAGATATGAACATCAGTACGGAGTACAGTGGGACACTGTACGGAGTGCCGTTCCATTATGTTGTATTAATTCGGTTGGGTTCCTCACCCGACCAATCACTTTGTTGGTACATGACTTTATGATGGATGAAAATGAACAATCGATATGATGTGGAGTCACTCTGAAAGTACTTAGCCCGCCAGTCCGTAGGCAACACAGATGCGCCAAGGGGTACACGGCAGAGCAAAGTGCTGATTGTACTAAAGTCAATGGATTAGATCGAAGTGGCTTTGGCATTGCCACCACAAAGTGTACCAGCAAGGGGAGAACTGAAACACTGAAACACCGAGGCAACCAGGGAAGAGGGTAAGGAGGAGGCTCCGTGCACGGTGCGTACGCCAACCGTTGGGGTGAATGCGATCGGCCAGCCTGTCATGACTGATCTTCTTTGTTGATCGTCTGCACGGGACAGTACATGGGTACTCCGTACACATGTACATTCCCATGTACCCATGTACCTATGTCCCCACGAAGCCAGCTGGACCCTGTTCCTCTGTGGCGAGATTTATCTCCAACCAGGAAGAGACATGATAATTATAGCATGGATTTTCCTGGTCTTCCAATTGGAATGGTGTAGCTCCACCGTCGCCCCACCAACGCGTGTCACAGATTTAGCCGCTGTCGAGGCCTGGACTTTTAAAACAATGTGTACTTGTCTCAGGCTGAAAGACACTACTCCGTACGGAGTAACCATAATGGGGAAAGAAGACACGAGAGCACAAAGGGGGGGGTTATGTGGGAGAAAGAGAGGAAAGAAAGCGCTAACCTTGAGCACTGCCAAATAGGGTAACCAAATAGGGCAACCCCGTAACATAGTACATATTGTACATAGGCCAGACCAATGGCATTCCCCACCGATCGACACCGTCTATTGTACATCTGCATGCAGTGAAACACACTGGGGGGGATTCCAGAAACTTTTGGTGGCGCTAATCATTTTCAATGGTCATTGCGTTGCCCTAGCCTGGTGGTTGGTCTTTGGGGCTTTAATTTTAGAGTGTTCCTAAAGGTTCCCGGCCAGTTTCAATCGAGGGGCTTCTTTCCTTCTCCAATCTTCTCCTTCTTCACTCCCCTTTTCCCTTAGACCACTTTGATATTCTTCCCCCGCTGCTTGCTCGATTTCTTTCCTCTTCTCACATTCTCTTCTCTAAAATTACGAGGACAACACTCATCCGACTTCACTCTCTTCACCCGATTCGGCTTTCACCTCAACCTCCTCTCAAACCCCCCCCCCCTCACGATTGTGAACCAAACCAATCATGCACGTCAATAAGAGAATCGGCCGCCTCAAGCAATGGGCAGGCGAGCGCATGGGCGGAGAAGTTAAGACGAATGTCACCGATGACTTCAAAGCCATGGAGACGGAGATGGGCGTACGACATGAAGGTAAGGGGAGGTGAACATTTATTCTCCGGAGCGGCACTAATATCTCGTCATAGGCGTTGACCGCATTCATAAGTCCATGACCGCATATGTGAAAGCCATTTCGAAGCGCAACGAAGGGGATGATAAGGAGAAAACCCTCCCCGTGGCTCACCTGGGCACCAGCATGGTTAGCCATGGAGAGGATTTCGACGGGAACTCTGAATATGGCCAGTGCCTGACCAGTAAGTCACAGCACCAGTCCCTCCTGAAGCCATAATAAAGGTAGCTAACCCATGTTGTAGTGTTTGGACGGACTGAGGAGCGCATCGCTCGCATTCAAGAGATCTACATTGGACAGGCGACTTCAAGCTGGCTTGAATCCCTCGAGAGATCTTTGACTCAGATGAAAGACTACCAACAGGCTCGGAAGAAGCTCGATAGCCGCCGGTTAGCCTACGATACTTCTCTTTCCAAGATGGAGAAGGCAAAGAGGGAGGACTTCCGCGTTGAAGAAGAGCTCCGCTCTCAAAAAGTGAAATACGAGGAAGCCAATGACGACGTGATCCGCCGGATGCAGGACATCAAAGAGGCGGAAGTTGATAATGTTATGGACATGGGAGCATTCCTGGATGCCCAGCTTGAATACCATGATCGGTGCCGTGAAGCACTAGTCCAACTCAAGAACGAGTGGCCTGGAGGGTGAGTAGTCTTGATTGAATTTCTTCCCAGTTGAGCCTTGCTAAAACTGTAAAAGTTCTGGTCGGGGACCATCTCCAGCTCGACGCACTACACGAGCTCGTTCCAACACTGCCCATTCCTATCAGGAACGATATGATCCCGTGCAGGAGGAACTGACAAGTGCCGTGGAGACTCGTCCTACTATTCGGTCTAGCAAAACGATTATGACGGAGATGCCAGCCAGGGAGCTTCATCCAAGCAATGGATTCCCCCGACCAGTCCTCAGCCGAACACCCACTTTCGAAGGACCCGCACAGCTACGCCATGAACAGGCTCCAGTAGCATCGCAATGGATTCAACGAACCACCAGCGATACCTTGACGGGGCAGAGAAGTGTTCCCGCCCCGGGACGACCTTTCGCTAGTGATCCCTATGCCGACTCTGAGGTCAGCTCGTATGGACGATCCAGTCCCGAGCGTAGCTACGGGGCTCGATCTAGCTCGCCAGCAACATCACATGGAAGTGTGGCATCTCGACGACCGAGTGCGACAGCATTGAACAGTGGAACATTGACCAAGAAAGCACCCCCTCCCCCTCTCCTCCATCTCGATCCAAGAAGCCCCCGCCTCCTCCTCCACCGATGAAGCGGACTCTACTGGCGGGAACAGATGCGTGAAATGAGTGGGAGGACTAGTGGGTTGAATGGAAAGTGCATTTGATTAGTTTTTTCCAGCATCGGGGTTTGGGAGTCTCTGGGATTTTGTTGATCTGCTTGCACTGAGTAGTTACTATTTGAGTTGTTTCTTTTATTTGTCCCCGTATTCGTATATACAGTAGTGCCTTAGTGCCTTAATGCCTTAATTTCTGCCTTAGGCTATCTGGTACCACAAATGCCCATTGGCAGTATTTCTCCGCCCGGACTCAGGTGACCTCCACAGATCCCGTGACTCCTCGCCACTCCGTTGTAACGCCTGTCGATTTTCTGCTCTCCTCTGCGAGCACCAGGTTTCCCCGAGCGAGTCGCGCAAATCGGTCCCTCCCATCGTACCCCATCCATCCACTTCACCCTCCCCCCATTCGCGTCGTCTTAGGTGTCGCTAGACCACCAGGACGTGGTGTCTTCCGCCCTTTTATTCGCCTTCTTTGATTCCCCTTTCATTCCTACTATTCCACCTGGTACCCGCCCCCCATACTCCATCGATCGCATCCTCGGAGCTCCGACCACGGGCCCCAAACATCACGCTTCCCATCGCCAAGAGCCCCGACGAACACTTTTTCGTCGCCTTTACCCCCACCGGCCCTCCCCCGTCGCGCCCTCCCCTCCCCTGATCGCGCCTCGCACCCCCTTCTCTTCCTGACGCGACCGGGTGTTTCCCCTAGTGGAGCCCGTGACTCCCCAGTTCAGACCAGCCTCGACGCATTGAATCAACCCCAACGCGTGTCCAATTCACTTATGAATTAAAGTAATACGCGCAAACAAGATGGCTTCGCTGCAGTCGGCGCCTGCTATGGCGCCTAGCAATATGGGATTGCCACCAAACCTGACCCAGCAGCACATCCAGGAGGCTCTGCAGGTTCGTCTCCCTCCAATCTACAACAAAACCCTCCACCACCAATGCTTTGAATATTGGTCTTGAATCGCGTCTAACTTTTCCTTCAGAAGTATAAGCAGATGCAAGAGCAGGGTGTCCCCCATGACAACCCGGAGTACCAAAAGTATCATAACCTGCTCTCTGCTGTCCAGCGCCAGCAAATGTTCCAAAAACAAAAGATGGCCGCGCAACGTCAACAACAACAGCAGCAGCAGCAGCAACAGCAACAACAGCAACAGCAGCAACAGCAGCAACAGCAGCAACAGCAGCAACAGCAGCAACAGCAGCAACAGCAGCAACAGCAACAGGGGCAGATCAATGGTACTCCTGGTCCTGATGCTGTCACCAATGGTGCCCATGGTGCGTTATCATTATGTTGAGTTTGCATTCGTCTTGTTTGATTGTTCACATATTAACACACCTAATATCTAGGCCGCACTGCCTCTACCTCCTCTGGGACTGGCCCAGCCAATGATGCCAATGCTGCTCGCAAGCCAATCACTGTTGGAAGCGGCAGCTTCTCGCCCGAGCAACTCGCAATTCTGCGGAACCAGATCTTCGCTTTCAAGAAGCTATCCAAGAACGAGCTTATTCCCCCTGCTCTTCGCCAGCAGCTTTTCGCCGCGAAGAAGTTCCACACGCCTACCCCAACGGAGAATGTCTCTGCTGCAGAGAAACTCGTCGAAAGTGCCGACAAAGATACTCACGAGAAGGCTCCCACTCAAGCAGAGAGCGATATCCTTACAAAGGAATGGTACAGCAGCTACGAGGTACCTGAGAAGTTCCTGGGAAAGATCTCATACCGGGATCATGCCACTCTGAAGAAGCGCGGGCGTATTCCCGCCTTTTCCACCACCTTCCTTGATCGAGTTTCAATTGACGAGGACCGAGAAGTCGCGCGCTACAATCGCATGACTAGCCGTGCCAAGGCCATCCAGGAACTCCCTGTCAACGTTGGTGTTTGGCATGCCGACAAGAGCGATGCCCCGAGCAGTGACTCCGCGGCGAATACGGCCCTTCTTATCGAGTATAAATCCTTGAGCCTGTATGAACGCCAACGGATACTCCGCGACAAGCTCCGACGGGCCATTGCGCATGACAGGAATCAAGTGAACACTGCACAGCAACGCCGCATGAAGAGGCCATCTCTTCGCGAAGCCCGAATTACCGAGAAGCTCGAGGCCCAGCAACGTTCCGCTCGCGAATCAAGGGAGAAAGAGAAGCAGAATGCTCAGCTGCAAGCCCTCTTTAATCACCGCATGGCGCTCGTCCAGGCCACAGATGGCAATCGGACCCGCATTGATAAGCTGGGCCGTTCTATGTTGCAGCACCAACAGTTCATGGAGCGAGAGGAACAGAAGCGCGTGGAGCGCACTGCTAAGCAGCGTCTCCAGGCCCTCAAGGCTAACGATGAAGAGACTTATATGAAGTTGCTCGGACAGGCCAAGAACTCCCGTCTAGACCACCTGGTCGGCCAGACCAATAAGTGGATGCGCCAGCTCAAGGGTAGTGTCCGTGAGCAGCAAGGCAGAGGTCCAGCGGAGGAGGTCGACGATGATGCATCCGGCGACGATGAAACCAACGATTATTACGAGGTCGCTCACACTGTGAAGGAAGAAGTCACCGAACAGCCAAAGATCCTTGTTGGCGGTACCCTCAAGGAGTACCAGATCAAGGGTCTCCAGTGGATGATTTCGCTGTACAACAATAACCTGAACGGTATTCTGGCAGACGAGATGGGTCTCGGAAAGACTATTCAGACGATCAGTTTGATTACCCATATTATCGAAAAGAAACAGAATAACGGCCCATTCTTGGTTATCGTGCCCCTCAGTACATTGACCAACTGGAATATTGAGTTCGACAAATGGGCACCCGCAGTCAGCAAGGTCGTCTACAAGGGCCCCCCGAATGCTCGCAAACAACAACAGCAGCAGATCCGCTGGGGCAACTTCCAAGTTCTCCTGACGACGTACGAGTACATCATCAAAGACCGTCCGCTTCTCAGCAAGATCAAGTGGACTCACATGATTATTGACGAGGGTCATCGAATGAAGAATGCCAATTCGAAGCTCAGCAGTACTCTGGCCCAGTATTACAACAGTCGCTTCCGTTTGATTTTGACTGGTACACCGTTGCAAAACAACTTACCTGAATTGTGGGCATTGTTGAACTTCGTTTTGCCAAAGATCTTCAAGTCCGTGTCGTCTTTTGATGAGTGGTTCAACACACCGTTCGCTAATACCGGCGGTCAAGACCGCATTGATCTGACTGAGGAAGAACAGTTGCTTGTCATTCGTCGTTTGCACAAGGTTCTCCGTCCTTTCTTGCTCCGTCGTCTCAAGAAGGATGTCGAGAAGGATCTGCCAGACAAGCAAGAGCGTGTCATCAAGTGCCGCTTCTCTGCTTTGCAGGCCAAGCTATACAAGCAGCTTGTTACTCACAACAAGATGGTCGTTAGCGACGGCAAAGGTGGCAAGACCGGCATGCGTGGTCTCAGTAACATGCTGATGCAGCTTCGAAAACTATGCAACCATCCTTTTGTCTTCGAGCCCGTGGAAGATCAGATGAATCCTACTCGCATGTCAAATGACCTACTTTGGCGTACTGCAGGAAAATTCGAATTGCTTGATCGCATTTTGCCCAAGTTCCAGGCCACCGGCCACAGAGTCCTTATGTTCTTCCAGATGACACAAATTATGAACATTATGGAGGACTTCCTTCGCTTCCGTGGTATGAAGTATCTTCGTTTGGATGGCGCCACCAAGTCTGATGATCGATCTGAGCTTTTGAAACAGTTCAATGCTCCTGATTCGGAGTACTTTTGCTTCCTTCTTTCGACACGTGCCGGTGGTCTGGGTTTGAACTTGCAATCTGCTGACACTGTCATCATTTATGATTCTGATTGGAACCCCCATCAAGATTTGCAGGCACAAGATCGTGCCCATCGTATTGGACAGAAGAACGAAGTCCGCATCTTGCGATTGATCAGTTCTAATTCCGTTGAAGAGAAGATCTTGGAGCGAGCCCAGTTCAAGCTTGACATGGATGGCAAGGTCATTCAAGCCGGAAAGTTCGATAACAAGTCCACTAACGAGGAGCGAGATGCACTTCTTCGGACACTCTTGGAAACGGCAGAAGCTGCCGACCAAGTCGGAGAGCAGGATGAAATGGACGACGATGACCTGAATGAAATCATGGCACGCGCCGAAGGCGAAGTGTCCATTTTCCAGCAAATCGACAAAGAAAGAGCGGCTACTGATACATATGGGCCTGGTCACCGTTATCCTCGTTTGATGTGCGAAGATGAGCTGCCGGATATATACATGCAGGAAGACAACCCCGTCCAGGAGGTGGAAGAGACTGAAGTGTACGGCCGTGGAGCTCGTGAGCGCAAGATCACAAGATACGATGATGGGCTATCTGAGCTTCAGTTCCTGAGAGCGGTGGATGCCATGGAAGGTGGCGAGGAAGATGCACCGACTTTAGACGAGGTCGTCGAGGAGAATGCTCGCCGTGCTGCCGAGAAGGTCGCTAATAAAGAAAAGAGAAAGAAGAGGGCATCGGGTATTGTCGAATCTTCCCCCGATCCGTCAATTGAAGATTCAGAAACCCCCAAGAAGAAGCGTCGCCGTGGTCCTCCGCCCAAGCGCAAGGCCGATGAAGTTGCTGAAGAGACCCCGCAGCCCAAACGCAAGCGTGGTCGCCAACCGAAGGTTCCAGACACCCTCAGCAGTTCCGACCGTGCCACCCTGAACCGCATTGTTTCCAGCGTCCTTCAGTCGCTCAAGGATATGGAGCAGGAAATTCCTGCCGAATCATCCGATAGCGAGGAGGGCCCACTGGTGCGGGCAATCATTGATCCATTCATGAAACCCCCACCGCGCTCGCAATATCCCGACTATTACATGATCATCAAGAACCCTATTGCAGTAGAGACAATTGAGAAGAAGATCAAGCGGGATGACTACCAAAGCTTGAGGGAGTTCCGGGAGGACGTTCACCTGCTTTGCCAGAATGCCAGGACATACAACGAAGACGGCAGTCTCTTGTACCAAGATGCCAATGATATCGAAGTGAGTGACCATATCAAAAACACTAAGATACAAAAAATGTTCAATTTACTAATCATGAAAAATAGGACAAGTGCGTGACGGAGTTGAAGAAGCAAACGGAGGGTCATCCTGAGTTTGCAAACTTCGATGACCCTTCCTCTGTCCTTGGTGACGGCCAGTCAACCGGCGCTGCCTCGGGAGCCGACACCCCTATGACTGCCAGCACACCTGGCCAACCCAAGATCAAGCTCACTTTCAACAACTCCAACTTCGACAGCGCCAGCACCTTAAACGGAACTGACCCTGATGCCGATGAAGAATGATGAGCAATTGCTGTCTTCGATGTCTATTTTCTACTTTTTTTTTTTACGCCTCATGTGCCAGCCATGTTTTCACCTTGGAGTTTCTTTTTTGACATCGAGAGATTAAGTGTTTCGACTGTTCTGCGGTCTGGAAGGGGCGTTTCCATGAGTATTTGGGTTGGATGAACCCGGAAAAGGATGTGCAAAGGGTGGGAGCCTGTTTTTTCTCTCAGATCAGCGTCTCATCGGGGGTTTCCTCTTGGCTGGATGGAGTCTAGATGTCGGCCAGAGACGCGCCCCCAAATATGTTTCAAATATGTACCTTTAGTTACTTGGTTACGGGATTCAAATACACTGGATCAACTTAAATTCTTTTCAAGTTTCAATGTTTTCTACAGTTTTCCTCTCTTCTAGTAAGTACCGTAGGTTCGCGGGTGGGTCGACTGCAGCACCAACTGGAAGCTGCCAGTGACGGTTGCAGATGACCTCTCACCGAGTTTTGTATTGCAGTAGTAGAAGACCAATCTCCCATAATTTGAGATACCCCGCGATTCTTCAATAAGCAACCACCTCTATACTCAATTCAACCACCATGTCTAGTAGCAACAAAGATCTTGCAGGCAAAGTCGCTATCGGTACTACTACACCTGAAGCCTCCGGCACATCCAGCTCTTGAAGCTATAACCACCCATCAAAACAAACAGGCACTAATAAGATCCTACTTACACAGTCACCGGTTCCAGCCGTGGCATCGGCGCCGCAATAATCCTCAAGTTCGCCTCGCGAGGCGCAGACGTCGCAATAAACTACATTTCATCCAAAGAAGCCGCCGAATCCGTCGCAACCCAAGCCCGCACCTACGGCGTCCGCGCCATAACCCTCAAAGCCGACGTATCCAGCGAGACCGAAGTACCAGCGATGTTCGAGACCCTGATGAAAGAATTTGGCCGTCTCGATATCGTCGTCAGTAACTCGGGCATCGAGCATTTCGGCTCCCTGACCGAGGTGACGGGTGCGGATATCGATGCCGTTTTCGCGGTTAATGTTAAGGGGCAGTATTTTGTTGCTCAGCAGGCGTATAAGTATATGGCGGATTTTGGGAGGGTTATGCTTACTTCGTCGATTTCTGCTGTGAAGGTGAGTGGTAGCAGCCCTGGAGAGTTGGAGTGCTAGGCTATTCTCGTTCAACGACGACGCCTCTGGGCTTACTTTATACTGACTTTTTGTCCAGGGCGTTCCTAGACATGCAGTCTATGCTGCTTCTAAAGCAGCCGTTCAGGGAATGACTAAGTGTCTTGCTGTGGATTTTGGACCGCGCAATATCACGGTGAACTGTATTGCTGCTGGTGGCGTGAAGACCGATATGTATGCTGAAATGGCCGCGAAATACATCCCCGGCGGTGCGGATATGAGTGAAGGTGAGATTGAAGCCATGCTGTCAAAGTGGTCGCCGCTCGGTCGAGTTGGACTTCCGGATGATGTATCTGGCGTTGCTGCGTTGATCGCTAGTCCTGATTCTCAATGGTTGACAGGTCAGACATTCCAGGTATCGGGTGGAGCGTTTATGGCTTAGAGGTTGGTGACTGAGGGAGAAGGGGGTTTGGAAAGAAATGTATTTGAAGACTAGGTGGATGTTATTTTCTATCAAATGAACTTGAATCAGATCTATAATAAGTTCGAACGGTAGATTATCCGCGTCTGCAATAACCCAGACTGTAAGTAGCATCAGAGATGTCCAGATAGGGAGGTAGGTAGGTTCCGAGTCCTAACACCCTCGCCTTTTTTCCTGACCACCGGCGGTTAGTAGGGGAACAACTATCAGCCGACCTCATAATTGATTCTTTAATTGGCGATTGGAACAAATTTTGGCATACCCCCACCTGCTACAAACGCCCCAATCAGCGGATGGAGGGGACTCAGAAGGATTTGGCCCCATCGACTCATCGCAACTTCAAGTTTCCTCAAGTGGCATCATAAATCTTCTCAGTAGAGATCCTACAATCGCATTCATAATCAAAGCCGTCTGAAAAGCGGCAGTTCTGGCAGGATGCCTTCGACTTGGTATGAGGTAAACATCGTCCTCGTAGGTGATGCGGGGGTGGGAAAGGTACTACTAGTAGAAGTGAAGCCCGCATTGCCCTTTTGTTGCTAATAAGGAGCTAGAGCTGCTTCATTCGAAAACACCAAACTGGTGAATTTTCGAATGACTATACGCCTACTTTGGATGTTCAGTCATCTCCTCTCCCGTGGAACACAGTACGCCGCAGAACCTCTAGAAACCACCTAACGGCTGTGTGAAACTGATAACAGAGAATATAGACCGCAGGGTATCTAGAAATCACTGTATGGGAGATACCTAGCAGCAGAGAGTTATCCCCTATGAGCAGAGATACCCTTAAAAATGCCGATGCAGCGATCATCCTTTTTGATATGTGCAACAAAACGACCTTGGAGCATGTTTCCTGGTGGGCGAGTAAGTGTCTAGCTCTGAGTTTAATTCTATTTACTAATCACCAGAACTTTGCAGATGAGCTGCGTTCGGCTACACATAATTCTTTCCCTATAGTAATATGTGGAAATAAGGCTGACAAGGCCGGGAGAGACCAATGTACTAGTAGTTTGCAAAATACAACTCAGAGCAAATATTACGATATATCTGCCCTGAATAACTCGAATTTTGAAGAGCCATGGCTCTACCTATTTCGAGAAATTTTCAAGGATCCGAACCTGGTACCCAAGCCATACCCAATTGCTCAGGTGGTTTCGTTATTTAGTGCTAACGGTGGTCCTAGAAATCTGCTCCTACAATTTGTTGCTTGCCAGTTATAGAAGTCGACGCGGCACTTGCGATTCAGAGGCAAAAAGAAATGGAAAAAGCTGCGAGAGAACCTCTCCCAGACGGCTCGGAGGATGACTCTGATTTGTGATGGGGATCATTTGGCGAGATGCTGCTATGTCTACTCCCCTTTTAGCTTTTACTAGTAGTTATCATCCAAAGAAATTGATGGGCTATGCTTCGGGTCAACATTGACGTTCCTTCTAATACTTAGTAGACTCAGTATCTTGAAAAAGAAATTATCCACCTAAAGATTCGGCGGTAGAGCCGCATGTGAAATATCGGGAGAGCTTAACCTGTTCATTCTTGGTAATACGTCCCTGGAATCCTTATCCACCCAGCCGCCGGGGCCTAAATTTACCACCCAATGGTAAACAAAGAAGTCTTTTCTCATACTATGCGGTTTATAGGAAGACGTGCACTTTTAGGTTACAAAATTCCTGAAGGTTAGGCTAGGCATCGAAAATTGCCAGCCACATCATCAAATTCCGACCCACTCCAACCCTGGCATGTCGATCTATTTCGATCCGCCATTATTGGCCGTTCCTGTGATATATACTCCACAATTTTAAATTGACCGGCCGATCATAGAAGCAAAAGACACTGGCAGTACCATAGTGCTTTGGTTTATTTGAGCCGCGATCGGATTCCTTCCTGCACAGTTGTCAATTTATCTCAGACCATTCGCCGGGCAATTTGTCGAGAAACCTGAAGCCTTGTCCGTATATTGATATCGCAGTTCACAATGATTGGAAAGGCAACAGCTTTGTTTCTAGAAGAGGATGGAGGGTTCCCTGACGATAAGATATTCAACACACTCCTGCCGATCGCCCGTGAGCTCGATCACACTGTCTTTCACGACCCCGCGAAAGGCATCAATGCGAACTATGATCAATTTATGACTGATGTGATTCACATGCGGCACCAGTTGAAGAAACAACTTTCGAGATATCTTGACCCTCAAAACAACTCGATCTTCGCGGAGTCTGTCCTGATATGCGCGCTGGCTCCTGCAAACTACGAATATGCCGTTGCAGTATTCGCAATTCTGGCTCTTGGCGGAACTGTTGTGCCTTTGCGTATGTGAATATTGATATGATTCTGTAGAAAAACAACCACTGACAAGAAATTGAGGTTAGAAACAATCACAACTCCTAAACTCCTCCTGCATCATTTACGAAGGAGCCCTGTCAAATATATTCTCACGGGATCTGACTTTCATGAGCAGGCAAGCGAATACCAGGCTTTTTGTAGCCAGAATTTCCTGCCTGCCATCGATGTTCAGCCAATTTCAGTTATGAATAGTTGCCCAGAAGGATTGTGGAGCTTGCCTCATCTCAATATCTTGAAGGGACTCACCATCCCCGAGTCTCGAGCAGGCATTGTTTTCTTCTCATCTGGATCAACTGGCACCCCGAAAGGGGTTATTCACAGTAGAGCTCTTTTATGCAACCGGCCCCGTTTAAGCCCCGATGACGGGTGGCTTTTTCACCGTCCAGCTAGCTGGATGGGTGGCAGCATGCCCGTACCTCTCATAGTTCTCGGAGGAGCCCGAGCTGAGATTATTGACCCTGCTGCTCCGGCACAGGAATATTGGGAACGACTGCGGACCGACAAAATCACCACCATCATGTCAAACGTCGTATTATGGGACAAACTAGCCAGACACTACAAGACCCATCTCAGAAATCACCCCGATAGAGATGAGTATCTCGCAGGAATAAGAAATCTGCGCAATCCTATAATTTCTGCAAGTGTGCCAACCCCGTCACTTTTGAAGTTCTATCGAGAAGAGATCCAGAAGCCACTCAACATTGTTTACGGCTCTACTGAAGCGGGCAAGGCTGTTATCGGCATGTCTGCTGAGGAAGATAAAAAATTGATAGAACATGTATGTGATAATTCGATTACTCCTGTGTTGTTCCCATTTTAACATTTCTGCCCAGCGTGGAATTGGAAGGCCCCTATATCCCAACCACCCTGTCAAGCTTTCCGATGGTGATAGTGGAGAGCTTCTAATTGGAGGGATGGAAACATTCATGGGGTATGCACAGAACCTTGATAGTATACACCATATAAGACTGACCATTTCTAGATATCTCAATGACGATGTGGGAGGCAAGGCTATCGTTGACAAGGAAGGCTTTTTACACACTGGTGATATTTGCCACAAGACTGGAGAATATCTCTTCTTTGATGGTCGTGTATCTGCAGACTGTGAGTGCACTCGCGCAAGTCTAAGTCAAATGTGTACTGATACAGAACAGTTCTCAAGGCCCCCGGTGGTCCAGTCCCTCTCTGCCAGCTGGAGGAGATTATCCAAAAGTTCAAATACTTTGAAGAGGCGTACGTCATCCCCGTGGAGGATAAAGTGTTTGGCAGTAGGGTCGGAGTTATTGCCCGACCTTTCGCCGAAGCAATCAATATTGAACGCTTGCGAAACGACCTGATATCTATGGTCCCTCCCCATATGCTCCCTACTGCTTTCCGTTCTCTTGATCCCGATGAGGTTATTCCATTAACATATACGGATAAAATTGCGAAGATGGATATCATGAAACAGTTTTTCTCATACGACGCAGAAGGAAAGTTACCGAGTGCCGTGGAGGTGATTGATATTGAGGTTTAGGAATTGCCTTAAAAGTTCTCAGGCTGTATACTAATTGATGACATGTTGCGAATCTAATCTAATTATCACCAATCGAGTTTTTTTCGTAGCCTTTCGCCATGTGTATAAAATAAAACGGAAGAAGAGGCGAAGATGATGGATAGAAATGCAAGTAATGAGTTTCCCCATCCAAGGCCAATGCGGTCATAAAGGTCAAGTCCTCCCAGAGGAATCAGGCCACCGGCGAGACTTCGGACAAGGGTATTTGCTGCAAGGGCACTGGATGCATAACTTGTGAACCCGTCGACAAGATATGTCTGGATTGAGGCCTGCAAAATCTTATTAGCTGCTAAAAGCCGAACCAATATATTGAGATGTACAACGCATCCAATTATACCGAAGCCACAAAAGCTGGTGCCAATAATAGGCAAAATCCAATGCAGCCGGTATTGTGATGTCCAGCCATAAATAAAAAGACCGACAGGTATTGCAAGCGCACTGGGCATCAATGGGAGTAGGCGATATCTGAAAAATATTAGAGCCAGTCACGGTACCAAACAAAAGGTTAAAGAGACATACTCAGGCTTAGCCTCTCCATGCCTTGTTGTCAGTCTAGTATAAATGGCATCACTGGACTTCCCAAATGCTGCTATTCCGATAGCAGTGCCAACACCCAGTCCTAGATAAACAAGACCTCCAATGCCCTCTTTGAACCCATATTGACTCTGGAAGACGACGGAAAATGTGGTGAATAGGAGGTAGATTATACCATACATAACCGCCAAGTAAAGTGATGTGCCTAGAATAATTGGGTTCCCAAGCATTCGTAACGGACGAGTGATTGCGGTGAGCAGAAGCTGATTCAAACTTTTTGGTGATTGTCCTTTAGGCATGTAGAGAGGATCGCCGGTTTGCCAACGAAGCTTGCGAGCTTTCCATTCCAGCAGGACGGGGCTGTATGTTTCTTGAAGAAAAATAAAACAGATGGTGCTTGTAATACCACTCTATTTCAAGTTAGAAAAAAAGCCACATGCATGACGCAAATGGAAGATGGAAATACTAGAATGGTCAAGATCCAGAAAATCCAGCGCCAGCCTTTGGCTTCCGTCAAGAACCCACCTACAATAGGCCCGAGGACTGGACCCATGAGCACACATGCGGAGAGAATGCTCATAATGCTGCGACTGAGTTAGATGTATGTAAAGTGAACTCGGTTGGCGAACTGTTGGAGTATTCACCATCCAAGCTTGAGGGTGGCACTTACAATCCTCTTTTCTGAACAGGGACCAAGTCTGCAACTGTGCCTCCACTATTCGTCAAGGGTGCTCCTCCAAAGAAACCTGCAGCAAAGCGAAAGGCTAGTAGAGCTCCTATATTAGGCGACAAACCGCAACATGCCGTGAAAATGCCGAAGAGAACATTAGAGACATGATAGATCACGTTGCGGCCATATACCTCGGAGAGAGGCGCCAATATCAGGGGACCTATCCCAAAGCCAATAACCTGGAGCAAGTTAGTGAAAGAACAGAACGATTGGAGAAATTTCCTACATAAATCGAGACTGTGAAACTGAGAATCATGTCTGATGTGCCTGGGAAATCCCTGCCAATATTTAACAGGGCAGGGGACATCATGGACGATGCCAATGGTCTAGATATACAAAAAATGAGCGGTTAAATTTCGATTTAAGATAGAGTGAAGACTAATGAAAACATACGTGGTAAGTCTCATGGCACCAACGGCTATGATTATTCCTCTCTTCTTCCACTTCGGCCAGTTGATCGGTTTCTGGGGGTCATCGGGGCCTTCCCAATCAACATCATACATTGAGACATGCTGGGACTCCTGATCCGGATTCAAGAACGCAGGATTATCCATTTACAATACAATAGGCAGGATGGGTGCAAAAATACCGGCCTCGACGAATGTGCGATCGCTTGCTGTCAGAAGGGTTTCGCTAGAAAGTCGACCGTGACGGCTATCAACGATTCTAACGGAGCAAAGATAAAAACAATGGACAGAAAGGGATCTATATGCTATTCCAGTATCATTCTTAGTAGTATGCAGCCTCGACGATTGGTATGGATCACAACATTCCGAGACCTGCAATGCAGTACTTTTAACCTTGGAATCCACTCAGATGTCTTAAACACACAGAAATTCAATAGCATTCCCCCAGGGGTCCGTGACCAACAAGAATCCAGACTCGTACACTGAAATTTTCGTTATCTATATTTCGATCTGGCTATTTGAAGTTCATACTACCTAGTCAAAACAGAGGGAAGGCTTCCATAAAATTTGAGATAAAATTCACGACACTAAAATTATTCAGATATAACCTGGTACTGACTTGGTCAGCATCCTAAAAATACATGGGCTTGCGCCCGGTAGTTAAGAGCTTCAACAATATTACCCATTTTGGCCATATAACACCCTGCCACCATCTCACCACAACACAAAAGATCATCAACAACTCGAAAATCTTTGGTAGTGAAAAATGATAGAAATTTCAGATTCAGGTACTTGAGATGAATGATTCTTCAAATATGAATTGTAAGACCCACTTGCAACCTACATATTAGGGTATGGCTCTTGCGGTCTTGGCGACAACTTCTTGAGGTCGAATCTTGACCCCACATCATTGCTATTCTCATTCTCTCACATTCTCACACATTCTCACACATTCTCACATTTAAAGATGGTGCTCCAAGCTCCCGATTCCCTCTCCAATTCATCCGAATGCCTGCAAAAATTTCAGGTTTTATCCGATCTTCATCTGGAAGTCAATCGGGAGTACCATTCGTTTGAGATACCAGTGTGTTCGAAATATCTGATTTTGGCTGGCGACATCGGTCGTTTGGTGGATTACCAGGATTATCTCGCGTTTCTCGAGAATCAAACAAGACAATTCCAGACTGTTTTTCTAGTCCTTGGAAACCATGAATTTTATGGCCTTTCGTTCAATTCCGCACTCGAGAACGCCAGAAAACTCGAGCAAGAACCATCCTTAAACGGACGGCTCGTATTGCTTCACCAACGTCGAGTCGATATACCAGACAGCAAAATCTCGATACTAGGCTGTGTGCTATGGTCTCATATACCAGAAGAGGCAAAAGGAGTTGTCCGCTCTAAAACTAAGGATTTCAAGCACATCGAAAACTGGACAGCGAATAAACACAACGCGCTTCATAGCTCTGACTTGACTTGGCTGCGGCAAGAACTCGATAAGATTTACCACGATAATGCGAAAGAACCCTCGAAGACACGATCTGTTCTAGTGATAACACACCATGCTCCTTCTTTACAGGGAACTTCGAATCCCAAATATGAGAACAGTCCGTGGAGCTCCGCCTTTGCGACAGATCTTTTATCCCATCGATGGGACAGTGTCAATACTTGGGTTTTTGGACACACGCATTACTCTACCGAATTTAATAGAAATGGATTATTAGTTGTGAGTAATCAGCGGGGATATACTGTCTCGCAGAGTAATGAGCCAGGGAGGTTTGATCCAAAGAAGGTGATCCGTGTATGATAGTATTGAAAGCTGGCGCCTAACATTTTTGAAGAATTTGAACCAATGGAGAATTCCCCTCCGATGATTGAAGACGAGCAAAGGGATCTCTATAATCAAGTCTATTTTCAAGGTGCAGGGCCGCCTTTTGGTGGTGGCTGGTCTAGAACTTTTGAAGTCGCAAAACACCACCTCCTGCTACCTAGTACCTAGGTATCTGTCTTTCCAAGGTTCGGGTAAGAGCAGGAATAGATTCTAGCCGTAGCAGGATAAAATGCCGAAAGAGAAATGCCGAAGGAAATTGGATACCAATAATCCCGAAAACTAATGTCATGTGCCTTGGAGGTCCTCTGGACAACCAGTAGCCTTCGTTCTTCGTGTTCGATTACAGAATTCTCCAATTTTTTGCATATTTGACACATGATCTTACAACTTCTACTTTTCAAGCTGTGTCAATGATAAGACATACGAGTCTTTAAGATATACATGTTGGGGTATGTTATAATGAGAAGTGGCAGTATGTACAGAATGAGTGTCGCTAGTATCAAACCACAAGAGAGATTTTCACCGATTTCGTCACCGAGTCCCATTGAACGCCGGATCCTTAACAGCGTGACGTGTTCGCTGTATAGAAGTATTTGAGGCGCGGCTATCGAGTAGCTTTAGGCCAGGCGTAGGGAGTTCCGGGGAGCCGACATCACGACTATGAGTCTCAAGTGCATCGAAGACATGACCAAAGACTTGGCGATCTACATCTGACGCCCAGAGGAAGTCGAGATGCTCATAGGTGGGGATTGCCTTCGCTGTAGTACCGCGGGGCAGTCCTTGAAGCATCACATTGATATCAACAAGACTGTCGCTATCTCCGTAAAGCAACACGATGGGGGTCTTAATGTTGCGAGTAGGGTACTTGACGGGTTTATAGAAACGCTCGCTATCGACAATGCTGAAAGGGGCGTAGATCTCATCATCGTAGAATTGAAAACTTCTGTTGCGGATGATTTGGAACCAGTGTACGACGGACTTTGTGCTTGTGAATGAATAGAGATGGAGATAAGCGGCAAGCTTCTGTGTGCGGGTAATGTTGCGACAGCGCCAGTTGAACAGGGCTGCCAGCGCTGTGTCGATGATGCGAACATATATCGGCGGGTAGAAGATAGTTTGCCACATCGTCGTCGAAGAAAGAATGCTTCGTCGACCGAATAGCAAGAATAGAAAATCCGGGGAGGCCTTCATGAGCGAGTCGACAATCCGATTGCGCAGACCCGATGGGGCCATTGCGGGAGCCAGTGCCACGAAGACGTCAATCTTTTGGTTCAACAAAGGATGAATGGCGAGTGTTGCGAATGCCTGCGCAGTTCCCTGGGAGAATCCAATGTATGATAATGATGGCTGGCCGGTGACTTCGAGAATGTACTCAATGCTGTTGGGAATATCGTGAAAGGCGAACTGATCGATCGAGAAGTCCCAGAACTCATTTGAACCGGGCGAATGGTGAATGGACTTTTTCGCATATTTATTGCCACGGTTATTACCCAGCCAGACATCGTACCCTTTCTCCACTAGCTGGAACGGAAGGCATCGTTCCTCATTCGTCAGGACAACCCAAACCTCGCTCGACATGAGTAGGCCGTGGTGGAGGTAAACGACCTTTTTGTTGAGACCCCCGGGGCCCTGATTGACTCTCATGCCCTCCTCACCTTTACGGTAGGCCAACCGATGTAGGCCCAGTAAATATCCATCGGTAGTCTGGACAATGTGTTCCTCAGCTTCATACCCGAAGAGTGCGCAAATGTCGGTAAAGTCAGAGGCTTCAGCTACCGATCCAGCGAATATCTCCTCTGCCGATCGTTTTTCGCGTATCTCAGCGGGAAAAATGGTATTGAAGACGGCCTTGGATGAGTCGTAGCAGAAGCGGATGATCGGCGTTGCTGGAGTCGCGAGTCAGTCACATTTCTCAATCAAGGTCAAGAGCAAGAATTTGACTTACGCAAACAAAAGGTGATGACATGGATGACTGTTTCGAGGAGCACAAGGATCAGAGACCCGAAAAGTGCCAGGTACTCGAACCTAGAGAGTTTGTGTTAGTTTGTCACGAGCTGTCAGGGTACCGGGTACCTGGTAGACGCAACTACATACCAAAACAGCCTTCCGATAAAAGGAACCCGGGCCATTGTGAAACGTGACCCAATCCCCGTCTGTATGTATTTATATATATGTTCAGAAAGGTGTATATTCACAGAGTAAAGGATAATCGCAAACAGAACGAGAGAGAAGGAGAGGAAGCATTCAAGCGACGTCATGGGGGCGGAGAGACATGTGAAAGCGAAAGCGAAAGGCGGAGCTTACCTCATCCGGGGTTGACCAATCAAAATGCGCGAGATGGTCCGAATTTGCCATTGAATTGGGATGCCGCGACTGTCCGTCTGTCTGTTTGGGTTTTGGCGCATTCACATTTGCATTTAAAGAAGAGGAAGGCACGTCGTCATGCCGGGCTCGTGTCAAGAACTTCGTGAGTTGCAGCGTTTCACCCGTGACTGGCTTGTCCCAGCGCAACGGTGGATTCACTCCGAGTCGCATCATCTGAGCTAACCGCATGTCCACACCCTAGGAGACGCAGTGGCTCAATGCCTCCAGAATTCGGACTGTGTCATGGTCAACCGTAATAAGCCAGGGGACTGTTTGAAATCACCGAACTTTGAGACTCTCTCCGAGCAATGTCAGCAGCTGGGCAAGGCGTTCAACCAGTGCAAGTGAGTCGATCATACGGTGGACGTGAGAGGAGAGGACAACCCCGACACTGAGAGACAAATCGCTAATCCGTGACCTTTCGCACTTTACAGGCGCAATCAGATCGATATGACCAAGCGATTCCGTGGAAATACACCTATTGCCGCAGCAAAGGAAAGGGAGGGTCGCAATTCGGGCTCTTCCGATCAACTGTATGCTGGTCGTCCAGCCTACACGACTGTCAAGGAGCTCAGCGGAGATGAAGTACAAATGGATCCAGAGGCGACTCGTGGGCTGTAAGAGTCAGGCAATCTTTGGAAGGCCCAAATATGATGTCTCGACAAGTAGGGTGGCCTGATGGATGGATGTCGAGCTGCCCAAGGCACCCTCGATGTGCACTATCTTTCCGCGGAGAGGCTACTTACTCTGGCTCATGCTGGCATGGTCTGGAGTTCTTTATTGTCTTTGTTTTGAATACATTTAGCAGCAACCTTGGCGCAATCTCCCAATCTACAATACACCAGAGATAATATCTCTTCATAAATATTTTGCATCAGAATCAAACAACATGCCTCTACGAACATTGAGTCACAAGCAGAAAATTGATATCATATTTAAATTGAAAGAAAGGAAGAGATTTCCCAATCATCATTCACAGTACAATGGTATACAGGTTTACTGCGTCTTCTTGATCTTGTCAGCGACAGGTGCTGAGTAGAGCCAGACAACAACAAACGCGAGGAAACCTCCAATCACCGACCACAGACCGGCAATCCAAACCCAGCCAGCGCTGATGGCCCAACTACGTGGGTACTCGTCGTGAGCGAAGTGACGCACGGTCACCTCGTGCTTCTCCTCGACGTTAGTAAGGAAAGGCCGCTTGTAGTTCACACGGAAGGAGAAAATTCCGTGCTGATCAGGTGTTACAAATTGAGCGCTGTAGATAGTGCTGGTCTCGGTCTTGCCGGTAGGCTGGAGAGCTAAACGGTGGAAGGGCGAGAGCATGGTGAACTCCAGCTGCAGCTCATCACCAGCGGGAACCTCGAAGGGGACCCACTTGTCGTAGACATATTCAGACATCTCAATACTGAAGAACTGTATAAATTATGGGTGGTTAGCATGAGAAGAGCTATCATCTTGATACTGGAATTCACGTACAGTCTCGTTCTTGATACGGTAAATCTTAGGGTTGAGATCATCCACAGAAACCTCGCCGTTAGTAGCGAGATGGTGCTCGATCTTGTCAACCTTCAGGACACCAGTTTCCTTGAAGGTCCATGCAGTCAATTGCTTGGCAAACTCGCGGTTGGCAGTGGTGGTTTTCTTGCCGCCGGGAGTCTTGACAGTCGCCGAGAACCACTTGTCCTCCAGAGCCTCGACGGAGCCAAGGATAGTGAAGCGAGCCGAGTTCCGGGACTGTAGAGCAGAGACAATGTTCAGCTGGGATCCAGTCGCCTCAATGTCATCGGCGGCTGGGATCTCCTCCTTGGGGTTGTAGGCGTAGGCGGTCTCAGGAGCGCGAAGAATGGGTGAGATCAAAGGACTAGTGTTACCCAGGGTCTGAGGAGCAACACGGGGAAGTGCGAGAACACCCTCGCCATCGAAGAAGGCCTTGACGTCAGGACGCAGAGGTCCAGGACGGTTGAGGAGGAGCACATCGTGTTTCTCGGTAGCCGAAATGGTATCGTAGTTGAAGTGGTCGACAACAACAGCGGAGCGGTCATTCGATAGGTGGACGTCGACTTCGAGGAGGAGGGAGCTGATGGCGCTGGAAGTGGAGGACTTGCCAGAGAGGGCAAGGATGATGTTACCGTCCTTGTTCAGGAAGTCCAAGACATTTTTGGGGGTGAGGTTGGGGCCGAGACCTAGAAAATTGAGTCAATTGATAGCTATGCATGATCATGCAAATCATTCCTACCCTTGGATTTCGGAGGGAGAATCAGAAGGTGGTCGTAAGCCCGCTCGCCATGCTCAAAGAGGGACAAGCTGTCGCTTTTGGGCGACTCGAAGGATAGGTCGTAGCCGCGGCCTAGAATTGAGGTAAGCATAGCCCATTTTCAATCAGAAAGATTCAATTACCTTCCAGGTCAGACCACAATGTCGAGTAAGCGCTCTTCTCAGTGGACTCGTCCAAGACGACCAGCAGGCGGCTGCCGGAGCTACTTAGAGCGTTGACCGCAGCCAAGAAGCAGCAGAGAAGCAATGAAAGGCACCACTTCATCTTGAAGGAATTCCGCACAGCGGATCACACGCCAGGCTAGAAGATGAAGTGAACGAAAAGAAAACGAGCAAAGTGCGGAGGAGGGGGAGTTGAAGTTGTATAGATCACCCGAAAGGGCGACGTGTTACTGGGCCGGGCGCCAAGACTTTTTGGGTCGCATCTCCGAACTTCGAAGTTCACCTCTTCCCCACGGCCCTCCCGAGTTTAGATCCCTCCGCTGCCTACCACACCACCTCAATTCATAGAAAACCGGGCTCTCCCGATCGCTCTTGATCCACCCGGTCTCTGGCTGTAATCTAGTCCACCTCAGGTCTTCTGACGACCCCGCCATCCGAAAACCCATCTCAAATTCCTTGTCATTTGACACCACTCGCAACCACCATGTTCCACCCTCACCTCTGGAAGCAGCCTGGCCGCTGGATGCGCTGGGCCGCTCACGAGAAGCCCGCGATCTTCTTCTCTTGCCTGATCGGTATCTCCGGCCCTATCATGCTGGCTGCCCTGCCTCCGGTCCGCCGGGCTCTGGGTGACTACGACCCTGCCCCCATCCCCATGTCATACCCTAGTAAGTGACATCCCTCCTCTGGTGATCATTTAGCGACACGAAGCACATTACCCTGGGTCAATTGTCAGTCCGAAGCTAACCACAATCTTCAATGCGCACAGTTCCGTCCGGCCCGCGTTCGCCCCCCAAGGGCTACGAGGACGAATAAAGAGATCGAATCATGTATATCGGCCCACTTAGAGTGAGGCAATAAAAACCAGACTTGAATCGTCTCGAATTCTGGAGGGAGTTGACTTGAATCGACATGGGAAAACGATCCGGGGCTCAGCGATGTCACCTGCGTGTGGCTGGTTGCCGTTGATCGAGACCGGCTTTGCCTAAGATCGTCCTCATTTTCCCCGTGGAAAGGTGCTTGATACCAATATTGCGTGTGTGCGCGGTCTTGAGATGGTCGAATCTCAAGATACTGGCGCTGCTGTGTATGTACTATGTTTTAGAAAGTGATATAACCGACAACCTTGTCGCTTTCATTTGTTCAAGAATTCTCGCACATCCGCCATTTGTAGAGAGTAGAGCTATCACAAGAGACGCCAATTGATTGCCATGCGCTATCTCCACTTGGCTACAAGTACTGGTATTTCCTTAGTACACAACAAATACAAATGCTAGGTCCGAGGCTGACCATTGAAAGAGAGCTAATAGGTCAACGAGTCCCGGTGTTTTCACCGTTGATAGTATCATATCTTACGAGTCACTGATAGAATTCAAGTCCGATCAATTCATATTAGTGGTACTACCAGTACTGCTTGTACTGCGCCATCAGTACACTTCCTGTGAGCAGTATTCGCAAAGTCAAAACTTTCATTTACATCGTTGATTCCCCATCAAGTGACGAGAAAACTCCGACCAAGCCTGCCCAGGTTGTTTACGATCAAAACTTGAATATTTCATTGTTTCACTATATCATTAAGGCTTTTCTGTGTTACTCAAATGCCTTATGACTTGTATCGTCATTTTTATTGTATTAGTCCAGAGGGCTGCGGGGTAAGTTCAAGTTCAAAGCCTCGGGTCCCCTTTATGCACTAGTAGTTATACACGGATTATGTATTGGTCTTCAGCTGGAAATATAGTAATATGAACTCCAAGATAGGAACAACAACTTGATTCGGAACTTGATATCTATGGCAGCGAGGAGAAGCCGTACAAGTTCCCAAGGTCGTTCATGGCAGCTTCAAGTTTGATTGGGCCAGCTTGGAGGTGCAAGTAAGTGGAAAATACTACAAGAACAGTGACTTTCCAGAAGTTCACTTCAAGTTGAGTCTAGTATTTTTGATGTTTGTGTTGGGATCGATTTGCTGGTCTTTCCCCATCGGAGCCCCCCAAACTTCCAGTTTGTCGATTCAGACTCCCGAGGTCGTTTGGCTCCAATGTTGTAGTTCCAGGGCAATGGTGTGATAAAATGCCTATATGCGGGTGTTGGCGAAGGCCACAAAGAATTGAACCGAGTGGCGAGCCAGAAGCTGAGCAACATGTAATTTGAAGAGTGCGAGTTTACGAGTACAAGGTCTATAATAGAAAGTCAAGAATTGAATGAAGAAAGGTTCAATTATGTTAAGAAACCAATCAAATAGTGAAAGCATCATCCACATCACAGATAAACGCCGTAAATGCTCATATCTACATGTAGGCTCATCGGTATCGCTTGACCAAAGCAATCTTTCCCAGTAACCACGAGGAATGAAAACACATGAAGGAAAAAGCAAACATAGACCAGGCAAGCCTCCTGCCCTCACGCAAAGAAGAGGCGGAAATATAACAGTTGCTAAAGACCAGATTTCCTGTACACCGTGAAAAGAAAAGAAAAAAACCGAGGCAAAGCATTGGATTCCAACATGGCGAATATCCGGGAAGAGTCATAAAGAATAAACGAGCTCGAATTCAAGAAAGCCATCCTTCCTAAAAACCTCAATTCAACGCATAAATGCTTCGACTCCTATCCGGCAAGTTGCACGATAGCGCAGGTATTAAAACAGAGGAAGTCCCTCCAGAGAGACCATGTTCGACTTGATGGAAGATGACCAGTGGGTTTCCAGCGGATGTCCAGTCCGGCCCATGGTAAGGCAAAAATGTAAAGGGCATTCAGTGTCCGACGGATCGCGGAGAGTGGTCCTGACTGGGGGCCGTGCACATAATGAATTTCACGTCCAACGTGGGGATTTTCCTGGACCTAATTCAAAAGAAAGGACAGGGGAGAAGTGTTTTCGCGGAGTTTCAAAAGGCGAGAGGAAGTTGAGCCGATGCGGTAGATGGGGAGAGTATCCAGGAGAATTTGTGTTCATCAACATCATTATGTCCCAGGATTGAAGTATGGTCCAAGGAGAACAAAAAGCAAGAGAAAAATAGATGATCATCATTCCAGTGGGCCACAATGCTGGGGGAGAGGAGAGTCTCGCACAAGACAAAGGTCGGTATACATTTCTGGTAAATTTTTTGGGGTATTTTTTGATTCGTTTTTTTTATTCTCTTGTTCTTCTTACCGCCGACGATGGGGTTCCCGTTCGCGGGCTGGCTGCGGCCTACTGCGTTCGTATTCCGGTGTGTATCTTGGCTCCATTCCTATCCGAGGGTCTGGGGCAGTAGTGGTAGGATACGCCATCCCGGTAGTCACGGGGGAATAGTCCGACTCGGCATCATAACCAGGTCCTGGGTATCTGGGGGCATTTCGGCCACCGCCCTCGTAACCGTAGCCAGTGTTCGAGTAGGTATAGGAAGAAGGATGCATATCAGCAGCAGTCACAACTGGCTGGGATGAGCCAGAATAGGAGACCTGAGGCGGGGGGTATGGGGCCTGGCCTGATCCGTATGGCGAGTGTGTGGAGCTGTAGGAAGGGTTGTTGTTGTAAGGTGCACTTTGGGATCCGCTGTACGGACTCTGGGAGTAGGGGTCCATGTACTGTTGTGCGGGAGCAGCACTGAAAGTGGTAGGGGAAGGCCCCTGTTGTTGCTGTTGCGGGCGAACCTCATGCATGCCTGATGAGGCATAGTTCGCTGGGACAGTGTTAGGGGCATGAGAAATGTTCATATCTTGAACGTAACTACCTCTCGGATAGCCTAAGTCAGCCCGTCGGGACACGTCTGCCTCCCAACGAGCGGAGTCAGCTTTCAAATCAGCAATCATCTCCTAGATAATCCAAAAAGGTCCGCTGGTTAGATGGTTTATTCCTTGGGTTGGTCATTGGTCTGGTTGTTTCGAATTTTGCACTTACAGATGTGAGATTCCGATAGGCACGGATGAAGAAACCCGGGCGGCCCTGTGGAATAGGTTAGTCGAAACGCCCCAAATTACGTATTTTTATCAGAGCACAAAAGGGTGAGACGGACATTGTGGTTTCCGGGTCTCACTAGAGCATCATTCCCAAGGTAGCGACAGATATCTGCTTGGATCACCTCGCGGCTGATACCATCGCCCGGAATAAAGTATTCATTTTGACGGCCTGTCATAGTGTATCCTGAGGAAATATCCTGTGATGAAAGAGCACCTCAGGTCCGGCTGGGCCAATAGAGAAAATGAAAATTCCGGGGAAAAGATGAGAGTTCCTAGGGAGGTCCTTTGGGAGATGACGGCAGATGGTTGGCTTCCGTTATATTGGATGGAAAGTACAGGGGTTCTTTTTGTCTATTGAGCGACCGGGAAAGAGTCCAAGGTCGGTCGTCAACGCTTTAATTGACGAGAAGTTTTCGAAATCCAGGGGAGAATGAAGAATCGACAGAACAGTCCAGGGAAGATGGCCTCAAGAGAATTAATGGATCCGTAGTCGGAAGAATAGCAAAATGGTGTCCTTGGGAAAATAATGTCCGGGAAGTCCTTGGGTTTCACAATTGGTTGTCCGGTAGTATCCTTTGGGTTATATCGAAATCAAATCAACGTTGCCGAGCGACTGAATCAAGTCTGCGAGGCTGAACGATGACAAGAAGAGGGGACGAAGAGAGAGAGAGAGAGAGAGAGAGAGAGAGAGAGAGAGAGAGAGGGGGGTGAAATCCTCTGGGCTGAGTGTGGTCACGCTATGAGTCCGATCGGAGGGTCCAAGTGGGGGGTGATGCACACGGAGGAGGTCGGGAAGAAGAGGTTGGAGAGAGAGAAGAGAAAGGTTGAAAGAAGAGGGGGGAGGGAGGAAGTGAAGAAGGGGAGGGGGGCGAACTAAAGTGGATTCAGAGGGCGGTTGGGCCGTCCTCTTGGGCTGGTGCCACGACTCCCCACTATCAAAGCAAAGCATGCACGGTCGAATACGGCTTAGAGGATGTGCAACCCTGCCTGTAGCCGCCTTGTGTGGTCTCAGAGTCATGACCCTGGTCAGGCACACATTTTGGTACCGCTACGTTGAAAAAGGGTCGATCTCCCCCATCAATTTTCCGCTTGGATTGCTACTCAGTCTGTGCCCTCTTGAAGGCTGCCGGTCGACCCCACTGAGCCTTGATCTTTCGGAATCAGCAGTGCCGATAGGACGAAAGAGGCAGACAGAACGAGAACCTGGGAAGCGGTCAACCAGGCAGCAGATGGACACTAGGTATTTAGCGACAGTAGTGTGCGCGTGGTGAAATGTACTCCGTACTCTCTTGGGGGCCACCCTCCGAACTCGTGAGCAGGTCCAACGTTTGACAAATCGGGCCTGGGAGGGTTGATCCTCTTGCGTCTGCAACTTGGAGGGCAGTAAGGGCCAATCTGCTTGTAGATCGAGGGCAACGAGCAAAAAGACGTTTGCCACCAGTCAAACCCGGCGGAGTAGGGCGTTGGGCAGGAATGCGTGGGTTTGGGCACCACAGGCCGCCACTCAGCGATCGCCCGTGTCAGCGCGCGCTCAGATCGGAGATCAGTTGGTTGGTCTCGACTCGGCAGATCCTGCACGAGAGTGATGTGACCGTGGCAGCGCCGTCATATGGTGGTCCACAGATTGTTTAACGAATAGTTAGGAGGGAAAGAAAAAGAAATTAAGCGTCTCTTTTTTAATCTGACGAGATTTGACTTTGAACCATGTGGAATGGGTTAGTGGCAGCAGGTGCTTTGGGGATGTTGTGGATGTGATTGTTCAGGTTCAGGTTCAGGGTGGCGAGGTGATGATGATGATGAATGTCTACTGTACGTGGATGTCTTGATGAAGTCAGGAGGAGGTTGAGTCATCTCATCGTGCCTTCCCTACGTTGGTACATGTGTACATCCTCTACGGACTAGAACGCTCCTTCCCGCTGAACCAGTGTCAACAATGGATCCATGGTTCCAGAGATCCCCGTGACTAATTTTACGCCTGAGGCTCTCAACCACGTGCCCAGCGCTAACCCCCTTCGGAATGATTTCTCAAGGATCACAGTCACGTAGACTTCGCGTAGGTCCCAAGACTTCACCGAATTGCAAAAAGAGTATCGGAGGGTTTGAATTGACCGCTAGAGTCGCCATGACGCAGCACCGAGCATGTCGTCTGCAGATCCACCCAACGCGTCCCCCGATGCCGTGAAACATTCCCGCTATACCTTTCGACAGCTCCATCTACTTCGCCAGGGTTCGACAGCCACGCCGCTCCGCGCGATCGCTCACATTGACCTTGATGCATTCTATGCACAATGTGAGATGGTCCGTCTGGGGACGGACCGCGATACTCCACTCGCTGTTCGCCAGTGGGACTCTTTAATCGCTGTCAATTACGCTGCTCGACCGTCTGGTATTACTCGCATGGTGACAACTGCTGAGGCTCGCAAATTGTGCCCGAATATCATCCTCCAACATGTCGCGACATTTCGTGAAGGCGAAGGTGGTCGATGGGCTTACCGTGACGACTCCTTCAAGAACATCCGAACCGATAAAGTCTCCCTGGATCCGTATCGTGCAGAATCCCGAAAAATTCTCAAGACGATGAAGGAGGAGCTAGAGCAATGGTCTTCCGAGGCTGTAGATGAAGAGATACAATCACTGACTCTGGGTCTTTCTGCCTGCCTGGAGAAAGCAGGCATTGATGAAGTGTTTGTTGATATGTCGCCCTTAATTTACCGCCTTTTGCTACAAAGATACCCCGAGCTACGGCAAAATTTACAAGACGATAATCGAGATGCTGAGCTTCCGCCGCCTCCAACAACAGCTATTCCTTGGGATGCCAGAGATTCCCTTATTGAGCTGGATAAACATGAACGGGAAGAGGATGATCCAGATTGGGATGATGTCGTGATGCAAATTGCGGCTGAGATCGTTCGATCGGTGCGCACTGCCGTATGGAACCAGTTACATTATACATGTTCTGCTGGCGTCGCACGAAATAAAATGCTTGCTAAGCTCGGCAGTGCGTGTAATAAACCAAACGCACAAACAATTGTGCGAAATCGTGCCGTTCAGTTCTTCTTGAACGGCTACAAATTCACCCAGATCCGCATGCTCGGTGGAAAATTGGGCGAGCAGATCACCTCGGATTTCGGTACAGAGCAAGTTATTGATCTCCTCGGCATTCCCTATGAGCAATTACGCGCAAAGCTGGATGACCATACGGCCACCTGGCTCTACGGAGTCATTCGTGGCGAGGATCGGAGTGAAGTCAATCCTCGGACACAGATAAAGTCCATGTTATCAGCCAAGTCTTTCCGGCCAAGTATCAATTCTGTTGAACAGGCAGAAAAATGGCTGCATATTTTTGCTGCAGATATCTATGGCAGACTAGTGGAGGACGGTGTGCTTGAAAATAGACGCCGGCCCCGGGTCATTACGCTGTATCACCGAGTGGCGCAATCTCGATCTCGCCAAATTCCAATTCCTGGGTCGAGTAAGATTGATGAAGACTTGCTTTTTGAACTTGCGAAGAAATTGCTTGGACAAGTCGTTGCGGAAGGACAAGCGTGGCCTTGTTCGAACCTATCTCTAAGCGTGAGCAGCTTCGAGGATGGCGTGAGCAAGAATAAAGCAATCGAAGGGTTTCTTGTTCGAGGTGACCAGGCAAAGGTTATAAGTCAGTCTACAAGAATCCGCGAAATCGACAGTACTTCCAAAGAAGCCCTTCCGGCAGAGAAGAAGAGGAGAGTAGACGGCGGCGGGATCAAACGCTTCTTTACTCACTCTCCCTTCCCGGGTGACTCGAGCTCGGCACTTGTTGGTAACGAGAGTCCTCAGCCAGCAGATCAAGACTTAACCAATGTACCCTCAGGGGATTTCGAACCTACATTATCGCAATATACCTGCGATCGTTGTTCGAAAGTCATACCAGAGGATGGACGAGAAGAACATGACGACTGGCATTTTGCGAAAGATCTAGAGCTTCAAGACCGACAGGAAGCGATCTCTATACAGCAACAGTCACAGCAACAAACCCCTCCACATAGTGCCAGGGGCATCAGTACCCGTGGAAGAGGTGGCCGCGGCCGTGGCAAGCCTGAGAGAGGACAGAAACGACTTTTCTTCCAGTGAACTTGCAAATTCAGCACTATGAGGTCACTGGGTTGGCCTCATTCAAGTTATATCAAGATTTCCACCTAGAAACTCATGATGTATTTATATGGTGGAGCTTATGTGATGGATACGTGCTCCCAGTGAATACTAGCTAGTAGACTGGTGCTGTCAATATCTATACTACTAGTCACAGTGCCTGGGTACTCTATTGTTCTTATTTCCACGTGCATTCAAGTTGTAATCCCTGGTTCTGGTTCGACCCGACCAGCGACCCCGCCCCAGAGCCATGGATAACCCCTCCAAATCCAATTCGAACCTTAGTAAACAAAGAATTTGGAACTAGGTAGAAAATAAATACACGGTAATATATGAAACTACATCCAAGGCCATATTCTCCTTCAATCCAGCTCAGCCCTGCCAGAATTCAGAGCCCAACCGCTGATCGTTGCTACAGTGCGCTGCGATGGCCCGCGTGGCTGTGACATCAGCGGGTCGTGGGGTCATCGGGCATTTCCAAGGGCTGAATGTTGCTCAGCCTCCACCTGCCGTTTGCTACTCTACTCTTCTCTCTACTAGTCACATTAGCTCGTGGCTGATGAGTGTCCCTCTGCGACCATCCTTCTATCCTTTATCGCCTGAACTCGTCGTCGCCAAGCTTGTTTCTCCTAGATATGCCTTGATCGGCAGTATTGCGCCAAAGCCCCGCCTTCGCTCGATTTGACGAACATACCTGAGATAGTAACCTTCATCGTGCCGACCACTGAGTCTTAAACCCAGCCATTTCGCCGCGGGAAGTATAGTCACGAGACTAGGTCAACCTGACTTCGCCCAGGGCCCAATGACCAAGAGCTCGATCCTTGGGAATCCGCTTGACAACCCCGAACCACACTGCCCATATCTTGCATGAACGTCTACCCCACCAACTTCCCAAGTAGTGACTACAGGCCATAGTCAATCTTTGGAGAATACCCACGGCTCGACGGAGAAGATTGGACCCCGGAGCCCTTATTACGACCAAATCTCGATGATCTCGCGCCCAACCCCCTCCAGCATCTCGTCAAATACCCCTCACCGCCATCATGTCTCGCCGCGCACCGCCTCAGGGCTACTACGAAGAGAATGATTATGAATATGAACGAGAACGATATTCGCGCCCCCGACGACGAGAACCCGAATTCGCCGAAGACATGGAATTTCGCCGTCGGCGATCAATGCCGCCGCCTGAGGACATGGAGCGGCTGCGGACCCGGGAACGACCACCGCGCGATATTGTTCAGGAAAGCTTCGCACAACCGAGAGAGAGGGAGCGGATGGCCATGCGGAGATCTAGAGATGAGGTGGACGAAGCTGCTCGAGAGGTCGAGCGTGAACCTGACGAGCTCTACATGCCTTCGCGCCGGCGACGTAGTCATCGGTCTCGCGAGATCGAAGAGGAGGAGCTCATTGCCGAAGAACGGGATAGACGTCGTGGTCGTAGATCTCGAGAAGTCGAGGAGGAAATCATTTTCAACGAGAAGGAAAGGCGTCGTGTGCGCCACCCAAGAGAGGTTGAAGAGGAAGATCTTTTGGTTGAAGAGCGAGAGCGACGTCGCGAACGCCGACCCCGTGAAATCAATGAAGAGGAGTTGCTTATTGATGATAGAGAGCGCTATCGCGGTCCACGTCGGAGAGATATAGAGGAAGAAGAAATGATCATCGAAGAAAGAGAACGGAGGCGTGTCCCGCGTCCTCGAGACCGCGAGGAGGAAGATTTGATTATCGAAGAAAAAGAGAAACGCCGTATGCGTCGCCCTCGCAGAATGAGCGAGAATGACCGCATCTACGAGGAGAGGGAGAGACGCCGTGGCCCCCGACCTCCGGATCCCGAAGAAGAATTTATGATTCACGAAAGAGAAAAGCGTGCAAGGAGGCGGCCCCGGCCAGATCGGGACATGGAAGAAGAGGAACTGATCTTCAGGCGCAGAGAAGCACCATCGCCCCCGGACGAGAAATCGATAACGAAATGCCTCAGCGCCCAAGGAGCTTTGAAGAAGATAGAGACGAACCGTTGGCAAGATCCTCGGAATCTCGCAGGCGACCCCGACCACGTGGTACGCAGGTAGAAGAAATCATAATTGACGACAGAAAACGAGAGATTCTCCCCCATGGCGGAAGAAACCGTCGAGACCCCAGAATCGACGAAGAAAGGATCATGCGGTGGAAAGATCAACCTTCTCCTCGCGAGCAGGAAGAGGACAAGGAAATACGCAGACGGGAGACGACGCGACTCAGACGCAGTCCACCAGAACCTATACCGGAACGAGAGCCGCCAGGGGCGTTCCCAATTGAACAAAGAGATGACTTCCAAGAAGATGTGGTGATTGAGGAGATGAAACAAAGACGCTCACGGTCAAGACCCCGTAGAACAACGGAAATTGTAGAGGCGGCCGATGAGGTCCTAATTCGCAAGGACAAGATATCTCCGCCTCGAGATCTTTCACCAGAGCCTAGTATACATGCGCCCCCTATCCATCAAGATGTGATAACCCACCATCGACATATCGATCATGGTATGTTCTGCTGATGGATCCTGCTTGTGCTTTCACTGACAACGCTCCCAGGATTTGAAGGTGCCCGTGTGCCGCGTGCGCCTAGCCCAGATATTTCTTCCACGAGAACCAGCATTGACGAAATAGACGTTCGCCATCGGTATGTTACAAGAAACCCGTGACTCAATAATTACTAACGTGTCTCCGTAGAAGCACAAAAGGTGGCCACAAATCCGAGGATGAAGTTGTTTCCAAGCATCGCCACGAAGACGAGGAAGAAGAAGAAGAGGAGGAGGAGGAGGAAATTGACGACGATGACGATGATGATGAATCAATTTCTCCAACCAGCGGTCCATCTCTCGAATTCTCCAACCCATGGGATAGCAGAACCACGGCTTCACGACACAAGCCACGCTCATTCGATGACGAAGGTATCTCCATGGCCGCACAAACAGCGCATACCCGTGGGCGGCGGAAGATGCCTCGCGGGTTCGAAGGTAGAAAAGAAATCGACGTGGAAGAAATCGAAGTCCACGAGAAGCGTTCCATTCCTCGATCCACAGCTGGGCTCTCAAAGGGCGTTGGTGACGAATGGTCTGCGACTGATACCCTGTCAAAGATTGAGGTGGCCGAGATGAGTGGAGCTTTGAGTGTCATCGAGGTGGCTCCGAAACATGCAGTAGAGGAAGAATTGGAACGTGAGATGAAGATTGGCCAGCAGGTAGAGAAAGAACATCGCGATGAGCGATGGACGGAGATTACCAAGGAGTTGGTTGTTCGAGAAGCCATTGAACGAATTGGATATGAGTTTGAGGCGACCCCGACGCATTACTATGTATTCTCTTTTCTTGAGCAGGTAAGACTACCTGCTGCAACTTTGATCTCATGGACATCCAGCGAGAACCATGTCTAACACTGACCTTGCTTTAGCGAGATATCGATGAGCTAATTGAACTCTCTGACGAGATTCGAAGTGGGCGGCGTCGGCGTATTCGTGAGATGCAACGAGAAAGGATGTCTCTTCCACCACCACCTCGACAACGACGATCATCGCTTGTGGAAAGGCTTCCGATACGGCCACCACGCGTGACTGGAGAGAGGAGGGTGCGAGAACGAGAATGGATTATTGATCCTCGCCGCTCGGGCCGATTTTGAATGGTAGTTTATATGAATTTAGGAATCAATGAAATCGAATAGTGATACTACTTAACCGGATTACTACTAGTAGTACCTACTATGAATCAAGCATAAAGCAATAAAAAGTACTAAACAGCTCATATCTATTCCTAGTGACATGTTCTTTTTTTCCCTTTGTGAATCCATATGCAGGCTGGAGTACCGTAACCTGGTCTACCCGTATGCCTACTAGGAAGGTCCCCTTTGTACAAAGCACTTGCTGCAGGCAGCGTTTGGCATCATGATTGCCTCTTCTGGCGGGAGTGTTTGGAGTGTTGACTTCCGCGATCTCCCACTTAATCTTCCAGATTTCTTCGAGAAGAGATCAGACTCATCATGTTAGTCCTCACCTCTCACTCCTACTTTGACTCCCAGGTTCTGATAGTTAGGCCATTTGCTTATCTCACACGCGGCTTGGTAAACCTGACCTGGAATATGAACATGCCGAGCAGAAGCAAGACTCCTCACTCCGCGATGCCTGGAAACAAATCAAATACCAAGATCCCCGAAAGAACCACCCTACTGCGAGACCTGGCCAAGGCCATGGGAAAGGAAAAGATCTCGACGTCACTCTGGGCCAGCCTTCAGGTCTGCGATCTCTCAAAACTGGACTCCCTCATCGAACTCGTCTGCATCTCGCCAAAAACCACCATTGATTTCCTCAATACGTGCCCCGACCTCCCGAAAAAATGGCTCGAGGATCGATCTGTTCTTCAAAGTATCGCCTCCGGTGCCTCCAGTGCATCCCGCGACAGCCTCTCCAAATGCATGCGGATCGTAGCCCGAAACCGAGACGGCCATCGCTGCGTCCTGACCGGGACCGGGAAGGTCTATCAGCCTGTTTGGATATTTCCAGATATACTCGCACGGCCGGCTTTCGATTTTGATGTTCAATCATTGGGACTATGGCGATTCATCGACTTATTCTGGGAGCCTGCTAGAGTGCAGCGATGGCGTAACGCCGTCTTTCACAATCCCGACAACGCACTGAATGCCACGAGTGGATGCTCGAGCCTGATATGCTTGCGAAGCGACCTTGCTTACGCCTTTTCCGTTGGGATGTTCGCCCTACGTCCTGTCCGACTGTCCAATGACAGACGCGAGCTAGAGGTGGAATTCCACTGGCTGCCACGGGAGAAACACCGATTCAAAGACGCAGTGGATATTCGCAAGCAACCCCTTCCCTATGAGAGTCTGGATAGTGTGGAGGGGCTAAGGTTCTGTGCGATGGGTTCGAATGAGCCGGTCAAATCGGGTCATCGCTTCACACTCACAACGGATGATCCTGTGAAGCGGCCACTGCCGGATTTTGACCTGCTGGATATGGCTTGGTACCTTTTGCGGATTGTGGCCATGTCATCCGCGATTGAATTAGTATGTTATGAGCCGGGCCTCGAGTTGAAAGTCCAAAGTGATGATGACAAGACCGTGAGGGATGCTTCCCCGTCACGACGAACGTTGTCGACTTTTGATACCAACCTGCGAGTTGCGGAGTGGTTAGCAAGTGGCAGTGGGGGTCGTTGAATGAAAATGCCGTGAGGCGGGAGGGGCGAGAGTTCAGAGTGACGATGATAAGATCGTGGAGGATTCTCGGTCGTCACGAGGGATGTTGTTGACTTTTGATAATATCCAACGGGTTGCGGGAGTGGCCGGTGAGCAGCGCTGGCAAACGTTGATGGAAAATGGCCTTCAGTGCATAGCGATTCGCATGAGTTTCGTCTTTCGTCGCAAAGCATCTGTCCCACCATCACTCTATTAGAGTTACAGTGAACACGATCTTCATTTTCTTCTGCGCTTAGATAAAACACTGGTTCCCGTCAGTAGGGTTTCTGGATCGGGAATAATGAACATCACATCACATAAAGCACACCATGGATTCGCAGAACTTGAACTACAGACTAACAGCCTATACAGAGTACCCAGTATGCTTTAAAACTGCTTAGTAGTAGGTTTTCTATCTACGGATGCTTTTTGAACCTACAACATACTAGTAAAAGTGAAGAGTCCATTGAAATCCGCACGAGTGAGACATTCCTCTGCCAGTGGATAAGACATTCATCTTCCCCCACAATGAACACCAAATCTGTGCCAATGGATCATTAAAGTGATTGAATCAGATTGTACTTGACATTCGGTCAGTGCTGGTGGTAGATTATTCAGCGTTCAGCTTCAAGTTCTACCTTATCGCACAGCTTTATGGTCAAGCTAACATCATGATGCGTTTACAAACCGTGAGAATAGTACAGAATTAAAGCCACTCGTAGAGAAACGCTGTAGTCTAGCCGAACTTAATGTGTTTACATGATGCTTGAACCCATAATTTCAGCCAGCCTACCGTGTCTAGCTCTAGGTATAGCCGAGCCGAACCATCCCATCGCACAGCAAGCCAAACATGGCTTTTTTCGAGGACCACCTCAGCATATCGCCACAAGCAAGGAAAAGTCATATCCAGTCCGCCAAGGACTAGAGGTACGTTCAAGTTCTACAAATAGCAACTTTGGGATGTCTCATCCATAGCCACCCATGAATTCCAAGACATTGACTCGTCAACAGAAAAAAAAAAAGCCGAGTAACGCGATCCGTTTACCCCTTAGCAGGCGCAGCAGGCGAAGACGTACTCCGTACCTGGGTAGGCGACCGGGATAGTTAGTATGCACAAGAACACGCCATTTCTATGTGTCGTCTAAGCCCGCAATTAAGCATACTCCTGAATTTAGCAATAAGCCTCACAACTCAGGGGAAATCCTTTAGCTCCGGTTTCATCTACGGAGTACCCCGTACTACTATGGAGCTATGTACATGTACACTACATCGGTATTGTACATACCGTTGCGCAAATGCCGAGGGAGCTAGCAGGATATTCTTGGAAAAGCAAGGAAGGACGTAAGAAGGAAAAAAGACTCGGACGCCACACGGTGGGTATTGCCGCGATCGCGAATCACGACCACAGGATTATTCCAGTAAGGTCTAGAATTGCAAGCCACCGGGACGCCGCGCTGCCATGGTGGTTAATGGGCCAGAGAGGCAGGTAGGTACGAGTATTTTGTACGGATGCTCCGTACTTGGCAGATAATGTCCTGCGTAGCGTAGGTGGACGCATCATTCTGGGCCAGAATTGGATATAGTTCCAATGGTCCAGTCAGGCCCAGTCTGGTCGAGATGCAATCCATCGGCCGGACCCCAACGGGCTGGGACGGTCTGAGACGCGAAGGATCTGACGGGCGATCATCAGGCATCTGGGCTGAATTGAATTGAAGATGAGGATCCATTTTGCTGCGGGATGCACTCTGGGACGACTTCCCCTGGTGCGACCAGGGCAGGATTACACATACCCCTGCCGCCACCCGGGATCGCTGTGGGTGGGTGTCTCAAGAATATTAACTATGGCGTGAAGAGGTGGGGGAGGAGAGGTCCAGAAGGAGTCGGGTGTAATTTCTGAGATTTATTCACGTTATGTACGGGGTTGAGTGGTGTACATATGCGGACAGTTGTGGCCGTCGCTGTCCTCCGTCTTCCGTCCTCCGTGGAGTGCGATGGATATGCATCTGGCGGGTCTAGGTCTGGATCTGGTGCCCTGGGAAGTTTCGGAATCTCAGTTCAAGCAGAACGAATGATAAAGAGGGGAATTGGGCGAGTGGATTTGATGAAATGTACGATGAGCTCAGGGAAGATGATCGGGGGTGGTTAATGATGCATTGTTTGCGAACCACGATACATAGTGCAGCAGGCTGACATGTGCCTGGTCAGGATTGATCGATCGCTACCCACCCTCCAATACCGTACAGAGAAGAACATGAACACGAATAAGAATTGTTCATGTTCTGGTGGAATCATCCTGCGACCTGGCCAATTTACGCAATTTACGGCGGTGGGTCGCATCCACTCTGCACCCACTAGGATTCGCCGTCAGACGGCCGATCGCTGCATGATCTTTGGTTGTGTTTTGAGCAGTTTCTCCGTTCTCAGGAAGTTCCCAAGGACTGGATTGGCTGGTCTGATATCAGATAGCAGAACACACTTGAGGATGCACACAATACCAGAGGAAGGTTCGGCTACGGGACGAGTCCACTAGTGGAGGTATACATGTTGTATGTATCGTACAATGTCTCTGAAAGAAAAGGTGTGGTGGCAATTTGAAGCTTGGACAAGAGATCAAACAGCAGAATCAAGTCGGTTAATGGGGCAATGGGGCCGCGGCACTGTCTGTGTACAGTACATACACTGCACTCGCTAAGGTTGGGGAAGGCAGGATCGGCCTGGTGTTTATGTTTATGCCTTGAATTGGTGCAAAGTGACTAGGATGTGATTCGTCCGAGCCAATCGATGACGCAGCGGAACTACTTTTCCACTAGTACTTTTTTCATCGCGAGGGTAGCTTACAGGCACAGGGTTGAAGGTACAGGGTTGAAGATATCCCAGGCTGAAAGTACATGGTAGGCGTGACTCTTTACTCCGGGACAGGAACAGTGAGAGTGGAGATGATATTATGATAAACATAGAACGGAGTACCATCCATAGTACTGTACCATACTCGGTAGCTCAGTTCATGCCGAATGGAGAGAAGTGGCTTTGGCGCAGTTTCTGAGACAGCAACCTCCCCACTTTCGTTACGTAGGCTTTCTTCTTTTCCCCTCTCCTTTTCCTGACCAGATTGGTATAGTTACACAGCAGTCAACCTTTCCAATCTGGTGAGCAAAGACAAGAAGCAGAGGCATATGGTCATGAATGTCTGTTTGTACATATCAACATAACCATAATACCATCCAGAAAAAGAGCTCAAAAATAGCAAGGAAGTATGAAGGGTGGAATGCTAAGAATTCCTCTCATCTCCAAGGATGGACCAATCCGATGCCGAGTAGTGGGGCCAGTTGGCCGGAATTGGTATTTGGTTTACTCCGTACTAGGACTGGAAACCAACAAACAATCACTGAGAGATCCTGTAGCTACCTAGGTAAAACATACTGATCCAATGGATTGAGTAGAGAATGACATAACAGTCATGACTCGGAGAGAATCAATAAAAGTCATAGTACGGACTATCGTGAAGATATAGTTATTCTGTACTGTACTCGTACTTTGTGCTTCTGTACTCCGTAAATGATTTCCCAGTAATACCAGGACGTGCGCAACTCAAGTATCCACCTAGTCTAGCGGCATTGCCGGGATGTGCGCAACGTTGGCATTGGTATTGGCAGTGTGGACTCTCGGTGGACTTTCTTTCGATGCTCTCTTCGGTGTCGGGCCCGTGACTCCCGCCCTTTCTCTCCTCTCCTCTCCTTCCCTTCCATATCTCCATCACCAACATTCACTTCTCCCTCTTCTCCTTCGCCTGGAGAGAGATGATGTTTGCTGGTCTTTAAACCACCCTTATCGCTTGGGTTCCAGCAGGCAGGCAGACCTTGATTTCCCTCCCGTCCCCTGACCATACCCAAGGGTTGTATGGGTGATCGACACCCTTCCCATCGGTCGGCACACACTCCCCATTTGAACATTTCGATCCTATCCCAATTTGCGAGTCGACAACCTTCGACTACACGTGCCGGTCGGAACTGAGAAGTCGAAAAATAATCGGCGAGGAAGGAAGAAAAAAAACACAACAAAGAGAATACCCCGACACATCGAATTTCTATCGAATCGACATAGAGGAGAAAGCAAACAGAAGAAGACAGTCAGGAATCGCGGGCACCTGCCCCCAGATAACCACCACAACCATGAAGCTCTGGCATTTAGCCTCGGCTTTCGCCCTGCTGGCAGAGCCATTTGTGTTGGCTGATCTCGCCTACTGTGCCACCGATAATACTGGATCTGATTACAGTGCAGGTAGGCTATATGACTACCAGGCGCGAAAGAAAGATTGTATACTGACTCATTCATAGTCACCGATACCTACCAATCCAATGGAGCCTGTCAGTCGACTTGCGCTAGCTATGCTCTCGGTGTCCTGCAAGGCAAGAAGTGCTGGTGTACAAACGTTGTGCCCTCGAAATCTTCCCAAAAGGCCACGAGCAAGTGTGATACGAGTTGTCCTGGATATCCCGACGACAGCTGTGGCAGTGCAGCCGATGGTGTCTTCGCCTACGTGAGCGTTGGAAGCAAAAGCCCCACCAGTACTGAAGGTGGCTCTGGTGGAACGACCACCACCTCGGTAAGTGCCCTCTTCCTTTGTACCCCGCAGAAAAGCCCACCTGCCTGCACGTCAAGTCGAAATACCCTTCTTGGTTCTCTGTCTGGTTCAGATTTTGGGTCCTGTGCTCTTTTCATGGAAACAGCTCTCTTATTATTTGTTGGGACAGGGAACCACTAGCGGTACATCGACGAGTACAACCTTCACATCCTCTCAAAAAAATACCACTGTATTTACCGGGATACCCATACCGACGCCATGACGTTTGATTTACTGACTTGTGATTACAGACCAGCTCAACTTCCTCCTCTACCACCACCTCCACCACGGGCAACATCGTCAAGGAGACAACATCAGGCGGCCAAGTCAAGACTATCACAGTTGCTGGCTCAAGCTCCACCTCCGGCGCGGATACTTCCAACACACAGGCTAGCGACGAGAAATCTGGCCTCAGCGGCGGCTCGATTGCCGGCATTGTCATCGGTGTTCTGGGAGGACTGGCCTTGCTTGGTGGCCTGATCTTCATGATCTTCTTCTACCGCAAGCGTGCCCGCTCGGCTAGCCCTATTCCCAGCAACGCGGACATGGCGGAAAACCGAACTAGTCAAGGCTCCAGCTTCGTCAGGGGTGTTTTCCCCAGGGCAGTGATGGCGCAGGAAACGGACTCGGTCGCCAAAACACCTACACCGACACCCGTATGAAGCCTGTCTATCAAGGCCATGCTTCCCGAGATAGCAGCGTATCCCTGCAAGATAACGAGGACTACTCCCGCCCTGTCCTGCGTGTAAGTGATTATCGATTGTCCTCTGGCTAAAACGACATCTAACATATTTTCTCCAGCTCGCTAACCCCGATTAAAACCGGCTCGATTCAACACCTGGTTGATTCTCTAAACGTTCGCTCTCCTCGACATACCGATCTCCATTAATTCTGTTCAAATTCGCCGCAAACAGCTCTGTTATGATACCCAACTGTCACTTTGAAATATTTCCTTCCCATTCTATTACGGTGACAGTGGAGAACGACTGTGCCACTCGAGACGGAAGAACTTCGAAGAGCCGGGTCCCGACAACGCCATCCACCTGAAAACAACCCCCCCTATCCGAGCAAGAAGAGTACACGAAGGATCTTGGGAAGAAAAAAAAACCAGAAAATATTCAAAAAAAGGGTTATCAGGACACCGATGGTCCGCTGTCGAGATGAATTCATGAGCCACATACATTACTTTCTGCATACATACCGGCTGACGGCGCCAGCTCGTGTGATTTTCTTTTCTCCCGAGTACATACATATCCTCTCTACCTCTAGTCGCCAATCTGCGTCATACCTCAATCTGCTTGATCTCGTTTCCTTTAATTGTGAAGTGTCTCGCAACCCTTTTGTACTATTCCGCCAATTTCTGCTTTTTATCTTAATTCATATCTCTAAGCTTCTCAGTGAGCTTGCTACAAGAAATTGAGTTCCAACTACTCGTTAGACACGTGCCCATGATCAACACTACTAGTAACTCCGCCGTGGAGGCATTAAATTCCACTACCTAGGTATTGATGATCGTCGGATCAGATCTCACCTTTGTAGATCTGTAGATCTAGGATGCTTGGCGTTGGGTTTATTTTGCCCGACCAATGATGCCTACTTCCAAGGTTCTAGGAATCACATTTTCAGGCACAAACTTCAAGGTGGAAATGTTAATATCCTAGATGAAACTCGAGATCGACATGGTGCGTAACGTGAGGTGTGTGGCCTAGTCAACGGGGAGCAGTACTAGTAGTGAACTTGACAGACTTGCTCAGGGAACAACCACCAAATCTAGAAAATTCCCACCCAACTAGCTGGATGTCACTGCAACCCTTTTAATTATAGCCAATACATCCCCCGGCTTAGAAAGCTGGGGACTATGTCCAGAGTCCACTCTAACAATATCAAACCCACCCAAACGTGCCATCTGTTCCTGGAAGGCTGGAGGCACAGCCTGGTCCTTTTCACACAGAACATAAGTTTTCGAGCAGCGATATTCAGACTCAACATGCCGAGGATAAGTCTTAAAGGCCTTCAACGACTGCTTTTTGAACAAAGCATCCCACTCAGAATCAGCGTCCTTGGACTCAAGCCCAGAGAAAAAAATCAGCTTCGCACTTTCTTGCAGATGAGCAACGCCATCCTATGCACGTCAGCAATTGGTAATGCTATCTGTCTCACTCTAACGAATGAACAGCCCCGGAACCGTATTTCCCACCTTGATAACCTGATAAGGCGGATTCGGAACCTCGTCCTCGTTGCCCAGAATATTCTTACCCGGCACAGGAAACGCAAAACCCGCTAAACTGACAACGCCAACAATACCACCCTGCAGGCCTTGCTCAGCGCGCTCGGCCAGAGTGAGACCCTCCACAATCACAGAGGTAGGCAGAGACCCATAGCTATGGGAAACGATGAGAGCTCTCCGTCCCGCATCTAGGAAGGGGATCAGGATCTTTCGAACTGCGGCGCCATCGTCGAAGAATGTCGTTTCCGGATCGACTTCCTCCCCGCAAACGACTAGGTCGATGGATATTACCTCGTACCCTTCGACACGGAGAAGGTCGGTGATTTTGCGGTAGTGGATAGGTCGGTGATAAGCGCCTGGGACAATGAATATGACGGGTTTGTGTGATGCCATGATATGATATGATGCTATACGGATACGTGAACGATCTTTGTGCAAAATAGAAGCATCTAGATTCGAAGCGTGTTTTATTTATTTAAGTCGTCGGTGAATTGCCGGGGTTGGCTTTTAAGCCGGCGGAGGATTGGTGATACTTTTCTGGAGAGCTGAAATCATTGGCTTTCGCGCTGCTTGCCTAAAGGGGTTACAGCACAACTCAACTAGCAACTGGTGGCTTCCGGCGCTATCTGGGGGCGGGAACATCTGACGGAGAAATATCTTGGATACTATGACTGTAATGCAGATGCGTGCTGGGTATGAAACTCATTGGCATAAGAACTTGACACTCCTATAGCCTATGTTTACATTTCTCGATGCTGACCGAGATGCCCCGCTAGAATATCATTCTCTATACTTGCTGGATCTTGAAGAGACGAGCGCAAACTGTCTCAGGGAGTCCTAGACCTAGTATACCCGTAGTAAAATCCCAAGTGGCCTGGGTTTCCAAGCGAGCTGGATAGAGAAGCTCTAGCCTGCTTCCTGGCCAACCCTTTGCAACATTGATGGAAATATCACGCTTCGTAGGCCCTCCTCTGCGCCAAATAGCCACATAGACGGTTTTTCTATCCTTTGCAACAAGACCTAAAGATACCCAGTCACTGTTCCATTTTGGGAACCCAAGAGGCCAGGTAGCATGTGCTGTTTTAACATCATCGCGGATCATCTTGTAGACAACCATACCCTCTTGGATGAGACTCAGCTGCGCTTTGCTCATCTTGTCCACGCGACCGCTGAGATAGACACGCCCAAGGAGACTATTGACCACAGTCAGCGCGTTAATCTCATCACTCCATCCAGGCTGGGGATAAGCCCAAGTTCCGCTCTGCTCTGGGGTAACTGCAGTTGGCATCGCTGCTGCAATAGCTGCATAGAGTGCCGGGTTTTGCTGATCACTGGTAGATTGAATGGAATGAACGGCTAGCATGGCGTAGTCGAGACGCTGCGCCCCGCTGGAACAAGTTTCAATGACGAGATTGGGGTACTTGTCAAGCTGGGAGCGTACCCAGGCAAGGTAAGCTCGTTGATGCTCGAGTTGTGCTGCTCCGGCGGCCGAGGGACCATCTATATCAGTTCCCTGCATCACCTGGATATTGTAGTCGAACTTGAAGAATCCAACACCATATTTAACGACAAGATTGTATATGACCGTGTCCATCCAGGTCCGCACCGCAGGATGCCGATAGTCAAGTTGGAAACGGCCTTTTTCAATGATACGATGGCCATGTTCTTGGAAAAATGCCTCTTTTGGAAGACGGTCACCAACAGCGCTCCGCACACCCACTACCTCAGGCTCCAGCCAAAGTCCAGGAATCAGACCCTTTGCCCGGATTTTGTCCAAGAGGTTCTTAAAGCCTGATGGGAATCGCTTTTTCGAGGGCTCCCATAAGCCAACGTCGTCCCACCAATCGCTATCGTCAGCGTACCAGCCAGCGTCGATCACGAAGTACTCTGCGCCTAGGCTAGCAACAGGATCTAGCAGTGCTTCAATCTTCTGCTCGTCTGGGTCTCCCATTAGACAGTTCATATAGTCATTGAAAATTATCGGAACCTTCTCCATATCATTATGTGGCCGCCGGATCTGTCGTCTGTAGTCCGTGAGAGCAGCAAAAGCTGCCTCGATATCCCCACTAACACGACAGCAAGCAGTTGGAACTGAAGTAAATCTTTCTCCAGGACGCAACAGCTTTTTCCACGCGTGGTGCGCACCCGTGGGGCCACCAGCAGCAAGGTATAGATTGTCTTTGTAGTCACCAATTTCCCACCGCCAGGATCCATTGGATTCTATTTGCCAAAGCCATGTATCGGTTTGATCTCTGGCGTTGAGAGCACCCATCGGAAGGTGAGAGCCGGTAGAGTAGGAGCCGCGGGTGTTCAGGCTAAAAGTAGCTTGGGAGCCGGTGTGACCTTCCTGAAGCTCACAGATGCCATTGTTATCGATGCCGAGCTCTGAAAGACTGTGCTCTTGCCATTGAGCTTCACGAAACCAGCTATTGGTAGCGTACATGAGTTTGTATTTGTCAAAATCTCTCATCGAAGCATTTGTCATGCCGCCAATAACAAATGATGAGAGACCCGTGAGCATGACATTAGCGTTGTCCGAAATATTGGTGACGGTCGTTTCGGCTCTGACAACTGGTACACTCCCGTAGACAGTAAGTCGGGCAGTTACTTGGATTTTGGTGGCGTTGTCGCTGCATCTGGCCTCAAATATCTCGGTTTGCCCATCTTTGCGGATCTCATGACTATCATACTTGAGTCTCATAGAGAGGTAATTTCCAACTGAAGCCTTCGCAGTTTTGATATCTTTTGTTTGACCTTCGCCGGCTAGCTTGACGCTAATCAGAGGGAGCTCCGCAGATTCAAATAAGGCCGAGGTTGATTTCTTTGGTACAGTGCCAGGGGGTAGGATGCGGCTAAGGCATATGACGCCCTCTTCATTGACAAAAAAATCAATATTGAGGGCATCTGTGTGCCACTGTATAGTGTAAGGCGCGCCCATTATGTCTGGATGAAATTATGAAATTAAAAACTGTATGATCTGATCGTTATATTAAAACCAAGTTGGAAGCGGAGAAGGACTCGGAACGATGCGAGGTGTTTCGATGCAGCAGAGAACTTGAACATCATACCCCTCTTCTCCTCTTCTAAAATATCACTTTAGCCGGTCATGGGATCTCAAATTTGCCGGGTGTCATGCAATCGAACGCAAGGCTATGATTTTCCAGGGATTGGCGTCTGGGGTAGCGGGGTACAGCGGTGATCCTCCGAGCTTCCCCAGCTCACCTTCAAAGAACTGTATCAAGCCCAGAGTCGCAACACAGACTGTCTCGGCCGAACCAATAGCTTCGGATCATGAAGGGGCTCGAGAATTCTTGGGAAGACAGAGCTCTGGTTCGGATTGGAGGGAATGTGACCAGCATTCCCCTCCAATTATGCCAAGGGTTTGTTTTGACAAAGAAATCCCACGCTCCCTGTGTGTGACCAGTTTCAAATTTATCCGGATCTTCGAAGCACAGTAATGGATTTTGAGGTACACGGTTAAGGTATTAACATCTTGATACCACGCTCTCTCAGTCTCTATCCCCACCGCGACACTTCCAACCGATAAATTCAAGCAAAGCAATCGAAAAAAACCCCCAATGGAGAAGATAAGCTCTGACATGTCAAAGAAGAAGGGTGAGAATACTCTAAAGTCTAATAACAAACACATTGAAAAGATTACCGACGATCTACTTGGAACTCGTGGGCAGTGGGAGGCCACGCTTGAAGATGCTCGTGCCGCCAATGCCCATGAGCATTCTCTGAGCGTCCGATCCGCCCTGAAAGCCTATCCATGGGCTGTTTGCTGGTCGTTGATAATTTCACTCTCCATAATTATGGAGGGCTATGACACTGCTCTCATCAATTCTCTATATGCATACCCATCCTATGCCCGTCGGTTCGGTACTGTCGATCCAGCCACTGATAAATACCAAATACCCGCTAAATGGCAAAGTGCCATGAGCAGCGGCTCTCAAGCTGGCGCGATTTTTGGTGCCCTTGCAAATGGATTCATTGTTCAGCGATTTGGCTTCAAACCCGCATTTGCCCTTGGTGTTCTCCTTATGGCTTCATTCGTTTTCGTTTCATTTTTCGGAATGTCGGTTGGGCTTCAAACAGCTGGTCAGATCCTTTGTGGGTTAGTACTTAAGCAGAGACGGAAAGTAAATCTTTTTGCATAGTGAATGCTAACTAAAACGAAATATTTCAGTGTTCCATGGGGTATTTTTGCAACAATTGGCCCTGCATATGCCTCGGAGCTCTGTCCTCTGCGCCTTAGGTCGTATCTAACGGCCTATACTAACCTGTGCTTTGCAACTGGGCAGTTCATAGCCGCTGGCGTGCTTCAGAGCTTCGTCGAACAACAAGATGATTGGGCATGGCGCATCACCTTTGGACTTCAATGGATGTGGATTCCTATCCTTGGGATTGCAGCCGTCCTGATGCCTGAATCCCCGTGGCATCTTGTACGCAAGGGCAGATATGAGGAGGCTGAGAAGAGTGTATCTCGACTCATGGCAGAGCATGAGAAAATCCATTCCAAATCTGTCGTTGCTCTCATGATTCACACGAATGATCTTGAGTGTGCTGCTTCACAGGGCACATCGTACTTGGATTGCTTCAAAGGCGTTGATCTTCGCCGTACAGAGATTGCCATTATCACATTCCTCGGCCAAATTACTTGTGGAGCCCAGTTCGCCTACTCAGCTACCTATTTCTTCCAACAAGCTGGCCTCAGTTCTGAAGAAAGCTATAAGCTAAATCTTGGTGGCACTTCCATTGCATTCTTAGGAACAATCACCTCGTGGTTCCTTATGCGTCGCATTGGTCGCCGTATCCTTTACCTGTCGGGCATGTCATGCATGGCCTTGTGGCTATTTATCATTGGAGTGCTCGCAGTCAATACTTCCAATCCAAATGTTAAGTGGGTTCAGTCAGTGCTTTGCCTTGTTTGGCTCTTGACATTTTCTCTCACTGTTGGGCCAATCGGCTGGATTATACCAGCTGAGGTCTCATCTACTCGTTTGCGTTCCAAAACAATTGTTTTGGCTCGCAATGGCTACTACGTGGCACAGATTCTTGCCAATGTGATCCAGCCTTACATGATGAATCCTCTAGCATGGAACTGGAAAGGTTTGAAGCCATTCGTTTTCCCGCCAATTTTTTTCAATATCTCTTGTATCAGAGAGCTAATTTGCTTAATAGGGAAAACTGGCTTTTTCTGGTTTGCCTTCGCCTCCATGTCTGTCTTATGGGCTTTCTTTCGGATGCCAGAAACTAGCGATCGTTCCTACGAGGAACTTGATCTTATGTTTATGGCAAAGGTCTCCACTCGGCGATTCAAGAAGTATCATGTAGATGCTTATGAGAATGTAGAAAGCCGCATCCAAGAGACATGATCAGATCACATTGCTCAGGTCTACTATTAATCGCGCTCAGCTTGGATGAGGGTGCCTGTTGTGATCGGCATTTGGGGGTTGGAAATGTTGCCAAAACATTACTCTAGTTAACTATTAATGCAATTTCTTTCTAATCATTGATGTGCTTTTGTTCTAACTGAAAAATTCCCGATCCGAGGCTCGGGGACCAAGCAAGACGGCAGTTGGTCTGCCCTTCTGACCAAGCATCACACGGTTGGTTGGCCGTAGCTGGGACCCAATCAGTTTGGTGGCTGCGAATAAGCTATACGATTGGCCGTAACAAGAGACTAGGGCGTCCGATGTGTGATATGTTACAACGTCGATCAGGCGGCATGCCCTCAAACCGGAAGCACCGGCATTTCAAGGAGGTCGGTTAGCTGGCATGAAGCTAATTTTCCGTCTTTTGGCCCCAGACTGAAGCCATTGCCAGTCAACAACCCCGGATTTGCCTCCCCAGCATTTGAAAGCACTTCACCGGTAATCTGGAACAGGTCAAGTGCTACGGAGTACAGAGAGCATGATCTCCGGACTTCGACCCCGTGGATGGAAAGAGACTAGCCGCGCGTCCACCCGCAGTTCGGGGGCCGAACCTAGACGGCTGATACCGATTGCCAATGCCGATATTCATCCGGATATACCACAGTCACAGAAGAGAAAATTGCAAAGCGCATAAAATAATAAGCCGTGTATTCCTCATCCATGGGGTCTCCTGGGGCTAGTGCGCCCCATGACAGGTGGTTGTACGTTCCAGAACACTACTAGATCCGGCACTATTCTTCATCTAGTATAGACCCCCGACTCCGACAGAAAATGGCGGAGGAATGAATGACTCTTGAGTCTTCACCCCTCACAAAGCTAGAGAGAATGTGAAAAAAAAAAAATCGTTTCCGAAGTACGACCCTGGGTTTTCAAGTTTTGAGATCCACTTCGAGTGTCTAGAAAATTTCCTTCCTTTTCATACTAGTACACGGCTCGGAAATGATCCTCACTTCAGTTTCTAGTCATTAGGTTTTAGCTAGATCCAGTTCGCATCGATCAAAGATTACCCTGAAGGATTACTGGTCCATTGGTCAAATCTCCGCTCCATGTCCATACGCCTCCATACGCCCGCATGCCCGTCAGCACTACAGCGTCCCCAAGCATAAAGGTCAAAGCGATTGCGGAATGATCCTGGTGGTTCTCGGGGACATGGCTAATTAAATCAAAGACTTTGTTTGTGGCGCGAGGAAACGAGGCTTACTGGTTACATGGCTCGGCGCAAGAGCGCCCAGCAAGCGCCCATGGCTAGCCATCGTTGCTTCTCTACTGCCACAAAAAGCTTGGTGGCGTCTTCTAGTCCCATAGATCATGTAGATTTGTTTTCTATGCCTATGATATAGGCCTTCCGACTTGTGTATTCCCCCGAGCCTAACCCACAGCGTCGTTAGCATGTTATCGTTTGGGACTAGCATGCAGCATTTCATGATTCAGGACCCTCGTCGCAAATTGACTGGCCCATACTATTGGCTAACGAGGCCAGTGATGGAGAAGTTAGTAGTCCGTGGGTAATTTTTGGTCTGGAGAACCCGATCAAAGAGGTGAAAAGTTGCTCGAAGATGGGTATATAATATTGCTGAACTCCCACCCGGGGGGGTTTCCTTTCTATCTCTTTTGACGACATATTCCACATAATTTTATCTTCTCTTGTCTCGCTGCCTCTCTCCAAAGATGGCGGTCAGTCAATCCGTGGTTGGCCGTAACAATGCGGAGAAGCCTCATGGTCTTGTTGGTATGCTGAAGAACCCTTATGTCTTCGCTACTTGTCTTTTTGCCTCTCTGGGCTGCACCATGTACGGATACGATCAAGGTGTGATGGGACCTATCCTTGTTATGGAGAACTTCAAAAATCACTTCCCCTACTTTGAGAACTCTACCATTCAGGGTTGGTTGGTGGCTGCCCTGGAGCTGGGTGCATGGGCTGGTGCTCTGATTAATGGTGTTCTCGCCGATCGAATCTCCCGAAAGTACGCCATGATGGTGGCCGTCGTCATCTTCACATTGGGAACTGGTCTACAGGCTGGTGCCCAGACTCCAGCTTATTTTTTCGCTGGCCGTATCGTTGGTGGTGTGGGTATTGGTATGTTCAGCATGGTTATTCCTCTATACCAGGCTGAGATTGCCCCACCCGAGTTGCGTGGATCTCTCGTCTCTCTGCAGCAACTTTCAATCACTATCGGAACTACCATTGCCTTCTGGCTCGACTATGGAATGCAGTATGTCGGCGGTGTTGCCTGCAACCCCGAAGGAATTGCCAATCCATACCTCGCCGACGGCACCTACAATACGGCCGTGAATCATGGCCACACTTGCCTAGGCCAAAAGACAATCTCTTGGCGACTCCCACTGGCTTTGCAAATCATCCCTGCCTGGATTCTCTTCTTTGGAATGTTCTTCTTCCCATTTTCCCCTCGCTGGCTCATGATGAAGCACCGAGATGACGAGGCTCTTTCTTCTCTTTCAAAGCTCCGCCGTTTACCAGCTGCGGATCCGGTTGTTAGGGCTGAATTCCTCGAAATCAAGGCAGCTGTCATGTTTGATGAGGAGACCGAACGTGAAGCCATCGGTTCCGGTGGAGTCCTTGCTCCCTGGAAGGCATTGTTTGCCCCCAATATGATCAAGCGTCTCATGGTCGGTTGCTGTACCATGGTTTTCCAACAGTTTACTGGTATCAATGCAGTCTTGTACTACGCACCTCAGATTTTCAGCAGTTTTGGCTTTTCTTCTACCAAGACAACCCTCCTGGCTACTGGTGTTACTGGTATTTTGCAGATCATCTTCACTTTGCCCTCCGTGCTGTACTTAGATAAGTTTGGCCGCAAGACATTTTTGATTGTTGGAGCCACCGGCATGTTCTTGTGTCATATTGTTGTCGCCATTGTCGAAGGTCTGTACGAAGATAAATGGAACCTGAACGAGGGGCTTGCAAAGCCACAGGGATGGGTGGCAATTGCCTTTATCTGGCTGTTCGCCGTGAACTTCGCTTACTCTTGGGGTATGTTGCATGTTAACTGTCACTTTAAGAACTCGGCACTAATCAATTTTCATCAATTATAGGTCCTGTGGCTTGGGTTTTGGCGCAGGAAATTTTCCCTAACAGCCAGCGTTCCCGTGGTGTGGCCATAGTTGCATCCACCAACTGGATGTTCAATTTTGTCATTGGGTTGACGACTAAGGACATGCTGGGCTCCATGAAGTATGGCACCTACATTTTCTTTGCTGTCTTCAGTGGTCTGGGTGGTCTATTCATCTGGAAATTTGCTCCGGAGACGAAGGATAAGACTCTTGAAGAGCTGGACATCTTCTTTGGCGGAGGCATGGACAGCATCGCCGAGGCCGATCGTCTTCGCATGCAGAGAATCAACGAGACACTGGGTCTGGCCGGTGTCGAGAACCTCGAAGATTTGAAGACCGAGAAGGAGATTACTGCGGAACAGGTCGAACTTTGAACTTTTTAATTGTGAACCAAGTTGGTAGTACACGGCTTGATAATACATAGGTACTAGTAGTATCAGTACCTCTCCTTAACTCTCAATAACCCCATTGCTGCTACTTTCAAGCTTGATCTGAACAATCAGACGAAATGATTTGACTTAAATGAGTTTAGGTTGCTGGAGTAATCTGTAAAACATGGCGGAGTCCGCTCATAGAAAGGGGAGTGCATGACAAGATCTGTTTGTTCCGAGGTACATCAAAACCTTTTCCAACTTATCTCACTTTCCTGCAAGCTTTCTATCAGATAACGGCGTCGCTACCAGCACCGGATCTCTCTCCTACCGCGCCGACTTCACCATCGTCCCTGACTTCGTCGTCGAGCTTCTCATCACGAATCCTGTTACTCGTTCTGAAGGCGAAGATGGAAGAAACAGTGAAATTTAGAAGCACACATTACAGTCGGGTCTCCGCTTTCCTAACCTTCTTTGCTGCTCACCTCTTTTCTTCTATTTTCAAAGCCTCCAATGCTTAATCCTTTTTATATTTGAGGCATAGGTAATAGCAGAAATGATTATCCGAATTCATGATTCGGGTTCGCCTTCGGTCCGCGGCTGGAACTTTTTGCCATTTCGGGTATGGCAAACCTAGCCTTCCTGTTTTGTATATGAGGTCCAGTGTCTCTTATCTTTACTCTTATCGTGGGAAATTCAATATCAACCTCATTGAACTGCCTTAATATGTTATCTAGTTATTGTTGCCCGCCCTGGGACCATGAGAGCAGGGGGTCCCCAAGTGGGACTGCAAAGGACTGTGGGCGATCTCGGCCTACTGACTGGAGTATACCTAGTAGGCTAAGAACTAGCTAACAACATTCTACAAAGTATTTTTCGATAAGAGAATAATCACCCAATACAAGTAAATGATCCTATTCCAAACAATATTTTCTTCCTAGGCCAATCTAAGGCACCCCTCTGCATTCTCTCTCCCAACGCGGAAATGTTCGTCAAGCCACTACGGTCTACCAGAAACGGTATCCCCTGTGTATACCGTCATCATCTTCGGATTCTAGCTTCCCCGCTTTGTTGATCCAAGTTTGAGTGTAACGCAAATTAAACTGACATCGAGAGAGGCTATCATCGTCAAAGTCGCCGTACAATGTTTATATATTGACCTTCCTCCCTGCATCGATATCCGAATAAAATTCTCATGATATACTGCGACTTCAAGTTTCAAACTTGAACTCATTCGTTATTTTTTTTTTGGCTACAACTCGTGCCTAGCCTTGTGCCCATGCCAAAAGATACCTAGGTAAACAGCTTGCCCTATCAGCCCCAACGCGCAACTTGAACAAGTACTCGCCATGGATTTCCTCAAAAGCCTAGATGGAACCTCGCGAATCGGGGTCATGTTGATCGCTGCCAGTGCAGTCTACTTGTGTTTCAGCCGTTTGTTACTGAGCAGAATATCCCTACGCGGCCGCAAAAATTCCACAGCCCGAACCCCTCCACGATCCATATCCCCAGACAAAAGGAAAGCCAATAGCACCACATCACCAACAAGTTATAACCAGGCCCTTCCACCATCACGTAGAGAGGCACTCCTTCAACAGAAAGGGGCCGTTATACGCTGGAAAGAAGTTGATGAGTCCGAAATATGCCAGAATCTCTTGCCCATGACAGCCAACTTTAGGACCAGCCCAGGTAACTTATATACACCGACTGGCTTTTCTGTCGACGACGTGAAGGCTTTGGGTGATTTCCCGGACTATGCAACGCTCAGTGGAGTTCCACTTCCTCGGCCCTATCCCGAACATCAACTTGAAAAGGCGCTGCCCCGCCCATATCGCCCTTTTCGATGGTCGTATCATCAAACAATGTGTATGTTTTCGGCATCCTTGGCAACCCTTGACAATGAGCGGAATTAATTTTATGATTTTCATTGATAGCATTGACAAAACTGGAAACCGATTGGTGGATCGAGCTTGAGAGCACATACAAGAGCCGCATTGCTCAACGTAAAGAGCTATTTGCCAAGAATGGAAAGGCAGTTCTGGACGCCCTCCCTGGCTCCGAACTAGCATGCAAAGAGCTCATGGAAATGGTACTCCAATACATATGTACCAGATACCCGCAGTATTTCACGCTGGTGGACAAGCGGATATTGCAGAATCGCATCCTCGACACTGAGCAAGATATCCGGGCCAAGCCCCCGCTTGAAATCCTTCTTGACAATGTTCCGGAGGATTTTGGACTCATGTTAAGAGATGATGAGACGGGCTTTTATTTCTTGCGTGCGGCAGTAATTTGTTCGGCACTTGGTTGGAATGTTGCCTCCAAAATCGGACGTCAGTTGCACCAAATCCATGCACCGATCCCGGATTATAAGGAAAAGATGCAGTTCTCAATGGACCGGTGAGTTTCTTTCTTCCAATTATGAGGTTGAACGAGGGATGATCTAACCGACTTTTCTTAGTTTCTTCACCAAAATGCCGACAGAAAAGCCGATTCAACGAGGTTCATGGGGTCTCGAAGTCGGGGAGCCACTGTATATGCCACCAGGCGATCCGCACGAGGGCCTTCGGAAAACCCAAGATCCAAATTTGACAATAGATGACTGCAACCTGCGGGTAGACTGGCAGACCCTTCGTCGTCTTCCACTCTCTGCATCCGTGGTATTCAACTTCAAGGCGGTTTTCAGTCCCATCACAGAATTCCGCGATGAGCCTGGCGTCCCGGCACTGGTGGCAAAGGTTGTGACAGAGGGAAAGAAGAAACTCATGGAGTATAAGGGTGTATGGCATGTTCAGCATGTTATTCTACCGAAGTTAGAAGAGTGGGCAAAGGAACAGGAGGAGAATGGTCTTACACCCAAGGATTGGGAGGTGGCCACGCTAGATAACAGTCCGTGGTATGAAGGCTGGAAAGATAAGTGGCATCGACAGCAAGGATTTTGATATTATAGATATGTATTTTCAATTCGATAACGAGTTATAAGACTCAGATATGACGATTTTGATGCTTATAGTACATGCTTGCGAATCGTTAACCGACAGTCATATCCACGCAATCTTTTGGTGCGACTTTGGACGGGGGAGTTTGCTGGATGTGAAGCTGGTGATGCAATAATCAATTCCCACCTGAGCTCCATTGTGGGCCTGCCACTTGGAGTTGGTGCAGTTCGCTTCTCCGTAGGGATCACTTGGCGCTATTGGCATACCGCTGTTTACCCTTAGATAGAGGGATGGACGATTTCCTGGTTCCGAGTTTGTCGGAATACAGCCAAGCTTGCACTGGACGCAGGGGTCGAGCAAGTGTCTCTGTCGAGGCCTAGGGAGTATCCACACGTGTATATGTGAAAAAAAAAATAAAAAAGAATACGAGTTCGATGTTCAATCATCTTCCTCGTTTCCCTTCCCAGAAGACTCCTTGTCACTTATTTCACGCTCCTCGTCGCTTTTTCCATCGTCACTATCCTGATCAAGTTCCTCCAATTCTCCCTCAAGTGGGCTGACTCGCTCATCCAACATATCCAGGTCCTCCAACTGCTGTCGTGGAGGTAGCTTCCATAAACTGGTACCACATACACGGTCCTTGGTGAGAAGATCGTCGACAAATTGATCCATATATGTCAAGGCGAACGTGTCACGGATCCTGCGCTTGATTTTCCGGTAGTCGAGTAGGAGCGGTTCCAAGGTTTTGTAAACCTCGGCGGCGTCGAACGTGATCCGAACGTAAAAGGCTGCTAGAGCGCGGAGGTATTTGAAGTCACCACGATCCTTAACCACGCCATTGTCTTCGCCTTCGTCGTCACTGCCGGGGTCGGAGAAATTCAGGTATTCGAGGATGACATTGCGATCGGGGTTGAGCTGCAGAAGCTTGAAGGCGAGGCAAAGGAAAGGCGTGGGTTTTTCGGAGACACCATATGTACCACCAATAGATGATAGTTCAACTGCACGATCGCACAGAGTAGCAGCGTTCAGTCCGAAGCACTGCTCTTTCCAGTAATAAGAGTCCGTGATGCGATCGCGCACAGCTTTCTCGAAAAGGGTGATCGGGTTGACACCCCTCACCAACGGACCACTGTACCCGCGATTGTCGAGAAACGAGCTAGCGTCAGCGCGATGAGAGGTCATGACTGCAATGGTCGGAAGGCTGGGGTGGGGAGAGACAGTTCGACGGAGCTGGAAATCGGATGAGGTATACTGCCAGTTCATACCGCTTAATGCCAAGATTTTACTTATCGATAGTCGCGCGGCCAACCCGATCCTGAACCCCGTAAACAATCCTGATGTCATGCGCGACTCTAGGGCTGACTCTGAGACATCGACGAGGGGGAGGCAAGCCATGCATGGTTGACATTCCAATCCTGTCAATCTCTCTTTCATCGTCCATGTCGGACCCCTTTGCACCATGGTCCTCCTCAGTTCGTCTACGGTATCCACCATCCTGTCAATGGGAGTAGTGTGTATCTTCACGTTACTACTATTTCTATCGGGATACGTGCTGCAGCAACAATCAGTAAAAAGCATTCAGCATGCGATCCGCCCACCCCCTGATACAGCTTCTGAGTCAAGGCACGGCTATCCGGGATCAACATTCCAGAAGCGAGATTCATCGGATTCAGATCTAGATTCAGGTGACGATCAAGACACCCCACGAGCTAGTCGAGACCGCAATTCAGGATCGCGGGGCAATTTTGCCTACCTTCAGCTATTATCTGAGCCCGACCCGTCAGACATTTGTTCCGCCGTGCTTTTCTTCAAACAACTCGCGACAAATGGTACCAGTGTTCAGGATCGCCTTTTTATGTATCCGCAAGAATGGGACCGCATGTCAGCCAAACAGTTGGGCAAGTCTGCATCAGCAGCTCTTTCGATTCTCCGTGCAGCCAGTATAAAATATGGAATTTGGCTACTACCAATCGATATGACTGCTGCTACGTCTGCGGGATACTCCGCAACCAACACCAAGGTCCTACGTCTGGGTCAAATACAATTCATGCAATATGACAGCGTTCTTTACGTCCAGACGCCAGGCATGATTCTAGACACAGAGAGACTCGATGATGTGTTATTTTCACGGACATTGCCTGGCCGACATGATAAGAATAGGCCGGAGTCCTTCAACAACGAAGCCTGGATTCCCATGCCTCTTCGCGCGAACCGCGAGGCTGACCTCCCACCGGTTTACTTGATAACAGTCAATAACTTGGGCGGCGGGAGTGTTGAAACGCGAACACATATTCCTAACATACATCTTCCTGAATTCGGAGGCCTCGTGGCTGGACCTTGGGGCGTGAAACCAAAATCAATTGATGGTGAGCCAGTTCAACAGCCCGCCTATGTATATTTTGAGAATGACCGCGACGGTCATGTCAAGTGGGCAGGCAATCCCCTTTTTGGCTCGTGGCGAGCACAACAAAGTGAGGTTTGCCCTGGACTAGATCTTGATGGCGACTATTATCATGATGAGATGAGATGAGATTATCTTTGGGATTTCTTTTCAATATCGGTCTGATGCGAGCGATTATACCTTCGGGGGGGGATTTGGGTCACATGGCGTCTATTTGGTTGAAGTTTTAAGATATCCATTACGATCGGTATAGCATTCTGAAATAATGCACGAATTTGATATATTTCAAGTTTTCATTCAAATCTAGCGTACCTAGGTAATTTGGTGATAGTATCATGATTCTTTTCTTACTATTCAACAAAAGGCCGGGGACAACTACCAGCTATGAATGATATCCATGGATAGTACGTGGTAGATCATCTCAAGTCATATGCTTCGTAGATAACTCGAATATGTCGTTAGCATCCTGCGAAAATACCGTCTCGCCCAACAACTAGTACTGGGGTACTCCAATCTCGTATCCCAGCAATACCTCTGTGGAATTGCCCTCCCAGCCACGGTTTCCGCTGGTAGAGATCATAAAACGACAGGCGTTATCAACAAACAGCTGCGATATGGTGCCAGTTCGATGGCCGGGAATAATGAGGAATGGCACGGTAGAATGCCGGGAAGACTGCTCATGTTGTAGGTCATAGAGCCGGAGGATATCGTGAGAGGCACTAGGAGGAGTTAGTAGATTCCAATGAGTAAATAAACGATAAAACTGACCAGACGAGATGGCGGCCATTTGGCATAGCCTTGAGAGCAGTCACTGGACCACTGCCCTGCGGAAACTTGAACGTCCGTTCAACATCCCGAAGGCCCTTGTGCAAACTGAATTCTTCAACAGTACCATTGCGCCGCCCGGCATATATGTAGTTTCCATCAGGAGACCAGCACGCATTCATGCACCAAGGCGGGGCATTACGGGGGCTGATTCGAGCAACAGGATCGGGTTGTCGTCGATCCCACACCCGGATGGTGCCATCCATTGATGCGGCAAGAAAAGTCGTATCGGCTCCTATTGTCTGTTCAGATTGCATGGGTTGGGGGAAAATCTGATCTATGGAGGGTTTAATTTCTTCGGCCTTGGGCAGCCCATTAACAGCTGGCAGCGCCGGTTCTGTGGTGATCTCTGTTGTGGGCACCTCGGACTTGCTCTCAGAGTCATGAGCGAATGCGTCTGCTGTATTCGCGGCAGCAGAAGATTCTACTTGGGGTACAGGTTCGGGTTCGGGCATTTCAGCATCGATTTCACCCGGGGCATCGGCATCAGCAAGGACGCCGTTAGCCATCGCACGACCAAATTCATCATCTTCGTCTACCCCGAATACACCCCCAGATGGTTCTCCCCCGTCTGCTGCTCCGCCATCTGCATCTCCAAAGAGAGAATCCGCACCACCAAATAGCGAGTCAGTTGGTGAACCCGCCTGCGGGTTTTCGGGCCCCTGGGATCCTGTATCTTGAGTGGTGTCCATGGCATTGAATTTGTCTAGGCCACTAGCCTGATAATTCGACGAGTAGGTACCGTTAGGTAGGGATGGATCGATTGTATCTGATGGAATTGGCAAGCTGGAATCCGGCCGGATTTGTACCGTAGAGATCTGGCCTGCACTGCCGCCGAATGCACGTCGTGCCTGACCGGTATTGAGATCCCAATCAAAAACACGCTTGTCCCAGCTCCCAGAGAGCAAGGATTGCTCGTCGGACGTCAAATTTAGCGAGGAGACTGCTGATGTATGTTGTCGTAATTGAATGACTTCTTTTCCCTCGTCGTGTCGCAATGTCTGCAGCCGAATCGCACCGGATTCTAGGCCGGAAAGTAACCAGAGGCCCTCACTCTGTGCCGCTAGAGAATAGACTGGTGATAAGCTATTGCCATCCATGTTTTCCCAATATGTCATTAGGACACCCGCTTTAACAACACTATCCACAAATGGATGCCGTTGCGCCACCGTCAACATGAGCTTGCTGTTGATAGACTCGGCCCAGTTGAATTTACGAACAAAGCCATCCGATCCACCTGTAAAAACCCAACGCATATCTGCCGTCGCTGTGATTGCATTTATTGATGTGCTATGAGGAGCAGCGGTGGTTGGGGCGATATCATAGGTCCTGGCCGTTAAGCATTCGGGGCGGACGCTAGGATGGTGAATAGAAAAGGATTCCAGCATCGATGTGTCCCCGTTCCCCGGCGATGTCATATTCCTTGTATCAGGGTTCTGTTGCGAAGATATTCCGGCGCCTTCTGATGTTTGACTTGCATTTGAGGGGCTGTCCGGATCTTGGTCCTGGTCCTGGTCCTGGTCCTGGTCTTGATCAGCGTCCACATCGGCATCCTGCTCGTTGTCGTTGTCGTTGTCATGGTCATTGTCGTCGTTGTTATCCCCGTCATTATCGTCAACGTCGCGCATTGTGTCGTCAATCTCATTGTCAGAGCTTCCATCTTGAGAACCTAAAAAGAGTGTGTCAGGCAAAGGCGCAAGCATGGGAGCGGGGAATGAGCAGGGTAGCAGCAACTGACCCGCCAGATCGCGGTCCTCATCCTCCTCAAGGGACGCCATGAAGCTTTGAAACCGGTCGCCAATCCCAAACAAGTGTCACGATTCAATATGTAGCCCCGCCCTTTTCAATTGCCAATTGGGGGGGTAGGCAGTCTAGCTGCAGTCTGGTGCGGAGAGCTTCGGCGCAGATGGAACCCTGGTCCCACCGCGATGCAGCAATAAGGGTTTGGTGATGGCAACTTTCAGTATATTTACAGGACAAGTCACCGTATTCGAATATAGTTTCAAAGGCCAAGTAGCATGAGTCGACCCAGACGAAGGTCCAATGCGATGGCTGTGAACAAATGAATGCGGATCAGACCGCGCAAGGCGGTCTCCCCTTCTTTCTCTGCTGGGGTCGGGCTCCACCCGGCCAATCACATGGCTCCGTCGTAGATCTGGGACTCAGATCGTAGGTTGGATGGCATCAAATGCATGAAATGACATGAAATTCATATTTGTGCTAGGTGGAACCTTCTCCGAAAAGGATAATAGACTCTTAAGGCAAAAAAGATAAAATGATGTCAGATCAGATAAACTCGGGTTTATTTTGGGCAAACTTCTTCCAAGAAGGCAGCCACGACCTAAGTTGCTCTTGCCATTTTTACCATCTACTCCTCCTTCTACTCCTCCTTCTACTCCTCCTTCTGCTTCTCTTCTCTTCTTTCTTCCTCCACTTCCTCCACTTCCCCTCTCTTCTCTCACGATTTTCCCTTTCAATTACCTGTTAGCTCTCATTATTCTTTCAACGGGTTTCGATATCCCGATCAATCTTTCAATCTGTTTCGACGCCTCAGCCCTACCTCCAGGTAATAATGGCTCCACGTGGTCGTGCTGGGAAATTTGTCCACCCCAATAGTCATCGCAATGCAGCTTCCAGTCAATCCAAGCCTCCTGGTATCCCTGCGAACCCGGCAATTCGGAACTATTTCGCAACGACCGATCTGTCAGAGGGGGGTTCCCCTTCCGCGCGGACAGACGGAGGACTGGCGCAAAAAGTCCGAGCTTCCTACTACGCAGGAAATTCTGGGATCGAATGACGGTTCGAGTGATATTATGTTGCTTCCAAATCACATATCAGGTCCCTGGCCTTCAACCGAGCTTTATCTCAACGCTCACTACAACTTGATCCGCGAAGATGCTGTCGCAAACCTCCGAGATGCAGTGCTTTATGTTCGCGCCTATCCGCTCATGAAGGACAACGGCAACATTGTAATCTATGAGAAGGTGATATTTGAATCTTTCTGAGTGCTTCAAATTCTCATTCGACTGACTGATCTTGAATAGGTTTTCATTGTGCAAGTGACACTGACAACCTCGGGAATTGCTTTTCGCGTTCAATTCTCCACACGTCGTGCCGGCAAGAGAATACATTGGGAGTACTCCAGTCGCCTTATTGCCGGGAATATCATAGCCTTATCTCCAGTCGAGGACTCCTTCTCAACTAAGTGCATCGTGGGTGTTGTTGCGGCGAGGCCCCTTGAGAACCTTGCCAAAACCCCACCTGAAGTAGACATTTATTTTGCCCATCCAGAGGATATCAAGTTCGACCCCCAGCAAGAATGGATCATGGTACAGGCACGATCAGGATACTATGAGGCTCACCGGCACACCATGAAAGCCTTGCAGAAGCTATCACAAGAAAAGTGAGTTTTCGTCCCCGTTCCCGTCATCTCTTCAATGTATAGCTCTAACTTGATCCATTTCCTACTAGATTCCCACTCAAGCAACATATATGTGCCTTGGAAACCGACATTGGCGCACCTCAATATGTGTTGGACAAGCCAGTGATGAACTTCCAGGCTCTGTCGCCGCCTACCGCCGATGGTAATACGAGTTTCAACGTCCTCAAGGGTTTTCCTGCTACTCCAATGGCAGGACTCAACCCTCATCAGTGGAAAGCCCTGGAGAACATGCTGTCAAGAAATATTTCTATCATACAGGGTCCCCCGGGAACTGGCAAGACGTTTGTGTCAGTCACCTTCTTGAAGCTCCTATTATCCCAGATGACCCCAAACGATCCTCCTATCATCATTGCGACACATACAAACCATGCGCTGGACCAGCTTCTCAATATCATCGCTCAATTTGAGGAAAACTACATTCGACTGGGTTCGAGAAGCGCGGATCCCGATATTCGAAAGCGAATGCTCTACGAGATAAAGAAGTTTCTGCCAGTGCCTACGGTAATCGGTGGCCTGTTCGGCCCAGCAAGAATTGATCTTCAAAGAATTTCCGCTCAAGTAGCGGAGCTTCTCACGCCGTTCGACCAGGAGGGTCTCCAAGGTCCAATCAAGGCATCCACGTTCGCCGACTATGGCCTGCTAACACAGACTCAATGCGATTCACTCAAGAAACTTGATCAGTCGAACTCATCTGCGCTCGCAGGAAATGACACGAATCATATTGCAGAGTGGCTCGATGATCAGGTGAAAGAGCTAAACCTCAATCACTGGGTTGAAGAGATGACGTTCACCGAAGATGACATCGACATAGAGTACGAGCAGCTCAAAGAGCTCGAGGCAGAGCAGGGACCAAACGAGGAAGAATTCGAGTCTCTCTATGGTAGATCACTTCAATTCAGGACAACACACCAGGGAGTTCAAGAGTCATCCTACTCAAAGGCTGAGATTCGTCAATATCTCTCGATGGGTGATTTGACGAAGATTCCCGTCACAGCACGGGGGCCCGTGTACAATTTGTTGCGGAGGAAGCTCCTGGATTTAGTGAACACTAAATTGCGCACTATTGCCAAGTCATACGACTTCTACAGTGGCAGACTCAAGATCGGTAGGTGGGAGCGAGATTTTGAGACCCTGCGGAAAGCCAAGCTAGTAGCCATGACAACGACTGGGTTGAGCAAGTATCGTGGGCTTGTCTCGAGCCTGAGTCCTCAAACCCTGGTGATCGAAGAAGCAGCCGAAGTCCTTGAAGCTCCAACTGCCGTTGCGTGCCTTGAATCGATCCAACAGTTGGTTCTTGTGGGTGACCATATGCAGCTAAAAGCGAAGTGTACGTTGATGGATCTTGCCGGGGAGCCCTTCTTCCTAGAAACCTCCATGTTCGAACGCTTGGTCCGGAACGACATACCTTATGTACAGCTCCGGGAACAACGAAGAATGGCCTCTGAGATTAGAGAACTTCTGATGCCTATATATGGCAGTCTGTATGACCATCCCTCCGTGCTCAAAAGTGCGCTCGTCCCGGGAATGGGCTCTCTTCGGTCATTCTTTTTCACGCATGATTGGCCTGAAAGCGGAGACAGTCTGACTTCTAAGCTCAACGAACTGGAAGCCATCATGATTGTGAAGTTCTATGCCTATCTGGTGCTTAATGGAATTCCATTTTGGGAGATAACTGTTTTGACATTCTACAACGGCCAAAGGAAGTTGATTCTCAAGCATATGAGGACAAACAAATATCTTGCCAATCATATACACAAAGTTGTCACGGTCGACTCCTATCAAGGAGAGGAAAACGAAATTATTCTACTCTCGCTCGTCCGGAGCAACAAGAGTAACGGAATTGGGTTTCTTGCCGCTGACAACAGAGTGTGTGTTTCACTCTCTCGGGCAAAAAGAGGTCTTTACATGTTCGGGAGCTCCGGAACCCTGGAGCAATTCAGTCCTCTTTGGGAGAATATCATTTCGATTCTTAGATCTCCAGGTGGCGATCACGATCCGCGAATTGGCAAAATCCTTCCCTTGACCTGCAAGAAGCATAAGAATGAAACTTTGATTCGCGGTCAGTACTATCAATAACTATATTTTGACCATGTGAACTAATTTTTGACTCGTCATTTAGAGCTCGGAGATTGGGAAGCGATCAATGGGGGGTGCAGGAAGCCTTGCGCAGAAGGTCTCGGCTGTGGGCACAAATGCACACTTCTATGCCACGGGTAAGTTGCATACCGAACAATAACAAAGGTTTATCTTTCACATGGTTTTGAGTTATCTGACATGAGGAACTAGCTTTGACCATTCATGGATTACTTGTCAACAACCATGCACCCATGTGCAAAAATGCTGTGGGTTCCATTGCACAGATATCTGTGGCAAAACTCACAATCACTCATGCGACTGCATGAACGACAAGTTCAACACAGTATCCATCATGGAAAAGCCCCGGATCAATCGACTTCCCGAAGGTGCACAAAGACTCCGCAAGCAGGTCATCCCCATGGAGGGAGTAGGCTTATGGGGCCAATTCGTTGACAAGGCCCGTGCCGGTGATATTGACAGTGCAAACACGGGCACATTTCCAAGATTGGGCCCTCAGGACGTTCAGGACGGGCTCAAGCGAGCCACTGAAACGTACATTTCTCTAGCTTCGAAAAGGCCAATTCAAGAATCAGCCAGCAGTGTCGCTAGCAACAGTCTCGTTCATCCCTCTGATTCCAAGGACCCGCCTACCAACAAGCCTGCGGCACCGCCTCCCACCAATCTGATTGAATTTACTTCAGGTAATTTGATCGATTTTGACTAGTCAGAAAATTCGCATCGCATAGTCTCGAAGTTCGGTTAGGTGCGCCTGATATCTAGTTTCAAAACCTGTCATCTTTACCGCGTAGCAATGCATCCTTCAGGATTAGGTGTCCAACACCTCCATATCTTTCAAGCAAAAGAAAAGAAGAAGAGGGGAAGAAGGAGGATGAGGAGAAAGAGAGCCCTGTATTTCTCGGAAGACCATTGATAATTTCAATTACAACAATAAGACTCAGAAGGTCGCAAATTGCCAGTAATTTCGTATATTATATCATCAAATGTAGTATATATGTCCAAGTATTTCCAAGTAGTATGTGTAGGTATTTCAACAAGAAGGCAAGGGAAGGGGAATAGAAACGCTAAATCATAATCATATACTGCTCCAAGCTATTTCCCAGACAATTAATAAACGGCCATTGGGTATTACGTTTGAACAATCTGGACCACAGCTTTAGAACCGCCATGCCCAATGCCGGCGGCTCAAGGTTTAGCGGGGCTTCGGATTCGTCTTCAAGGTCAATAGAAGAATAGGCCTCTTCAACAATACATTGGGTCCAGCGAAGAATACGGCTTTCGTTTTCTAGTCATGACAGTCAGCGTTGGCTTGAGTTATCAGGAATCATTCCAAGAACTTACCACTCAGCGCCTGGTCTGGCCCCGCCTCTGCAAGAGTGAATAGCCACTTGCTCAGCAGGACCGCACATTCCAAGCTTGCGAGAGAATGGCGCACACTCCAAAAGAATGCCTGGCTGCGTGCGATGTGATCAATTCCCAGGCGCACTGGAATGCTGAGGGCATGTGCAGCATATATAAGGGCTGGGATCAGGCGGTAACTTCGCTCTGGCTTTGGGGATCGGTACAGGGCAGCGGCAATGGTAGCTGGGTCGCGCGTTTCGAGACGGCGGTACGGACCGAGATTGAGAGACAGGCGCACATAGGCAAGTCCGAGGAGCGAGCTTGATGTAAAGGGGATCGGTCCATTATCGTTGTGTGGGTCGAGGCTTGACTCTGGGGCTTGTTGCCAGACACTAGTCCAGGAGCGGAGGGCTCGCCTGAGTAAATAGTCAGTACATTTTCTGTCAGATGGTTCAGTGAGCGTGTCAGTCTTACTCTATCTTGTTCAGTTCTTCGGTCGGCAAGCTGGTCGAATGAAGCCCATTCGGCAAGGAAAGTTCGCTGACAATGTGGATTCGCTGAAGCAGACCATGCAGCAGCATGTAATTTCCCAACGGAGCGGGTATCGGCTCCAATGGTACTGCCGAGCGCGACTTTTGAAGCAAAAGTGTCAGCGCGTCTTGGAAAAACAACTGTTGAGGACCACGGGCTTGCTGGGCAGCTTCCCATTCGACGGCGTTGTTCGCTATCCATTCGATCGTCGAGCAGGGAAGTCGCATGTGGATTTCGCTGCTGCGTAGCGATGGATAGACATTATAGGCCAGGCTGTGAATATGAATGAAGCAGAAAGCGATAAGTTTAGTTCGCCGAAGGGACTCTTGGTCTGCCCATTCATACCAGTCCAGTGGTTGACCACGCGCATCAGAATATGGCTCCGTCAACCCAACGTCGCGAAGGTGCTGAACTAGCTGACCTTGAATATGGAATGCCTCCTGTACAAGTCCTGCCCGCTCCCAGGTAGCATAACTCATGAGGACGAGTAAACAACGAACCACCTCCATCTTCCGCGAAGCGGCGGTGCCCCCGCTACCCGCTGATCGATTCTGATCTCCATATTGGGAGGCCATCGGGTAACCTGACTGGGATTCTCTGCTCATACGTTCGTAAAGGACTGCCTTGGAAACATGAAATATTTTTTCGGCATTGCGGTGCTCAAAGCGATACTGGGCACCGATGGTCATCATCGCGAGAACTAATTCGGCAGAACACTCGCTGAAGCGGAAAGTTGGGATGTGAATAAACGGAATGTGGGGATGGAATCCCTCGAAGTAGGACGTGAGGTAGCGAGTCAGAGTATGGCGAGAAGGAAGGGTGAAATCCGGTATGACATTTCGAAAGTCCTCAAGAGATGCAGCAAGTCGGAAGCGTTGATCCTCTGAAACGTTGAATCGAGAGATTTTGCCGGTAGCCTGCGGTGGCTCTAAAGGTCATATGAGACATGGTTCTTCCCAGCTTAAAATTGCATATAGAGCAAGACTTACCGCTATCGGAAAGAGTACCTAGGCTTTGATCCCCACGGGGTACCGATGGTAGCCATGAACGAAAAGGGGAATCTCCTCTCGAGCCATCACGAATACTTCTCGGTCGCTTCATCTGTTCCTGAGAGGGTGCAATTGGTTTCTGGACATCCTCAATTCCAATATCTTGGATCTGGGATGGGTCTGCCTCAAAGGGCAGCCATTCGGCGGGGAGACCAATGGAGTCCAAAAAATGGGTAAATTCTTGGAAATGATTGAGATCCTCGGGCAAATAGGGTAAGGCTAGGTAGTAGTTATTTAGCAAAGAAACATCAATGGAACCGCGAGGACTCCCTATGTACTTACAAGGTGCTTGGTAGTCGCCTGGGAGGAGCAGCTGAGCTGCCTGCAGCATGGCGGGATCATGCATTCCAGGGTGCCCCTCCTGGTTGGTATTAGAATTGGGAGTTGGGCCTACGGGCATCATTGGAGGCTGGCTCTGGGGTAAGTATGAAGGCTGAGGTGGCGGCGGCCCTGTCCATTGAGGCGGCGGTGGCTGCTGCTGCTGATGTATCGATGCAGGTCGGGCTGATGCATCATACTGCGGCTGCGGGATGGCTGCAGGAGCGGGTGGGGGTTGGACTGAGACTGGGACTGGGACTGAGGCCGAGGTTGAGGTTGAGGGCTGGAGACTGGGCTGGGAGTCCGGTGAGGTGAATCCATCCTGATGGGAGATTCGATTGTGTCTCTTCAATAGATCACGCCTAGTAAAGGCCGCCCCACAGAAGCAGATGAACGGCTTCTCCTTAGTGTCTGATGATGATGGTCAGCCATCTCCAGGGTAGTATTACCCCAACACCAGAGTACTTACGAGTTCGGACATGGCGCTCTAAATGTTCGGTGCGACGGAAAGCTCTACCGCAATGTACACAGATCCGTGCTTTTGCGCGGCCTGACTGGACTGGGGGTGGCATGGCTCGGAGTCACTTGGAGAAGAGGAGAAAGTGGAGGACGGCCGAAGTGAGGAGTCGCCCCCAAGCGGTGACTCCAACGGCCCACTCTTATCTCCTCTACTACTCCCACTGTCCTACACAGCTACAGGCCCTAGGGTATAGGAAAGCTTCCTACTATCTTCTTTGTACTGTCTTATTCTTCTCCTTTTTCCATTGACACGAGAGAATGTCCCTTCTCAAGTCACTCTTCCCCGGTGTCGCCGTCGTGACCGGTGCCGGTGGAACCGGTACGCCATACCCTGCACTACAAATCTGATCCACAGTTCCACTCACATCATGCTACTCAAATATAGGAATCGGTGCTGCAGTCGCCAGGGCTTTTGCCGCTGCAGGATGTGAAAGAATCGCCATCACAGATGTCAATCCATCCACGCTAGAGCAAACCCGACACGCAGTCGCCTCCACTCATCCCAAGGTGCAGCTCCTCGCCCACGCAGGCAGTGTCGCTGAGGACCACTTTGCACAGACGTTCATAGATCAAGTCGTTGAAAAGTTTGGGCGCGTTGACTATGCAGTCAACTGTGCAGGTGTACTGGGTCTTCCCCGGCGGTCAGATGAAACTAGCATTGAGGAATTCGACCGCGTCAATAATATCAATTATCGCGGTTGCTGGCTATCTTCCCGGGCTCAGCTGAGACAGATGATCGCCCAAGAGGCACTCCCAAGTCATGATTCTCGCCGCCCTTCACAACGAGGTGCTGTCGTAAATATTGCCAGTCAGCTTGGAATCGTCAGCCGTCCGAATGCCCGTCAGTTCTCACCTTTTGTGCCCCCTTGTTATGACAAACACCTAACTTTAGATCCCCTAAATTAGCGGCATATTGTGCATCAAAGTCAGCCATTATTGGGCTGACACGTGCTGATGCGATCGATTACTCCAAAGATGGAATTCGGGTGAACTGCGTATGTCCTGGAGTCATCGAGACGCCTTTAGTAATGGAGAAGAAGGAAGTGCGTGAAGCCATCACCCCCGCCGTAGAAACTGCTCCTATGAAAAGAATGGGTATACCGCAAGAAGTAGCAGATGTAGCCCTATTTCTTTGTTCAACACAGGCTTCATTTGTTCAAGGTCACGCGATGGTAGTGGATGGCGGCTATATAACAGTGTAAATACTATTACCTAGATACCATTGGAACAACCTTTGAAGTAATGAATAGTAACACCCGCGGTAGATTTATACCATCTACAGCCACTAGTACCTACCTAGGTAGGTCGGTAGCTGTTATCAACTTGAAAAGCACTAATAATCAACTGCAGGGCTTGAAAACAAGGTTCCAAGGTTAGGATGATAATATCGCATACCTAGGTATCTAAACTTTGAAGAGGGCTGAGGTCAAAACCTTGGATTTCATGGTGTATATATCTGATGGATATCATCTGCTATCTACATACACGCTTAATTCGCTGATTCTTAATTGCCGAATGATGTACCTTCTTCCAATCAAAATTCGTCTCCCATGCATGTCCAACTTGCAATATTTTCTCTTCTTGCCACAATCCGCCAACAATCTGCATACCAACAGGCAACATAACCTGCTCATCATCCTTAGCTGGCGCGAACCCAATAGGAATGGACATGGCAGGATGGCCTGTGACATTGAATATGGCAGTATTAATCGTCAACCCCATGCTAGGCTTGAGTGACTCCAATGGAAGACCGCGTTTTCCATTCTTCGGAGCCACAACTGGAGTCGTGGGCATCACCAAGGCATCATATTTCTCAAAAAGGTCTTGGTATTTGTCGCTTACTTGCCGTCCAATATTCACTGTCTTTCCATAAATGTTTGGGAAGCGCGACATCAGATATAACCCGTTGATAATCACATTCTTCGTTGATGGGAAGGCTCGCTGGAAGCCTTCATCCGTCCAGGGGAGCCTGCTTTGCTCCGCTTCTGTCATGCATAGGCCCCTTCGTCCAGTATTATGACCCAGAAGTGTCTGTGCTCCAGCAATTCTTGAAAGGATAGTCCATAGTGCCGGGCCATGCAAGTGGTCCGGAAGCGATACCTCCTCAACAATGGCGCCAAGATCTTCGAATTTCCTTGCGGCGATTGAGACTGATTCTCTGACATTGGTATCCACAGCACTATGCTCGAAGCCTTCTTTCAAAATTCCAATTTTCAGACCATCAAGTCTTCCAGAGGTCTCTTCAATAGTTGCTGCAAATTTAGTCGAACCTGGTTTTGGGCTTGCCAGTGAGCGATCGTCGATACCATCATAGCCACTAATCGCATCTAAACACGCGGCGACTTCACGGGTGGTGCGTGCGAGCGGACCGGCATGGTCAACTAAGGCATCTCCACTAGATATTCCGGTATAAGGAACTCGGCCATGAGTAGGCTTCAGTCCAACACCTGAGATAAATTTAGTCAGGTTTGATATGGATGATTTAATGCGACTTACATCCACACAGGGCTGCCGGGACTCGAATGCTTCCACCCTGATCCCCTCCAATCGTAACATCAACCAAGCCTGCAGAGACTAAGGCTGCACCACCAGATGTGCTCCCTCCTGCTGAGTATCCCGTTGCATGAGGATTCTCAACTGTACCCTGGGCACTCGTATATGAGGACGTGGAATGGCAATAATTTTCGCAAGTAGATGTTCCATGAATATTTGCACCCGCATCAAGGAGCCGAGTCACCACTGTCGCGTCGGTTGAAGGTGTCCATGCCGGTGTGATATCACTTCCAAGAAGCTGTGGCACTCCGGCCACAGCAATTACATCCTTCAAGCTGACGGATTTACCCGCCATAACGCCGCCTTGTGGATTTCCCCTGATGAGGAACTTATGCGACCATGCCTGTCCAAAAGCCTGCTCTTCTTCGCCGCACCGACGGACATTTTCACGCGGATATTTCGCCGTGTCTGACACTGGCTGATAGTCGGGTAACGCAGCTACGTCCTCTGCGCAATCGTGGACCGCTGCCAGCAGGGTCTGGAAATCGCTCGACTCCTTAGGATCAATGGTCAGACCGAAAGGCTGAATCAGAGCTTCAGCATCGCCGGGTTTAACAGGATTACCCCTGGACTGGTGGTTAGTGAATCTGCCATGTAAATCACGTCACCGACGTTGGGTTTCCTACTCACTCGGAGATACTTGTAAAAAGGACCGACATGCTGGAATGTAGCAAAAGGTGCGCGACTACTTTGACGATCGCGTCGCTGGGGAGTTGAGGATTTTATGAAAGTGCATCATGCCACAATTTCTTGAAACTCATCGGCAATCCCCGAGTCAAGATCCATCCATTTGGAGACCCATCTTTGCCGACGAGCCCATCAATGTCGTGAAAAAAAAGAAACCATTTACTCGACTCCAACTCGACCCCGACTCCCTAGACCCACCGCAGGCCTCCATATATCTCGGAGCGAGGTAAGAGAGACGAGAAATCAGGATAGCATGTGTTTGAGGGTTGATAGCGAGGATGAGATTACACATTTTCTTGACAAAAAGGTCGGTTCGTTTCGGATGGCGATCGATGATATTGGCGACTCCGACGGCCCCAACGCTCCGAGAGGGGCTGGTCTTCCCCGCATTCAAAAAGCGTTCAACTTTTGTAACACAACATTAAACACGTACAAAAGCCCCGCGCGTCACTCAATCCCACTCTCAGCTACTTCATTGCCAATTAATCAGACACAATGGGTCCTAAACGCGTTCTCATCACATATGGCGTCGACGTCGACGCTGTCGCCGGGTGGCTCGGCTCGTATGGCGGCGAAGACTCGACGAACGATATTAGCCGGGGTGAGTTCGAGCCGATACAAGCTGTGCGCGCTGCTGCTAACCTTCATTTTACTAGGTGTCTGGGCAGGAACAGTCGGAACTCGGCGTCTCCTCAAGCTATTCGACAAGTACGATATCAAGACGACATGGTTTATCCCCGGCCACTCGTTGGAAACCTTCCCCGAAGACATGGCAGCGGTTCGCGATGCTGGTCACGAAATCGGACTTCATGGATATTCACACGAAAACCCGACTGATATGAGCATTGAGCAACAACGTGATGTTTTGGATAAGACCTACCGGATGCTCACCGAGTTTGCGGGTAAACCGCCGCGGGGTAGCGTGGCACCTTGGTATGTTGTTAATAACTCAGAAACCCGTCATTATAACTGTTAATTTATTCCTCGATTAGGTGGGAGACAAGTCAGGAAGGTGCTCAGTTACTTCTGGACTATGGCATCGAGTACGATCACAGTATGAGTCATGAGGACTGTCACGCATACTATCTGCGCACCGGCGACACGTGGACGAACATCGACTATAGTAAGAAGGCAGAGACTTGGATGAAGCCTTTGGAGCATGGACCACAGACGGGACTAGTTGAGATTCCTTCGAACTGGTACATTGACGACCTGCCTCCTATGATGTTCATCAAGAAAGCGCCAAACAGCCACGGGTTCGTCAACCCGCGAGATGTGGAGGATATCTGGCGCGACCATTTCGATTACTTCTACCGCGAGTATGACGAGTTTATCTTTCCCATTACCATTCATCCGGATGTGTCTGGGCGACCACATGTGCTGTTGATGCACGAGCGGTACGTCTGCTGTATCTTCTGTTGAACTTGGACAAAGCTAATGTGGAATAGTCTGATTGAGCACTTCAAGAAACACGACGGGGTGGAGTTCGTGACAATGGAGCAGATATGCGATGACTTCAAGAAGAAGAACGCAGTTCCTGAAGGAGCACTCATGCCGGCTCCAGTCGGAGCGATGTTAAAGAAGTAAATAGATCAAAATCAGAGTTCACCTTGTACCAAGCACCTACTAGTATGCAGTAACAGCAAATATCGGTAGCTACTAGTACCTAGTACTAGTATTCACGAGTTGTCGTTTGACACAAGAAATCCCAGGCATGTATTGTCGGTTGTAATGTCTCCATAAGATCTTACTATAGGTGCTTTCGTACTACTAGTAGATACCCCTTTCTGGTTGTGCCCGATCATACGAATACTATTATATTACCTACTTCACCTATACGCAAATCATTATAATAGTTAAATATTTTGAATGAACCCTGGGAAGAGTCCCCAGACCCCAATTCTTGCTCCTATACTTTGCCAATGTGATGGATCATGGGTACTGTGAAGCCTGATAACTAGTACCCCAACTCATCTTGTCTGACCCCAACTTGAACATTCCTGGCCTTCTCCAACTCGCGCCGGTTTCATCACGTTTTGCCCTGCCCAGCCACATTAATTCCATTCGCCACTCACTCATCGTTATCGTATGTGTATACTCCCAGGAGCTTCTCTTGGCATTGATTGGCCCAAGATGTTTACTCCAACTACTAGCCCCGTTTAGAGCTTCGACCGGACTCGACCCCAACGACCCCTAAGCTTGCGGCCCACGCCTCCCATGGCGAAATCCACTCAACCCATCGCATCCTCGTGGTTATCAGACAGCTGGAATTCGCGGGGAAAGCATACAGTGGAGCAAAGTCCCACTTTCTCCATTTCTTGCCATTGTTATCTCGCTCTTCAGACCAGCCCCAGCAAAGCCTAAGTTCTGACGCCTATCGCAAACGGGAAATGAACGAGGTCACGCCGGGAAAAACCCGGGTCGTGAGATAAGTTCTGATCTTCTGGGTCGTGGTTTTACTATATATCCCCTCTCAAGGCTGTCATTGCCTGCAAGCTTGACTTTCTCTGTTTCGAGTTTTGATCACATCTTTTCTACAGTATACCTAGGTTGTGCCCAGGTTGCAGCTAAACATCGTTCCGAGCTCCGATCCTCAACATGTCCTCTCAGGACGAGATCAAGGTGGCTCCTCATGACTCCCACTCCCCTGATACACAAACGGCCGAGATGGAAGACCGCTATGAAGTCTTCAAAAAAGGCGATGGCCAAGTTGATTTCCGCACTGTGAGCTGGATCCGCGCCGGTGTGATTTTCTTGAAGAGTAAGGGGCTCCCAAAATACCGAATCCAGATCAACACGAATTGTCCAGTCCGCTGACCAGCGCCATTTTGGCACTCTATCTAGTCATCTTCGCCACTGGTGTACTCTCAATTCCATCGCTGATGTATGAACTCGGCGCGTTTCCCGGCGCCGTCAATGTCATCGGTTGGACCCTTCTCAACACCTATTGTGCCATCGTGCAGGGCAATTTTCGCAACAAATATCCGGGTTGTCACTCCATTGCCGACATGGCGCAGGTCGTTGGTGGTCCGATCTTGAAAGAAGTGGTCGGGGTTTTGTTCACCATCAGTTATGTCATTGTGGCTGCGTCCGGGATTATCGGCGTCTCGACGGCCCTGAATGCACTGTCACTGCACTCCATGTGTACAGTATGGTTCTCATTGATTGCGACGATCATCATTGCTGGATGTGCGAGTGTGCGTAAATTCTCCCACATCGGCTGGTTGACCTGGGTTGGATTTGCCAGTGTCTATATCGCTGTCTTCATCATTGTGTATGTCTTCCCAAACCCCAACACCCCCTTTCTCGCTGATATGCTGACCCTATTATACTAGAATCGGCGTCACAGTAAGAGATCGGCCGGCTGCAGCGCCACAAATAGGAGATTTCGATCTGGGATACCGTGCAATTGGCAATCCCAGCTTCACCGTGGGCATCACAGCTGCAGCTACGATATTCGTGTCGAGTGCTGCAACATCAGCATTTCTCCCCGTGATCTCTGAAATGCGCAAGCCCAAGGACTACCCGAAGGCAGTTTATATGAGCATGAGCCTGGTCACCGCTTCATACCTGACCTTTAGCCTGGTGATCTACGCCTGGTGTGGCAAGTGGATTGCATCACCATCGCTCGGCAGTGCAGGAGAAACAGTCAAACGCGTTGCCTATGGAATTGCACTGCCCGGTCTCATAATCAGCGGGTGTTTGTATGTGCACGTTGCGGCAAAGTATCTGTTTGTACGGATCCTGCGTGACTCGCGACACCTTCAATCGAATACGATGGTGCACTGGGGGACATGGCTGAGCTGTACGCTGGGCATGGCAGCAATCTCATTCGTCTTGGCCTGTGCGATTCCCATCTTCAACTATGTACTGGCGTTGGTGGGCAGTCTGTGTTTTGCGCCCCTGGCTATAAGTCTTCCTGGTTGGCTGTGGTTGTATGGTCATGGGGAGTATCTGAAGGGTGGGGTGTGGCGACAAATGATATATGGTCTACACATATTGTTGGTGTTGCTGGGAGTATTTATGACGGTGGGCGGGACTTATGGGGTGATTGTTCAGATTAACGAGGCATATGTGGATGGATCAATTTCGTCGGCATTCTCTTGTGCCGATAATAGTGGGTCAGTGGGGACATAAAACATAAAATATTGTATCAGAGGTCTGTACCCAGTTTTGATTGGAAAAAACTGGGTCTGAGAATAATGCACAATGCAAAAGATGTACATATATCAGTTGTGCGAATAATTATGTTAACCCTTCACAGAGTAGAGTGAAGGTAGCTATAGTATCTGGTATCCTATTCAGGTGTGTATTGTGTATTGTGTATTGCGGTACCATGGTATAGTGAATGTGAGCGTTGCTAGTACTACTGGTATCCCGTACACTAAGACGAGGGAAGGACATTTTCGCGCCTAAAATGATTCGCATTCGGAAACATACCAGTCCAAAGTGGAGCCATCTGAGCTAGACCTTGGGCACTTCTCTTACTTAGTGTACTATGTACTATGTACTAGATTAGCATCCGCCGAGCTCCGGTGCTGCGAAGCGGGTTTAACGGGCTCCGTCCTGCCGAATCCGAGACGGGCATTGCCTTATCGGTTTCTGTTTCGTTTCGTTCTGGTAAGCTTCTCTTTTATGCCTCCATTCTTCTTCCCCCTCTTTCACCTTTCCCCTCTTCCCCTCTCACTCTCTCACACTCTCACATCTCAATTTCTGACTCTACTCTACTCCCCTTGAATCATAAGTGATGCGACAATAGTGCTGACCAGAGACCCTACCTACGAATTGAGCCCGATCTTATCAGCACTCCGTTATCAGTGCCAATCTCCACTCGCACACACATCCCATCACCTTACCCTAGGGTACACTTCGACTACACGATACCTCGACCATGCGTCTCATTCAACTCCCACTCGTGCTGCTTCTCAGTAGCTTCGTCTCAGCTGCAGCGATCCCCTCCTCCCCGCACAGCGTCGTCACACCAGAATGGTCATCCCCGGAGACCGCCTCCTCTCCATCATTAGATGACGCCAACTCCGGGCACCTTGCCAAACGAAGACCCTATTACTTCCCTGAGACCGTCCCAGATGAAGAAGAAATCGCTGCCCGACTCTCCGCTCTTCGTGAGGCTGGCTACCTGCCAGACACGCAAACCCTGCAAGGACATGATCAAAAGTCAATCGGAACTCCGGATGCAGCGATCGACATGGACCCGAGTAGTGCACGGCCATCACCCACTCAGGAGCCCCCCCTCCGCGCTATCCGAACGAGACACTCCACGCTTCAGCTGGGCAGATACCATTCCTGGTCTATTTCCAGCCGCCTGGTTCTTTGTCTTCGCCTCCGTTGTTGTCTGTATCGTGACTGTGATCAGGGGACTAAACGATAAAGGAAAACACTGAGCGACTAGCCTAAATCGCGCAATACTGAGACCCCCCCTGTTCGCGAGGGAGGCGATCTTTGTACGCAGCGCCATTCACTTTGACATTCCCGCCAATCCTACCTTACGACCGAAGGTATTTTGATTTTGCGATCGACACAATACGCTCCCACCCACTCGGTCTGGTCAAATGTGCACGCGATCATGATGTTTGTGATGTCTGATCTTATGCTGGAATCATTATTTCTACCACTATTACACTCACACTCACCACTCACATTCACTACTCACCACCAAACCCCTCCCCGCATGAGTTACCGACCGAAACGAAACGCCCACAGAACGCCACGAAGCCCCTCCCTCCCCAACCACGCGTCCATGCCGCACGCATGGCTCCCCTCTTGAGGCAAAACCTATGCACCGCCAAAAAAAAATAGGCTGTCACACCCAAGACAAGACCAAGACCGCCCACCGCTAGTCTAGTTCCGACTCGGCGGATTATCCAAGAAAGAAAGAAGAAAAAAACACCGACCGCCGACCAGGCCACCAACCACCGACAGAGACAGTCTAGGTCTGCGGGTGAATCTTTCGTTCCCCACCGACTCTGCCACTGCGCAGCGCGCCTGGAACTGGGTGGCTGGGCGAAAGCAGCCGGCAGTCTCGGATCTCGCACTCGTACTCGGGAAGGATCCTATGCGAGTTCACTCGGCAATTTACATATTTATGCCAAATTGCGCGTATGGAATGAAAACACGGTCGCCACATGACCATCTGAAATCATTATTGGTTTTTTTTACTTCTCTCCAAAATCAAAACCCGACCGCAATGAATAAGAGCCGAATCAAATGTCCCCCCTGATCTGTTCTCGGCGGACAAGCGCCATGGCGGGTACTTGGCCGCTGGTCTCCTATTCGACTAGCCCGCGATCCACGTGCCCGATTGGTGAAACCGAATCTTGAAATTGCGACCATGACGATGATGTTCGACTGGGACGGATCCTCGTGCGCAATTGGAGCAACTTGCAGTACGAACTTGCCAATAGAGTGACTGATCCTGTTATCAGGAGTTCATTCGTCGCCATTTTAAGTCTCTGCCTAAAGTGCTCGGCTTATGCTTACGCGCCGTCGGGCTGAGGTGAACCGAACTGGAGGGCCTGGAGCTCATATGAGGGTCTACATCCAATCCACGAGTTATTGGATACGACTGGTGGCGGGGGGATATTTTTTAGGAAACGACTTACGTTATGATTTGATTATTGGAATACGTTCTTAGGCGAACTTGAAAGCATTGAATTGAAATGAAACTATTCTCCATTTGTCTATCTTCTCTACCGACACACGTATGTGTGTCCTCTTCTCATCTCTCATCTCCTACCTACCTAGCTGGACTCAACATGAGCCCAGCGGAGGAGGTCAGTTTTAGTGCATTCAATATCAAAAACGAAATAAAAGGAACGGGAAATGAAAGGACAGGAAGAATAGTGCACTAGATGATTCACGGATACCCATGACGCCATGAAGAAAGGAAAGTCGAGTAAAGAAATGGCCAAGAAAACTTTGGAAGATAAAGGCCGTAGAGTAAAAAAAGACACGAGGACCACCCAGACAAGTAAGGAAAATAGATACACACAAATACTGCCAAAACCTTCTTTTCTGCAGGCTCCCATCATCCTCCGAGGGGAAAATCGGAGAGAGGAGAGGAGGCAGTGTAAAGTCAAATGGACAGAAGTAGAAAATGCAAAGGATAGATAGAATATATACGGTGCGGATTAATGAGGAGTTTTTATGCATAACGTAACAAAAATGGAAACGATCTCAGGAGTCGTCGACCAGGCGCTTCTGCGTCCAGGCACGCTTCGCTCCGTCAAGGAGAACGTCCATATTACCGCTGTTCTCGCACATGCCCCGGAACAAGCCACCTTCGCGGTTGATCAGGTCCCAGGGGTGCTCGAATTCGATGACGCGCCCGTGGTCGAGGACCAGGACCTTGTCGTAGTCGATAATGGTCTGCAGGCGGTGCGCAATCGTGATGATTGTGCTATTGTGCAGTTCGCGCAGGGTCTCCTGGATCTTGGCATCGGTGGCGTAGTCGATGGAGGCGGTGGCTTCGTCCATCATTAGGACACGGGGTTGTTTGAGCAGGGCGCGTGCGAGACAAAGGAGTTGGCGTTGACCTTGTGAGAGGTTGGAGCCGGATTCTGAAACAAGGCTGTCGAGGTTGTGGAAGACATTCTTGTTGTCGGTGGTTACGGTTGTGACTGCTGCCGTATTGCCATTCATGGCGTTGGCTTCGGTGGCGGTGAATGTACTGGAGGTCATTGGGGTTGCGGTGCCCGAACCGTCGGATCCGATTAGGTGCACGCGGCGGATGGCAGTGAAGATCTCCTCGTCACTGAAGAGGCCGAAGGGGTCGAGGTTGCTGCGAATGGTGCCGGTGAATAGAGTCGGGTCCTGAGGCACAATGGTGATTGCTTCACGTAGATCGCGAAGACCAATAGAACCAATATCCACGCCGTCGATCAAAATTTGACCCTTCTCGGCTTCCAAGCCACGGAAAAGTGCCAATGCCAGGGAGCTCTTGCCAGCACCTGTACGACCAACGATACCGACCTTCTCGCCGGGCTTCACAGAGAATGACACCTCCTTGAGTACAGCATCGAGGTCAGGACGATAGCGGGTGGTGTATCCCTTGAACTCAACAGCACCTTCAGTAGGCCAGCCAGTTGTAGGACGAGACTCGGGGATGACAGGAGCAGCCTCCTGATCGACATCTAGATACTCACGCACGCGCTCAACCGAGTTCATGTTTTGCTGAACCTCGGAGTAGAGGCGGACCAGCCAAAGGACATTTTCCGTGAATGTAACAGCGTAGGTGAGAGACAGACCAGCAGCACCGGCATCGATCTTACCAACGTTGATCAAGACGAATGTAGCAGAGAAGAAGGAAACGAGAGCACCGGTCCAATCCACACGAAGCGCGAGCCAGCGGTTACTGGCCCAGAGGTAGATGTGAGGTCGGTTATAGGCGTTGATGCGGCGATGGTTGTCAATGATGAAACGAGGGCCGTCGCCATAGGCGCGGATAGTAACGATACCATTGAGGGTCTCGCCGAACTGTTGGTACAATGGGCTGCGCTGGACGGATTCCAGACGCTTGAGATCCCGGGACGAGTTCAGGTAGATGGCGCCAAGAGCGGCGTATACTAGCGTAATGAAAACACCGGCAATCAGGAATCCTGGGGTAATGCAAGAAATCAAAATCACGATCATAATGACCGATGCCAGACTGTGGAGCATTCCGATTGCCACTGGCGCGACCTCCTGATCGACTGACTCAACATCCTTGGAGAATCGATTCATAAGCTGGCCGAGGGGTGTAGAATCAAAGAAGCGGAACTTGGCGTGCATAACAGTTTTGAGGAGTCGATCGTGAATCTTCCAGGATGCGTGGAGAGAGCCCCAGAATAGAACTGCCTCTCGGCTCAGGGAGATTCCGATATACAAGAAGCCAAGTAGAGCATATACCCCAAGGTAGTAAAGAACGTCGACCTCGCCGTCGGGTGTGGTGCCCGAGGCGCGAGTGCTCAGTTGAGGCGGCCCGAAAGTGCTCATTTTAGAAACACTTCCAACGTTGAAAGATGGGGGCTTGAGGTGAGCGGCGGCGGCGTACTGTCCCACGTCCTCAGAACCGACATTAGATGTTTGATACGCATTGGCCCACTGACGAATCCAAATATTGGTCGAGACTGAGCCCAGCTGCTGGAGACAGAAGACAGTGATCGCAAGAACCCAGTATGGCCACGAGCCCATTGATCCAAGGTACATTGTAACAGTAGACATCTTGATGCTACCAGTCGCTTTACCTTCTTTCAGAGGGGAGTCATCTTTCTTGCCCTTGTCAGCTGTTCCATTGGCATTTCCGTTCGCACCAGAGTCTGTCGAGTCCTCCTCATGTTCCGATGGAACACGAGAGAGGCCACGCGAGCTTGCTCGGGATCCAGGGCGAGACTTTAAGAATTCATCACCCAGGGCACCGGTAGCAGCAACATCATCAGGGCGGCCTTGCGAGGAAATCTTTCCATTTTCGAGAACAACGACGTGGTCAGCTTGAGGTACCGCCAGAGCCACATTGTGAGTAACCAGGATGCATGTGCGGTTAAGCATCAATGGGCCTGTCAGGGCCTGACGGAAAATGTGCTTGGCAGTGTGAGAGTCAACGGCAGAAAGGCAGTCATCCAACAGCAAGTGAGCGGCACTGCTGTAGATAGCGCGAGCCAGGGAAATTCTCTGCTTCTGGCCGCCAGAAAGACTAATGCCCTTCTCGCCGACCAATGTTTGGTCACCAGCATCAAGGATACTGATATCACGCTCCAGGGCGCAGGCCTTGAGAACGGCACGATAACGCTTCTCGTCGTAAGGGGTTGCAAACACAATGTTCTCTTTGACAGTGTCATTGACCAACCAAGCTTCCTGGGCGCAATACGCAATGCTATCAATCAGACCAGTCTCGGGATCGACAGGAAGCTCAGAGCGGTTCGACATGCCACCGGGGAGATGAACCCGGCCTTCAATGAGCCGCATTTCACCAAGCATGGCCATAAGTAGAGAGGTCTTTCCAGAGCCAGTGGGGCCAGCGATAATACTGAGCTTTCCGATAGGGAAATCAACGTCAACATTGATGAGTCGAAATGCATCAGCGTCTGGGGAAGTGGTGCTTTCAGACTTGGGCTTAGTAGTGCCCCAGGTCAGGGTCGCTTTCTCGACTCCAATCTTTGTCGGCCCGTCAGCAGAAGTGCTATCACGCAATTGATCGTATTTTCCAGTCTCTTCTTCATTCAAGTACTTGTCCACACGGTCCAAGGAGACCTTTGATTCCTGTACGTGAGCAACCATGTCTGCCAATTGATCCAAAGGAACGCGAAGCAATGAGAACATGGAAAGCGCAGGGAAAGCAATCGAGGGTGTCAATTGTTTCTTCTCAACGACAGTATATAAGAAGAACGAGAGGAATGTGATCAGGATCGGTGTGCCGTACCAAACAGTCGCGGCGCAGGACCAGAGGATATAACGGCGACGCAAAGACTTAAGCTCAGCCTTGCGCTTCTCATTGACGATATCCTGGAATCTTTGCTCCCACGCAAAGTATTTGATAATGCGGATATTCTGCAGAACCTCGTTGGTAGCATGAATACGAGCATCGGTGCCTTTGAGAATCATGTTTTGAACCTTGTTAAACTGCCGGGCAATGAAGAGATTGACGGGTAGCATCAAAACCATCAGCACGATACCGGCGAACGAGCTGAATCCCATGATCTTGTAAAGCAGAGTGACGGCCATGATGATCTGCACCGGAACACTAGCCCACAAGAAATGTAAGTAGGCGCCAACCTCACTAACTTTGAAGGAATCAATTGCCATCAAGTTAATGATGGTACCGACATTCGCCTGGGTTACATCCTCCTCCACATCGGGTTTCGCATTTGCGCCAGATTCGGCATCATGGCCAGATGCGTTCTTCTTCTTACGACCGAAAGATAGCAGACCCTTCTTTTTCTTGCTTGGTGCCGTGTCCTTGGACCCAGTTGGGTCTTCGATAGTCTTTTTCACGGCATCCATGGAGGCACCTGCTTTGCGGCGCAGAGCTTTGGCGTAAATCTCACCAATAATGATCGCGCGAATCTTGACACCCATCTTGCGACCAATGTAGAGAGCTTGTCCATCCGCCACACCCTGAACGATCGCGGAACAAAAGAGGAGGATGGCGTACAGCCAGGCGGCATTGGGAGTGGCCGAGCGAGGATCTTCAACATATTCGAGAATAGCTTTCAACAGCAGACTCGGCACAAACACGAACAGATTAGCAAACACAGTCCAGGCACCCTGTTTCAGAATGGTGCCGATGAAGAACCGGATGAGCTTCCATGCCAGAGAGCCCGTCATCTGTCGTTTCCGGAATTCGCTGATGACCGAGGCGGCCTTTTGAGAGGGTGTCAAATTCCAGACATCCTCCATCTCCAAAGGTTGTCGGTATCCCTTCAAAACCAACGGATCCAACCATGCAAAAGTCGCCAGAGACAGCAGACTGGCCATAGGGTGACGTGGAGGCTCCAATCCATCCTCGCGCTCCACCACAACTGGTTTGTTTCCTCGGCGAGTGGTGAGGGCGATGATGAAAAGTAGAGTGGTGAGGGAGAATTGGATGCTGCTGAGAATCAAAGCATTTCGGGAAATCGGGTGGATGACGGCGGAACGGAAGACCATGATGTTAAAAAGCCATTGAGCACTGTACAGAATAGCCGTATGAGTCCACAGTCGCGGGGCCGAGAAGAGGTCCATGGTGGACAGCAACAATCGGACCAAGACCAAAAACAGTATATAGCCCCAGGAAACCAGACCCGCAATGGCGGGGATAGTGCCATGGCGACCCCAGGCTTGGGTAGAAAAGATGACCACGTAGAGAGCGATTTGACCGATCAGTGCAGCGATTTCGAGTGTGACGATGGTAATTTCTCCTCTCGGGCGGTCAACCTCCAGCTGTAGGTGTTCGGTCTCTGTCTGGACAGCCTGGAAGAGCATCGGATCGGACTCGGTTTCGCCGCCATTGAGGACTTCGCCGGCATCATCATTGACGAGAACTTTATAGGCGACACCTTTGTGAGCGACGATATAACGATATGCGAGGCGGACGAGAACGAGAAGCAAGGACAGACTGCATGCCGCTAGCGGGAGCGAGACTTGCAGAACACTATCAGATTTTGACGATCAGTACTTCAACGGTCGCCAACGGTCGCCAACGGTCGGAGGGACTCCGGGAATTCCGATCAGAAAAGAGCTGCCTAGTACTCACTTGCGTTGAAAGCATCGCGACAAGTCGTCGATAGCCCAAACGGGGCCTTCACATTTTGATAGCATGGTTTGCGGGATGCAATGCCGACAATTGAGCAATTGAGCTCACGAGAGAAGCTCCCGGCGCAGACACGGACAGGCAATGGGCCGTTTTCCTCGCGGTGGTTAATATACACGATTTTGAAAAAACGCTATGAGAGAGGGGGAGATGGAGAAGGAAAAAAAAGAGCTTGAGGTTCCCTCCCCTAGTAGGTTAACAACAAACGTCTGGGGTGCAGAACAAGGCTGGCATTGCCAAGTCGAACGGAAGCGGAAAGCGGTTTTTTTTTTTTTGGAGGGAAGAGTGATGAGGGAGAGCAAGACTCTGGGTTTAGAGTGGGTTGTAATGATATTGAGTAATGAAAGCGAAGGCGGGGCAGTAGGATGCAGGACGAGAACCCCGACAAGTACTAAGTAAAGAAAGAGGGGGAAGGAAGAAGATACGATGGAAGCGAAGGGATTGCAGATTGCGCGCGCACGTTCCTAAAGCGGCGGTGGACGGGTTCGCCCGCACAGCGTGACTGCACGTAGTATCGTAGTAGTATACTAGTATACTATGTATAATACTAGGTATAATACTATAATTATATCTCTATAGTATAGTATAGTATAGTTTACTATTAGTTATTACATTATACTGTACTACACTCTTATACAATGTGATTGTTCAAACATCTCTCCTATACTCCGTACTGACGATAGACGCGGATGACTCGATGCAGCGATGATCGCTGCTTATCGTGGAAGTTCCCCACTGTTATCGGCCAGGCACTGGAGATGAGAGTCCATTAGTACGGAGTACCCTCTGCTCTGCTGATGGCATGGTCATGGGTATGAGACCTACCTAGACCTACTACTAGTTTACATACTAGTCACTCGCCTATTGCCTATGACTCTCATTTAACCTATCTTGTACTTCGTAGTAATTTGCCGACGACCGATTAGGCATCAAAATCTCTTCGGCGCCACGGGATTGGGATTGGGATTTCCTTTTTCTCTCGCCACCACTGACTAAACCGTGTTGTGGTCCCCCCCCCGACATCATCGGTGATCCACCTCTCTCTCTCCCTCCCCTTTGTCCTACCTCCAAATACCCTTCACACTCTCCAGAAACGCTCGTTCACTTCAAGGCTTGTCACTTGGTGTCGCCTCACAACTCATCATGGCTGAACGCATCCTCATGAACGAGTTTCGCACCCTTTCCAAGGAGAAATGGGTCAATATCGAGGTTGGTTCCACATTCCCCCCCCAATCCTCCCCATCTCCCGGAGTTCATATAGATCAACGGACTGTAGTTTCTTGGCCACGAGATCCAAAACCAGACCAGGGACACCGACATGGAATTTAACTAACCACCATATCATCCAGCTACACCACGAAAATATCTTCAAGTGGGATGTCGCACTGATCGTACTGAACCAAGACTCTCTGTACCATGGCGGCTATCTCAAGGCCTCGATGACCTTCCCACAGAACTACCCATACTCCCCTCCAGGTACGTCTGACAGCACCTCCCTCTAAGCTCTTTCCCATTCTGCATCTGGTGTGACAGTGGCGCTAACGCGTGCGTGATATTTTCCCTGCAGAATTTCGTTTCCTAGTACCGCTCTACCACCCAAACATATACGCGGACGGGCGGCTCTGCATTTCCATCCTGCATCCCCCAGGCGAAGACGAAATGTCCGGTGAACTGGCCGCTGAGCGCTGGTCACCCGCCCAACGAGTAGAATCCGTGCTCATCTCCATCCTCTCCCTCCTCGACGACGCCGAAGTCTCCTCCCCGCGAATGTCGACGCTGCAGTCATGCTGCGCAAGAACCCGACCAAGTACCACGCTACCGTCAAGGCCAACGTAGACGGATCCCGAAAGCTGGCCCCTCCCGGTTTCACGATGCCCGTGGAAGAAGCCCCATCGCGTGACGTGGAAAAGGACGACGACGATTTCTGGATGGATAGCGATGTTGACAGCGATCCTTTCGGCGGCAGTGACTCGGACGAGGATATGGATCAAATAAGTGCCAGTGAAGACGATGATGACGACGATGATGATGACAGCGAAGATGCGGCCGAAAGTCACCAGCGGTGAGCGTAGGATTTCTAGTCCTAGCGAGTCCGGGCCTGGTCGACGCATTCTCAACTTCGGCCTTTTCAGCATGCATAGCACTGGTGGCGTACGCATTTCCGGGATGTGGCATTTTTATCCGGAGCATTGGTTATTTTGTAGGAGTTATTTTTTCCCCAAATTTTTTTGCAGCAATTCGGGCGTTTTAGATTAGGTACTTGCTATGAGGAGGATAATCCCATTCTATGTGGATAGTGACATACATGGTCATTCTTGCAACTTGATCGAATCAAGTCAGACAATCATACCATTTCATGGTCAGATAATACCCCCCCCTAATACAACTTGAATTTCCGTACAACACAAGCTTCTCCATAACTACGCGCCTCCCGAAGGATCACCCCACAATAGACCCCATTAGACCCCCATCGCGGTTCTGAAGCTCCTATATCGGAGTCAGCCCGCCCCAACCTCCAGTGTCAACCCCAAACAACCCCGCATATCCAAAGAGTACGAGCTACCAACGAAAATTATTACGAAAATGGCAACCCAAAAACTCGCCGACTGGTCCACAAACCTCACCTTCGCCTCCCTCCCCAGAGAAGTCATCGATGCCGCCATCCAAGGCTTCTACAACTGGGCCGGCTGCACCGTAGGCGGGAGCGCCCACCCCGCAACAGCAATAGCACGCACCGCGCTGGCACGTTTCACAGGCGCACCAACGTCCAGACTCCTCGGTTCTGGCGGTGTGGATCTGGATGCCATGCATGCTGCACTGTTGAATGGTATTGCGTCGCATGTTCATGATTACGACGATACGCATTTGGATACGATTATTCACCCCACCGGCCCAGTTGCCTCGGCTTTGCTGGCTATGGCGGAGTCGCTGGATCGGTCTGTCTCGGGTCAGGAATTCATTCTTGCTTTGGTTGTTGGTGTTGAGGCGGAGTGTAAGGTTGGACTGGCTGTTTGGCCTAATCATTATGATGTTGGGTGGTAAGTACTACACCTGTGTGGTGCGGATATACCGAACTTGAGCTTGAACCCTCTAGCACCTGAGTGCGCAATCATCGGGCATGATCACGATACCGCGACATAATCCCAAGCCAGGACTTTCTTAATAACAAGTTTAATAATAGGCATATCACCAGTTCGACCGGCTCAATCGGCGCCGCAGTAGCCGTGTCCAAACTACTGAGCCTCTCAGCACAACAGACCGCACACGCGATCGGTCTCGCAGCAACACAAGTAACAGGATTACGCGAGATGTTCGGCTCGCACACGAAATCCTTCCACCCAGGCCGCGCCGCGCAGAACGGCTTACTAGCAGCGATCCTCGCATCAGAAGGCTACACTAGCTCAACACAAGCGCTAGAAGCAAAGCGCGGCTGGGCAAATGTGGTTAGTTCCGAGCATCATCTTGATGAACAGATGGCTACGCTCCCACCTGATGGACGGTGGGAAATAGCGCGGAACTCTTTCAAGCCGTTCCCCTGTGGCATTGTGGTGCATCCTGTTATTGACGGGAGTATATTTCTTCATGGGCAGTTGGGGCCGAATGGGATTCGGATTGAGGAGATTAGGGAGGTGGAGGTTGTTGTTTATCCGTTGGTTCTGGAATTAACGGGGAAGACGGCACCGAAGGATGGGTTGGAGGCGAAGTTTAGTGTTTATCATGGGGCTGCTGTGGGGATTTTGTTTGGCAAGGCTACGCCGGCGCAGTATGAGGATGCGGTTGTTAATGATGAGCGAGTTGTTGGGTTGAGGGGGCGGGTTCGAGCGACGGTGGATGAGAACTTACGACCTGATGAGGCGTTTGTGATTATTCGGGTTCCAAATGGTGGGGAGGGGGATGATGATTCTGTTACTGAGACTCATATTGACCATGCTGTGGGAAGTCGGGAACGGCCTATGTCTGTTTCTCAGCTAACGGACAAGTTTGTGGACCAGTGTGTTCCGGTTTTGGGCCAAGAGCGGACTCAGCAAGCAAGCCAGTGGTGCTGGGAGTTGGAGAAACAGATTGATGTGCGCCAGATTAAGACTGTACTCTAGATTTTCCTACATTAACTCCCTGCTTGGGGGAGAACATACCACATAGTATACATATACGGTGCCCATGTGGCTTTCTATGATGAGGTTCAAATAGGTCCACGGATTCTAGATTGAGTTGCAATGTATGTAGTTGTGGTCAAGTATACTACGGATAGCGATGAAAAGAACGATAGCAAAGCGACAGTCTGAGTACGAAAGTTTGGGAGAGAACCCTCTTAGGAGTCGACCGAAAAAAAAAAGCAGATAAAAACCAGGTAAAATGTGATCTGCGCCAGTGGTAAACCAACCATCCAAAATGCCCATTATGAAGGGAGCTCGTCTCAGACGAGTCCAATTCGTCTACTCTAAGCGGCAACAGCGCCCTTGATCTCGCTGTAGATCGCACCAAGTTCCTTGTGCATGATCTCCTCAGCATGGTTGACAAGGTCGTGGACACGCTCCTCGAAATCCTGCACGGTGGAACCGGCCTTGTAGCCACCCTGAGCGATAATCTCGGTGTAGTTGGAGTTACCACCACCGTTCCAGGCGAGGAGCTGTATGTAGTTAGTATTTGATGGCAATCGAAATTTATTCTAGGCAGAGAACTTACGTTGGGGGTGTCGGAGGGAATGTCAGACAGAGCACCAGAGGTGGCAACCTCAATGAGAGCATCCTTCAGCTTCTTGGGAGTGATCTTCTCAACAGCGAAGGCAGAGTCATCGGCGGGCTGGAGGGAGACGTAGTAGGCCAGCAGACCGGCAATGTGGGGGGAGGCCATGGAGGTACCCGAGATGGTGTTGACGGCGTACTTGCTGCCGATCCAGGTAGACAGGATGTTCAGGCCAGGAGCAAAGATGTCAGTGCACTTTCCGAAGTTGGAGAAGTAAGCACGCTCATCAGCGAGAGTGGAGGCTCCGACGGTAACGGCCTTCTGAGCAGCGGCAGGGGAGTAGTTGCAAGCATCAGCATTGTCATTGCCAGCAGCGACGGCGAAGTGGATACCAGCATCGACGGCGGCATTGACAGCAAGGTCCAGAGTGCGGGAGCTACCGCCACCCAAACTCATGTTGGCAACGCTACCCTTGAAGCCCTTCTTGCCAGACTTGGCCTTCTTGATGTGAGCCTCGGCAGCCCACTCGACACCCTTGACGACGTCGGACATAGTGCCAGAGCCGTTAGAGCGGAGGACCTTGACGGCGTAGACGTTGGCCTTCTTGGCAACACCGTGCTTCTTACCGGCGATAGTGCCAGAGCAATGAGTACCGTGACCATTTCCATCCTCATCAGCATCGCCCTCGGGGATAGTCTTGCCCCAGTTGGCACGACCTTCAAAGTCAACGTGCGCAGTGTTGGTACCGGTATCGATGACGTACGCATCGACACCCTCACCACCCTCCTCAGCGTACAGGTACTTGTTGAAGCTACCAAAGGAAAGGCTATCACGGTGGGAGATACGTGCAAGACCCCAGGGAGCGTTCTTCTCAACGGAGGGACCCTCAAAGTGGTGGACCTCAGAGTCCTTCTCAATGTATTCGACCTAAGACGGAAGAGGCGGATGAGTCAGTACAGTTCAGAGGCTCGTGATCATCGGGCGGCTGGGGAGCTCAAAGAGCTACTTACATCCGGATGCCGGCGGACCTGCTCAATAACATCTTCGTGGAAATGGCCAGCATAACCCATCAGTGAACCAGCCACATGGAAAGAGTGCTTAACGCCGAGGAAGGCGTCAGTGTCGAAGCCAAAGAGGCCTCGCTTCTTGAGTTCCATACGTCCGTTGGTGGTGGTGTGGATGTCCTGCACCCAGCTGTGATGGGCAGCAGCAGCGGAAGTGTCGACATGCTTCTTAAACACAACAATGTAGGAATCTGGGATTTCCTGGGAGTTCATAGAAGAGATGATGGGAGCAGCTCCATTGTGGATAGACTCCACACCCACGGGGGAGGCCGCTGAGAGCAGCGGCAGCAGTGCCAGACCGAGGAAGCCCTTCATGATGACTGATGGGTTCAACGATAGGGGGAAAAGAGAGTAAAAGATTAATGGATACAAACAGAGATGGGGGACCGATAGTTATAGGAGGAGATGGATGTGGATGGAGAGGTGAGAGAGGAGGTGAAGCCTGGGATGAGGAGATGAGGAGGTCAGGGCCGCCTTATCTAAGGGACCCGGGGCGGAGAAGACCACTGGACCCAACGCTTGCATCATCAACAGCAGAATACAATACAATACGCCGTCCGATGACCATCTATTGGTGCCGATCATGAGTGGAGACCGGGGAAGCAAGTATGTTACCAAATTTACAATACCACCGATCCGGGAGTGGTCTAGTGCCATAGCACATCTGGTACATCCATTGCGTACTCCGCACTGCAGAAGGCATCCGAACTGTTTGTAGCCTGTATCTGGTCTGGTGGCGGTACCCAAAGTAGACAGGGCTGTGCTTATCGACTCTGACTCAATCCCTGCCCCAGATACCTGGAATACAGGATTTCCCTGGACTACTGATCTACTTCACCATGTAAGACAGGGTCTGTTGCTCCCCGGGTACCTGGCAGCTCCAAAGCAATGTCGACCTGTTGCACGGGCAATCTGAATCTCGGCGTGACTCTGAACCCCTCATTCTCCGAAGTCGCGTGCTTACACCCTGATGAGAGATCATCGGGTACTGTGACCTCCGAGACCCCACTCCAGAGCTCTAGCCGCTCTCCCTGCCTCCAAGATTCATTGGATTTGCCCTGTCCACTTATCATCTTATCGTCGGATGAGCGGCGATCCATCCCACCCATCCCTGCCCATCCCATCCGCCCTGTAACGCTCGTTGCGGATACTCCGTCCATTTTTAGTGACGTGGCGTAGATACACTGACACGTGACCTTTTCACCGTCTTGGAGGCAGGAAATACATACTCTTCTACTTTCGAGAGAGATTAAGGTCCTCTGAGGTCATTAGGACAGTCCTGATGGCAGAGGCTCAGTTATCGCACGCGCTTTTGGCCTTGACGAGATGGATGATCAAATCTACGAGTTTGCCTGTCTGGATCTGGGTGAGATCTATCATGCTTTATAGTATGGAGAACTACGGAAACTGGGCAAATGGCACATAGAGGAGGCTCAAGTTGGCGAGCTTACTCATTAGACTTGATTCGAAAGAGCCAAAAGGTCTCTAGTATTACCTAGGTAGTACTAGGAGTACTACTATTGGTAAAGTGTAGATAGCCCGGATTGGAGATCATGATACTACTACTAATAGTACTAGGATGAATACCATACCACTTGGTATCCATGTATCCAACTCAGCTAGATACTCCGTATCCCGAATTCAATTGTTAGAACCAATCGAGTAATTTGCATACTAGTAGGTGCTGGTATAATAGCTCCATTGAGAGAGGGAACAGTGGTAATTTAGTAGAAACATTGGGGGCCTGGTTTGGACATTGTGACCAGACCCGTTTGTGATGCTCCTAAAGTGTGCTTCTGTGCACGGCATTGCTCTCAAGAGGATACGTGAATGAAGTAACGATTTTAAACTTGGGAAATATAACCTGAGGAAAGAGGTCAGACCACCTTGCGCGAATTGCAACTAGTAATACGGACATACGGCCGCAAGCTCGACAACTTCGCCCCAAACCAGTGACCGCCGCGCTCCCCCTCTCCGCCTCTCCCTCCGCCATTCCCTCATCTGGACCCGCTACCACACAACACATACAAATGCAGACCGCCTCAACCGACACGCCAATCCATTCACGGTCTCTGGTGGTCACCCGCCATCGGTCCGGTCGTGGATAAGATTTGGTGATGGCTCCGCCGCCCCTCCCCCCTCCATCCCCGTCTGGTTCGACTGAGCGACTCGCCGAAGAGCTAGCTCCCACTCTCGACCAACTAAAGATCCTCGCTACGGGCAAGGACCTGTCCCTTTCACAGGCCCTCACGGCGACCGAACCTCTCCTTCGTCTTCGCCATACCTTTATCGATGATGCACGCCCTCAAGCCGCGAAAGATGCCTTCCGACATCTCCAGGGCTTCCAGATCCTGCTCGGGCTCGCGGAGCAAATTGCTGAGCTCTATGACCCGCGGACCCTCTCCAAAGAGGACAGAAAGGGCTTGCTCGGAATCTACAAGGATGTCGTTGGAGTCTTGGCCGAAGGATTGAAGGAACACTTTGGAAACAAACGATACTTCGCCCGCAGGATTGCCGGGGGCGGGACTGCTGGTCTGGAACGGACTCTCGCTGTGCTGGTTGGGAAGATGGGTGATACTGAAGCCGATTCACAACAACTGTACGGTGCCATTCTGGCCGCCGCACTGTGCCAGGAGGCCGTAGCGGGGATTTTTGCAACTTTCAATAGCAGAATCCCGCAGGGCACGGATTCGACATCCCCGAAAGATCTACGGCTTGCCGTCGACCAATTCATGGGCTCCGCCGAGACTGTGGAGGTCGCAGAGCTGCTCGGCCCGTTGCTCCGCGTCTGGGTAACACACTCTGTGATACCTGGAAATAATGGTCTGCGTTTGGCTCTTCCCGCATGTCTTTGTCAATTGGCTTCTCAATCTCGCCGGAACGTTGTAGCTTTGCATGCCACCGGAATGTTGACCTCAATCCTTCCGCTCTTGTTCGATGACGGCCGGTCCGACACCGAAAGAGCACTCTATCAAGACCTAGCCCAGTATCTTAGTGTTCAAGGTATGAGTAGCTTGGACGACGCAGTTGCACTTTACCGACGCGCACACGATAATCCTCAGGTTCTTCAGTTCTTACTCTCCGCCCTCAAACTTTCCAAAGAGCCCCCGTCAATACAATTCGACCTCTCTCTACATGGGTTTTGCTCTGTGGAGTTCGCAACCTTGGGTCGACCATTCCCACCGAGCACTTCGGCTGGCTACACTTTGTCCGCCTGGCTGCGCTTTGACGAGTTCGATTCAAATACGCATACCACAATATTCGGAGCATTTGATGCTAGCCAAACTTGTTTCATCCTAGCTTATCTGGAGAAGGATACACGCAACTTTATTTTGCAGACCGCGATTCGTGGCCCGCGCCCCAGCGTACGCTTCAAGTCCGCCAAGTTTGAATCTGGTCGCTGGTACCATATCTGCCTAATTCATAGACGACCAAAGCCCATGTCCTCGTCCAAGGCATCCCTCTTTATAGATGGCGAATTCTCGGAGCAGTTGAAGATTGATTATCCTTCAGTTCCAACTAGTAATCACCCAAGCCGACCACCACGCATCCAGGCTTTCTTCGGAACGCCCCAGGATCTTGCAATGAGACTTGGTAAAGGAGTTTCTACATCCCGCTGGTCACTTGCAAATGGAATTTTGTTCGATGAGGCGTTCAGCGATGACATGGTGGCTGTATTTTACAATCTCGGTCCGCGCTACTATGGTAACTTCCAGGACTGCTTAGGATCTTTCCAGACGTACAAAGCATCTGCCACCCTGAACTTGCGGAATGAACATCTCCATCCCGGCAAAGAGGAGAGCTCAGACATTGTCACTGCTATCCGACGGCGAGCAAGTAATCTTGTTCGCGAGAGCTCAATTTTGATCAATGTTTCCCCTGTGGCTGTTCTTGACGACGATGACAGCAACAATGTGGACGAGTCACAACTTATCAAATGCTTGTCTAAACAAGCAGCCAAGTCCCTGCAGCAGCTTACCAAGGCTGGGGGCAATGCCGTAGCGATAAATGGAGCCACTCCTGCGATCAACGACGGTCTGACTCAACCTCAAGGAGTTGGAATTCTAACAGGCGATCCAGTTGTTGAAGTTCCTCGATCGCTGGACGACGCCAGCTGGTGTTTGGGCGGCTGTGCTCCGGTGCATCTCAGTCTCATTCAAGCCGCTGACACTGCTGAAAATACACGGGTTGCCGTGGAAGCGCTCTACGAGGCCGTGCGGGATAATTGGCGAAATAGTGAGGCGATGGAGAGAGACAACGGATATGGAATCCTCGCTGTACAGCTCCGAGAAAAGCTGGGCTATCAATTTAGCACATCAGCCGTACCAAACAAGACTTCCCTGGTTGCGTCAACTGAAGAACAAAATTCTTTGACCCTTGAGCTACTGCGACTCACTCTTGCATTTGTTGGCTATGATTTCGACCGTCCAAATCACTCCATAATCACGAATCCTCTCGCCTACCGGGTATTGCTTGTTGACATGGATATCTGGCGATTCGGAGATAAGCCTGTCATGGATCTATACTATTCACAATTTCGAGCGTTTGCTGCCGAAAGCAACTATCGCCGGTTCAATGCCAGGCGACTCGGTCGAATGCGTAAGCCTTCCCCAAACCAACACCCCTCCTTAATAAAGCCGAAATGATTGTTGACAATAAAGCAGGCGTCAGCAAGAAACTTCTCGAGATTTTGAAGGGAGGTGAACTGACACAGGAAACTCTCCAACCTTGTCTGTCCGCTTTTCGGTCCTTGGTTGAAAGCAGTCCATCCCCTGATCTCCTTCGATCGCTGGCTTTGTCCATCACTTATACCCTTCACAAGCCTAGCCCGTCTGCCGCACTGAAGAAAAAGAAGAGTCTCCGTTTTGTGGGAGCTTCATCTCGACCAGGTTCATCAAAGTCCGACTCAGAGAAATATATCAGGAATATTCCACTGGGAATCGAGATGTTGCGATTGTATTCCAATATCCTCTGCAACCCTCTTGATCCGACGCCTCTGAAGAAATTTGCCAAGGCAGTCACCAATAAGGTTCGATAAAACATATTCCTACATCGTCCATATTGCATTATCTAACAAACACAAGTGGCTCTTGTACCTCGCCTGTGAAGATGAACCCGAAGTCGTTAACCTCGCTGTCAAGATTCTCGCGAGGTTACTCACTGTCCATGGAAGTAGCTATAGCAAGAAGTTTGCCGACAAGAACGCAGGGTACACGATTCTGGAACATCACTTGAAACGATGGTGGAATGTTCCATCTATCTGGATCATCTGCCTGTCTATTCTTTTCGGACAAGATGTTGCTCGTCTGGATCTCGAGAAACCTTTCAACGCACCTGCCCTCCTCAACATGTTCTTGGCAGATGGCGAGCTCCGCATTGCATTTCCCGAGATGCTCCCTGTCATCATGGCAATGCTCAGGGCCGGATCGAAACAAATAATATCCACTGGCGAGGCGGAGACGGCAGAAGACTCACAGGCTCTATTCGAAGAAGCTGCGACCAGTTCAAAGAACCCGAGCATGGCGACGTGCAACCTGGCCGATGTACCCCTGCCGGATCGAACGAAATATGGCATTTCCATGCTGTCCTCAGTTATCAAGTTTTTTGCGGAGGCTCGATCGATCTCTAGAAATTTCCAGGAATTTACTACGCAGCCAAATTATCTCCAGGAACTTCTGTCTATTCTTTATCCTACAGTTGTTGGTACAGACCCTATTAGCCCGGCCATAGAAATGACCACTCGACACGGCGGAATCGGCTTCGATGACAGCAATCTCGTTCTTCGACCTCGTTCAGGTACTGCAAACGCCTCCACGGCCTTCCAAACAACCACAATTGACGTGGCAGAAAGTGCCGACGAGAGTACTGATTCACTTCGTCGTGGATCCTCGTTTGTCCTCATCTCCTCAGAAAGAGCTAAACATCAGCCGTCTTCTGCTCGCATTCGTCGCTTAGTCGATCCCAATTTATTAAATGACGAGGCCGTGATCGACCATCCACTTATAAAGGCTTTTTTTGGCCTCGTCCTCCCGATATTTGAGGATCAACTGCTCGAAAGAAAAGACTTTTCGGGATTAGGGTTGTATCAAAAAACCCCCCCCCTGGGTTTACGGAGCACCAAGCGCATTTCAACTCGTGGGTCTTCAACTCACTTGTCTCAAATCTGAAGCAATTGCCGACAAAAAATCCTCGCCTACTCCAAGAACCTCGTGTTTTGACAAATCTCTCGCGCTTTGCAATGCATCTGGTGGAGGCGGTCTATGAAGGATGGTATGTCAATGGGCCCGTCTCTAGTCTCGAATGTATGGGTACGATTTTGGAATATCTTCAACGTCCCGATGTCGCAAGCCTCAAGAGTATTCGTCTGTGCAGTCAAACAGTGGCTACTATCCATTCAGCACTATATCGGATAGTCCTGTTTCAGCTTTCGGAGGCGGAAGATAGCGAGGCGTTGACAGTTCTGAAACGACTGAACTACTGGCAAGTCGTGCTTCTTTCCGCAGCCGATACTCAGTCGAAGAATCTTCAACTACTTTTCTACCTGCTGTACACGAAATTGATTAGCATCGATGAGAGCGTTCGCTTGGCCGCAGCAAGCCTTTGGCGGATAATTCTTGTCCAGAAGCCCGAAGAGGTGACAAATCTCCTGGGCAATGCCCCTCATTCCCTACAGCGCCGGCTAGCTGATGGATTTGATACACTTGTGGGCATGGAGGATGAAGCCTTTCTTCCATGGATAGACGGTCAAAGGGACGACCTGGATGCTTTGTTTTTTGGGATCTTGTCTCGGTCCTGGGAGACTTTCGTCCAAGAAGAGAATGCAAAAAGCGAGGACTCAGGCAAGAACCGCATGTCAAAACGCAAAGAAAAGTTGAAACAATGGGTTCAATTGGAAAAGTTCAACGAGGAGGTCATCAGGAAACATGACGCTACCTTACCTCATTGGATCTCGAACATCTCCGCGTCAGAGTTTCTGAAGTCACAAAGATTTCTGCAAGACTTGCAAGACAACTCTGTCTTCATGTGGTCGGCATTCTCGACTCTTTTGATGGATCTGCGACGACCAGGGGGTCTTCTTGCGGAAGAGAAGGAAATGAAATGGCGACTCGATCAAACCGAAGGCCGCAGCCGTATGCGATTACGAGTTGTCCCAGACGAATTGGGTGACCGACAAGACTACCAGCCAAAGCGAAAGGCTTCCGAGCCACCTATTCCTAAACTCGATACTCGCGTTCGTGCACTATCTGCAGGGGAAGTGGCTGCTACACCTACCGTCATGACAGGGGAGCCTGACGGTCTTGACTCTGAGCCTCAATATGGCGACGCTGAAAATGCCACCAACGCGGAAGATCCGAGTATGCTTGAAGAGAATTTCGAGATGATTGACGACCCCAAGAATGAACTCGAGGACTATGATGACAAAAATCGCAAAGTGATGCGGTCTCTTCACCGTGGTGACCAGGTCCAGAATGTGTGTAACATGTCGCGAATCATTGGCCTCGAGGCCGTCGAGGGGCTTTTGATTCTCGGAAAGGATTGCATCTACATTCTGGACAACTTCTTCCAAAGGGCCGATGGAGAAATTGTCAATGTCTGGCAAGCTCCTGTGGAGGAGCGCGACTCTTATGTGCGAATGATATCCGGAAGAGAATCTAACGACCGCCGTTCTCAAGAGCATGAAACTAGAAGCTGGAAGTGGTCAGACCTTGTCAGTGTCTCCAAACGTCGCTTCCTCTTCCGTGATGTCGCCCTGGAAATCTTTTTCACAGATGGTACCAGCTACCTTCTCACGTTCTTTTCTGCACGAGTAAGAGATGAATTATGCAATCAGCTTGGCTCGAAAGCACCGCAGGTCACTGGAAGTGCTGGCCACTCGCGACCGGAAGATATCTGGAGATTTGAAACCTTGCGAAGCCAAGAGGATGCGCCGCAATCTATCGGCTCTAAATTCGCAAGTGTCTTTGGCCACCTTCCATCGAACCCTGCAACGCGAAAATGGGTCAAGGGCGAAATATCCAATTTCCACTATCTGATGTTGATCAATACCCTTGCTGGACGAACATTCAACGACTTGACCCAGTATCCAGTCTTCCCGTGGGTCTTGGCAGACTACACAAGCGAGGAGCTCGATCTCACCAACCCCAAGACATTTCGTGACCTTTCCCGTCCCATGGGCTGTCAGAATCCCGATCGCGAAGCGGGTTTCAAGGAACGTTACAATGCCTTTGCAGAGATGGGTGATGATAACTCCCCGCCTTTCCATTATGGAACCCATTACTCCTCCGCCATGATCGTCAGCTCGTATCTCATTCGTCTTCAGCCGTTTGTCAAGTCATACCTTCTCCTCCAGGGCGGAACATTCGATCACGCAGATCGACTTTTCTACTCAATTCGAAAGGCATGGGAATCCGCAACACGGGGTAACATGTCTGATGTGCGAGAATTGATTCCAGAATTCTTCTACCTGCCTGAGTTCCTGGTGAATTCCAATAAGTATGACTTTGGAGTTTTGCAGAACATGACCACAGCTATTGATTCGGTTGAGCTTCCCCCCTGGGCCAAAGGAGATCCAAAGATCTTCATTGAGAAACATCGCGAAGCACTAGAGAGCCCATACGTTTCGGAAAACCTACATCATTGGATTGACCTCGTGTTCGGTAGCAAACAGAAGGGCGAGGCCGCAGTTGAAGCCGTCAATGTCTTTCATCATCTGTCTTACAAGGGTGCGAAGGACTTGGATGCGATCGATGATCCTATGGAGCGGTTGGCTACTATCGGAATTATCCATAATTTTGGACAAACCCCTCATCAAATTTTCCAACGTCCACATGCACAGCGGGAAGATCAACGACACCGTGTTCCCCGGCTTGACACCCTCGCGGAATCCCTAACACAGACGCCACTCGCATTGCTCGGTAAGGACATCTATCTTCAATTGCACGCCTCGGGTTACTAATGTATCGTTCTCTTCATAGATACAGAAGAGCGCGTAGCGAATCTTTCCATGAGACAGGACCGCCTCCTGTGCACGGCCTCTCTTCGCTTGAATGTCCCGCCAAACTACGACCATTATATGGAATGGGGATTCTTCGATGGCAGTGTTCGTTTCTACTCTGCGGACAGTCGTAAAGTAAGTATTTGTATTTGAAAGCCCAAGATAGATCCCTTTGTTAATACCATATAGCTTCTCGGCCACTTCGAGCATCTGCATATCGGCCAGCTTTCCTATGCTAGTTTCGCAGACTCACGAACACTCATCACATGCGGTACCGATTGTACAGTTTCTCTATGGACAATTACTGCGACATCCAAATCAGTTGATCTACAACCTATCGGATCGCTCTTTGGCCACCGCACGCCCGTAAGCGTGCTCGCCGTTTCGCGTTCTTTCAGCGCTTTACTATCCGCATCCAGTGACGGACACATCATGCTATGGGATCTTAACCGACGAGGTTTCGTACGAACATTGCCTGCTGAAGGAACGGTTGATGTGAGTGAACCTTCAATATTCCCCAAGCTATTTTCGCATATCTAACCATGTATATAGTGTGCTCGTATAAACGACGTGACGGGCAACATTGTTGTCTGTCGGGGCCATCGACTTACCATGTACACTCTGAATGGTGAAGTCCTAGTCGACCAACCGGTCTGCGATTCGGTCGATGATCGAGTGTTATCTTGTGTCTTTTACGAGGGCGACCAAAATGAATGGCTCGGGCGTGAACTTGTCCTGACGGGTCACAGTCGCGGTGTTGTGAATATCTGGAGCAAGGTGATTCGAAGCGGACGGTTTGAGCTGGAACTCATCCGTCAACTACATCATACAGACAGCAGTCGCGACACCGGGGCCAATATCTCGACGGGGATCAGTTGTATCCTTCCCCTTCCCCACGTGGTCTATACTGGGGATGAAGCGGGCCGTGTGGTGAGTTACCACTTTCTATTTTTCCGTGGCTAGACCACATCTTATGGAAGACCCCCAAACTAACCGAATTCTTTTTCGCAGTATGAGTGGAACTGCATAACGAGGCGCTAAGCCTTGCCGTTTTGGACCAACCGTTGCCGTGCGGCTACTGACTTACACGCCTCTCCGCCTTTTACTGTTCTGTGTTGGCCTTGTCGGGGCTCATTGCAAAAGCAGCTGCTACTACCCAGCAGCGCGGCGTTCTTGTTCTTGTTTTTGATTTGATTTTATTCACCCTTTGCCATTTTGTATTTGTTTGTTTGTATCACCTCTTTGCGCCACTGTTCGTTTCCAACCACGTACATACTACATAGCATGCATAGCGGAATGGCCACAGCATCATAACAGACACACGGATCCCCCAGCCCCAAACGCCGTCCGGAGTAGAACGTGAGATTTAACCGGGTCTCGGTGAGTGAGATGCAGGACCACTGCAGTAGTGGGCCGTTGGCCGGTCGACCATACTCCGGTTGGGGTTCCGGAGCACACTGCGCCGGATTGGTCAACCTGGGGTTTGTCTACAGTGGCAAGGGCATTGAGATTGAAAAGATATGGGGAAAATAATAATTGTTTAATAATTCCATATAGAAGCCGGTCAGAAGGGGAGGGGCAAATCAAGAAGTAATTGTGTAAATCTTGTTGGGAGTAGATCAAGGAAAACCCTAGGCGCGTCAACCGGACACGGGTTTATGTCCAGGTCCAACCTTCGGAAGGAGGGGCATTGTTGGTGGAGGGACTGGGCAAATATGAAAGTGATTTCATCGCGCAGCGTCATTTTTGCCCCACTTTCAAGGTTTGTCCCGCATTGAGGGGGGTACTTGTCTGTTGTATGACACTCCCATACTACACCGATGTACCTCTTGGGTTCCCGGCTGCCTCTGCTCCAGGGCGCCCCTCCCTAAATACCTTCCCCATCGCCACTTCTCTTCTCTCCTTCATCTCTCCATCTCTTCTTGTATCCAATCTTGCAATCTTCCCCCTTGCAGAAAATACCCTATTCTACACATCATGTCTACCTCTCTCGAGCAGCTCAAGGCCTCCGGCACCGTTGTCGTCTGTGACTCTGGTAAGTCCCACTGATCATCCATGACGCATGCATTGAACAACATCCCACTAACACTCGCATTTCTAGGTGACTTTGCCAGTATGTCGTGACCCCAACTTCTAAATAGTCTTCCCGCATTGTGCGGTATCATTGGATCCTCAAGCTAACGTGCCACAGCCATCGGCAAGTACAAGCCCCAGGATGCTACCACCAACCCCTCCCTGATCCTGGCTGCTTCCAAGAAGCCCGAGTACGCCGCTCTGATCGACTCCGCTGTTGCCTACGGTAAGACCAAGGGCAAGACCGTCGACGAGCAGGTTGACGCCACCCTGGACCGTCTCCTGGTTGAGTTCGGTACCAAGATCCTGGAGATCATTCCCGGCAAGGTCTCGACTGAGGTCGACGCTAGGCTGTCCTTCGACACCGAGGGCTCCGTCAAGAAGGCCCTCGAGATCATCAAGGTATGTACCTGAGAGATTCCCCGCGAGCTCCAGAAAACAGATAGCTAACAAATGTCGCATTTTAGCTGTACGAGGAGGCCGGTATCTCCAAGGACCGCATCCTCATCAAGATCGCCTCCACCTGGGAGGGTATCAAGGCTGCCCACATCCTGCAGTCCAAGTACCAGATCAACTGCAACCTGACCCTGATGTTCTCCCTGGTCCAGGCCATCGCTGCCGCCGAGGCCGGTGCCTTCCTGATCTCCCCCTTCGTTGGCCGTATCCTCGACTGGTACAAGGCCGCTCACAAGCGCGACTACACTGCCGAGGAGGACCCCGGTGTCAAGTCCGTCCAGGACATCTTCAACTACTACAAGAAGCACGGCTACAACACCATTGTCATGGGTGCCTCTTTCCGCAACACCGGCGAGATCACCGAGCTCGCTGGCTGTGACTACCTGACCATCTCCCCCAACCTGCTGGAGGACCTGTACAACAGCACTGCTGCCGTCCCCAAGAAGCTCGACGCTGCCGATGCCACCAAGCTCGACATTCCCAAGCGCGCTTACCTCGAGAACGAGGCTGATTTCCGCTTCGACTTCAACGAGGAGGCCATGGGTGTTGAGAAGCTCCGTGAGGGTATCTCCAAGTTCGCTGCTGATGCGGTTACCCTCAAGGACCTGCTCAAGGCCAAGATCCAGGCCTAGATGGCTCGGGCTTAATTTTCGTCTGTGATTTCTTTAAAACCTTATGTTATTTGTAAATTGGCGATCCCTAAAATGTCGGAATCGGTAGATACGAATTGATGAATCTTTTACTTTTCAACCTTGGTGCAATCTTATACAGGGATGTGCAGTCACGACACCAGTAGTAAGTAGTGGCCAGTAAGTACCAACTACTAGTAACAACCATTCGGATTAAAAATTGGATAGAATTAGCCTTTGCGGATATATAACCACCTAGCATGCTAGTAGATCTCCGGTGTCGGGTGGTTTGGAGGCCGACGCTTCCGAGGTCAAATACCGGAATCTAGGCTAGTCGGCTTATTCATGCTACAAGCAACCCCGCAGGGCTCGATGTGACTCTGTATCACACTCCTGATGTCAATTTGAGCAATAGATGATTTTGATTAAGGATGATAGGAAGTAAATAGAGCTAAGATTGAATTGATTCTGAACTTCAGTAATCAATATATACAAAGTAAAGGTGGATGGCGAGGTTTAAGACGGCATTATGTCATTTCCCCTCGTTCCGAAAGCTGCCCGCTTAGGAAGGTGGGGGGAAGTTGGGAGAATTGGGAGTGGGAAAAGTTGTACCTGGTACCCGCATTCACTGCAAATTTCTGCAGTAAATCAAAGTACTCGAAACAAGACAAGTTCCCGTAGCGGGCAGTCACGTCAACATCATCCGCTTATTATTCTCCGTCCCCGCCCACTTCTCCTCCTTTCCCTTTCCCTCAAGACTCATACCAATTATTTGATATCTACCCCCATATCATTTCTAACCGACAATATGGTCAAGGCTGGTAAGCTTATCCTGTCAACCTCATCTTCGATCTCATACTTCCCCCCGGGGCCAATGAACTCTGTCCCAAGTCCTCGCGGCTCCACGCCCCAGGGACCTTGGGTGAGCAGATTTGAGCACCTTGTGATCATCCTCCTGCTATACCTGAGCCTATCGGCTTGCTTCCTCTCTCCACTGCCTGGTTTCAGCTGCGTGAGTTACCGCCAGGGTCCTCGCGATCTGAGCTTAAGCTTATTGCTTATTGCTGAGCTCTCGAACCCAGCAGGCCAGGCAGCTGGAGAGCGGGAGAGCGGGAGGCGGGCCGATGCAAGCATACTTAAAATCTGAAAAGATGCACCCCCGCTAATCATATCTCGTCCAGTTGCTGTCCTCCGCGGAGACGCGAAGATCGCTGGTACTGTTACCTTCGAGCAGGCTGATGAGAACGCTCCCACCACCATCTCCTGGAACATCACCGGTAACGACGCCAACGCTGAGCGTGGTTTCCACGTCCACCAGTTCGGTGACAACACCAACGGCTGCACCTCCGCCGGCCCTCACTGTATGTAGCCTCTTGTGCATTTCCATATCTCCGAAATCATCCTTGAATATATGGCTAACCTCCCTTGCAGTCAACCCTCACGGCAAGACCCACGGTGCTCCCACCGATGAGGTCCGTCACGTTGGTGACCTGGGCAACTTCAAGACCGATGCTGAGGGTAACGCCACCGGCAGCGTGCAGGACAAGCTTGTCAAGCTGATCGGCGCTGAGAGCGTTCTGGGCGTAAGTTAAAAAAGACCCGAATTTGTGAAAGAAAAGAAGTAAACTAATAGGACAACTAGCGCACCCTGGTCGTCCACGCCGGCACTGATGACCTCGGCCGTGGTGGTAACGAGGAGTCCAAGAAGACTGGTAACGCTGGTCTCCGTCCTGCCTGCGGTAAGTTGATGGTTTATCTGTTTTCTCTCTCTCTCTCTCCCCCTTCATATGCTGACTTGTTATAGGTGTCATTGGTATCTCCGCTTAAATCTGGAGCCACTTTTGATAATGCCACATAGTTGGACCACGATGATATTCCCCATCTATTGAGATGAAAAGTACAGGATAGTTTAGCCTGGCTAGGATGCAATGAATTTCATTTCAAACGAGTTAATATTCCCCCCTTTTCCCTTTTCCCCCTTCTGTAGAGAATGGAGACACATGTACTCCGTAGTTGCGTGCTAGCCCAGCCGGAACGCCCAGACCGCTTTCCCCCACAAACACCGTGGCCACGTTTCCTCCGAAGCTCTCCCGCGATCATTCCATTCTAGTCTTTTCTACTTTCCCTTTCCTGGTTTCTCCCCCTGGTTTTCTTCATTCGGTTTTAAATCAGCTACCTTTGTGTGTGGTAGCGGTTTTCCCTTTCAGCATGCCTTTCGAAGCCCGCGTCAAGTCCGTCCTGTCCGGCGACACGGTCGTGCTGTCGCATATCTCTAATCCCTCACAAGAACGCATCCTAAGCCTCGCCTATGTCTCAGCACCACGCTTGAGGAGAGAGGGTGACGAGGTTAGTACTAATTCGCCTCAATTGTTGATCTGCTGGAACACGGGGATCATGAGGCGGTCTTTTGAGCCCCTATGGCCAATTCGAATCGTCCCATGTGACAGCTTCAGTTCAACTCAATTAACAACTTTCTCTTTAGCCCTTCGGATACCAATCGCGCGATTTCCTCCGTGAGATCCTTGTAGGCAAGGTCGTTCGTTTTGACGTCGTCTACACCATCCCCACCGGCGCCAAGCGAGAGTACGGTGTCATCACCCTGCCCGGTTCCAACGCCAAGCTTCCCGATATCAGTGTTCAAGAGGGATGGTCTCGTGTTCGTGATGAGGCTGGCAAGCGCGGGGATGAGTCGGAGGCCACTCAAGGGCTACTTGATCGCCTGCGTGGACTGGAGTCGCTCGCCCAGGATGAGAAGAAGGGTATCTGGTCCGGTTCCGCCGAGGGTCTCATCGAGACCAGCTACGAATTGACCCACGGACAAAGCCTTGTGGATGAACACAAGGGAAAACAATTGGAGGGTATCATTGAGAAGGTCTTGAATGGAGACCGTGTCGTCTTGCGTCTCCTGGTTTCGTCCAATGAGCACGTGCAGTCTGTCGTGGCTGTTGCTGGTATCCGGGCTCCAGCTGCCAAGCGGACTACTGCCGATGGAAAGGAGCAGGCTGCTGAGCCCTTTGGCGACGAGGCACAGCAATTCTTCGAGTCGCGTCTGCTGCAGCGTAAGGTCAAGGCTTCTCTGCTCGGCGTGACTCCCCAAGGCCAGCTGATCGCCACTCTCCTCCACCCTAACGGAAACATCGCCCAATTCCTTCTTGAGGAGGGTCTTGCCCGCTGCCAGGATCACCACGTTACCCTCCTTGGCCAGGATATGGCTGCTCTCCGCCAGGCTGAGCGCTCGGCTAAGGATGCTCGCAAGGGTATCTTCACTGGACACGTTGGACCCAAGACTTCCGGTGCCGCTGCCGTGGATTACGTTGTCACCCGTGTCCTCAATGCCGACACTCTATTCCTCCGCAACAAGGCTGGTCAGGAGAAGAAGATCAGCATCACTAGTATTCGTCAGCCCAAGCCTTCCGACCCTAAGCAGGCCCCATTCGCCGCCGAGGCCAAGGAGTACTTGCGCAAGCGTGTTATTGCTAAGCATGTCATGGTCACTGTGAATGGCAAGAAGCCCGCCAACGAGGGCTACGAGGAGCGCGAGGTCGCTACCGTTGTCCAGGGCAACACCAACGTTGGATTGGCTCTGGTTGAGGCTGGATACGCCTCAGTCATCCGACACCGTATGGACGATGATGACCGCTCTCCCGACTATGATTCTCTCCTCGCAGCCGAGGCCGATGCCCAGAAGGAGGCTCGCGGTATGTGGTCTCCCAAGCCGCCCAAGTCGAAGCAGCTGGTGGACTACTCAGAGAATGTCCAGAAGGCCAAGCTTGAGGTCGGCGTTCTGCAACGCTCAAAGCGCATTCCCGCCGTTGTCGACTTCGTCAAGTCTGGTTCTCGCTTCACCGTTCTGGTGCCCCGCGAGAACGCCAAGCTGACTCTGGTTCTTTCGGGCATCCGTGCTCCCCGATCTGCCCGCGGGCCGGGCGATGCTGGTGAGCCTTTTGGCCAGGAAGCTCACGATCTGGCTAACCGCCGCTGCATGCAGCGTGACGTTGAGATCGATGTTGAGACTATTGACAAGGTTGGTGGTTTCATTGGTTCCCTATATGTTGGCAAGGAGAACTTCACCAAGATTCTGCTGGAGGAGGGATTCGCAACCGTGCACGCCTACTCAGCTGAGCAGTCTGGTCACGCCAACGAGTACTTTGCCGCTGAGGAGCGAGCTAAAGAGGCCCGCAAGGGTCTGTGGCACGACTGGGACCCTTCCAAGGAGGCAGCAGCCGCTGAGGAGTCTGAGGCTGCTAACGGTACCGGCAACGAGAGCGAGCCTGCCATTACCCAGCGCCGTAAGGACTACCGCGATGTCATGGTCACATTCGTTGACCCTACCAATGGACGTCTCAAGCTCCAACAGATTGGTGCTGGCACCAGCGCTCTGACCGAGCTGATGTCGGCCTTCCGCTCTTTCCACATCAACAAGGCCAACGATACTCCTCTTGCTGGACCTCCCAAGGCCGGCGACTGGGTCGCCGCCCAGTTCTCCGAAGATGGCGACTGGTATCGCGCCAAGGTCCGCCGCAACGACCGCGAGAAGCAGGAGGCCGAGGTTGTCTATGTCGACTTTGGCAACTCCGAGTCCCTGCCCTGGTCCAGCCTGCGCCCTCTCACCCAGCCTCAGTTCTCAAACCAGAAGCTCCGCCCACAGGCTATTGATGCCGTGCTCTCTCTCGCACAGTTCCCCACCTCCCCTGACTACCTCGAGGACGCTGTTGCCTTCGTTGGTGACCAAACTTTCGACCGCCAGCTTGTGGCTAATGTCGACAATGTCGAGTCCGACGGTACCCTTCACGTCACTCTTCTTGACCCTGCTGTCTCGAAGAGTCTCGACCAGAGCATCAACGCCGACATTATCCACGAGGGTATGGCCATGGTTCCTCGCAAGCTGAAGGCTTGGGAGCGTGCTTCCGCCGAGACCCTGGATAACCTGCGTGAGCTTGAGGCCGAGGCCAAAGCCGAGCGCCGTGGTATGTGGGAGTACGGTGATCTGACTGAGGATTAAGTGTTTTATCTATGAGCGAACTGTGTGCGTTATGTACAAAAGTGTGGGATCCGGTTCCCCTTGGGGAAAAACATGTGCCATACAATATCCATGGTTTTGTACCAGCTTTATTTTGATGTGTTCTTTTTTATCTTTCTTCCTTTTTTTTTCTATTAAATCTACTTGGCTTAATCAAACGAATGAACCCAAAGTCTACAAATTGGGACCGGGGTTTCTGTCGATCGTTCCCAGGGATTGTAGGGACCGATTAACTTTGCCCCAGTCGGAAGTATATCGGCTTTTTCAAGCTATTTATTTGTTTACAGGGGCATCGGAGTGACGGTGTTGCCTACTAGGTACCTAGGTAGATGGCACATCTGCCAGTGCACTTCAGAAGCCTGATCAATCAATATACAATGAATATAAAACATTCCAACCTGAAATTACTCCCCTAACCCCGACTCTCGGCATATCTCATAACATCGGACTCCGAAACCCTGAAGGGTCCACAGGGCGGCAACCCCAAACTCCACCAAATTTATTCCACCGCCTCTTCTTACTTCCCCTCCGATCTCCGATCTTCAACTGAAACCACTGGGGCCGATCGTCACGAACTCCCAAAAATCTCCAGAAATTCATAGAAGATGTTCTGGCGGACCAAGTCCCACGACAGCCACGCGTCTGAGGACCCGGCCCTTGCGCGCACCGCATCGGCTTCGAAGAATGATCCCGCCGCCTCCGCAGACCAGGCCTCCGGAACCGCATGGCTTGCCGGACACTTGAACCATTTGACTCCAGAGCAAGAGGAGAAGCTGTCTGAGTTTAAGAGCGTCTGCTCCGAGCGCGGATATTACACCGCGGCCGTGGAACAGAGCGAGGGCGTTGAGGCTAAAGAGCCCAGCCACGATGATGCGACTATGCTGTAGGTTGCACTACTTGACGCTGTACCTCCGAAACAAAGCGCAGGGCAATCAGAACTGACAATGTTCTTTTTCAATAGGCGATTCCTACGGGCTCGCAAGTTTGAGGTCGAAGGGGCGTGGGGTCAATTCAAGGATACTGAGGATTGGCGCAAAGACAATGCCATTGAGTCGCTGTATGCGAATATCGGCGTGGACTCGTACGAGGCTGCGCGTCGGATGGTATGCACTTCCACGCGATCATTTCCTTTTTTGCCCCTTCTCCCTATCTTGCAAGGACGCTGGACTAATTTCGAGTTGCGCTTTTCTGCAGTACCCCCAATGGACCGGTCGTCGCGATCGCCGCGGAATCCCCGTCTATGTCTTCGAAATCCGCCACCTCAATAACAAAGAGATGGCAGCTTATAATAATACCATGTCTACCGGTACCCCGGAGACTCACAAGTCGTCGACTATCCCGGCGCGCCTGCTGAACCTATTCGCCCTCTACGAGAACCTGCTTAACTTCGTCATGCCTCTGTGCTCCGCGCTTCCGCGTCCTAACCCCGAGACTCCGATCGTGACATCTACCAATATCGTCGATGTGAGTGGCGTGGGACTGAAGCAGTTCTGGAACCTGAAGAGCCATATGCAGGATGCGAGCGTGTTGGCTACTGCTCACTACCCCGAGACTCTGGACCGTATCTTCGTAAGTTGTCCCTCCACTGCTTTGTGTTTCAAGGCGGGCCTTCCATACTGATTATTTCCAGATCATTGGCGCGCCTGCTTTCTTCCCCACTGTCTGGGGTTGGATCAAGCGCTGGTTCGACCCGGTCACCACCTCCAAGATCTTCATTCTGTCCGCGGCCGAAGTAAAGCCCACCCTCACTTCTTTCATGGAGCCCTCCAGCATCCCTAAGCAATATGGTGGCGAGCTGGAGTGGCAATGGGGCGAAATGCCTCACCTTGACGAGCCCGCTCAAGAACTGCTGAAGGGTCTGGAGCAAGAGCCCGCCGAGGGCCAGACAAGAAAGGGTCTTCTGAAGGGACCCGTTCTGTTCAAGGGCGATGTGATTGAAGTGCTGGGCACTGAGAATGGTAAGGACCGTCGGTCCACTGTTCCGGTCCCTCAGTCCGAGCTGAAGCTCAACGGCCAGGCCGAGACTGAGACGGAAAAGCAGTCCTCGACCGAGACTGCGAACGAAGATGCAGAGTCGAAGACTGCTCCTGCTGCTGAAAACGAGAAACCCATCGAGAACTTGGCTGTCAATGTCAGCGAGGAGGCCCAAACGACGAATGTCGCTGTCTAGAAAGATCTTCTCGGAATCTCCGCCCTGTCGGGATTTTGAGGAAATGAGAGGTCGTGACTGGTATGACGATTCAGATTCAGATTCAGGTTCAGGTTCAAACTCAGACTCAGACTCAGATTCGAATCCAATTTCACATGACCGAGGCATGACGCACAATCACACTCAGACTCACCAATCTTCTCTTTCACCGCGGGGCTTAGTATTTTGTTCATCATGCATGGCCCAAAACACGTCTGCCTGGGTCCAGAAATTTTTTGATTATGCGATGGCTAGTAATTGCATGTTCATCGTGTGTTTGTCATAGAGAGGGTCCCATTTATCGAACGTTTTTTTCTTCCCTTCTTCCCCCCAACAGTTTTCCATGTTGATCTTTGGCCGTCGGGCTTTCTACCTCCAGTAGCCTATAACGGGTGAATGGGGTTGGGCCTGGCTAATTGTGACTTTCGAGCAGTCATGCCTGATCCTGGATCTGTTTGCCTTTTATTATCTTTCTCCCAGTCGCCATGATGAGACATGGCCTGGACTTGAGCGTCCGCTTAGAGCGAGTGGGCTGTTTATGACTTATTCCCTTGTGTTTCTGTCCGATGGTGCTTTTTTCTCGGGGTTTCTGGTAAATAGAATAACTAGTGGTATATCAATTTCGGTTTCTTTTTACAGGCTCTATTGGCTCTTCTCTGGGTCCTACCTTGGCATTAAAAGTTCAAGTTGTCTAATCTCCCTACTAGTACTAGAAAAACACCGCGGACGGCCTGGATCTTGGCTAAGCGGTTTCTGTGGCCCAGATACGTCATGTTTGAATTTGACTCGAACCTTTCGCTATATACCCTGGTACCAGTAGGTAATACTAGTACCTGGTAGTATCGAATACTTCAATCTTAGAATTTGAAGTTGTTTGGGAATGTTTCAGTCTGACTGGAGATATCTGTTTTAGTAACCCTAGATAGATCTGTATATGCCACTAGCGACGAGAAGGTCTATATCAACAATATGAGGTATGCGGAGTGGGTATTGTCTCCAATATTACAAAGTACTGGACTCAAGGTCAACTGAATATACTCACATCATGTGTGTATATGCTACTATATACACCGGATTTTGTTCGGGTGAGGTTTTCCTATCTGGGCTGCCGCCGCTTTAATGAGGGCGATCAGGCTCAGGCTCAGTGAGTAAATTTCAGCACGCGCTCATGCTCAGTGATCTGATCAGTGCAGTCATGTGATCGCTCAGTATTCGCATGGCGGTGGATCAGTGATCATCGATGGGTGCTCCGTGATCACTCAGCCACCGCTTACTCACTAGGTATTATTAACTAACCTATCTAATCAGTGAGTGGTAATCCTTTTCCGCAGCCCAAGTCAGACTATACTCAAAAAGGACATGCCCCACAGGGCCATCTATCCTGTGATACCTAGTACGTTAATGGTGCTTTTGAGGCCCTCCTATTCTAGAGGTCTCCATCTGATCAAAACTGGCCCGAACGACAAAAGTCAGGTGGATCTATCCTGTTTAATATTATATAGTTTAAAAAAAGCTTTGCACTGTTATGTGTCCTTTGACTCAAAATATTAAAGGAGGCTTTGTCCCCTCTATGGCCCTATTTAAAGCAGTATATATTTCATTATTTATATCATAATTAACTACTCCTCTGAGTCTGCCTTATCCCCTTCGAGCTCACGATCAATATCCTATTATAGGTCAAAATACTTTCTTCTCTAAGTGTGATAAGAAGGCTAAAGAAAGGCATCATCTCTTATAGCAGAGGAATGGCTATATCACTAGAGCCTACAAGAGGGAAGATACTGTTTGAAAAAAAGATAGAAAACTTCTAAGGACTAAAAGATTACACTAATAAACCTTAAATCTAGACATCGGCACAACTCAAAACCCAACCCGCATGGGTTATAGTAGGTACCTAACCTATTTCAACCTATTTTTATATAAAATAGAGGTCTTAGTATATATAAATCAGATTACTAAGCTATATTTGACATGTCTACACTAAAATATGAACCCATTGGGTTCCCAAATAGGTTTTGGGTTTAAGGCTATAACCCATAACCCATTGATGGGTTACAAAATCAAACCCAAAACCTATCATGGGTTGGGTTGGGTTGGGTTCGGGTTCGAGTTTTTGCGGGTTGTGCCGATGTCTAGTTGTGGGGGTTAAATACTAATTAGTCGAGGTGTATACTGCACAGACATGAGTGTAGGCCTGTACGATGTGGGGTATTCAGAAATAGGATAAAAAGAGCTTTATTATAATGTAAGGAACTTAGAACACTAAAAACAATATGTAGTATTTGACGAAAGTAATAAAGCTAAAGAGAAAAAGAAGAGAGAGAAAGGCTCTCTGAGCTATCTACAGGATAAATAGGCAGCCATGGCCATGTGATATAGAGCCTGAGGCCTCGATATCATTACACTGGTGGTGGAAATATCTAATAGGGATCATAATCTGATTTGTTCTGAATTTATCTTAAAGCTACTTTATTTACCTCTAGATATAGCTGATTTAGTAACAGAAAGATTATATAGAAATTCTTGATAGAAGACCTAAGTTTGTTATATAGGGATTACCGTAAGGGTAAAGTTAATACTTATTTATTATCTTTTTGATTTATTAACTAGTTTAGTAACAGAATATATAGAATTAATCATACCTGTATTAGAGGAGAATATTTATAAATAGCTTAATAAAGTCAATACTACAGATTCAAACTCGGAAATAACATACGAAGAATTATCACAAGAGCTTGAAACTAAAACAGGAGAAAAGTGTTTTACTCAAATAACTTGTTTTAATTTTAATCCAAAAGTTTGCGAGGATTCACTGGATCCAATACTCAATACTCCAGCAGGGCCCCTTGGTAGGGAACTCCGCCCTACAAAGACCTTGCGGAAAGAAAGGGGCCCTAACCCCCAATGGACACAAGGAGAGAAAGCAAAATTAAAGCGTTTGCTGAGACAAATTCCTATAAAACTTGGCCACAGCTGGTGAAAGATTTCAATGAGGGCTCTAACAGACCGCAAACTCGTGCTTCCATATATAGAAAAACAGAAAGATCAGGTTTGAATATTTCTGCTTAATTGGGTGAACAAGACACTTCCTAGAAAATTCTACGTGTCTATCTCTCTACATAGGGCGCCACAGGATAAGAAAAGACGCTCGTGCTCATAAAATGACAGCTTACTCAGCATCCTGTACAGCTAACTAACGTTAACTTATGTTTCTTGAATACGATAATAGACCGCCTCTTATAGGTACTGGGCCCGCTTCTGAAACAAAACCCAACCCGCCTCTTGTTTCATCCGACAGCAGCTCCGACGACGACGACATTGGACGTGTTCACGCGCGTGGTCACATGCCCTTACACATGAAAAGTGGCATTATGGAGTTGTATTTCAAGGGAAACTCTGGCTTTTAAAACGGCGTGTATCGTCACGGTCCGAAGAATGCAGCACGGTACACCATTATTTATATTACGAACGGCTATAAGCTTGCGGAAAACCTAAAGAACAACAATTCCATGTACATCGATAGTCAGTCTGTGGCCGGAAAGCTAACTAGCAGTGGGAAAACTGCAATGAAAGGAAAGGTCTATCGAATTATAGGCGTTGTGTAGAACCATGTCGGCCAACATGATCGCATGTCGTCGTTGGCCCCTAGCAACTGGCCCACAGAGAGAAATAGCACACGCCGACGTGGACCGACCATGAAGATAAAGGTGCGATGGTTCGACGACAAAGGTCCAGAATCCTGGGAGAAATTAGGAATTGTAAAGAAATATTTATATGCACACCCACGGGAGGTTGCATTTGTTGCACCCCAATCCATCAAGTACGACGACAATATCATCCTTCGGGAGCACGAGATTCCACACAAGGCAGACTTTTTCATCATTAAGACCGCCGTGCGGCTTGAAGAAAGGAGCCGTCACTAGGGTGAAAACTAGGATCCCACGAAGAGTACGCACCTGATCCGCTTAGTTTCAATCGAGATATGGAATCAGGCTGCGGAATGGTTTCTACCTTTTAATCAGCGCGATGCAGACGCGGACAGATGGCTCTTCCCTCCTCACATGCTCACAAATGCAAATGTAGCCATCTGGGCGCATATTTTGCATAAGATAGATGGATTGATAAGGGTCTAAAAGAAGGCATAGATCTACTATTGATCGGGTGTCTTAATGACGTAGGAAAAGATGGTCCTGATATTAAGCCGTACCTACATATAACAACCTTCCCTCCAACTGCGACAGATCGGTTTAAATGGAGACCGTTAGTCAGCCTTGCGGGGCAAGGGGAGGAGCGGCCATGGACGTTGTAGTAGCCACCCCTCTGATTGCCTAAAACAAGGAGAAAGTGCTCTCAAACTGATGTTTTCGCATCGTGCTCTAGCACTTCAGCGATACTAGTACTCTCAGAAAGACCAAGGATCTTTCGGGCCTCCTCAATAGGTATATTGTGCGGCATCGTCTTTTCTTTTTTGACCGGGTCACCACCCGCAGCGAAGATGACATCCTGGAAGTCCAAAATATTAGCCTATTAGGATTCTTCATGGGATACCAAGTTCTTTTCACTCTCTGCCCTTCGGTGGTACTCACAAGCTCCTCGAGACTTCTCTTTCTGGTTTCAACTAGGAAGAAGTAGATTATGGGTACGAAGCAGGCATTCAAGATGGCAAAAATGATGTACTAGACACACGTTAGGTTGACCACGGGCCACAATGCACGAACAAGTAGACTTACCGTCTTCCAGCCGATATTCCGGAAAGCGGGTGGGATGATCATGACCACCACAAAGCAGAACAACCAGTTGGCAGCGCTCGCCATGGCATTAGCTTGCGCGCGGCATCGCAGAGGTGCAATCTCGGCACTGTACAGAAACGGTCCTCCAACCCAGGCAAGGCCAAAGAAGGTATTGAAGAGAAATAGAAATCCGGCAGCAGTCAGTTTGCAGGTGCGCGAATCCGTGCTTTGAAGCCCAGCGATGACGGCAAAGCAGCAGGACATGCCGACCGTAGTCCACAGAAAGGCCCGACGGCGCCCGAGGCCTTCTATGAGAAACACGGATAGAAGCGAGCATAGAGCATACTCCAAACCGCCCATGGCAGCGATGAGGTGTGATGTGCTGGCGTCGAGGCCGAACGACTCCTGCAGAATCTTGTTGGCGTACGTCGAGACCAAGTTGACTCCGGATATTTGCTGCGCGGCTTGGATGAACACACCAATGGCGACGCGATGGAAGGTCTTGGTCTTTCCCATGTCCAGCATTTCTCTGTAGGAGAACGGAGCGAGTTCGATCTGCGCTTCGAAGGAGGCGATGATTGCGTCACGTTCAAACACTAGGTCTGGATGGCCGTCGGGCAGGTCGCGAAGCTTTGACAGGTTGTATGTGCCCTGCAAACATTGTACTGTTAGCGAGGCGTCTTCACCATCTAGAGGAGCGTGGGTACGGCAAGCACAAGCACGAAACACACCTCTTCAACGCGGCCGTGTTTGATCAACCAACGGGGGGACTCGGGAACAAAATTGATAAATATGAAGACGATCAAGGCCGGGACGAGCTGGATGCCCACGGGTATACGCCATTGCGCTTGACCCTTTACAAAGAAGAAGCCATAACCAATGAGCTGGCCGCAAGCAACGCCGAATGTCTGTAAACCACCCTCAATCATGACTAGATCAAGTCAGCCATCTAGTCCTCGAATACGAGAGAAAGGGGGAAGGGGAATGGGGTCTGCTTACCCCAACGCCCGCGACTATGCGCTTTCGCACACTCAGACTGCCATGACGGCACCGTGGCGACCTGTAAGCCGAGCCCGATGCCGCTGATAACGCGACCCAAGACCAGCTGAGATATAACCCAGGCACTGGTCTGTAGCGTGCCGCCGACCAGCATAAAGAGCATGCCGAACCAAACGGTCAGACGACGACCGAGACGGTCACCAAGGTCCAAGCAGGCGAGGGCACCGACAAGAGCACCGAGTTCAAATGAGGCGATCACAATTCCCTGGACATTGGCGTTGTTCATCTCGGGAAAGACAGTTATGAAGGTCTTCTCGGTAATGAGACCGCCCTGTATTTGTTCTTAGACCAAGCGTGTCATTGGGGAAAAGCTAAAGAAAGGCAAGTGTACCATGACGCTCATGTCGTAGCCGAAAAGCCAAAATGCACATGTCGCAATGCCGGCAACGAGAAAGTTGAGCTTCAGACCAGACGTGCCCATGTGGGTTGTGTACCTGGTCAACGGGAAGATGGCCATCTTTGCAAAGTGGAAAGCGAACGTGGTCTGGGTATACTCTTGGTTTGAGGTAAATAAGATTGATTTTGACTCAGGACATATCTCATAGCAGCAACTCGATGATAATCATTTCAACTTGAATTTATAGCTGAGCGATGGCGAAGCAAGTTATATATATATTTTTTTTCTCCAGAACATGGGATTTGGTGAGGCGTTGTGCTAAACCGCAGGCCAAGCAAGGTCCCGGGGGATATGAGGCTACAATTCCCCGGAAGGTATCTAGCCCCGAGAACACTTCGTAGCGGGTCAAAAAGGCGGGGCGAAGAGGATTTGCGGAGGAAGTGCTCAATGAGGGTTGGAGAATTGGGTATTGCGGAAGGCAGTCATCGCCGAGAGCGGATCAGTAGATCGCCATCATTAGCGTGGGGAAGCAAAGGCCAATGGAACTTGCGTATCCTAAGGGGCATCGAAGTAAACTATGTAACTGCCCTCCTTCTCGTACTTTGGTTGTCCGCGCTCGGTCCCCCCCACGGTTCGGCTATGTTAGTCCCTCTCTCCACAGGTGCATATTGACTTTGGTAAGTTCCGGAGATTCCCCAAGAACCAAACTTGAAGGGACCCAACAGTGATTGGGACGAGAATTGCGGAGATGTTAGTAGGAATGACTCTGTCTCCGGAAGGGAACTAAGTCCGATGTGCCGCTGTTGAGGGTGAGGGCGGAGCATGGTTTGGTCGAGATTTCCCCCCACAAGATATATAAAAGTAAATGCAAGGCATATGAATGTGCTTGTCCAAGATCTGTGTCTCAAGTTGCACATTCCCTTGACGCTGGACCACACGATGCCTTCCGCTTTGAACCAGTCCTCCAGCAGCCCGCTGTAAGTGTCAATATCTTCTACATAACGAGCCTTCAAGAACGCTTTGTCGGGCCTTTAAACATTGCTATTACATGGCTGAACTCCCAGCAGTTCTCTTAAGGTCATCGGCCACAATGCGGGAACATCCATGGACGGGGTCGACCTCGTCCATGTCCATTTCACCCAGGACGGCCCGACAACGCCATTAAAGATGCAGCTCCTGCACTATGGAGAATACCCGATGCCTAAAAAGCTTAAGGCAAGAGTCATGAGGCTCATTAAGGAGAACACCACGACGCCCGAGGAATTGGCCATTGTCAACATCCAGCTGGGTGAGGTCATTACCAAAGCCGTCAATTGGTTCGCGGAGAAGAACAATTTCAGCGTGACAACGGACATCGACCTGATCGGTGGCCAGGGCCAGACGATCTGGCACCTACCGCTGCCAGAGCTCTTTGAGGGCAACCAAATCCGTGCACATCTCGACATGGCTGAGATCGCCATCATAGCCGCTAGCACGGGCGTCACCTCGCTTGGCAATTTTCGGGTGTCAGAGATGGCTCTCGGCCGGCAAGGCTGCCCACTATTCGCGGCTCTCGACTCCCTCCTCCTGAGCCACCCGACGCTCAACCGCGCTGTGCAGAATATCGGCGGCATCGCGAACTTTTCGATCTTACCCCGAGGCGCCGTCGAAGAGTGTTACGATTTCGATACGGGCCCTGGCAACGTCTTTATCGACGCGGCTGTGCGGTACTTCACCGGCGGTCAACAGGAATATGACAAGGATGGTGCCATGGGCCAGAAGGGCAGGGTTGACCAGTCTGTTGTAGATAAAGTGCTCCAGGGGCCGTACTTCGTGCATGATATACCCAAGACTACTGGCCGAGAGACGTTTGGGGATCGGATGGCGGAAGATATCTGCGATGAGATGCTGGCCCGTAAGTCTGGCTACTTCAATTGAGACAGCGTTTTCGGCTGACAAAAGAGGTGGCCTTGCAGGCGGAGCTACCCCAGAGGACTGTGTCGCCACCATAACTCGCATCACAGCCAAGTCCCTCGCCGATGCCTACGAACGCTGGGGTCCGCCAGGGGGCGTAGACGAGATCTACATGGGTGGCGGTGGATCGTATAACCCCAACATCATCAACTACCTGAAGCAGCGCTTGCCCCACACTCGCATCGTCCCCATTTCCGAGATTGGGATACCTATCGGCGCGAAAGAAGCTCTTGGCTTTGCGCTACTGACTCTCGAGTGCTTCGTCGGACGACCTATGATTGTGCCCAAGAGGACCGAATCGGACCGTCCGGGGTGGTGGGCCAGATCCAGCCGGGCAAGAACATGCACCGCATCCGACAGCATGTTGCTCAGGTGAGTTGAACATTACTGCATTCCCCTCCCTTCTTAGAGCTATCCAGGCACCGTGCTGGATAACCTGACACTGACATCGACGGCAGTTTTGGGGAGACTTTCCTGAGGAGCATGTGAAATGCACAACAGAGATGATTCTTCTCCCTTCTCAGTGCAACACATAGCATACCGTGAGGGGAGTTCACTCATTGATGATGCCTCAGGCGTACATCCGGTGTTGAAATACAGCAGGATAAGGGGATCCCAGGAGGCAGGAGATACTATCTCCCGCCAAGATTTAGTCATGTATTTGAGCCTCATCCAAATTGCCAGCTAGGGGCCTTATAGAAATTCAGACCTGTTATCTCATTGGTGCACCCGTATGATCCACTCCGCTCTCGTTCCGTTATCCGGCAGTTTCCCTTGGTGCCTCAGGCACCCCTGCGGGTGCTTCCCCTTTCTGTTTTCTGCTTTCCCTTTTGTTCTGTTCTCTCGAGATAGCTTCATATCAGCTTTTTCTCTTTTTTTCTCTCTTCCGTTTCCTCGTACTACACAGTAGTCCTCGTCAGAGATCGTTGATCTGGCTTCCTTTCCTGCTTCTCCTGAGATCCGTGATCTCGTCACTTCGGCTACGATAATAGCTGCTCTCAACGGAATAGAAGGAAATAGCGATTATTAAATTCTTTTTTTTCTTCTGTTACCATTCCGGTAACTAACTGTCAATACGAGGCCACCAGATCTTGTCGGAACCGGCGAAATTTGGTAATGCCTAGTAGAGAGTGTGAAGAGTCGAGTCTGACATCCTCGATAGTATAATCTCTACTTACTCCTTAAGAAATCTGGGCCGTAAGCATTGACAGATGTCTAAAGGACGAGGTGCTTTTATACAGCAGGATGAAATGTAACCTATACTCTTGGGGAAGACAGATAGGGACTCCCTAATATCCTGCCACTGGCCCATCCCGATCCCGGCATCGTGTGCGCCATCCGGGGTGCAGCGACGCACATAGACGGAGGCACGAGACAACTAGGAGGTGCACAAGGATCTATCAACTATTTATTCTTCGAACATACACATGCCAGTCGAAACAAGGAGATGACCGCTAATACTATGTGTAAAGAAGAAGATCATTTATTTGAATTTCGTGTTAAATGCGAAGATTGAAATGGTGCAGTGATTTGTAAGCCATCCTGGGATGGGATTTGAAGCCCGTCGCTAACCATGGACTTTCTCATGCCTTCGGACTAACCCAACCATTTTTTCTTTCGCCGCGGACCAGAACACCAAAGCTGGTCCGCGCATCAGTTCGATTCTCTCCTAGGAGGATCCAAGAAAGTGTGCATGCACTATTTTTGAGACAACGACTGGATTGATCCGTGCCCGTAATATATAACACACTCCAATCGGTGGAACTGCACCACCACCCTAGCACTCCGCAATGCCGCCTTTTCGGGAACCCATGTCGAAACAAGTGCGAGGCCCTAGCTCGAGATCAAAATTAGGTAGGCATCGAGACATAAAATGCTATTGTCTTTCATAACAGGGACGCTGACGTTTGATGTCAAGCCTGCGAGCAGTGTCGCAAGAGCCACGTCAAGTGTGATCAGTCGCGGCCTTGTGCTTTATGCAAGCGACGAGGGATTAAGTGTTTTTCACACCAAGAAGCTATTTTCACCGCGCTCGAGTTCAAAGCACCCGTGGCTGGCCTGTTAGAAGACTTTGTCTCCTCAAAGACTGTAGAAGGTCCAGGTTAGCAACACCCACCCGACGGTTGCTATCACCGCGAGAAACAACCATGGGTCTAACGCCTTCTGAGTAACAGCGACCTTTGTGGATGAAACGCAAGGGGTCTCCGACCTATACGAGGTCATAAGAGCGAGCGACGAGGCCTCGAGCGTCTCATCATACCAGCATCCGTCGCCACGGCCTGCACTATCCGGCCACGCTACCCCCATCACGGATCCCACTGACGCCTTTTTCCTCTGGCGATACGTCGAATTCATCGGCCCGCGCTTCGACATGTTCGACGATGCACCGCGATATTTCTCGACAGTCGTGCCGCAGCTCGCTCTAAACGACACGCTTGTCCTGCTAGCCTGTGTCGCCGTTGCAGCCCGCCAGTACTCCCTCGTCAATGACCAACAGCAACAAAATCACGAGCAGGCTTTGACATACTACAACGCTGCTATCAATCTGCTGTCCAAGCGGCTACAGAATAGCAGGCCAGACCCTGCGGTATTTTCGAGCTGTCTGCTTATAGCTCACTGTGAGATGGTCGAGAGCAAGGCCACGGACTGGGGCCTGCACCTCAAGGGGACGGGAAATCTTCTCAGGATGCATAGCTGGCATGGGATGAGCGGCGGTTTGGCACAGGCTGTATGTCCTGTTCTTCATGCTGTGATTATGTTGGCTAACTTGAATATTCATATACAGTCATTCTGGATTTACTGCAGGATGATTATCCTTGCCTCTCTCTGTGCTGGCAAGCCGGCAGCATTAGAACCGAAAGAGTGGCTCCCTGGGGGTGTATTCCCCGATCCCGCCACGTGGACGCTCGAATCGTGGCAGAAAAAGGTTGTTTTTCTCCTCGGGATGGTTCACGATTTCTGGAGTCGCACGCCCGTCGGCCTCGACGAACACGCCGTGAAACTTCACGCTGCCCGATGGAAGGAACTTGAAGCTGAGCTGGTGCGCCACCAGAGCCGAGCGCCAGCCGTGTGCTCACCTCTCAGTATTCTACCTCCGAATGGAGAGGACAATCCCTTCCAGCTGGTGCGTTACTTAAACGGTCCCGTATCCGCAGCATGGCAAATGCTGCACACTGCGTTTCTCATTCTCACTATTTGCACGCCTTGCTCGCAGGCGAGTCGCCTCCCAGTGCTCTCTAGCCCCAACGTGACTCACCGAGCACAGACATACGCACGCCAGATTGTTGCCAACTCGCTGGGGAATCGATGCTCCATCGCATGGGCGAATGCCGTCCAACTCCTTACAATTGCGGGTCAGTGTCTCGTGGTAGAGCCACAGCGGAATGCATGCGTCCGCATTCTGCAAGAGATTCAGCAACAAACGGGCTGGAACACGCGGGCAAGCATCAATAGACTTGGCGCAGCGTGGGAGAATAGTTGGAGGTATGAGTCAGGGGTGAGGCACTCGGCGGTCGGACAAGTAGATGCTGGGAAGCTGCTGTATCATATTTGGCTTGGTGACGAGAGAAGTCCAGAAAATATTTAGTGGCTCTAGGATTAAAATCATATGATCAGTAATAATTACCTTGATCAAGCGCCAATATCTAGGTAGAGGCGCCTATGTACTCCTATCAATCATTTATCATTTACGGCTTAGTCTCAATCTCATCCTGACCCTGATTCCGCTCCAGCTCCAAACCTGAGCCATAGACAGTTCCTGAGCTATAAAAGAGAGTTAGCAATCAATAATTGAAACATGCAACACTGTAAGCACTCACCATTCCATAGTTTTGCATAGATTCCATCATGGTCAAGTAGTTCACGGCCCGTCTCTGCTACGTGACCTTCCTTGAGCACCAGGATCACATAAGAACTGGTCAAATTGTCACCCCTATGACAAATATTAATAAAGCCCCGGGATAGGTTCCCAAGGATATGCTAATACTCCCAGGAGTAAATTTAGTATAGAGAATCTTAATATTTTGGGTTTACTTCCACTTAATATTACTAGAATAGTATAAAGACAAAGACAACAAAACAGTTTAAGTTAAGTTAGAGATGATCACTGACAGGTTATCTGCTCGATATCTAATAAGAATAAAATAATTTACATAGTTTATCTAGTCATATATCTGCCTAGATAGTTCTCCCAAGTCAGGTATATGTTAGGAGAACAGAGAATACTCCTAGGAGTATCAAGTCTTAATAGGTTCAACTATTTATTTAAAAAAAAATTAATTAAGTATATTCTGTTTGTAAAGGGAAAGATCACTAGTCAGTGACAACTTTACAAAGCTAATTCTAGTAAAGTGATCAAGCTAGTATATTATGTTTTAATAAGCCCGCTTACTCAGGCCACCTGAGTTGTAAAAGCTTAGTAAGTGACCTACAATTAATCAGATCAGGGTCAGTGATCAGATCATGGTGCTCAGGGCAGGCTCACTGAGCAAATCAGGGTACTTCGATCAGGCTCAGTAAGTAATCAGTTTGATTACATAATAATCACTGATCAGCTCAGGCCGGTCAGGGGCGTGCTCAATTCTACTCAGGGAGCAAAAGCGGCGAGGGGGTGAGCACTTAAAACGAAAAGGGAAAGCCAAGAGTTGCCAGACATTTTCCTATCCATATGTATACTCCGTGTGAAGCGCAGCCGCGTTGGTTAGGCTAATCCGAATACGGATCCACTAGACCGGATACGGAAACAATTTGCCGGACCAGTGAGTGTCGGAGCATTGACCTGGTGTTGACTGGTGATATAATTACTTATTCGGAAACAAGAATGAGGGCGAGAGTGTGTGCTCTGTACGGAGTACTAAAATTGAATCAAAGTTAGCATGTGGCGTGGCATGATATTCGACAGTTTACGCAGGAAGTATACAATAACTTTTGGCTCAGTAGTTGGTAGTAGTACACCGTAGATTGTATTTGAATAAGCCTCCCAACATTTTCGGCCATCACATGAATAAAGCAGATCTAATCAGGTTGTGTTACTTGATGGCATCAATATCAACAAATACCCAATCGCCAATTATTGAGTATTGAGATTGTGTGACCTTCAAACGTGGGGGGGACCTGCAGATCAGGTGACTGTCAGGGGCACATGTCTGTATTCTGCGCGAGCTCCGGCAGGCATCGATGTAAACCATCGACACTTTTGGGTATGCAGCACGTCGTCTATCGGGGCTAGATAGGGCCATAGCGATTTTCGACCAATGCCGAGCCAGCGAGGGCGATCATAGACTGCGGGGTTTACTCATGGTGCCATCATGCCCACCATCCTGCCGTCTAGCCTTTAGGCTACTCCGGGGTCGCCCGATCGACGATGGGGAACAGCGTGGATGAGGGATCCATCACTAAGTCGCGGGCGCTAATAACGTTTGAGATTGTTGGGACATATGCGACACTACCAAGATTAGAGATCGACGTCATGCTCAGCCATGCTCAGCCATGTTCGCATGCTGCAGACCCCGAGGCTCATTTTTGTGGGAGTGTGGGTACTATGTCTTCACATGCACGGCACCGCGCCGAACAACTGGGGCGAAGGGTGGATCGACAAAAGCCAAAGGTCCCCTTTTAAAACACCCACGCCACCCCCGGACTCTGGGCCTTTGAGGGGAAGTTGAAAATTTACATCTCCAGCTCTTCGGTCGACCCTTTACGTTGCTCCTTGCTCGCCATGAGTGTTCAGCGCAATCCCAAGGACTCGATGAAGTCCACCTGGCGGCTTCAGGCCCGCTCAGAGTGGACTCTCTTCCACTGGTTCTACGAATTACTAGGCATCCACCCAGAGCATCTCGACGCAGACGTTCCTGTACATCTGAAAGAGGATGCCGTTCCTTACGTTCCAGATTGGTCCATGCACCGCTGGGTTCTCACACATGCGGCTATTCCGCTCCTCATCCACCACGCCTACGTCCAATACACCGGCCAAAATTTCGGCATGCTAGGCGCTTTCATTCTCTATAGTATCGCTTTCAAGGCGATCGCCATCCACGAACTCCACGTCCTCCGCCGACTGGGCCATATTCACGGCTTTCTCGACGGCGACAAGCATGCCCGTGATGGCGTCCCCGATATTGGCGTCGCCAAAGTCGTCCGCTCATTGATGTCCACTTCGACTTTCCGGCCCATGTTCACCGTCATGCTTGCCTACAGCGTCGCCCTACCCCCATCAACGATGAGTTTCTTCTGGTTGCCTATAGAGGCTGGTCTATATGGCATCATCCTCGATTTCTGGTTCTACTGGTACCACCGCCTGATGCACGACGTCGGCAGCCTCTGGCAATACCACCGCACCCACCACCTGACCAAGCACCCGAACCCACTTCTGACGCTGTATGCCGATCTGGAGCAGGAGTTCTTTGATATCGCCGGCATCCCGCTGATGACCTTTTTCACGATGCGATTCATGGGAATGCCGATGGGATTTTACGAGTGGTGGATCGGCCATCAGTACGTCGTGTTCGCCGAACTCGCTGGCCACAGTGGCCTGCGTCTCCACGCTACTCCTCCTTCGACCTTCAGCTTCGTGCTTCGGTGGTTCGATGCTGAGCTCGTTATCGAGGACCACGATTTACACCACCGGAAGGGCTGGAAGCAGAGCTACAACTACGGCAAGCAGACCCGTCTCTGGGACCGTATCTTCGGTACCTGCTGTGATCGGATTGAGTCCGTGCCGAATAATGTTGACTACGTCAACCAATCACCCATGCCGCTATACTAAATGGATGTGATGGATATTTATATTCAGCCTTTTTATCTCGCTTTCCTTGCACATACTCTTTTCGGTGAAGTGCGATTGGAGCGGCGTCTATTTTTCTCTCTTTTCGATCTGGCCTATAAATACGTGATACCATGCTAGATAGTTTATGTTAAACGCCAATGAATGAATGATCTTGAATCTGAGCAAGTGGCCAGGGGTCAAACCGACGTATGCTTGACATATTCCAAGATTGCGAGCTGGAGGTTGCTTTGATGCCCACCTGGGCAGTTGTGACTCTGTAGTACACTTGGTTAGAACCTACTGGGTCTATATCGAAATGTCCAGGTGGATACCTTAGGTAGGTATCTCTTTGTAGGTTCGGTGGTACTGAAAACTTGAAGTGTAGATCGAACCAGGGTACGGGAATTTTCCTTTGAGATTGCGTCAGGATAGCAACTTTTGAGCAGAGATGAGTTGGGTCGCTGGCCAATACAGCCGATCTGAAAATATCCATGGGTAGCGAAGATATAATGAGAATGACACCGCCAGAAGAATCAAAATGAAAGACTCACAACCAGGTCGAACTTCTTCTTAGACCCATCAGAGAATGTTAGGCAAGTTGATCGGGTAAAGTTTCCTCCTGTGGGCAGTTTCAGCCGCTCATTCAGCAAGACGCGTACTTTGAGCTCATCACGCAGTGTAGTTAAGACGTAGTCCTGAAGTCGGCTGCCAAAGCGATTCAGAAGTTGACCACGAGAATGGACCAGTGTCACTTCTTTGGTAGTAAAGAAGTCTTTGATATCGCTTGCAAGCTGGACACCCACAGCACCACCGCCAACAACAGCAATCCTCCGACTCTTCTCAATAGTCTGCTGCTTGCCCTGGAGCTCTCGACAAGCTTCACTGCGTTTATTGCATGATAAATTTGCAGGCAATGGCTGCGTTGACCCCGTGGCAAAAGCGAGACATGCGTAGTCTATCCTCTCGCCAGATGCCAGCAAGACCTGAGAATCTGTCATGGCGATAGCCTCGTCTTGGATACGAGTGAGGGTATCCAAAGGAGCACCCTTTGCAATGAAATTATATGGAATGAAAGCCCTCTGCTCGTGTCCCTTCAAGACAGAGTATCGTGGGAAATTGAAGATGTAGTTGAAGTGCGAGTGCTTCTCAATCCACACGACTTTGTAACCGGTTGGCAACGTCTCGGTCAAGCGTCACACGAGCTCGGTGCCTGGAAATGATCCTCCCAACACGATAATACTCTTCGCGTCTGGTGTGTTTCTCCATGTCCAGCTATGACCGTAGGCAGCAACTCGACGGATGGCAGCACGTCCCAAGTAGGGGCCAACCACGGCAAGTGCTTTGGTGATGAATCTGGCTTTGTCGAATACCATCGTGTAATATTTCGTGAGCTCTGTGTCGTGGAATTTGAGATGAACAGGGACAGGAAGAGAGACAAGACAATATGGGAGGAGAGGGAAGGAAGGGAAAGAGGGAACCTTCGGCACCGAGGACTGGCTATCTAGGTACTAGTACCTACAAAAGATCATCTTCACTCCAGCTCCACTAAAAAGCACCTCTGGGACGGCCTTCTTATTCTGACCCCATACTCATGTACCATAAGTTGACTCAAGCCGTGTTCCGAGCACAGTACAATCATCGATACTAGACTTTGGTTGTCTTGATTATCTTCCAAGGTTGATATATAGGAGAATATCCCATTAGTCTTTAGATAAAGGAATCAAGTTCTACCCTAAGGTAGTGTCTGCTAACTTCAATCAATCGAATTTAATGAATTCTTGGAATAAAAGCTCGAAAAGAACCTTTGTTTCAAGGTTTACATACTAGTTTTACGGTCAATGACTCGAAATTGACGAAGATTCTCCATGCTCGGACATCAAGCGCTCCAACTGATCAACCGACTGTTGAACTTCTTCCTGGCTAGGAAGATTGACGACGAAAAAGTAGAGGATGTCCTCTTGTAAGAGCCTTTTGACAGTGCCCTGGCGACGTTTCCTTTTCTCTCGAGGACCTCTGGCTGGCCGGCCGCGGGCAACACGTCTATCATTTCGTCTTTCGCGTCTTGCCTTTCGGCGAGCTTTCCTTCTGGGCACGGGATTAACGGCCCCGCCAGTCAAGAGTGCGACCAGAGATCCACTATTGGCGGGGTGGTTGGGGTCGCTGTATCGTGATCGGAATTGGGACTGCCATGTTGATTGTGAAGCCCGAGAGTGGTCGTCATTTTCGGCTTCCTATAGATTGCTGTAGTTAGCAAAAGATGGGATCAATAGGGACAACATAAAGTCTCACATGAAACGCCTGCCCTCTGCGATCAAAGTAGTCTTGGACCCACGAGCTTGCATGCTTGAATTTATCACCCATGCTAGCCTCCTTTCCGTTATCTTGGTCCCTGACTGCCTGTTCTACAACCCGATCTAAATCGGGATAGATGAGTTCAGCAGCTTCGGAAAGTTCAAACTCTCCATCGATCCGACCGCTGGCGAGTCGGATATTGCTCATTTTCTGCTTCGTTTTGGACAAATTTGGATCCGGATTGCTGTACTTCGCGGCCACTTCGTCGATATTAAGCTTTTTACTCGTAAATATTGTTTGGCCTAAAGTAGTCGAGAGCTTTTGCAATGCGCCTTTTTGTTCGCCTGGGATTGATTCTTTGAATGACATGATCATACCAAATAGCCCGCGGGGAATGAGAACATCTTCGTTGAATTTGTCAAGGAATGTATTCCGGCGTGATCGTGATTGAAGTTCTCTGGCTGTTCCAGCCGCTGTGGCCACGATGGGACTGATAATCTGGGCTGCTAATTCAGGAACGAAGCCGATCACATTTGCAGCCATATAGACAACATCAATCCATTTATCGGACTGCAGAAATAGTCAGTGATATATCCGTAAATGATTTTGAGGCACAGGAGTGTTTGGGTGCGTCAATGGATTGTCTGTTATTCACCTTGCTTGTCTTCTCCCAGTCCACGAGAAACTGTAAAAAAAGCTCTTGACTGACACCGCAGTCAGCGAGAACAGGAGAATAGGCCCGCACAAAGCCATATTGCTTCTTTCTGGGTCGACGTTGTGGGATAATAACGGGACAGGTGAGCTTTTGAACTGGTTGCGGCGGACCGGCCATCTGCACAAGCCCGCGTATCATTTGCTCCTCTCTCATCATTCGATCACCTTCCAAACTGCCTGTTGACAGAGTCTCAGACTCCTCATATTTTGGAGGTCTGACCCGCTCTGCCATTTCATCGAGCTCCCACTCAGCTTCATCTTGTTCAAAGGCATCGTGGTGGTCTGAATCCGAGCTGTCGCTCTCCGAGTCATACCCGGCCTCGGCCGCTTTGGATTGATTCTTCTCGTCAGGGCCGGCTAGATCGTGCTGGGCATATACGCTGCGAGAAGATTCCCCATAGCCATTTTGATTAATCGAATCGCCATAGGCAGGTGGAGCATCTTGTGGATCATGTGCTGCAGATGAGGAAGATGGTTGAGCAGAAGATGGCTCTCGTGATCCTGAGCGAACAGCCTGGATAGCCTCTGATGTGAACCCAATACCGGCGCCGATTAATTTGACAAGCTTTCCCATGGCGACAAAATTATGAATAGGAAAGAGAGGTTCGGCCCCGGAACAAGGGAAGAGTAAGCTTATATGCTCAGCTTCGTCCCCACATTAATGATTGGCCATCCCCACCCGCGTGCTGGTTACCGCTCTTGGACAACATGAAAGTCTAGATCTCGATAGGCATCAAGTAATTATGATCTATACTATTGAAGTATCTGGCTATTAGACTGTATGGGTATATATCAAGCATAACAAAAAAGAGACTGGTAGACTTGATTGATAGTAGAAAATTCTCTAAAAACGCATACGAAAACTCCATTCGCCGATCAACTCCTGCGAGGCCCACGCAGAGAAGTGTAATTCTCTGTTTTGAGCATCAAAAATGCATCTGATCCAAATTTCCAATTCGTAGAAGATACGGCCGCCGATTACCCGGTACCCAAATTGGGTAAGATCGAGGGACAAGAGGCTCGCAGGGATAAAGCCAACAAGCGCCACATCTATTTATTTAGCAGCAGTTAGCAACGTGATCGTCACCAGGTCATAGTTATTTAGTAAAAGCAGGGCATACCATCAGGCTCAACCGTATCTGGTGGTTTCTCCTGCCCACAAGAATAGACAGGAACAAATATCATTCTAGGCTCATCCTCCCGGAAAAACTTAGAATACTTCCAATCGTAGGATCCTCCCTGCGGGTATGTTCCATGGCCCTAAAATAACTCTGCGTTGGCGGTCTTCTTTCAAATGAACTTTGAAGTCTTGTGAAATAGACTTAGCTTACCTTGTGTACAATCCAATCAATGCGCTTGCCATTTGATTGACCATTCAAACACCCCGTATTCAAATTCTGGGGAGATGCCAATCCATAATGTTCCGGAATTTCAAGCCTCGCGGGGTGATTTTCATGTAGCCCATGTACCCCTTGTAGCTCTTGTAGCCCATGTAGCCCATGTAGCGCTGAGCCATAAGAAACGGCCATGATCCTTTGAAAATGTTAGTACAGTAATATTCTCACATTATGATAGGGTATTTAAACTTGAATGGGGAATGGATAACTAGTAGTCACGGTATACTCACGGGTCAATCGCCATAGGTACCATCACACATAGCTTCTGCGATGATTCCAAAGCCTGGCGGATTACTCTTTGAACGTAAGTCGAAGATCCTAGACCGCCGACAAGGACAATTTTCTGGAGTGCAATTATGAGCCGTTTGATCTGAATATAATCCGTGAGCACATACATTTATCACTGGAGAGCCATACTCCAAGTTCGCAACCTTGATCTGTGAATTTATCAAACGAATGATGTTGAAAATGACTGGATCAAATAGAGACCGTACGTCATCATATCTCAGGTAAAATTCGAAAGCACTCGAGTTATAGTATCGGGGATCGCATGTCGCCCTGCCTCTTCTTACCTGAAGAGGCAACTTGAAGCAATGATACGGTAGCCCTTCGTCAAAATCTCTTTTCAGCTTTTCAAAACTGTCCATAAATATGCTTCCTGGTGCAATAAGATGGTTGAGATGTCCAAATGCATCTGGCATGTGCTTCTTCATAAGGCTGAAGAGTCGATTGTCAATGGCCACACCGCCACACTTTGCCCCTGTATAAAATCAGTTTCCCTTCCAACAAAATGAAGGAAAGGAATTGGATGAACTCATTTACCTTCCCTAGATGAGATCCTTGAAAGACTGATAGGTGTAGAATTTGTGACTAGATATGTTGTGATATCCTTATTTGTAATAATTGGTCAGCTGGCAATTAAATTACTTTGTTTCGGTGGAATCTCCATCCATGGATCATGCCCAAATGGCAGGTAGTGAAACATCATGATATACCATGAGAGGTAAAGACTCACCACGGTTCCACCGCCACAGTCGCAAATCAAAATCCCATCCCCAGTCTTGAATTCGCCCTGTAGACTTTGGCAAATAGCCTTTGAGGCAGCCTCTGGCTCTGACAGTACTGTGAGCGTATCGTGGTTTCTCCTGAACCACCAAGCACGCTTCACCGCCCATTCGCTCAATTCTTGGGCTTTTTTGGACCAGGAAGCCGGGGTGGTGAACTGGAGATGAACAGAAGCAAAGTCAAAGTTGATATCTGGTCTCTCTTTGAGATGGCCCCGCGTAAATTCTAGCACATGGCCAAGGTAGTCAAGGATAACTTTCTCAGGATCTTGACAATCCACAGAGCGGAAAGCCGGGTGAAGATCACCTTTCAAAGCAGTGCTCATAAGTACTTCATCGTCGAACTCACCCAATCCTGTATGTTCCTCTAGCAAAAGCTTCGTCCAGAAGTAGGAGTTCATGCCAGGGTTTATGCCAAAGCCCCAATGCGTTGACCTCATGGAGAAACTTGGGTTGTCCACAGGAAAGGCAATCCTTGATGGGACCTTTATAGCATCAACTCGAGTTTCATTGCTTGATGGCCAATTGGTGAGGTAGTGAGAACTTTCCTCGATACTTTTCCCCCTCGGTACAATCATGATCCATATCGCTAAGTTTGTTTGACTTGGTTAGCTAAGGCCCTAGTATATCCCGTAGTTTCCTTCGTAACATACCTGTGCCCGTGGTTCCATAGTCGAGTCCGATTATGACGTGGTCCACCGCAGTATCAAGTTGGGTTAAGTTCATGGTGCAAACGATAGTTTATTGCACAAAGTTGATCTTCTCCTGATGCATGAATGTAAAAGACGTGTGATATTTTCTTGTAGTACAACTGGAGTACTTTTTATACTTATTGACCTGCTACAAAGTACAGAGACATTCAATTAGTTGAGCTTGAATTTGCCGTGCCTGGCATCTTCCCGAGACAAATTCTTTTTGAGAGACCTTATGGTTTTCACTCCAAGTCTGCCAGAGAGTATTTTGATTCCAAGGCTTCCTCGGAGGACGGAGTCTTCCCTCCTAACCACGATAGAAACCCTCGCGAGTCTGATATTGTCCATAACTTAACTAGTAAATTTTGCGAAATTGGGCAGCTACTGTTACCTCTGTCATGTAGTAGTATACTAGGGGCCAAATGCTTTCTCGGGCTAACAGTCCTGAACAGTCCCGATTCGCAGATACCTACACGGCACGGACAAATTTGACCAATCAAAATTAATTCAGTGCGCCATATTGCAGAAGTCATAATGATCTTTGAAATGAGCTCAGAATCTGTCTGAAGAATACCACGTCTCAGTTTTCATACGGAAGACAGCCGCGGCCCCCACTGGACGACTTGCACTTGCTACCGCTATTACTTCCGTGGCTATACAGAAGGGAAGGCACTAGAAGAAGAGCAAATATTCACGGGCGGAGTGGAGAACTGAGACAATCGGAGCGATAAATCAAAGAAACAGACGAGACACATGATACGAGATCGCTGTTGCCAAGCCAGAATTCAAGACAAAGAGTGCAATCCTTTCAACACACCGCTGAAAGGAAAGACCAAAGACACGATCATGGAAAAGGGGAAATCTCACTTTTCTTCTACTTCGGATATCTGGATGGTATACTGTTTCCAACTCTTTGCCTCCGCCTCAATCATTCAATCATCGATTTTCTTCTGACAAATCACCTGTCACATACCGTTCATAGCTACATGAGTCATGGCACGTCGCAAAGCAAAGGTGCCTTCCAAGGCAAAGAAAATGGGTAAAAAGGCCTCATATGGAGTGAGAAGTTTTGTTTTGAACCCCGAAGTCAAAGCCACGAGCTAATGCACAGAATAGGACTTAGATGCGGATCAGTTGGGGCTACGCTACAAATCACCACCACCGTTGGATGTATCCTCCCCTGAAATCGATTTAGGAAACGGCTGGAAGATACCCAAAAAAAGAAAGAAAGATCATAACCCGGATGATGGGGACGAGAAAACCATTACGGAGCCAGATGACAAGATAATGGTGAATCCGAAGGAGTATGTCAACAGGTTGGAGAACAAAGTCGAAGAGCAAAATGGACTTCTAGAAAGCATGGAGAGACAAATCCAGGATCTCCTGCACAACAATTATAATACTCTCGTCGACACCTGGTTTTTAAAGGAAGCTAGTCCACCCGAAGTCCCTTCGAGTGCATGGCCAGACAGGCTAGGCCACAAGATACAAACGTTCGACAACTGGGCATTCAGTAGTGCTATCGTGGGCATTGATAAGTGGAAGGATGTTCCCAGTGAAACGAAAAAGGTGACCATCGCCAGACTCAAGGGATGGGTTGTTCCGGGAGACTTCGATGAGATCGTATCGCGAATGCCTCCTAACTTTCGGACGAGGGCCCTGATGCACTTTGTTCGAATGCTAATGCTCAAAGAATGCCTCGAACTGTTCTTCGAAAATGGCGCATTCTGGTACATGAAAGGGGCCACTGGGGATGATTGCGACGAGACTGGTACATGGGCCCCTTCCTCGCTCCCCGGAATATATGATATGTTCCGCAAAGGTCAGCCTCTCGCATTCAAGATACCCTTTTTGCTGCTCTGAGTCATGCTAATAATATATCAATTACTTTCTCTTAGTGGATGGCAAAATGGCTGCCCATTGGAAAGGTGTGACAACACGGCTTTTAAACGTGAAGTGGGAGGGAGAGTTCGGCTATCGGGACCCTACACCCGTGAAAGAGATCGTGAATATTCGAGCCGCAAAGGCCAGACAGTTTGCTCAAGCGAGATTGGCGGACAAGCACTTCACGAATTTACTTAGAGGAGACCTGCAAGACGAATTGAAAGAGTCGTTCTGTCGAGACTGGGAGAGCATGGCTCATCTATCGATGGAGATGTCAAAGACGGCAGCGACTCTTTCATGGCGAACCCTGGAAGATGGCCCAACCATTCATGAAACGGCCATTCCACCTCAATTCTATCGTCGGTCTCTGGACGTCGAAGGTGCACATTCGCATAAGCTATGTAATAACGGCTCAAGACTCGATAAACGCCCTATAATTGCGATTCTTAGTCCGGCCTTCGGACAATTTGGAGGAATACGCTCAGCAAGAGAAGTCTATACGATTAAAAAAGCAGAAGCTATCATCGATGACCCTCTAGGAATGCCTGGAGATTGGGGCTCCGATGATGAAGAGGCTGAGGCAGCATGGCAAAAGAGTCTACCAGGACATAGGAGGAATAAGAAGAGAAACACGATGACGACTTAGGAAGATGATACTACTTCAAGTATCCCTTCCAACAAGGCTCAGGAAAAAAATAAGAGAAGAAAGAGCTGAACGATCTTTCAACCTTGGCTTTCGGTTATTGCTTTCAAGGATTTAATGCCAGTAACTTTTTACCTTTTCGTCTCTTTTCTTATGTATCTTCCTTCAAGATGTTATGCCTGACCACTCAATTTCATTATTCGATCCTATTTCAAGTTATTTTCGGCAGTTCATTCTTTCCTGGCTTTATTACGTGTCCTGGTAGTTTATTCTTAATGGTTTTGCGTTGTTTTGGGGGGGGGATGGCCGATTCCATCAAATTTTGCACATGAGTTTCAATGCCCAGGTGGCTCCTTGAAGTACCTGGGTAGACCTGTTTAAGTCAAAGGATTCGATAGCTACTTGCCATGGATAAGCGCCAAATTTTGTTGAATCAATTGGGTTCAGTTTGCACGAATAAAAATTGAGAAGCCCGGAGATCATCACCAGCGTAGGTCTCAAGGTGCCAGGGTGGTTTATAAGTTGCACAAAAACTCCCCACAGCCTGCGTAGATCTTCCAGCAAGACTATCTACCTGCGTACTTGTATATAGTAGTACTAGAAAGGTCTCAACTTGAAGGGTTTGGATCTTCAAGTTCTGTGCATGTACTAGTACGGCAGCAACTAGTAACAGATTTTCTATGTGGTCATAAAGAACCAGACAAAACGTAGAGAACTAAATGAAATGGTGCTATAGGTTACATTCTTAATATCAGCGAAACAGGTATATGCATCTCAAACATTTCTATGGGATTAAGTAGCTTTCCAGAGCAAGTTGACTTGCTTTTTCCGGGCCTGTAAAATATGCGATTAGCGTTGAAAAAAGACGACAAGGGGGGATAGAGAGAGCAGAAGGATACTTACAACTGGGGCCAAAAAGATGACACCGCCAGTCAATGCCACTACGGTCAAGACTAACTGCAATTTAGAGAAGCTCTTGCCCAAAACATCGAATGCCTGGCTGGGGGTAGCGCGAGTTCCAAAGATGTCGCCACCGTATGCAAGGACCAGGCTGGTGCTCTCTAGTAGTGTGGGACGAGAAAGTACATCCTTGATACCAGCGACATCACGTGTATGCGTGAGGTACCATTTTCCATCGAAGTCAAGGAATGGTGCGTAGCGGAAGAGTCCCTCTTCAGCCTCGGCAGAAGTTGGGTCCCGGTCAACGGGGCGGCGAGGGTCCAGAACAGGACGGGGGATGCCAACGATGGAGTTGGAAGATGGCAGAGTGCAGAGAAGCTGGCGGGTGGTAATGCCTTGGCGGGTCTGGGTCACAGTCATGTGGGAGATGGGCTCTGTGATCATGAATGATTGAGAGACAACATGGGGAAGGGGAAGGCTCTCGGCACCGCTGCTGTGCAGACTGGTGTAGTTCCCGGCCGCGTCCAGGGGACCACGGTCGTTCGCAATGGAGGACTCGTAGAGCTCAGAAATGACAAGCTGATAACCCTTGGCGGAAGATTCGCCAATGGCATCTCCGAAGAATGAGTATGCGAACCAATTCTCAGACATCACAGACGAAATAGGCTGTGTAGGATCCACGCCAGCTTGGGTCGCTGAGTGAAGGACTCTACCAGAGACGCCATCTAGAAGGTAAAGACCGGCAACATGATCCTTCTCATTGACAGCTGTCACAAGTACCAGATTCGGACTGAGATACTTGTAGAGGACAGACCGGTTTCCGAGAACCTTACCAATCGATGCAACAGGGTCATGCGCGGGCCGAGCAGTCGCCTTGACGACCTTTTGACCCGACGGCGGAACAAACTCCCATACAGGCGTCTTGTTATCACTCTCGATCCAGCCAAGGACCCGACCGTTGACACTGGTGGTAACCAAGAACCCTGTAATATCGTTGAATGGAGTAACAGGGCTGCCGTCCTCTCTGATACCCACGCCACCGAGGCGAACAAGCGAAGACCCATCTGACACAACAAAGTTGGCAATGGACTGAACCTTTGTACCTTCCAGTGCGGTATGGGTGGAGGTTTTTCCTGTCGAGGCATTGACTGACACATAACTACCGTCACTGAGATCAATGATAACTTGCCCCGGACGAGCCGTGATATCTTTCACGTCCCATGCCTGCTCCGATGCCTGGACACTCCAGATCACTGCGCCTTGTCGGCCAGTGTCAAGAGCATAAACTCGTCCACTGCGGGTGGCCACGATGACGGGTTTCGCGACTCCGAAGCTATCCAAGTTGGTGACTTCATCAGACAACACACTACTGACGATGCGCTGCGGTAGTGCCTTGAGCCAATCGGGCAGGTGCTGGAGGTCACGCACATGACGCTTGACACGGTGAATGTAAGCGCCATGAATGCTATCATGTCCCTCAACTTCCAGCTCATGAGCAAGGTCTTCTTTTTCTTCAGCTTCGACCCATGTGGCAGCAACAGCGTCAATCAAGGCCTCAGGGCGAGTCCACTCGATCTGGCCATTTCGAATCAATTGCCAATCTCCGGAATCCCGCAGAACAACGGCTCGAACAGCCACAGATTTGCCCTTCGCAACCACCTCAGCTACTGCAGCCTGAGCATAATCGGCAGATGAGGCATCCACATTCCAACGCCCGATGATACCGTGCGAGGCGGAAGAGACAACAACAACCTCCGAGTCCGTGACGCGTGTGAAGTAGACGTTGGCATCGATACTGCTAGTGGCGATCACAGATTGGCCCTGCAGGTAAGGCAGCTGGTAAGCCTTGGTTACAGCTGCTGACTTCAGGTCCACATGGTAGACCTCCGCCCATGCCCCGGAGCCAGTCTTATAGTGAACCAAGAAGTGTGGAAGGGAGTTCAGCTTGTGAGGAGCATGGACTGTGATTTGGCGTATTTCCTCGCCGGAAGTGTTATCAATGGCGAGTGAGCTGATTTGCTTTGAGCCAATAACATTGATTTTGAGGGACTTGTGCGCTTTATCGGTCCAGACAATCAATGGCGACGCAGTGTTGGCCCCAGCGAAAAGGACGGATTCGGGCCCCGTGATATCACCTTCGGTGTTCAAAACCTGTTGGCTAGTTTGACGACCGGTGATGGGATCGAGTGCAGTAACCTTGATCTTTGAACTCTTCAACAGACCCGATTGAAGCGAAATGTAGAAAACCTCGGTGGGGGAAGACGAGACCTGGAACGGAATATCTCCGCTGGAGACCAAAGTTAGCAGCGCCAGAGTACGGGGCAAGCGGGGACGAACCTTTCATCGATATATTCCCACTTCACAGCACCCGAATCACCATCAAATCGTCTGACGGAGCCGAAGCTTTTGCCAGAAATCAGCGCAAGCGTGTCTCTAGTGTCAGATGTCGCTGTGACATCCTCCAATTCCAGAAGCTCGATGTCAGCAACGTTGTTGCCGTCAAATTGCTGATCCCAAATCAATTTTCCATCTTGAGCACTCCAAGATGAGATGTAGTCTCCTGCTGCACCAACAACAGCGTTGTTTCCATCCAGGCCACGCAAGAGACCGGCTCCTCCAGCCGGAGAATCCGATCGGGAGATGTTGTGTCGCCAAACCAGCGCGCCATCACGGGGGTTGACTGCGCCCAGGATCAACTTGTCGGATAACGTGTAGAGGAGCGATGCGTTGGAGGCCGAGGAAGGTTTGAGGAAGAAGGTCGAATCGGAGGAGGGGGCACCGAGGAGGGCGTGATGGAAGTCAATGTGATTGACTTCGTCGGAAAATATGGCTACCGCGGGCGATATGCACGCAGCGGCCAGAAGCGCCGCCTGAAGTCGCATGTTGGTGGACGAGCGACAAGCAGGGGGAGGAGAGGTGGAAGTAGAGGGTGGTGTTGACGACAGCTCTGGGCGGAGATGGAGATGGCGACGAGACGTCCCCGGACCCGTCGCAGCTAGGCGGACAGGGAACACATTCTTTTACTCCACATTCAACTCAACCCTTAGAAACATCTCGACTTTTCAATTCTATGAAATGTGCAGAAACTCACTCATATATGCTCCAATGATGAACAAATTTATAGATTGATATTCACATTTCTACTGATTTACAGACCCAGCATCATTCCTCCGCAATGGCATCCACTTCAATCTCAACCAACATGTCATCATCCACGAAACTATTAGCTACTACAATCATAGTCGCAGCTGCTCCAACCTGTCCTCCATTTTGCTTCCCTAGAATTTCCCTAAATGCCTCACCAACAACCCCACAATCCTCTTTCCTGCTCACGAACATCCGACACCGAACTACACTCTCTGCACCTTTCCCACCGACCGCTTGGATAGCTTGAATGATCTCCTCCAATGTCACACGTGCTTGCTGTCTGGCGTCACCAGGATACCGGACTCGGGGTGCCTCTGGTGGAGAATCGGGGTCTGCTGCAGTCGAGCCGGATACAAAGATATGCTGACCACGACGGACCGCTCGGTAGTAGCCGATCCGAGCTTCCCATGGAGAGGAAGTGCTATAGAAGCGTTTGGCCTCGGAATTTGCTTCCAGAGACATGTATTTTGTGATTGATAGCTCGGGGGCTATCTGTCATTCGAATGAGAAACGTTTGTGTGCAAGGTCATCAGCTTGCAAGTCAACTTTTCGGGCTTGGATGTCCACTGGCAGTACCTCAAACCGCAATCAGCTTGGTTCGTAGAAGATTAATTGGTAGTGGATTGTTGATAGACTGATTCAAGTATCCAAGTGGCTCTCGACCTCATTTTATGCCGCCCCGCTACTCCCGTATTGTCCGGCGCGAAGCGAGTGAGTCATCCGTGATGCTTCCATTCAAGTTCATGTTCTTCATTGGGCGGGGGTACTTAATACCAGTACTATGTGGATTGAAACACCACGACCTAAATGAATTTTGGAACGGGAATACTACTAGTAGGAACTGGTATAAGTTTATCCGCAACTGCAAACGAAACTGCCTTATAGAAGTTGATCCGAACTCCGGATATAACGAACTTATCCTCAAGGTATTTCTATCTTGAAGTTGAACAGATATCAACGGATGGATTCCAGGGTCCATGAAGCTTCATAATGTGTACAGCTCTACTAGTATTTATCTGCCTTATTACACCTAGTAGTACTATTCACACGCATATCCGAGATGTAGTGGTAGTAATAGTAGTAGGATATTCAAGCATGAATGCGATGCCCCCTATATTCAAGAACTAATAACACCTTTATATGAATACATACAGTTAAATCTCTATCTTACAGACCAAAGCATGCCTGGTTGGCTGAACGCACAGCCTCCTTTTCACCCTCAGTCATAGAATCGGTGATCTCCCAGGGCTTGTTACCAAGTCCCATCGCACGCTGCCCGTCGGCATTCAACGATGACCACTGCAGAGCACCCTTGAATCCTCTCTCACCAGCGCCTCCAGCCCCCGGGAAATCCCAGGGAGGAGAGTAGTCGAGAGCTGCTTGGCGCTGCTTCTTCAGGTAGTCAATGTTCATGTCACACAGAGGAGTAGCTGGGATGTAGAGAACACTGGAGTCACCAGCCCCGCGATGTTCCTTGTCCACTGAGTGGAGCATATCACAGTGCCAAGCGACAAAATCACCAGGCTCGACCTTCGGAACAGGGACCATAGTCGACTCCAACTCAAGCTCGGGATGAGTCGCTGGGTTATACTCCTGGCAAGCGCCCGGAACAGAGCCGGGGAATGTGTTGTCTAGTTTGGGTTGTTGGGTTTTCACATCGAAGAATGGACGCAGGATAGTGTATGCGGTGCTATGTCGGATCATCGGGCAAACATGCAGTGAGCCTTCGCCGGGGGCCGTCTCGGACATGGATAGCCAACCCTGGAAGAAACGCAACATAGAGCAGGCACCCGCACCGTTATACAAGTCCATCTTGGCACCCAGGCGGTGCTTCACATCCCACGGATCATAGGCTTCCCAGTTGCCCTCAAGAATCTGTTTGTATACTCTTGAGTATTCTGGATCTTCCCAGCGCTCTAGCGAGCCACCGTCGATATGGGGACCGAGTGTGAACTTGGCATCACCAGGGTCACGAATTCGCAAGCGATCTCCGTAAGTGAGTGGATTGGATGTTGAGACTTTTGTTTTCGGGTCCGATGAATGCCATAGGCGCTGCAGGAAACGCTGAGAATCCAGCATGTTGGGATGCGCGCGAGCCTCCGCCTGTGCTGGGGTCCAGTACAATTCATACACGGCTGGAGATTCGGCCGGGAACGCCTTGACGCGGTCCTTGTTGGCTGCGACGTACTCTTCGATGCGGTTCTTGTAATCACGCGCCTCTTTCCGGGGCACGACGTTACGAATAACCACAGTGCCACGGTGACGAATCTCTTTCATCGTAGCTTCGGGTACTTTGCCTGCCACGACATCGGCATACTCTACCGATGGGATGATCTGTTATATTGTGTCAGTGAGTGTAATCGAAGATTGGATTATCGGCAGCAGTATCTGGAATGATTGGACATACATCGCTGCCTTTGGTCTTGATCTTGTCGACTTCCTCTTCGAGGCTAGGTAAGAGCCTCTTCCAGCTCTCGGTCAAAGCCTTTTCATTTTTTTCGAACAGACTTGTCTTCAGATCACGGAAACGCGAAGGTAGAGGTTCGGGTTGGTAGTCTGGTCTCAAACTAGGGAAAACCGATGAAATATCGCCGGCGGCTTTAGTTGTTTGGGCCGCACTAGATGTCGATGCGGCGCGAGCAACAGTTTTTGAAAGGTGTCGAGACATCGCCATGATTGAATATTGGATGGATTACTGAGTAGAGATATTTAGAGAGTTCAATCTTGTCCTTTTATATGTTCGTCACCATCGCGGGGTGTAGATCACTGACAGGGCGGCAGCTTACTCCCTTAGGAAATCTTCCCGCTATAGGGCGGTTAGGGTACCAAAAAAAGACTAGCGCACTATGGCATCTCATTGCTTTCCAAGATTCAAGTTGGCTTTTTGTCAGTGAGATACATTTCCATAGTTAAATTTAGAGTGAAATGAGTTGGTTATGATGCCTTCGGATGATCAAACTACCAGCCAATCCCCGCGATCGCGGGGGTTGCGCAAATTCTAACTTGAAAGCCCATTTCCGGGTTCTACTCCAGATTTTAGATATTCCCTACGTCTACTCCGTAGACCGACTGGCAGCGGATGGTGACCTTCTCGCCTGTCCATTTGCTGACCATAGCTAATAGTGAAGGCTCAACATAGGGTCATTCGAAATAGCCAAAAATGTCCCTTGGTTCAGCACAGGTAGATAAGTCGATGGGAGATTCAAGTAATTTATGGCCAGTTGACCCGACACGAAATGTGATTCATTATCGATACCTCTTTATTGGAACAACCATAACTCGTCAGACACCAAAGGCCAAATGGTACCGCTTTCGCCGCTCAGCTATATCAAGGTGCCGAGAATGTTCCCGAATGTGAGGGGACTGACTATTCAGGAAATTTACCCGCCTTGATGGAGCCTGTAGTGGATGATGAAGTCATTTTCTATTGGAGTTGCGGGGCGCTCGACATTGCGCGGCAAATTTATTGGAGCACAGTAGAAATGTACGGTACAACATCGCAGTCACTTTAGCATGGGCATTTGATTTGTGTAGAAATGGCGATAATACTCGATGCAAAAACTAGTAGGATATCTCCGGTTATACAAGAAGAAGTATCCCTCCGAGTAAATATTGATTCGAATAGGGCAATTCTGGCGAAGAACTGCTGCTCTCCCCACTGCCGATCTACATATCAGGTTGGAACAAGAAAGAAAAAAATGGCCTGCGTGTAAAACGTCAGATGAAGAATTTACAAAACGGCAAAAGAGGCGAGTCTCGGCCTGTTCGTCCTTCTCGGTCGAGGTGCTCAGGGTATCGGTTAAATCCCACGCGGGGGTGCTCTAAAATGGCTATGCTACGCGCTGTAAAGGGACCCGAAGTCCCACCATGGTTCCACAGAGTACCCCGGCATAAAGAAGCAGACGGATCCGCAAGAGAGGGGAAGTATCTGAGGAAATCACTTACCCAGAATCTCGACTAATACTAGTATTATGGCTTTACCGGTTCAAGGCAGAACTGCCATCGTTACTGGTGCAGGCTCCGGTATTTCACACTTCTCTAATTAAATGTATATTGAAATAAAGACTTAGAACTTATGCTCACTGATCGGTAGGCATCAACCTTGCATTCGCCAAGTTACTGTTACAAAATGGTTGCAACGTCTTGATCGCGGATTTGGGCTTACGCCCCGAAGCTCAAGTGCTTGTGGAAAAGTACCAGGCTGGTCCTGTGAGAGCCATATTCCAAAAGACCGATGTGACAGACTGGCCGCAGTTGGAGCGGATGTTTGAAGTTGCGGAGAAGGAGTTCAATGAGATCGATATCGTCTGTCCCGGTGCGGGAGTCTACGAACCAGTAGGTCTACTCACCTATTATTTCGGTATATCTCAGGGCCCGAATTTGCTAATGAGATCTACTATTCGAACAGCACTGGAGTAACTTCTGGCGTCCTCCTGGTAGTCCCCCCAGCAAGGACTCCGGCGGTCGCTATGCCTTGGTGGATATCAATATCACACACCCCATCCGCACGACACAGCTGGCAATTGCGCATTTCCTACGACATCGTGAGAACGGTCGTCCCAAGCACATCGTCCATATCTCTAGTATTGCTGGGCAAAATTCTGCCTTTGCAGCCCCGATCTATGTGGCCACGAAACACGCCATCAACGGCCTGGTGCGATCACTTGGTAAACTCGAGCGCCTGGGCATCCGTGTCACCGCTGTGGCGCCGGGAGTTATCAAGACTCCTCTCTGGACAGATCATCCAGAGAAGCTGAAAATGGTGTTGGATAGTTCCGACGAGTGGGTGACCCCCGAGGAGGTTGGTGAGGTGATGCTGGCCCTCGTGCAGCAGGAGCAAGTAAGTGAGGTCATTGGCGATCGGTCTGGAAAGGGCAAGCAGTTCACTGTGTCTGGAGGCAATATCTATGAGGTCTCCAAGACGGTTCGACTAGTTAATGCATTCAATGATGAGGGGCCCGGCAATCGGCCGGGAAACACTGCGTCCGACCACGCAACAGTGGAAGAGGAGAGTTTCGGACTTCTGGCGCAACCAGGATGGGGACGATCCAAGCTGTGAGAAATTTCCAGTGTTGAGGTAGTCAGAGTGAGTCCATATCACGCCATTAAACAATGACGACTATGATGCATCACTCCCAAATCAATCATAGAGTAAAGTAAAAGCGGAGAAAGTCTGGCGTGGCTGTGAGTGCGGGCCAAGAAGTCCCCAAGTCAGGTGCTATCGGAGCCGATAAGGCGAGGCCACTTGGACTAAGGTAACCTTCGAAACCCCCCAAGCCCTTTCGTCTCTCTTCCACGCGTGTCACATCTTGGCTCTGCTATTTGTGGTCGCTGGAAGGCCTTGTACCGGGCCAAATCACAACGAAAGTATCAGCGACGACCTTTTCCTAACGATGGAGGCGGACGTGGGGGTTGGCCCTTCTGGGTCTTCCCAGAGTGGCCTTCGACGGTATGTCTGAGAGTCTCGGCCTCGCCTTACCACGAACTAACCTGAGCTATGTATCCCAGACGTCCGAATCGAGGAAAACGTGAGACGGGTATCGCTGGCGACGCCAGCTGGTCGAGCAGTGTCATCAATCTTGTCAATACTAGTGAGTGGAGACTGTCGAGATCTCGCGACGATTTCCATCCTATGTTTCTTGGTGTGACTAACAACGCAATGGACTTCAATAGTTATCGGTGCCGGAGTTCTTGCCATGCCATTGGCCATATCGCATATGGGAATTCTCTTGGGAACGTTCGTCATCCTATGGTCCGGAGTCACAGCAGGCTTCGGTCTCTATCTACAATCGCGATGCGCTCAATACCTCGACCGCGGAAGCGCCTCTTTTCTTCGCCCTGTCGCAATTGACATACCCCAATGCTGCCGTTGTCTTTGATGCCGCAATTGCCATCAAATGCTTTGGGGTCGGTGTGAGCTATCTCATTATTATCGGCGACCTGATGCCGGGCGTCGTCAACGGCATCGTGGGAGGTGACCCGGCCTTTGACTTCCTCGTGGATCGTCATTTCTGGGTAACCGCCTTCATGTGAGTTACAATCAATAGAAGCCATTATCTTCTAGTTGCTAACAGGCTTCCCGGATAGGTTGATCGTGATCCCCCTTTCATACCTTCGTCGGCTCGACTCATTGAAATATACGAGTATTGCGGCCTTGGTGTCAATGGCCTATTTGGTTGTTTTGGTCGTATATCACTTCATCAAAGGAGATACAATGGCAGATCGTGGCCCTATCCGTGTAATCCACTGGGCAGGTCCAGTACCAACATTGAGCAGTTTCCCAGTGATCGTATTTGCGTTCACCTGCCATCAGAATGTAGGCTCCCAAACCAACGTGTTTTTCTCCGCATATCAGCTAATCAAATCTCCAGATGTTTTCAATCCTTAACGAAATCAAGAACAACAGTCATTTCCGCACGACAAGCGTCGTATTTGCCAGTATTGGCGGCGCGGCGGGCACCTACATTCTCGTCGCCATCACCGGCTATCTCTCTTTTGGAAACAACGTGGCAGGCAACATTGTCGGCATGTATCCACCAGGTGTCGCAGCAACGATTGCACGTGCTGCCATCGTAATGCTGGTTGTCTTCTCTTATCCACTCCAGTGTCACCCTTGCCGGGCGTCAGTGGACGCTGTTTTGAAATGGCGCCCCAAATCAGTGCCTCGGTCGGCAGAGGGCTCACCACACCGACACCCATTGCTAGGTCCACGTGGTACTCGAACTGTTGAGCCGATGAGTGACTTGCGCTTCTCAGTCATTACCACCACCATTCTTATCATGAGCTACCTCGTCGCTATGACTGTGTCCTCCTTGGAAGCAGTGCTAGCCTACGTTGGAAGTACCGGAAGCACAAGCATCAGTTTCATCCTGCCAGGTCTTTTCTATTACAAGATCTCCTCTCCTGATTCTCCCGCCCATCGTGGCCTTCTCAAGGACGACGAGGCAGCTGACGACCTATCTGATGAAGAGACCCCCGACGATGAAGGCGAGGGCTCTCTTAATCAGTCATTGACAGATAGTGGCTTCTTGCCTCGACCTGCTCGTCACTGGCGCAAAACAATCCTGCGCCGTCTCAGCCTGGCCCTTGCTCTATATGGTGTCGTGGTCATGGTCGTGTGCTTCATCACCAATACATTCTTCATTGCATCACCTTGAGGGATAATAATTAGCTCACCCGCCATATACTGTCATTTAACTTCTTCCCTTTCCTTGCTCGCTGAAGAACGTAATGCTTTTTGTCTAAGGTTTACAGGTCCATAGATATTCTCTTTCTTTCTTTCTCTTTCTTTCTTTCTCTTTCTTTCTTTCTCTTTCTTTTTTTTTCGCATACACGTTTCATTTCAGCATATCCTCGCTTTCTGTAGATATTTTGCGGGGCTTCTTTCATTTGCATTTCTTGGTTTCGATTATCGCAAGGCGTTTGGAGCTTTTAATTAATACTACTCGCTTGGTTTGCTTACAAAGTTGATCCATTGGCTACGAATACTAGGACCATCAAGCTGCGCCTTTTAGGGTAGAAATAGAGACGAGGTGATGTTAAAATAATTAATGGCTTTTGCAAGCATATCAACAATGATCGGGTTTAAAACAATTGGAATAAAACAAAATTGCCGAAACGGAGTAAAGCAGAGCAGAGTAGACATAAAGACAACTTGAAAAAGGCAAAATAGACATCATGCTCATGAAACCAGCACCGAGAAGCGCCTAAAACTGCTTACTATTCAAAGTAGCGCGTCTCGATCAAACCTGCCCAACGATCCAAACTTCTAACCTGGAAATCCTCCAATCCATACCAGGGGCCGGGGACACCGCATACACATTGCATACTAAGCTTGGGCTGGCTTAGCTTAGTTGTTATTGGAGCCATTCAGGATACGCAGAATGGACATGAACAAGTTCAGCACATCAAGGTACAGCGAGATAGCGGCAGCAATCTCCTCCTCAACATGGTAGTGGCGCATAACCAGCTGGGTATCGACAAGGATGTAGCCGGAGAAGATCAGCGCGCCCAGGACACCGTACACGATCTCAAGGGTGCTGTTGAACGGAATGAAGGCCGCGACGAAGCCGAAGAGAATCATGAACCACAGTGCGCCGAAGAGGTACGGCATCCAGTCGGTGAAGTCGTACTTGGTCTGGCAAGCGAAGAGGGTGAGGGCGACGAAGATGCCGAGGGTGAGGACGAGTGCTTGCACGACGACTTGGACTTCGTAGAAGGATGTTGCTACGCTGACGGCGTAGGCTTCCATGAGGGTGAAGCCTGAGAGAAAGAGGAGGTTTGTTGGGTAGGATTTGCGCTTCCAGTATGTTGCCAGCATGAAGCCGAGGGCGCCGAAGACGGAGATTATCATCAGCCAGAAGTTGGATTGGATCCAGGTGCGGTAGGTGGCGTTGAAGAAGGAGATGGAGCTCATGATGGTTGTGAGGAGGATTTGGACGGTGCTGTGGATGTAGATGTTAGCGGGTTTTCTTCCTTCTTCAAGATAGTGGTTCGTTCTTTTATTTTTAGGCTAGGAAGGCGGGGACATACAGAATCGAGTACACTTTGCGGACGAACTGCATCCGAATCTCGATGGTTCCCTCCGCAACAGTGCCGCCGAACTAAAGATATATCAGTACTTGTTTCTTTGCCATAGGATGATGCTTGGTATAGCTTACTTTGAAGTCATCGGGCAAGTTGTCATTCTCACTGCGTGGCTCGTCTGGAACTGCTGTAGCCTGGTAAGACGGAGGTGCTTGGGTGTATTCCTGGTCCTCAAAAGAGTCCCGCGTCGGGGCGCGCTCGTATCGCGCGTTAGCAGCCATAACTTATCGATCTTCAACTATCTTGTTAGATGCCAGAAGTTGATGAGAACGTTGAGAGATGTAAGGGTGGGAGGCTGAGGCATCAATAGCGGCGGGTTGGGGAGGCTCCGATGCCATGTGACGTTTAAAACACGTGACTTGATCTACACCACAAAGCGGGCCCGTGGAGTCGAAGTGGGACTGGGAACTATAAGATTGTACAAAATGGGAGAGCTTTGTAGATATAAAGATATGTGCATTTCATCGCTAGATGACTGAAGTCTATCTGATGATTCTAATAGTTTGTTTTCACCCCATCGATTTGATCAACCCTACTCGGCGATGCGCCGCATGGTTGGTGACTGCCGTTCAGAAGGCGGTACTTGTGATTCTTCATGCGCAGCATCGGCTATGGATCCAGACTCATCATCTGTAGTCAATACAGCATCCTCATCCTCATCAGTGGAGTCGTCTGGACTGTGGTTTATCTCATGAGACATGCTAGTGTTGGACATGTAAGTCGGGAGCCGACGACGCTGGAAGTCCTGCGCATGGGCCGAGGCAACAATAGTGCCGACGCGAATGATGCCAGCGGAGGGGCGTCTGTTTCGAGCACGTAGACTGGATGTAGCCGTTGGTCCCTGTTCGATATCTGCAGGGTGAAGAAATGGTGTCGCGACATGCTGCTGTTCTTGCAACTGGACATCGTCCGGCTGGGGACCGTCCAAGCCGGGCGTTGGTATATCCGGGATTTCGTACGGAAGAGGGATATCCCTCGAAGCCCGGAACAATAGAACATTTGTGCAGTGTTCATTCTCCACTCGAAAGATGGACCACACGCCACGACGACAAATTTCGGAGAGTGCGACAACAAAGCTGAGGACTGCCGAGTGTTGGATGTCGTGGGACCAAATGGCGTAGAAGATCCAGTTAAATCGAATCACGACATCTAGCACCATGGCTGCGTAGTAAACCCAGACCCGGCGGAAGGCAATGACCTCACGCAGCAGTGGGTTCTTGGCATATGGGTTACCCAGACTCCAATCCATGATCAAATCCCAGACTGAAGTATAGACGGCATTAAGAAGAGCGAAGGTAATGAAAGACGCCTGGAATCTCGTATGCCGGTCGATGCGATACATGCTCAGAGTTGCATAGTATAGAACACCAAAAATATACTTCCCTAAGTTGAGCAGGTGAGGGAAGGCGTTTCTCGTGTCGGCATATCGGCGAATGCATTGAAACGCTCGCCAAACCGCCGGGAGGCAAGTGAAGAATCCCAGTAGCCTAGAATGGTTGGAGTTGCATTTGATAGGATTCGTCCAATATGAGGCGTAGAGACAGAAAAACAATTCAATGTTCTGTGAAAGGTTAGCTAAGCCGTGGCAGCAGGTTTTGATATAATGTATACTCACTCCCATCGCATAAGTTTGAGAACAAAACATGTCGCCGAGGAAGAAATCACGGAACTCAACGGGATATATCCCAGCAAGCAACAGTCGCCACTATCTAAATTAGCTCGTAATTCAAGGTGCGCAGTTGGGGCAACTCACGTTTGAAAAGGCAAACCACTTGCGGCTGCGGTGATACAACACGCGGGCGGGCAGGAAAACGATGAGAACAGACAGTCCGATAAGTACGACCGGCCAGTATATATACATGGAATTCATCCATGAAAAATTAAGCCACATGAAAAGACCCATGAGGAAGATGAAAAACGAAGGAATCTAGAAGATTGTCAGCAAGGGTTTGGCCAAGAAGAGTATTTTCACCGGGCTATGCTCCACCATACCTCTAACAATTGGCGCCACTCTAAGGTGTGCCTGGTATCATATTCAAAAACAAATGCATAGTTAATCTTCGACTTTGTCCATATCATGCAGTCCAGGCAAAATAGTAGGACGTGAAAAACGATGAGGAAATATCCCCCGTATATCTGTATCTAGTCAGGCACATGTGACACCGCGAGCGGGTGGTTGGAGGGGGGGGGGGACGCAAGGGAGTACGAACCTGCAATAAATAACTCGTCCGAACCTGTTCGGACACTTCAGAGGAATGAAGACGATCGGACGCATACACCAGTCCCTGGATCGCAAAGAGTGTGCCGGCCATAAGCAGAAGACCAGAGCGGAACGTACTCTGCGAATAATCACCCGACTTCTTCATCTTCTGTCGAAGCTTCGAAACAGCAACTTTACGGTTACCACTTTCGAAATATCGGGCGTATAAATCTTCCACGGCCACCATCAGACTCTCGATGACTTCGCTCTGTACGAAAGCCGCTTTGTTAACTCGTTCCGACATGTATCGGAGTGGTGGTCGGGCATTGACGGCTTTGTCGTATTTTTTGTTGATCTTACGGAAGGCCGTTCGGTTCAGATAAGCGTAGCCCTTCAAAAGTTCGATACCACGATAGAACTCTTGGAGAGCGTGTTTCAACTTCCTCTTAGCAGACCGGTATGACACGTCGTTTGGCGGGTCCTGCCGCCGCATGAAATCCCTTCTGTTCTGAATGAACTCCCGGTCTCGGGCATTGATGTTTGGCGTTGCCATTTGCGCCAGTGCCTGGGAGTTTTTGCCAAAGCGAGTCTTCCCAGTAAGTGTGTCTTTCAAACGGGCCCCGTTGAGCTTTCCGAACCCATTCATTCGATGTTCCTCGGGGTCGCTCCTTTTCGCTGTCTTCTTGGCGGCCATGACTTCCTGCATTCGTTGATCTCTCATAACGTGCAGTTGCCGACGAAGAACCTTGAGTCGATCAGTAGCCTCTTGTTCTTTCATTAGATAAAATGAGTCGATTTTTTGGAGCTCGCCATCTAGGAACGCATGGAATTCGTCCTGTCGTCTTTCAACCTCCAGGGCAGGGTCCAGGGCCGTTCTTCTTCCAAGAGTTTCCACTTCAGCATGAGACAGAACTCGCCGAAGCAGCTGCGAAGTCCGCTTAACCGAGCTAGTTTTAGTAAGGTCTCCGCCATCGGGGCTTTGAGCGGTCGGTTGTCGAGCGAGAGGGGGTATCTGATCCGGCGAGCCGTCGTTATCGAGGAGGGGAGGCGGAGCATCGAAGGTAGCACGGCGCGCTATTACCGGAGACGGAGTCTTGACATTCTGACGGGCAGGCCTGGGTGGTACAAAGTCCTCTTCCGGGTCCAGCGCAGGGTCCGGCAACTCAAACGATCCTGATTCCGATACGGGCGCGACTTGGGGTGGAGTGGCGAGAATGCTTCCATAGCTGCCAACGTTGTCTGAAAATCGAGATCCTGGGTTCCTCAGTGGCTGTCGTTCATTCCTTGGAATTAATTTTGGGCGCGAACCTTGGGGGGCTGTCCTGGGGGTCCTATTAAGGTTGGCAGGGCTGTTGAATCCTGTTGCCGCATCGATATTTTTGTCCGAGGCAGAGGGGGCCAACGAGTCCGTTGCATGGGAGGAAGGAGGGGCGGGTTGTCGAAATGACGGGGTTCGAGGGTTCCGATTGGACTTTTGAAGAGCACGAGTGATGGCCTTGATCTTCTTTTTACCACCCTACAGTCATGCGATTGTTAGCGCAAGCCGTGTTTGCCCGCTGGGGGGGTTAAAACGAAACCAAGCAACATACCTTATAGTCGAGATACTTTGCCCGCCATTCAGGAACCAAGTCCTGCTCCAGCTCTCTGTTGTAGATGAATCAGCCACTAGAATACCCAAGTATCGCGGGGGGGGGAGGAAAGAACCGACTTCGCGAATTTCATCTTGAGTAGCTAACCACCGTCATGGCATGTCTCTCAAGAGTTGAATGACGAGCCTGAGGGGAGGGGAAGAGGGGGGATGGAAAAGGTGAAAGCTGATAGGAGGGGAAGCCAGACAGGATTGATCGAAACTTTCCAGAATCAGGCGCGATTAGCCGTTAAAGAAACGGTAGGAGGGTATGTGCCCAGTCTTTGAGCGCGTGAAGATAAGCGGAGGGAACATGCAGGAATTCAACCTTAAGAAAGTACCCCAGGCCCATAAACTAGGTAAATTTGGTAAATCTCCCCTCAAAACAAGGTGTGCCCTTGTCAAGAACCTGCAGATTAATCAGGTCAGAAGAAACGCCATCCCGTTCGGAAGAATAAAATCCAAAAGGCAAAAGGGTATTTTAGGATCGAGACAATCACCGAGCCCTATCGCGGCACGTGCGGAGAGAATGAGCTCATCAGGATAGGTGGAGGTCCTGAATTATGAGGCACCAAGAGCTTTATTGGTTAAAGATCCCCTCTAATTGGACATTACATAGGTAATTGGGGGGTTTGGGTCCACTGGTTCCAGATTCCGGACTGTGGAATCCAGAATGGGCTTACGGAGTAAACTGCCAGTGAGGGGACTTGCACCTGCATCTGTCTTTCTTATCATGTCGTACATCGCCTTACTTCGTACAATCCACCAACGCCTTACCCGCGAGAAAATATAAATAATTGGGAGGGAAAAAAAAGCAATTATACGGCAGAAAACTCATTAAGAGATCCACTGCCAATCAAATGCATCCACTTGAAAATTGCAAATTATCGATTCATCTTCTCGAAACTATCGAGGATCTACGTTTGACATGGAATGCGGTGTACACCTCTGGAATGCTCTCGGCGTGTTCTCATGGCAATCACTGGCTAGGAGATATCTGACCCTGCAACCCTGAACCCCCTCCAGTCGGACTGCAGGAGGCATTGCATACGTATTCCCTGAGGGCCCGACCCTACTCGTCCCGAATATCGTGCAAAAGCTGGTGCATCCACACGAGGAACCCGCATACGACACAGCTACGACCCAACTAATTCCAAGGTTGGCATACCGGTACTGGTACGGAGTACTACTGTAGATTTCTTGTAGGTAATTCATTTCATTTCATTGCTCGATCCACTTTCCCGCCTCTGTACATTCAACTCGGCGTACTCGTGGCCGGAAGATATCTCGTTATACTAGTAAACAAATGGTATGTATATTCGTCATGCGGTCCGAGGGAGAGAGTTTCCCATTTACCAGCGGCGCTCCTCCTCGAAACGGGGATGACGAGGGTAGCGGGAAGGGTCGTACTCCTCAGCACGGTGGTCGCGCTCGTAGTGCTCCTCGTACATGTGGTGGGCGTTCTTCTTGGCGTGCTCGTGGGCCTTGATTCTGTCAACCTCATCCATACCCTTGGACTCGGCGAGCTTGTCGACCTCGGCGCCGACAAGGCCCATCAGGGCCTCCTTAGCGAAAGCGTGCTTGACAGTCTTGCCTATACGGAAAATATGATTAGAATGATGTTATCTCGATATCATGTTGCCTCGCTATCACCTACCCTGCTTGCGCTGGTGGTCCTCGTAGGCCTTCATGCCGGCAAAGGAAGCGGCACCGGCAATGAGCTCGTGAGAGAACTTGCCCTCGTGCTTCTCGCCGCCGTACACCTTGCGGTGAGCATCGTCAGATTCGCCTGAAAAGATATGCGTCAGCCCGGCCCATTTGTCAATTTATCGCCGTATTTGGAAGGTTGTCGTTTGCCTATGTATGCATAGGGCTATGCATCATGCAAGGACGTCCATGATGGATGCATCGGCATCTATGCAATGCAGACATATGTGTAAAAGGGAAACACCAAGGGAAGCCTTACCCCAGCCGAAAACCATTGTGATTATATGAAGAGTGGTTGAAAAGGTTTTGAAGATAGAGTGTGATGATAGATGGAAAACTTCACGTTCGGGGAGGGGAGGGTAGGCTCTTATAGCCAAAACATAGCTCTACAGAACACTCCAGAAAGGCTACGTATTCAGCTCCGGATATTCAGGAGCCTTCCCTTTCTCTCTGTCTCAACACGCGCTGACCCACTCCATTGGCGGCAAGAGAGGGCTGAAGCGGTTTCCCGGCTGTGCAGGGAATACTAATCTTAGGATAGTCGCCAGGGAGATGGAGAGAACCCCTCCAGGATGCGACTGGACCACGGATCTGACTGACCATCAGCCCCTCCATGGGCCTAGTGGAGTGTGCAGATCGCGTTGACCTCACGCGGTTGGGGGTCTGGGGCGCTGTGAGGAGGGGCAATGGGGAAGCTGATCCAGTAAAATCATAGACGACGGTGCATGCTAACCGACCACGTCGTATGAGGACCAGATCGGAGGGTTGACTGCGAGCGCCAAGAGACGTACTGGGGACCATGAGGGGAATTCCTCTCATAATTACAGACTCGTGGCGGCAGGAGAAATTGTAGGGGCTTGGAGGAACCTCAATATATGGTACATACTGGGACTCGGAGTAGACTAACTCTGCCAATCTCACTATCATACTATATATGTACCACTTAAATTCATCAAGCAATATATTGGAGATATACTACATCGCTGTCTTCCTACAGAGGATTGATGTGTACTACCCTGATAGCTATCAATAAAAAACCAAGGGCCCTCGGCCATACCAGGACAGTATCCTCCGCCGTCCATTTCCGCCGAGTGGACCAAAGTGACCTCACACCCATCTGGAACCAATGCGATACATCGTCGCAGAGTGAATGAATACGCGTCCCACAGGGCCCAATAAAGCGCCGATCGGAATGACCCAGCGGGGCCCTCTCAGCCCTACTCCATCGGCATCGGGGCAAATCGCATGCACGAATGCCGTAGACCTAACCAGATCGGCACTAGTGATACAGACTCGTACTTCGGTTTACACGGTACGAAATGGAGCGTCGAGGGTGGGCGCTGTCGGAGGCCGGCGTTGCCGGGCCAAGCTTCTCTTGTCCGAGGCTTGTCCGCGCCCTATGAGGCCAGCTGTACCCCGACGATTCTTGGCATTCAAAGCCACGCAAGCGGCGGTGAAGACGAAGCTGGATAATGCAGAGGCTAGATATTCATTGTGTAGGAGGCCTATGTACGGAGTGCAGAGCACGATGGGAAAGTCATGGTGGAACCATCGAAACTCGAGGGTCCGATTCGGCTAAATGTTTCATTCCCACTTGAATGATGAATATCCATATAAATTTAGAAATACGACTGTACCTAGGTAACAACAAATAAGAGAAATCAGTAACCAAGAGTGGTTCATTACGTAGCACCGCCCCAGTGTGGCGCCTCCAGCCTCTATCACCAGCCACAAATCCATCTGTTTAGTTCGACATTGTACCCCTCTAGGGCAGTACAGACTCAGAGTGGGATTGTTGAATCTGTGACATCAAAAGACAGGGGAATCTGCTACGAGAATCATGCAATTTGACTGTGATCTTCAGATACCGGGATTCTAGCCCTACGGAATAATAGACTCTTGATCGTCCTTCATTGTCATGGCACCTATGACGGCAGTCCTTGTACTTCGAGCTGTAAAAAATGCTATAGTTCATCGATCATTGATCCCTCTGACCTCATTGGAATATTTCAGAAGATGGATGAAACAGATGGTGCCGCGGACAAAGGGCTTCAGTGGTGCCCACAGGAATAGACTGGGATCAACACTAGGCAGCGATTTTCCACCGCCGAGCATCCCAACACGAACGACTCCAAGTCCGTAATTAGGTCCAATCTGGTTGAGACACCCCCTCCGAGGCTTCCACCTTCATCTCACCTCATCGGTCAGACCGCTCCATCCTAGTGGCTTGGCTGACGCTAACTGAATAACAGACCTCTCCCTCAGCTGCCCGAAAGTAGCCACACGCAGCCACACTCGCGCCCCGCTGTAGCTCCGACAATTCCGGATCACCAGGAACGGCCTTGCGGCGCATAGGAAGTCCACTTGGTGGAAAAGAAACGCTTCATTCTCGCCTTGCAACCCTCTAACCGGCGGGCTTGGGCCTGCACACCTCTCAATTGAGGTCAATTCCTCCCACCACCATTTCAACATGCCCACCAAAGTCCCCGCCCCGTCGGACTTCCCCTCCCTCACCGTCACCGTCACCCCGTCACCTGGGCCATCCCCTTCCCCCAACATCCTCCTCCTCCTACATGGCCTCGGTGACTCCGCCGCTGGCTTCACAGCCTTCGGTCGTGCCCTAAACCTCCCGGAGACAACAGTTGTAACCGTGCAAGCACCAACCCCAGTCCCCTTCGATCTCGGCGGATTCCACTGGGGCGACGATGTCGACTTCGACGCCAGAACGGGAGCTCTAGACATGGACGCCGGGCTAACGCGCAGCACACCGAAACTCATCGAGCTCGTGCGCGGCACCTTAGTCAAGAAATGCGGGTATCGCCTGCGCGAGATCCTGATCCTGGGCTTTGGGCAGGGCGGCATGGCTGGGTTGACTCTGGCCAGGGAACTGGGCTTGTCTTCATCTACCGCTAGTGCTGAGGAGAAAGAGCCTCTGGCCGGTGTTATATCCATCGGTGCACCGTACCCGCTATCTGGTCAGCGGTCTGGGTCGAAGAACCGCACGCCTGTGCTCTTGGTGTCGGGGAGAGACTCGGCTGTTGTTTCCGATGGTGCGGTTACGAGGACTAAGGAGGTTTTTGAATTCGTGGAGATTAGTCGTTATTCCCGGAAAGGCGATGGCATGCCCTCGAATCGGGATGAGATGTTGCCTGTCATGCAGTTCTTTGCCAGGCGGTTGCGCAGTCGCCAAGGTGTGCCTGAAGGTAGTGTTGAACTTGGATGATATACCCATATACCCATAGATAATCTTGGAAAAGGAAAATTAGAGAAAAATGGAACAAAAAAATATTACTACTCGATCTGTGTATGCATAAGGCCATATTGCGTCGAAGGTGAGCAAACAATGTAGATAGTCCGCGGGCATCGAAAGAAGGCATAGGCTAGCACTGGCAGACGGGATACGATGCTAAGCAACGTTATGCCACTTCGGCCTCAATAATGCCCTGTCCGTCCCCTGGCGGATACCATTTTCACCACCCTGAAACCAGCCACAGACAACAATTTCTGCCATTGATTCCTCGCCCGCTCCATAGTGCTGAGATGGATACGCATCTGCAAATCCCACATAGTGGGCAATACCGCAGCATCCTTGTCGGCGACGATAAACTCCTCAATAATAAGCCTCGAGTAATCTTTCTTCATGGAAGCTCTCAAATTCCCCAAAATCTGCAAGCACTCTCCATCAGACCAATCATGAAGGATAAATTTCATGTAGTACGCTCGCGCGCCTAGCAAACAGTCAAATGTATACCCCATTCTCCACAAATAGAAGCTCGAACTTATCCTGAACTGGCTGTGGTTTGAATAATCGATAGTCTCCTCTAATCGATCGTCAAGTTTGACACCCTCTAGCACATGCGGCAAGTCCTGCAAAATTATCCGGCCCGGCGCGTCATGATGCTTCTCAAGGAACGCAGTCAAATACCAACCACCCTCAAAAAAGTCATAGCAGCATTCCACAAGATCAGAATAATCGAACAACCATTCCTATTGCGATTTGTCAGCTTTCTCGGCATAATGGAACGGCTCTTTATTTGCTTGGCTTGGATTTTGAAAGTTCACTTTGCGCAAGTATTCGGTGCTTTGGCCAGTGTAATCACGGGGGTATCGAATCTGCGTCGCGGAAGAAGCTGTTTAGTACCACCTCGGTGGATGCTCTGTATGAGAGGTTATCTCACGTACGGATATTTTTCTGTTGCATTGGTCACTCGAGCATTCATCTGCCGAGTCATTTCATTTGGGCTGTGAGTCCTGATATCATCTTCGACGACGAAACCGATCCTTGTCAGGACTCGTAGAATTCGCTCTGGATACAATGGATTAAATATTGCTCCAAGCCCTGGAGGCCAAGGTCGAACAAATTGAGTTCAAGTTGAAGTCCACGGGTTCGACGAATAGCCGGCCTAAACCTCCAGGGCTTGAAGTCGTATATGCTCAGGTGTCAGGCGCCGATTTCGAGATAAGGAAGCCTTTAAAAGACGCACAACCTTGTAATAAATTCAAATTCTGATCATCATTACACAGACAAATCAAGATATAAGGATATTCTAGGTCGACGGGCAAACTGGTCCAGTTGTCCTGTGCAATCAGATCAACTAACGCCTCTGTGCGAGCCTTGTAGGTAAAACAAACCGGCAATGACCCTAGTGTAATGGCAAATAACACCCGGAATATCATCGCCTAGTGTTGGGTATTGGTTTTCCTAAATCACTGCGGCTCGCAGCATGAAATACGTATGTGTTGAAATCCCTAAGGAAATGGTGTAGATAGCCCGAGTTATCATTGGCTATTGGGAGACGTTTTTCATCAAAGAGACTAGGTATTAATGGGGCTACGAAATCGTTTCTCGGGCGAATCTCAAGATTTTCTCCGTACTTGTAGAACTCATAGGTGACAGATAATCTAGATTCATCGAGATAAGGTAAAATTATTCTGAAGATTTAAAGCTTAGACTTGAGTTCACAGGGCTTATGAAACTTGAATGACTCCGAGTCCTGAACACTGCTCGGATACTAGTAGTATTGTGCGGATGTAGTCCTCTGCACAGTAGCTATACTTCCGCACAGCAACCACGATCCCCAACTTCAAGTTGAATATATTAGTATGAGTTTCTTCCCAAGTGACAAAACTTCCTAAAACTAGTTAAGAGAAGAAGTAAACGAAATGAAAAATACTTAGTAGCCAGAAACTAAAACCACTGGCAATACGACGGTCTTTCAGCGCAGCTCAAACCCGCCGCTTCCAGCCACCTTAACCCATAGCACGTGATCCGAATAACACACGGGGAAGCTGACAGCTCCGACTCGTCCCCGTCAACGCCGACTTCCCTCAGACATATACCCCAAACACCACAACCATGGAGCACGCCGACCCATTCCTCCAAGTCCAAGCGTAAGCGACGAACCAGATAACCCTCCACTTAAAAAAAAAACAAACACAAGAGCTACAAGCTAACAGTTTCCAACCATACAGTGACGTCCTCTCAACTCTCCAATCAAGCCGCCCCCTCTTCTCCTCATACCTACGAATCCGGTCCCTGGCCAAAAACCCCTCAAACCCCGAACTCAAGCAATCGCGCTCCGAACTCGAAACCACCATCACAGAACTAAGCGCCGACCTCGACGACCTGGTCGAAAGTGTGCGCGCAATCGAGCAAGACCCCTACCGCTTCGGCCTGGAATTAGAAGAGGTGCAGCGCCGGCGCAAACTCGTCGACGATGTCGGGGCCGAGGTGGAAAAGATGCGGCTCGAGCTGCAACAGACTGTGAATCATTCTGCGGAAGCTGCGTTGCCGAATCCGACGGAGTTTGACGTCGCGCTGGAAGAAGAGGAGCGGGAGCGGCAGCAGCGTGGTGGGCGGGATGATGAGGACTACTACGCTTCAATGGAGCAGCAGCGGCAGACGGAGCTTATGCATGAACAGGATGAGCAGTTAGATGGTGTGTTTCGGACGGTGGGGAATCTGCGTGAGCAGGCTAGTCATATGGGGAGGGAGTTGGAAGATCAGGCTATCATGCTTGAGGAGGTTGATACGTTGGCTGAGCGGGTCGGGGGAAAATTGTCCAGTGGAATGAAGAGGATACGACACGTTGTTCGTGAGAATGAGGGTAAGTTTGATCAAGTCTACTTCTACTGCCTGCTACTTCTGCAGGATAACTGCTCTGTTCTGGGAGTGGGTTGATGGGGTGGGAATCATGAATTTCAAAACTAACTTTTTTTTACCTAGATACATGGTCTTCCTTTTGTATAGCGGCGCTGATTTTCGCGCTCATCCTATTATTAATTCTCGTTATCATCCTGTGATAGTACATCAATGGCGGCGGCGGGACCGCCACAATCACACGGAGCATGGCGTTTCATGAACATCATTCAAATCAAATGATTTAGTTGCGGGCCTTCTTGGAAGGGCGCGACTCGCCCTCACCAGAGTCCTCCTCCTCATCCATGGCATCAATCTCGTCCATGTCGAGGTCCTCCATGTCAAGCTCATCGCCCAGACGGAAAGACTCAACTAGAAGAAGAAATAAAGTCAGCTTTGGTTGCTCGTGCTAGGAATTTGGTGGGTTATGGATGTACTCACCATAGTACTTCATGGCGTCGGTCCAGAGGTCCTCAGCGAGAGAGATAGCGAGCTCCTCACCGCTGGGGAAGATCTCGGCATCCTCGAGGTCATCAGCGAGCTCCTCCTCAATGTCATCATCCTCATCATCAGAGTCATCGTCACCCTCAACCTCCTCACCCTTGAGGATCTTGGCGAAACGCTCATCGTCCTCCTTGTTGGACATCTTGGAGATAGCGGCGGAGACATCACGGCCACGGTAACCGAAGAAAGCGAAGAAGCTGGAGCCGGCAGGGCTCTCGGGGTCCTCGTCCTCGTCATCCTCGTCCATGTCCTCCTCATCCTCCTCAGCCTCGACCTCGGCAATCTTCTTGACGAGAGCCTCGTACTGGGGGAGCTTCTTGCGGTCACCACCCTTCTTCTCGGCATCGAACAAGTCGCAGGCAGCATCGAGCAGACCCTTGGTCAAGTCCATGTCCTTCTTCCAGTTGATGCGGACGGGGTCGGAGACCAGGCCCTCCCAAGTCAGGCGCTTGCCCTTGGAGGTGCGGATGATCTGCTTGCGCCAGTAGAACTCCTTAACGAGCTGAGAGTTCTCGAAGAAAGGGTTCTCCTCGCCGGACTGGAAGTCGAAGGTGAAACGCAGAGAGCGGGGCTCGCCGTTACCCTGAGCGTCGACCTCGAAGCGCTCGACGGTCATGTTCTTCAGGGCAGCGCCGAGGACGGCGGCATCGGTGGGCAGGATGTACTCATCGATCTCAGCGGGGGCGCTGGAGAAGACGCGGATCCAGAAGTCGCTCTGGACCTCGGGGAGGCTGATGATCTCGTTGCGCTTCTTGAACAGAGGCTGCAGGATGGGGACAGACTTGCGCACTGTGGAGGAGAAAGGAGGTGGTTAGCCAGGATTCAACTTTAGACATAGAGCATCGGAAATCGATTCCATGATTGCATTCCCATTGAGCGAGAGGACTATTGCAGAGTTTTTTTTTTCTTCCTCTTCTTCACCGTATGGTCTGGTAGTCGTGCAAATGGCCCTCTCGCCGTAACGGGTCACACGGCGGGGTAAGAACGAATGGAATGGAAAGAAGGGGGGGATTGGACATACGCTGCTCAACCTCAGCACGGATGAACTCCTCCTGGAGGTGGGCGATCTTCTTCTGGGCATCCTTGGGGATGGCGGGGGCCTCGATGTGGTCCATACCGCACTGATCGGTGCCGCACATGATGTAAATATGTGAAGGTGGTGGGGGGAATAAGCTCGGAGTAGGGTAGTAGAGAGTAAAGTAAAGTAAAGTAAAGTAAAGAGGAGCAGGAGAGTGGGAGAGGGTATCAAGATATAGTAGGTAGAATGAGAAGGAGGAAAAGAATCGAGGGATAAGGAAAGTGGAAGACGCTAGCAGAAAAAAAAAAAGTCCAAAGTAAGAAATTTCCGGGAGATCACAGCTCATCCATTCGCATACGTGGGGGGGGGAGGGGGAGAAACAGCGGAACACAGCTGGGCCAGGCGGATGTACAAAGTGGGACTGAAAAGTACTTTCTCAGAGTGACCGTTGCTAGGGAAGATGCGGGGCAATTGAAGTGTTTAGTAGGTACCTCTGAGTACCTTCCAGTACCTTCAAAGTATCTTAGCTTGGCTTGGAAACTTCAGGCGGTCTGTTCTGCACGGACATCTGGTGCCTGAGGCGATGGAAGTTTTTTTTTCTCTTCTCTTCTTCCGTTTCTGTTTCTACTACTTTATTAGGTTTAGTGTTCCACATGTGACAATGGAAGAATTTACCCTGTGTACGAAAGAGAAGCTCAGATAGGTCTAAAGCCACAATCAGCTTACCATGGTAGCTGCCCCACGTTTTCTTTCCTGCCCCTCCATAGCTTCAACTTCAATTTTGATACACCATTCTTACTAATTCACCCATTTCATCCCAATCACTCTATCCCTGGAGTGCTATCAGCAATACGTGTAAACTTTGGCTTGGACGGGATTGCAATCATGGAATAAAAGTGGAGTTCGTGGTCGTGGCTGAGGTTGGTTTGGTGCCCACTTGGGCACACTCGCCGCAGTGGAACATATCCTCCTCTTTGCCCCTCGAAGAATTTTCCTTCTTTTTGACCGCTATATTTCAAGTTACCTTGGCTCGCTTTTTATGCCGAAACATTGATATGATTTATTACGAGGGAAATAGCCTACACATAATATGACTAGTACTATCTAATGCCAGGGTGGTAGATAAATCAAGATGGATAGTATGGTAATGGAATCCATGGATGTCTATTTATAGTTGGAGGAGATGAATATTAAGAAACGGCAGAACCTTCTCAAGCGCAGCCTTGACAACCTTAGGCTCATAATAAAGCTGAAATGTGACAAACCAGGAAACACAAGGATGTTTCTCTTTAGAAGCAGCCCGTCCATAACTTGAAATCTCATGACTAGCACGATACGCGCCAAACCCAAGAAGTTCTACTAGTACGAGGTTACTGCATATCCTACGTAACTCCCTTCCATTCAAATTATCTCAGATAATAGTGATACCTAAAGTAAGTATCTATCTTCAATATCAAAAGAATTCATAAGCTAGGTTATATCCACGCCTCAAATCTGATAAAGGAAAGCCGTCAAGAAGAGGGAACATTGCAGCTACTAGTAACAACTACTTAGATGGAAACATACTAGTATACTAGTAGCTATATATTAGCGTAAGATAGCGTATCTCCTGATAGCCTCTAAAAGTTCAAGTAATCATCCATTCCGCCCAACTTAATTGCGCTTCAGGGTTCTACCTGAATAATAGTCAACGAAGTGCGTATACTTAACCTTGGAACTATGTTTTGATGCGGAGACGCACCTTGGACCCTTGGTATAGTTATTCTTACGATCTTAATAAAAGAGATTTCTCATAGCCTCGTGACTGCGTCCCCGACTGATTGCCATTTAAATTGGGTGTTTTTCTCTCACTTGGCCTTGCTAGAGGGAGGAGGTCGATAACGAAATACAAACCGACGATGACTAGCAGCCCTTTCGGACCGCCTGACAAAGGCTTTTCTTCTCATTCTAAGAATTGGGGCCTACCCGTTAGATCAAGAATCAGATTAAATACGAGGGTTGATGAGTTGAACACCTCATTGAATCGCTACAAGGTGTCCCCGATCGGGGGCGAGGCGAGCCCTAGGCGTAGGCTACCAAGCCGACGAAGGTGCAGAAGGCAGAGAATCAGCTGCAAAATCCGGGGTACCTTGGGTAGATCTACAAACATCGTTCCATGCCAAAATCATTCGGCGTGGTCGTAGACGCCCATCCACATCCGCCACAAATTGAAGCGCCATCCAATTACGGAGTCACTAAGAGGGTACCCGAAGGTATCATCAACCTTTAAGAAAAGCAACATCCTATCTTATCACCGATCACCGATAAGCCTCAATCATAAGATTTGCCACCAGGTGGCAATCCAGCATGGTTGCTTTTTCCGACCCTCACAGCTTAACCTTCTTGAGAGAGAAGCGGGCCCTGAAGAAAGGCAATCTAAGCATGACTTTAATTCAACCTTATCTAACTCTATCCGATCCGCATGCGGAACTACCTTGACGCATTCCCTATAGTACCCCAGCCCAGAGCCGCGGTATACGATCCCCCCCCCCCCAATCGCTCGCCATTCGACAGTCCAATTGCTGCGATCGCCGATCAATCGTGAATATCCGGGTTCGGATTATTGGAGCATATATTTGCGCGTAGGACGAGGTCGGGCTCTGGGCTGTTATTGGTGGGATAAGGCTGCGACAGGGTTTGATAAACGGGTGCGGTCTGAGTGGAGGATTTCAGTGGCTCGGACCTGGGGTTGGGATTGGGATTGGGAATCATGCTGCGTATGACTGTCAGACGATCCTTGGCTTGCGAAATACTCGATCCTATGGGGAGGTGGAGGAATAAATGATAGCCATCAAGGAAAAATTGCGGAGGGGCCGCCTAATCGATAGGAGAAGTCGACAGGGGGGAATCTAGAAAGGGTAAAGTAGAGCAAACAAAAACCAAAGTTAATCATGAGCCAGAGCATGAAAGTCGTAATGTCTCATTCGAATAAATTTTTTTTTTTCAGAGCTGGATTTTCCCATGTCATGGACACTGGGAGGAGATCCGCCCGCAAGCAACAGTAAAACTTTTTTTGAGGTGGCCGGGTCAGAGATGACGATGAAGTCTCCTTCGGCCGTCTCCGGGGCATCCTTCCAATTAAGAACAAGTAATAAAAGGAGAAAGAAAAAGAAAGGAGAAGAAGTCATGACGTCCCATATAAATTTCCCATGCCCGTTCGCCAAGAATGCAATGATTAGAGCAGAATCACAAAAACAATCGCGAGGCAGGTTTCCACATGCATGGACATCATCACCATGCACGTCTGCCGGGGATAGAACTGTCGTAAAAAGAAGAGGAAAAATGAAGAAGTAGAGGGCGAGTAAAGGTGGGAAAGAGGGAGGAAGAGGGAGAGGGCAAAGAACCGGAGACTATAGACTAGACTAGCTGGACACCACTATAGCATCCAATCCAGTCCATTGGCCTCTTCTTCCACAGGGAAGACTTCACGCGCATATTCCTCCATATCCCTCCATCCCTGCCACAAATGCCGAGCTTCGTCCGTCACGCGTAGCGAAACCACCCCACCCGGTCCTTGCATCATACCAGCACCGGCACCCTTTCCACCCGCTGGGCCAAGACCCTTGGGCGAGCCAGCGGCTGGCTGGGAAAACTCGGGCTGTGGGAAATAGGGCGCGTTATCTTCACCGAACAGCAGCTCGAGGGTCTCGAGCTGTTCCCGGTAGCCGGGCGGGATGTTGACCTTGATTTCAATTTTGGGGACGCGGACGTAGTTGCAGGGCCGATTGAGGGCTCGCTGGAAGGCGGCGCAAACTTGATTTGGCGAGAGGGTTTCGAATGTGAGGGCGATTCTGTGATGAGTGGCGTTGGTTAGTTTCGATTTTCGCTTCTTTCTCGTACTTCATGCTGAATACCCCTCTCCCTCTCTCTGGTGGAGGGGTAGAGGGGCTTTCGGGAAGGATTGCCGAGGCTTCGGAACTCACCGATGACCATTCCATTTCTTAGGACCGTCCTTGAAAATTTGTAGCAGGGTTGGGCCTACGTCGTGCTCGGCGTCTAACCAGGGTAGTGGGGTTTCCGGGTCGAAGGGGGCGCGCCATTCGAAGCTGCCGTCTTGCAGGACCTCCATTTGGAAGAGCGGATAGGGAAGACTGGTGAAGTTGTTGTTGTAGATTCCGGCGTAAACGAAGGTTGAGGGCATTGCGAGCTGGCGCACATAGTTCTCGACGGTGAACTTGGGAGCCCACTGAGGCACGGCGGGCCAAGGGCCATGGACGGAGTGATCCGGCATGCTGCTATAGATGTAATGCTGGACTGTACCGGCGCGTTTGGCGGCGTCGGCGAGCGCACGGCCGATAGCGACCTCGTCACCGGCTTGCGACATGGTGTTGATAAAGGCATAATTGGCGCCTTGGAAAAGGACATCCATCAACTCGGGGTTGTTGAGAAGCGGGCCGTGGATGAGGGTGACATTGGGTAGACTGCGGAGCTCATCGGCGACTATACCCTTGAGCGAATGAATCTGAGCGCGTACGGAATATCCGACGGCAGAGGCGACACGAATGAGGGGGGCAGCTTGCCGGCCAGCCGCGTTGACGACGGCTATTGTCTTCTGAGGTTGTGTCATGGGGGGGAAGATGGTGTAGGGTCGGAGGAATATGCGGAAGAGAAGCCCTTTGCACGGGGGAGATGGCGGAGGGAGAGGAGGGAGAGCGAGGGGAAAAGGGGAGGGGGAAGTAGAAGGGGATTAAAGTGAGATTCAATCCAGTGGAAGTGGATCTGAGAAGGGGAGGGTTAAAAGATAAAAGAAAATCCGGAGTAAAGGCCTTGGCGAGAAAAAATGGAGGTGAGTTGCGACAGTGGGGTACCTTGGGAAGAGGGGGGTGTATGTAACAAGAAAACCTTTTGGAAGGGGTGCTCCACTGATTAGGCGATGGAAACAGTCATGGATCTGCGAAAATTCAATTTGATTCTATCATATTTAAGTGAGTAGTGGTAGTGTGGTGAAAACATTCCACGGTAGTATAGGCATCCTCTAGTCTGCCACCACCAACTACACTATCTACTATACTATCTACCACCACCTGGGCACACTATACTACCACTCCTCTACCACCATTCGACTCTATACTATTTCCCCTCTATTCTGTACCCATCTAACTCCGTACTCTGAGTACTCTCCAGCACCCATGACACCATCGCGCACGTCTTGGGGATTTCCTTTACGTAAATCGGCCTCCAGCCGGCTCCAGTTTCGCTCCAGTCTCGCTTCAGCACAGCGGGATCATCATGGCCACCCGTCGGGTCCCAGCCCAATACTGATAGGCGCTCATCACCGACTGCCCTTTAAGCTATGCCAAGCCGCCTGGATCCTCTGGCCATGATAATCAAGAGACATGGAGACACTGACGAGGTTCAATGCGAAAATCCCGCAGTATCCCGACCAACAATCGGCCAGGGGCGGTCTCACGTGGTTCCCAGTGGATTCCTGCGCCTCCAATTTGACCAAAAGCCACGGGGTACTAGGGGACTAGGGGTATTACCAGATCACCAGACTCTTTTGTGGCAACCTCGAGGAAGCTTCTAGCCAGGGCGAACGTCGGGGTTTGCTATCTACTTTGAGCAGGTCCTTAAAGTCCCTGGTCACCTTGAGACGCGGTGAGCCATCACACATTGATAATTTGTATAATGTACGGAGTACAGAGTACTCCGTACTCTGCACTCTATCTACCCCAAAAAAAAAAGAAATATAGACGCCACTGCAATGTATACTCCATTCTAGGTAGTATAGTCGATGAGACCATCAATGACGCCAACTCGCCGAGTCCGACACAAGCAAGGCGTGACCCCGGACAGATCACAGATCACACACACACACAGACCACCTTCAACTATCCCCTACCGGTAGGTTACTCCGTACTCCGTCCAGACAGCCTCAGTCCTTATCGCTGGCATTACCCCACTATTTACGAATGGTTGGGGCCTCTCAAGCCCGGCGGCAAGGCCCGATCTCCGCGGAAGCAGAATCCCACACCCAATAATCTCTCTCCGTGCTGGCGTGATCAGTGCGCTTATTCTATGTACTCCATGATGTGACCCGTCCATGGCCTATTCCCCAGGAACATGGCTTCGTCCTTTCGGAATTGCAGCAGGGAACTTGGGAGAAAATAAAAGGGCATGTGAGCATGCGAGCATCTCTTTCAGCCCATCCTTTTTCATGGCGCTGACCCAGCCATCGCCCGATTCCACCCGTCGCCATCGTCACCAGCACTACCCCTCATACTATCCTCGTCCAGTTCGCGCTGACTGTTTTCTCTGGGGTCAATACCCGCCAATCCCCAGACGCCAGGTCGTCGTCGAGCGAGGAGTTCTGCCGCCGGTCGCTCATCCGAATGCAGGTGCGCACCGGACTTGCGCAGAAGGAGGACGTGCTCCGAGAGTCCTGCATTGGCGGCCAGGAACAGCGGGGTGCGTCCGGCGCGATTCCGCAGATGGACCGACCCGCCTTGCGACAGCAAGAAGTGAAGGATCGAGACGGAAGGTGCCGTCGATGCAACATGCTGGACATGGTATTAGCATTAATTCGCGTGACTAGGCAGTAATCGCGATCGCGCGCCATTCTTTCCCAAAATTTACTCACAATAGGTGTGTTGCCCGAGTAATCCTCGTCATTGAGCAGCCAGTGATGCTCGATCTTCATGATATCTTGGACGCGCTCGAGATCGCCGTGGGCGATGGCGTACGCCATCGCGGTGAGGGTCTGCACGCGCTCGGGAAGGGGCCCGTCTGGATGACGGAATACCGGAAGGGAAGATTCGGTCAGTTCGCCCCGTAGTGAAATCGACATATACTTTGTTACGGTTTCCGGGGACGAGTCCGGTAGTGCGAGGAGATATGCGAGTTTCGTCAAGGCACCTTCGGTTGTCATGTCGAGGCCGGCCACGACGCCGGCCCGAGATAGACTCATGCCGGTAGCGTAGACAGGGCTGACACTACCCGTGAGACCTGTGGAGTCAAAGGTGAATTAGTATGTGGATACAACATCTATGTGAGAAAGCAAAAAGAAAGAAGAAGAAAAAAGCAAATATGACATTAAGGGAATGCTTACACTGGGTGATGTTCACAATCACGATGCCCCGCTTGATGGCGCTGGCGAGCACGTTGATCATGGCATTATCCTGACCGGATGGAGCATTTCCAGCCCCGAATGTCTCCAACACGAGACCACGTAGACCGTCCAGCCGGAGCACTGCATCCACCATCTCTGGCTTAATACCCGGGAATATGCGCAGGCAGGCAACGTGGGCTGTGTCGAGATTTGTTTGGATCGAGAAGTGCTCCAGACTGGTGGGTCGATGCACCATATCCCAATCCACATTGGTGCGCATCGAAGTAGTCACGGCGAGTGGGGGCAAGTTCGGCGCGTTGAACGCGGCAAAGTCACTGGCAGCGACCTTGGTGGTGCGATTTCCTCGGAAGAGCTTGTTATTAAAGTAGAGGCAGACTTCCGGAATCATAAAGTGGCCAGCCACGACGAGCGATCCGAGCAGGTTATCCGTGGCATCATTCTGGAGCTCCAGCATCGGCGCCTGTGAGCCTGTGAGCACGACCGGTTTGCCTAGGTTCTGTAGCATGAAGCTCAGTGCCGAGCAGGTGTATGCGAGACTGTCTGTGCCGTGCAGAATGACGAAGCCGTCGAAGAGCTCGTAGTTTTGGAAAACGGTTTGCGCGATCTCTGCCCATCCCTTGGCGTCGATGGAGCTGCTGTCCAGTAGCTCCTCGAATTCGTAGACTGTGTACCGCACCTGGCGGCCATATCTGGTAATTGGAGTTCGCAGACTGGGGTGTGCTGTGACATCACCCGAGGGTTTGGTCACTACATCCATCGCCGTCGCAATGGAGGCATCGTTAAAACAAGGCACTCGGGCCATACACTTCTCCTGGAACCCTCTGGCAGGCACAAAGCCGGACGGTGATTGTTGCATGCAGATGGTTCCTCCAGTCATGATAATCAGTACTCTTGACTCTTGTACATTCTCCTCATCTGGCAACTCCAGAGGGAGCGAGGTCGTAGCCGCAGCCATCATGATTGTGCAGTGTGTAGTAGATAGCGCGGTTGGGTATGGAACCACGAGTTAATAGCGCTGTACCTGGGTAAGCCGTTGATATCAAGATTGACTGGGTTCTTTGGCAGGGAGCTCAGAGCTGTGTAGTCGATATGCTAAACGCCGAGCTTAACCACTTGGAGCCCCTCCAAAAACGAAGATCGGTTTCAAGCGGATTGCGGGGAGGGAATGACGTTAGATCAGAGATTTCTTGTCTGAAACTCCTGGTTTTTATTTTGCTTTTCTTCGTTCTCCAACTTTCAGAAACCCCCGACTCAACTGTGCTCAGACCGAGAGAGAAAAAATGAGATCGTACGTCGCACGATTGGCTGTGATTGAGTCTTTTGGCCGAAGTTGAGTGGGAACTCCAACTGGATGCGGGTCACTTTGGCCCTCCGATTGGAGAGCCGGTTTCACCGACCGGCGGACAACTTTAATCAGGACCCACCAAGAGTATTGTAGGGGTAATGAAATCAGAAAGGTAGGGGTAATGGAAATCAAATTTGATTTTGAAGGGGTAATGGAATCCAGAGGTGGAGATACCATCCAATTTCCCAGGGGTAATGGATTGAGAAAGGTAGGGGTAACAGAAACCACAGAGATAATCGGAGGGAAAAAATGCTTGTGCTGAAAAAAAAAAAGAAATCTGATCTACAGCAGCCAATAGAGGTCAGTGTCAGTGGGACACATACTGTAGTAAACATCGCCATTCAGACTACCCTTCGCCGACCAAATAGTATACCTAACTAGGTACATTCATATAAAAATATTATTAATACGTGGCCCAGTAAGAAAATACGCATTACAGACAATCCATGATATCTAGAATAACAGAAAATCTAGGAATTAGCTCCCAAACTTGTTAAACTTGAGAGTGATTTCAAGGGCAATCCAGCAATCAACTCGAAAAATGATACAGAGCACAACATAGAAAATAGACTTCTAGTTAACTATTATTAGAAACTACTAGTTGGTTGCTTTGCTAAAGACCAGATTAATGAAGGATTTAGAACACATCAAGCCTTGGGACCTAGGGTTGCGTCTATTTGAAATAAGGGGCTGCTAAACTCCTGCTATGCAAATGCATCTAAATATCAAACACAGTGGTATATAGCGATAATAAAATGTCCAGCATTCGGTTCAAGTTGTCAAAGTCTCAAATCACTCACTCATTCACTAGCAGAATCCTCAACCTTCCCCTCCATCTTCTCCCCCATACTGTCGCTCTTGAACGATCGACGTCCACGAGCAAACCAATCCACCAACATGATGACAATCACAACAAAATACACAACGCACACATAGTTCATGTTCGATGTCTTGGCCGGCATTGATGACGGGAACGAGTACATGACCAGACAGAAGATCGTCCAGATGATAGTGAGAATATTGGCGGCAGCACCCAGCTTGCCTAGCCAGAAGGGTCCGTGCTGGATGTTGTTGCGGCCCTGGTACCACAGGCAGATAACAGGGATCGCATAGGACATATAGAGAAGGGAGATACAGGCAGTCATCATGCTGTTGAATGCGGTCGACGAGCCAAGGTACAACAGGCCCAGGGCACCAACGATGAAGCAACTGACCGAGTGCGCTACCAGAGGCACATCTAGAGTCTTGTTGACCTGAGACAACCACTTGTGGCCGGGCAGACCGCGGTCGCGCGCGAAAGCCCAGCACAGACGCGACTGCCAGGTGTGACAAGCGATCTGGCAGCCCATACCGGTGACGACTAGCAGGGTCTCAAGTACAATAGCGCCGGCCTTGTTGTTCAGAGCCTGGTAGTAGAGTTCCAAGATGGGAACACCAGTGCTGGAGTTGACGAGAGAGTCCAGGTCCTTGATGCCGAAGAACATGGAGATGCAGTAAGTCCACGAGGTGACGAAGCCAATTCCAACAGTGGCCATAATGGCAATGGGAATGTTCTTCTCTGGCTGAGGAACTTCCTCGGCGAGATGGGTCGCGGAGTCGAGACAAGCGAAGATCCAATTTGGGTTGATGAGGCCAACGATGAAGGCCATACCGTCCGACTTCCATCCTGTCGTGTTGCTGAAGTGACCGAAGACGAACTCGGCGCTGGCGTGGGGACGAGCACAGGCCGGGACTGTCACCAGGATAACGAAGTAGCTGATGAGGGAGATGTAGAGAGTCATTTTGGCGACTGTGGGTAGAGACTTTCCAAGGCAGTTAAAGAGGAAGCAGAAGAAGTTAATCAGCTGATAGGCCACAACGGTGTGCCATGCCTCGATCTCACTGCAGGGAGTATTAGCGACACGAGGGCCAGACGCAGAAGAATCGATGTATGCCTACAAATCAGGGTGTCCAAGCTTCCACATGCCAACACTAGCTTGGCCCAGACCCAAAACGACACTGGAGCACGCAAAGATGGCACCTGCATAACCGAACCAGCCGGTAAGATAGGAAGCAAAGCGAGTCCATTTCCGTGGAGCCAGTTCATGAGCCCAGAAGTACTGACCACCGGCATTGGGCATGGCACTGGCAAGCTCAGCAAGGGAAGATCCCACAGCCAATGAGACAATGGTGATCCAGAGCAGACCGTAAATGATGAGTGTAGTTCCTCCAGAATTGATTCCCGTAATCATGGAGGCCGAGATACCAAACCACGAGTTAGACATGCAGAAGGCAATTCCAATCAACGAAAGAATAGAGAAATTGCGATTCAGATCCTGGGTATAGCCCATCTCAGCGAGACGGGAGGCATCAGTATCGATCAAGCCGGACTCATTGCTGCTCGAGGCAGGTTTTCCGCTCGCTTTTTTCTCTAGGTCCAATTCTCCCATGGTGGACTGGTTCTGCTTAAAATCGATCGAATTGGCGCAAGGGAAGATAGTAGTATAGTTGCACAGGACGCTGTTATTTGATGAGTTCAGACCACTTGTTGCATATGGGAGTGGTAGATTCAATCGGCTCGGGATTGGCGCTGGGGATGATGTCTATACTGCTGCGAGGGTATAAGTGATGGTCGCTGTAGGCACAGTATCGGTTCAAGTCGCAATTGGGTGTCGTGATCTTCGCAAGGGAATGATTCTTTGAATGTCGCTAGGGTTCAATAGGCTGCACGGTATATATGTGACGATTCGTACGTGACAGCAATGGCAATTACAGAATGCGGTCTGTATGAAATGATTTTTCGTTATGCCTCAGATTGAAGTTCGGTTTATGACTGGAATTGGCGGATGCCCCGGGTGATCCAAAGTGCCCAACAACTTTTGATCAAGGCGCTGCCTCGAAAGAGAATAGAAGATGTAATGATGAGATGGGAGGGAGGGGAAGAAGTGAATTGGGAAGAGAAGAAGAGGCGTCGAAGTAGTCGCCAGACGCAGGATAGAGGGCGCCTTTTCAGTCATTCTTCCCCCATACCCACACGACCACATCAGGGAATCTTTACTGGCCGTCTAACAACAGCCCCATACAATTTGCGGCGCGAAACTCAAACAGGATATCCTTCAGACCTAGGTCAAACAGTACCGATTGAGATATCCGGTTCGTAACATCATCGCCTGGCGGGTCGGACCCGCCACCAAGGCGCTTTACCTGCCATGGCTGACGACTCACGGCCTCAAATGCCCTTTCTAGTCGGAAAAGAGCCGATTCCGTACAATTGTGGCTTCGAGAGAGGAGCCTAATGTAGGGCCAGCGTTTAGCCTCCACTTAGCACGAAGTGGAGGTGATTGAAAGAGTGAGTGATTTTGTCGCACCACGTCATAGGCTGAGAAGCGGAGCGGCCTACTCGCAATTTCCTTTACTTAATAGGCTTGTCCGATCATCGGGCTGAAATATGCATGTTTACCGAGTTATTCGAGGGGTATTTGAGGGGTATTCCTTTAAGCCTTCTTTTTTCATTACTTCTTGCCTTCTGCTATGGTCTTTTGACGGAATTGAAACAGGACGGGAAAATATCTGCAAATTTTTACATAGCGCTGTTGTGTAGTTGAACAGTGCAGGGTGGAGACTGATTTTTTTTTTTCGCGAAGTTCTATCGAAGTCCGGTTCATCCGTTTCATAAGTCCACCTATGCGTTCATGTATATTCTCAGGCTCCAGGGTTAACAGCAAGAGCCGATTAGTTCCGCTCGGAATTGTGAATTCGAGTCTCTCCGACTCGCTGGCCTGTGAAATGCCGTCCATTACCCCGTAGACATTCGGTGCAAGGATCTACATAGTTCGAACTGCCATTCATCAAGAGAAGATCTGCAAGGTACTGTAACATGCCACGTTAGGAAAACCCGACCGTTTCATCTCCGTTCCACTTCCTTCTCATCAATAATACGGAGCTACTCCTTTATGCGCAGCAATCTTGGAGCAATACATCCCTAGTGAGTAATATGGCCTACCGTGTAAGCCCACTTCCGGGCACTGTCCGGAATTATAGTTTTAGACGATCGGCGTTTGTTTGGGGCGTTGATCCTCTACTTTAACGGCAGGTGGTCATGCGGGCAGGTCTTGATGTAGTCAAGCCCCCGATCTAGTGAAATCCCTCAACATTCAATCGGTGAGTACAGAGTCATGATAGTATATATTAAAATGTACGTTAAAAAAAGGTTTATTCAAAGCAAACGAATTCGGATTTGGATTTGACGTATAGTTTGTGTGATGGAAATCTCCGTTTTCGCACCACGAGGTACCATGCAGCTTATTGAATATGCTCTTTAACAATTATTCGGATGACAGACTGGGTATTCATTGGCAAGAAAGCGGTAAGATCATCCAATTATGTCTCCCTCAATCTTGAAGCAAGGCCCGTTTCGGTGATTGGTGATGGTTTTGCAAGGGGATTGACAAGGGCAATCTTGCGTCTGGCTGGCTATCAACCAGTATTTTCTGTGGTCGGTATGCCGCATATGGAATGGCCTCCTACCAGACTCATTTAGACATCCTGGGTTGGCCATGCTGACTGCTCTTCATGGTTTCACGGAACAGTGTTCATCATCATAGAATGTTGCCCATCTCGAGGTGATGTTTGTAGGGCTAGATGATGCCATGGTGACTAGCCAGAGAGCGAGTATAACAAGCATCTGACCTCGGAACATCATAATCAAGGAAATCCCTTGCACATGGCTATTTTTCATTAAAATGTGTGGTTTATCCGGATTGCACATAATATTAAAAAATGACAACTTCCTGATAGTGATACGTGGGTTAGGAGACTCAAGCGAGAAATGTTCAACCCAATTAGTTTCTCAGCATTGCCATTGTCGTATTAATTCTACAATATTCGTAGGACAATCTGGGTAAACACGCCATGTTTCTATTAAATCAAAACAGTTCCAGGTGGTCTAGAAGGGCCAGATCACGCAAGGTTAATATTTGCCAACCAGCCAACTAGTAGTAATATGTTTGATGAGGACGAAGTTATGTTAATTGACCAGGGAAAATAGAACCTCCAGTCGAAAATGCCATATAATAGACAATACTCATCGCAGTCTAGTACTCAAGAAATACAATCAATGCAAGATATTCACATTTAACCCTTCCCCTTGGCTTTACCAGTCCAATTTCAAGTCCCAAGCGTCACCTTCACAGAACCCGGCTCAAATATCAAAGGTAACACCGCAAGTATCGCTATCATCTGTCTCACCAAACATACCCGACACCTTAGGGTCGTCAACTTTTCCATCAACCTTATCGCCTCCATTGTACGCAGCATTGCACCACTTATAGCCACCAGTCATCCACTGTTGGTCCCAATCAATGTCGTGGTCGAGGCCAGTGTCCGATGCCTTGATTGTTTGCTTAATGGGCTCTTGCTTGTTGTTGTCCCACTTGACGCCGTTTGTGCACTCCAGTACGAGGCTTCCGGTAGCAGCAATGCAGTTTACCGCTACTCCGCAAGTAGTTTGACTAACTCCTTCGGTTCCCATGAGTGTGCAGGTATCTCCGCGCTTTTGTTGGGCGGCGGGGGCTGCGAGGACTGCAGGGATGCTGACGAGGAGAATCGAGGTCTTTGTGAAGTGCATGATGGAAGGTTTGTTTTGGTGGAAGAGATGGATTGAGATTGAGATTATGATCAAGTTTAAATGCAATTTGGTTGATTCGAATGTAATTGAGCTGGTTGTTGTGTTATTCAAAAGATGCGTCTTCCGGAGTCTTTAAATACCTCGAAGATACTACTAGTACGCATTCAAGACAATGCCTCGGTCAAAATAACACTTTGCACATATCAAGCATGTTGGCCACCCGCCCCAAAATATACTCGTTAGAGTATATTCATCTGGAGATCCAGAATAATGACGCTTTCAATGTTCCCAAGTGACAGAGTATAGAGGCTGCAAAAAAAGCCACAATTCTTGGCAATTGCCAACGGCCCCCAGATACCAGGAGATCGCAGCCTGATTTAGTCTCATGTAGTGCGCCCCCGACTGTCGATCCTCCAGAATAGCAGGTGTCGTCTCCGATATTTGGGGCCGCCCCACTGCTAAGCACCAAAAAGCATCTGGGGGCTGAATAAAATGGTGCTCTCACCACGAACGATCCGATTCAGGGTCCAAAATGTGCCTGCATAATGATCTATTTACCAGCATAGTATTTGATATCTCGCAGTTGCGGTATCCGACTCCATAAATACCAGTCGAACGGTGAGTGAGCCTAGGAATTACTTTTTGAAGAAGAGCGTTTGCCACTAACTACTAGTATGAGTAAGATTGATTCCCACCTTTTAGAATGTACTGGCTCCGGTTTTGAATAGCCCCCAATCCCAAACCCCGCAATCAATACTACCCCATATGTCAGAATGATTCTATCCCACTGCTGACAAGTAGAATTATTGACACATGGTGGGGATGTCTGGGTACGTATGTCATTTTCCCAACGAGAATTGCTGATACGAGAATATCTTTCATATAATAAAAGTAGAAAGGGGAGATTGGGTTGGTATATTATGCTCTGTGTGGCAAAAGGTCTTGTATAGACGGGGCGCATGACGAAACAGCCAATGACCAACGTGTTGAGTATTTTCTCAGAATAGAGGGACCCTGAAACCTGTTTCAGTGCGGTAGTTACGGATTCGGCATAACCTGAAAGATATCTTCCTCGAGCAGCCCCAGCATATGCTGATTGCTCGAAAACCAATTGCCCAGCTGTGCTGCCTGGAACATCTCGGCAGTGGACATCGACCCTTCAGTCTGATGTTGGAACGCCGGCGTAGATAGCCCGAGACCTTGCTGCGACGTATCTGGACCGGTCATCTGCATAGGCGTACCATCAGGTTGGTAATATGTCTGGGCACTTGGGACTATGTTTCCTGGTGCTAGACCCAGGGCGCTAAGATAAGCGTCGAACTCTTGCCCGACGGATGCAAGGCTCTGGTCTTCGCCGGCTTGATCTCGACTTTTTGCTTCGACGTAGAGCCGGGCTACTGAGCCAAGTACCGCGCACAGACCGTGTAGTCGGTCGACTGACTGGGAGAAGCGACAAAGGGGGCGCAGAGAGGCGATAAAGTCCTCAAGGCGGGAGAGGTCCTTTTGGTCGGAGGTTGCGATTACATGGCAGAAGATGACGATGAATGGTATGAATGGAGCGAGAAATACGGCCCTGTCAGATTTTATTAAGTTAGCTCTAGAAAATCAGTGCTTTAAGTCTCAAGAGCATACCAGTGCAGGTAGGATATTCGCATCATCTCGTCCGTCTCCTTCAAGTCGGACATGTACATATGGTGAGCTTCTAAAGCCGCTCGAGCGGAGTCGATACATTCGGGTATGAATGTTAGGTCTGAGTCTGATCCGGGTGGGACTGGAATGGCTCGATATATCAAAGTCAAGGTTGCATATCGACTGACTTCGTCTGAGCGTACATAGATCTTGTCAATCTCGGAGAATTTGGCACCATTGGCAACGATATTCTATCGTAAAAAGGTCAGTAATTGTGAATCACCCGGGGTGCAACATAAAGCGTACATTGAAAGGTTCAATGACGCTCGACTGTAGCTCTTCCGCCAATTGACGTGCATGGAAAACTCGCTCCCTCTCAGGCCGACCTAATGCTGCAGGACTATACAGCTTGGTGTATATTCGATTCTGGATCTCGGCCTGTTTCCACCAAAGAGCAAAAATCGGCCCCCAATGCTCAACACGTGCCATGGAGGTAAATGGTGAAGGTATAGTAATATCGTAGTCCTGTACCACGGATCCTCTGCCTAATCGCAAAGACAGTACATTCAAAAGGGTGTCTAATGCCCAGAATAGATTCTGTCTTTGAAGTTGGACTTTTTGTGACTCATGCTCCATTGACGATATGCGATGATATCCCAGGGTTTGAGCCATATGGATGGCCGTGGAGGCCAAAGTCCAGCCCACAGACGGCTTTGATATCTCAATTCCGTGGATCGCCTGTGTTTGTCAGTCTATTGCCCGTGGGTGCGTGGTAATAATCATAAAACTTACCCCAAGGGCTAGCGCGGCAATAGAATCGAAGGTGGCGGGCATTAAAATATTCAAATTGCCAAGCGCTGCCTCGAGATTGTCTTTGCACAGCTGTACATAGTAGCGGTATTCGTCTTTGCTAAGTTGACCAATTTCAGTAGTCTGGTACTCCATAAAGATACCATAGAGGCAGAAATTCGTGATAATGAAAGTGGTCTCTGAATAATCATCAGTGGCAAAATAAACTCCCTGGCATTTCTCAACAAAATAATCAATTGTCAAGAAGGGAATCCAACCAGAAAAAAAAGATGGTGGATTTTCTTCCAGAATGTTAGTTTCAAATTAAGATCATCGGATTAGATCAAGCTTTATCATACCTTTAACTACCCGAATGAAATCCAAAACAATCGGCAGAGGTGGCATTTCCAAGTCATAGATATTACACCTGACACCTAGTCGGCTATCATGCTTCGAGTCGGAGCTTTTCTGGTCATCACCATCTCGTCTCCTGTTTTGCATATCGACAATGTGCTTCAGCGACGCAAGTGCTTCGCTGATCTTTGGACTCGCAAACATCTCGGGGGTTCCATGCGATACGGCCGATTCAAGAAACTCCCTTGCATACGCTGAATGGGCGGACAGGGAGGAGCCATCTTGGAATCCGGAATTCGAGTCATGCTGCTCGATAGCTGGATTAGATCTGTAACTGGGGCCCTTTGACTCCACATGGTCGTGTTTTGCTGCAGATCGTGGGCGGGTATTTCGCCTGGGGGTTCCTGGTGAACTACGAAGCTTCGGGGTTGATAGGGATGCTTGCTGTCGAGTTGTGGTCAAAAGCTCGCGCAAAGATCGTTCCATGCCCCCCCAGCCGCTCTCCAATCATATCGATCTTTTTCTCACTGTTGAAAAAGGTTAAGATGTTATCAACTGAATGCCCCAAATAGATCAATTGGTACGCACTACTGGCTGGAAATCAGCACACGGCGTCGGGGTTCGTGCTGCTTCTGGCCTTCGCCCGTCGATCGACAGGTAATATTTGCGCTGCGACAATTGGAGCAGGGAGGACGCTTGTCGCATCGAATCTAGGAGATGGTTGTTAATATTCATGTTTTTCCGATCTCATTCATGGAAAAGGCTTACCTTTCGAGTCCGGCATTGGTCACACTAATTGAATCATGCATGCACAGTCAGCTGCCAATTACTCGGTCCGCCAAATTCCTCCGGCCGGGGAAGTGGAGTACATACCGCTCGTTGGGCTAGGGTGCTCAGCACCTCGCGGTCGGAGTCCGCGGGTTCCATGACAGGGTGAGTTGCCACAGATGGAATAGGAGTCTTTTTCAGGATTCGAGTCCTGGAAGGGTGCCGCTGTTGGGAGGACATGAAGTGAACAAGCGGGCGGCGCCGGGCTTCTGCCTGGCCGGGCTGTCGATCACGTGAGGGGGCATACCGTGGAGTAGCTTTGAATAGCGAAAGTAGTAATAAGTACAAAGGTTATACAAATTCAGAGTATGAAGTACTATATACAAGGATTCCAATTTGATGATTTCAAGCTCTAGTCATGGTATCTTCGTTCGGCATATCGGTTCGTAAACGAGAGTAGTGAATCCAATTCGCCCACCCGCTCGTACGGATGGAGCGCGTTCAGCACCTCTACCACCAATTGTATATTGTTCTATCCAGCAGAGCGGCAAAGCGTAATGGCCAAGGATGGATGCAAGCAAAAAACCACCTCTACTTCTTTGGAGGGCCCGGCGAGATCCAAGATCCATCGCTTCTCCAGACACCAGTTGGTCCGTAGGAGCCTGCCTCTGCACCCCTAAGGAAAGCGAAGCGGAAGAAAATATCCATAGGGTCGTCATCATCTGAGTCACTTTCTCGAAGAGAGCCAGATTGAGTCTCAAATTCGGAAGAATCTTCATCGACATCAAGCAGAGACGACTGTCGCAGTTCCAGACCGTCGTGGCCATGACGGTGCCAGGTGAATTCGCCGTGCTTCTCTTCGTCAATGTAGCCACGCCAGCGCTCCACATCATTAAGCAACACTGAAATACCATCCACATCAAGTTTCGCCATTCGCTCGGGTTCCCACAAATGGAAGGTTATGTTGCCGTTACCGTAATGGGCGGCATCAGAGCCATCTTTAGGCAAGGAGATCTCAACAGAGCTGTTCGTGATGTTAGGATACGCAGTGCCCCACCAGCCATGTCCGCTGCGCCCCGAGGCAAGTTCTCCCAGCGCGGCTGGGGTTTCGATAATGGAGGCAAATCCCCATCGGGCAACACCGTTTATGAAGAGACCAAGGAGCAGACCCGAATAAACCAATGAAGGGCGTGTCGGAAAGGCGGTGCCAGGCAGGAGTAGAATGGCGAGAATGTAATGGTGGATTCGGAGCCGAAGACCAGGGAGTGGAAGAAGGATGAGAATAATCAGGACCATAGTACCATATATCTTCAAGTAGCGAGGCAACAGTCCACCTTGGCGGATCTGCCATGCCTGGGTAAGAATGATTGTGAGTACAGTTGGAATGACGAATGCCAGTGCAAGCTTAGCCCCTGGTTGCTGTTGGATATCCATGGGGGTCAGGCGCTGAAGGGGAATCAACCGCGCGAAGGTATAGTTGTTCAAAGCACCAATGAAGAGTGCAGGCAAATATAGGAATAGCTTAGACAGCTGGTATATAGGCGAGCTGATCGGCTTCAGTAGTGGTGCCGCACAAAACTTGTATAGCACGTAAGCAACGAATGAAGCGGGCAGCAGTCGAGACAACAGCGTGGAGACGAGATCGGCCAGGTAAGGATACGAAGGAGGGTCGGCGACCAGTCCCGTATGGCAAAACACCATAAAAAAAGTGCTGAAGAAAAGAATTGGGGGTGATGTGCAGAAAAGCCAGAGTACCCCAACAGCCGCAGCCGTGACACCAAGAAGCGGCCAGCGCGGATCCGATGGGCAGTTTGCTTGCGATGAAGACGGGTGAAGAAAACTGAATGACTTCGGGAAAGTGGACGGGAAGGCGATAGATTTGATACCATGCTGCTTCACTGCCGGGAAAGAGTGTGCAGCGCCTTCTAGCTTTGCAACACCGCAGCCGCCGTCGTTCGAGATGGCTCCAGCATGAATAGCCGCTTGACAAACAAAGCTGTCAGCCCGGTAGATCGCCGTATCTGGTGACTGGGGAGATGGCCCTCCGATGACCAGTCCTCGATAATTCACTGTTTGATTTCCAACGACATGAGGTTCCAGCAGTTTCGCATCGCGGCAATTGGCGGGGCATCGAAAAGCAATTGTTGATTCTGAGAAAGGACGGCAGTCATTTCCATTCAAACCACACCCGTTATCGAATTGCCTGCATTGTTTTCGGGTTAGTTTGAGGTATCCAAATATAGATCGCATCAGGCTCGTTAAAAATACATACCAGAGGTTTGTCGTACATGAGAGAGTCTGCAGCTGGCCGTATCCCTCGATATAGCCGGATGATCGTGAGTGAAGGAGAACCAGGAACCACGGCAGAAACCACGAGAGGTATAACAAGCCCAGAAGTAAACCCTTTTGTTTCCGTTTAGGAAAGAAGCGGTCAAGATATTGGACCGGCAATTCCTGGATACGCGGAAATAGCGGTTTCAAAAGGAGCATGTGCGGCGGATCGGGGCCCTTGATCCAGTTTGCAGTTGCGCGACCGGCCTTTCTGAGGGGCAAAGGCACCCAACCCCAACGAAAGGACTTGGATGACTCCTGCAGCCAAATAGGCAGTGGGCTTCCGGACTCGACATCAGGCGGCGGGAGATCTTCGGAAGTGTCGGGATCGGCGATGCGGTCGTCATCTTCGAGGAGCGGAGGCACATAGAGGCGGGCAGCCTCGTCACGACCTTCCCCGATCATGGCTGGGTGGGAAGATCAAAAGAACGGAGAAGGATGAAGACCGAGAGAGTCGAATGAATGTCGAGGCTTATGATGTCGGAGGCCGGAGCGGTCGGGGCGCTAGTCAGGTGGAGATCTCCAAAGTGGATTCTTTGGGCTGAAGATCACCAGGAACGCCAGCCATGAATCCAAGATGCCGGGGGGGGGGCCTAAAAGATCGAAGTTGAAAAATGAATAGGGTGTATCATGAGACTAATGGGGGAGAAGAGAATGTATGCGGGGATAAGAAAGAAGAGAAGAGAAAGAGAAATGAGTGCCAGTGTTGAGTTGGGGGGGCGACGAGGCAATAAGGCAACAAGGCAACAAGGCCACAATCACTCGTGACAGTCAATCACGGGACTTTCCCCATGTCTGCCAGTGTTTCCGACCCTGAGAGTTATACCTTACTAGTAGCTGTCTTCTTTTTGCTTTTTCCCCTGATCAAACTTCACTCTTTACTCTTCACATCCAGGGAACGAAACTGTATACAATTTTCAAACTCAAAACGAAGCCGCACACTAATGCAAGGCCGTGCAACATGCATCCTCTCCTCTCCCCGCAAGGGTTCTGTTGATCAATGATCGATGATCGAGGCTCGACGCTCGTATGACTGACAGGGGATATCCAGGTGGACTTGGCAACCTCAATGCGGCCTTATCAATCTGGTTTATACTTCGCATGGTACTCCGTAACCGGTACACCAGATATCACTTTTAGCCTCTCAAAATTCCAAGTTTCCACTATGATTCGGCGAGCGGGACATAAAACGGTCCGCTTATCAAGCACACGGACTCCCCCCGGTTAGAGAGAGCGGGGATGAATGGCGAGATTAGAAATCATCATTCAATCTAATACCTTAGGATAGACTAGTCTATCGAGTTCAGAATCAAGGCTATATGGTAGCCACCTGGCCCGGTCCATTTGTTGCTTTTCTCCATCTCCATCTAAACTTTTCAACGGGGCCACCTGCATGACCGTTGAGCTGCAGCGATCGACCATCATGACAGCCATGGCAGTTCCACCTTTGGACCTTTCCCACCACTTTTCTTATGCCACCAAGAATCGAAACATTAGCAAAATAAAGGACTTCTACAAATATTTCCTGATTTCAAACATTGCCAATTTCGCCGGCGGTATCGTCCATTGTCCCAGAATAAATCCTCCGATTCGCATGGCTAACCTTATGCTTCCAGGATTGCCACATCCTTCCTATTTCCCCTACGACACTCTCGAGGCCACTGTCGCCCGACCGCAACGTCTGCACCCTTCCAACAAGGATAACGCCAAATCGGACCGAGTAACCGTTCCCAAGGAAGTCCAATCTAGCGATCCCGCCCGTCGTATCGACTTAACAACGGCGCTACAATATGGCACCGCGGAAGGATACCCGCCATTGTCCTCGTTCCTCCGGGCATTTGCGAGAGACCATCTTCATCCCAATGTACCATACAAAGGAGGACCCGAGATCATCCTCTCCTGCGGAAATACCGATGGTTTCTCAAAGGCAATTGAGCTCTTGACTGATGTCTGGAATCCCGACCGGGACTGGATCCAACAGCGTCAAGGTGTCTTATGTGAGGAGTTCGCCTATATGAATGCCATCCAAACTGCCCGACCTCGAGGTTTGAATGTCGTCGGCGTCGCAATGGATGGACAAGGAATGTGTGCTGCTGGTAAGGGAGGTCTTCAAGACGTACTGGAAAATTGGGACTTTCGACGAGGTCGTCGACCACATATCATATACACCGTAACGTAAGTTCTCCTTCTACATGTCAATTGACTCCCAACCCAAGCAATAATGCTAACCGCGGGTGACAGCATTGGTCAAAATCCCACTGGAGGCACCCTTTCCATCGAACGCCGCAAAGAAATATACGCCCTGTGCCAGAAGTACGATGTGCTAATAGTCGAAGATGATCCGTACTGGAACCTGCAATTTCCCTCCGCCTATGAAATGGAAGCACACTATCGTGGCGCCACGGTCCAACAGACTCCATACAATCGAAACTACAATGCACAAGGCAGGTCATCAGGCTACGCGTTTCTGGACTCTCTAGTCCCTTCGTATCTATCAATTGATACCGAGGGCCGAGTAATCAGACTAGACACTTTCTCCAAGACAATCGCTCCGGGCAGTCGGCTTGGCTGGATCACAGCGCAGCCCGCTCTCATCGAGCGCCTCGCTCGTATCACAGAGGTGACAACTCAACAACCCTCCGGATTTGTCCAGTCTGTAGTGGCAGAGACTCTTATGGGGGAACATCCCAATGAAAATGAAGCTCGTGTCTCAAAGAGAGCAGATGGCAATGGGTGGCAGATGGACGGCTGGGTCCGCTGGCTCGAGGGGCTGAGGGGCGGCTACGAAAGAAGGATGCAATCGATGTGCACCATCCTAGAAGAGAACAAGTTTCTATTCCACCAGAACTCGGAATTCCAGGACACACAATCTGACCATGTCGATGATTGGGAGGTTGTCGATCGCGTCCAGATGTACGACTTCGTCTGGCCAAAGGGCGGCATGTTCGCGTGGGTGGAGGTTCTTTTCGACACACACCCGCTCCGATCGCAATTCAGTTCTGAGAAACTATCGAAAGCCTTCTGGATTCATCTCACAAAGAAGCCGCACCTTTGTCTGGTTGGTCCGGGTAGTATGTTTGCCGCGACGCCCAAGTCTGCTGAATCCGCGCACAAGTATATCCGCATTGCTTTTGCGCCGATGGATGCAGAGGATGTGGCACCGTTTACTAAGAGATTGGTGGAGGGGTTCCGCTCTTTCTGGCAGCGAAAAGATCTAGATGGATTGGATGAAGATGATACTGTCGTCATGCAGAATCTGCAATCGGGGTCTGCGATCAACTTTATGGGTGCTAACTGCTAAGAATACAAACGTAGATTAGTGTGCGATAAACCTCTGATGAATTAAAGAACAATTTCTTTTCGAATTACCTTTTATTTGATGCATTGGCATGCAGATAAATTAACCTATCATTTGCAGACTCGGAAGTGAACTCCAGGCAGTTTCAAGTTCTTGTTATGCCAGTGACTAACTACCCTAAGGGTAACCTGATGGTCTTCAAGTTATCAACCCCGTCGATCTCCAAGGTTATTTCCTCTTCGAACCATCCTACTCAAGCAAAAGCAGCGCCTCCACTCGAGCCATGAAGTCTGTTCCAGGGGAGTAAAAAGACTCAGTAGACAGGCGAATCCAACCATTTCGACCGGCTTTGCGGCCTGCCATGTACGCAAGCAGAGCACCATCTATGTCGTCGGGAAACGCTTCGCGAATCTGTGTTGTTACCGTTACAATTAAAGCCCCGGGGCTGACTTCAGGGGTCGTTGTTGCTAATTTTTGAGCAGTTTGTTCACGAAGGCTGACTGAGCCGCTGAGACGCTGAAAGCTCCCCCGAGAGTTTGGGCCACTGGGTTCCATTCAAGATTGCTTGATTAATTGAAGAGTCAAGCCATAAGTTCCAATTTTACTTTTCTTTACCGAAGATAAGTTCACCAAACCCTTCCAAAAGTGAACTTCAACAACTTGGATTCTTGTTATCCCAGTGCCCAGGTGATTAGCAAACTTGAAAGTGATGGTGCAAGTGCCCATTGTACATGGCAGATGGTGTAATAGTCATCTTGAAACAGTATAACTAGCAGGTATACTACTACATCACCGGAAAGCCTTGAAAAATAAATTCCACAGCAACTTGAACCCCCAAAGTCCAGTAAACACACCTGGGTAGCTTCAAATCGAAGTAAGAAAGAAAAATACATCAATAATATCCTCTCAGCGGTGTAAGCTCGATTTTGTATTCAAAACAGAGAGGTTGAAATACTAGTAGTAGTAGTAGTAGTAGTAGTAGTAGTAGTATATAACTACTAGTAGCGAGGTGGCGAGGCAATCGCCACAAGTCCGTTCAAGCCCAGACCCCAGATGGCGATCGAGGCGAGTTATATATGACGTCTCGCTCTAGTATAAATAAAACAGGGCCTATAAGTATGAATATGATAGTTATTCTCATTAATTCTGTACTAATATTGATTGTATCACTCTTTTACTATACCTTTTCCAAGGTTACTATATTAGTATTATTTTGGAACGCCAGAATGACCCTCGCCCTGGACCCCATCAACCAAAACTTCGTTGGCGAGCTCACCAAAGGCCAGCCTCTTTACGAAAAAACACCATCAGATGCACGACAGGCCCTGGAAACTCTTCAAAAGTATGTTCCAGCCCCCGACATAGCCCAGGATTACTTTGACGTTCCTCTCGGGTCTGGCTCGGTGAAGACGGTCATCTTTCGACCTGAAAATGCCAATCGTGATATACCATCCATCTTCTATACTCATGGTGGCGGTTGGATCATGGGGAGGTGCGTATTACTTCTCACCCGACAGGACTAAATATGTTTTCTAATAATCCCATGCCACATATAGCCCCAGTGCTTTCGGCTCCTTGATGGAAGACCTTTCTCGCCAAACGGGAGCTGCAGTGATATTCCCACACTATTCTCCTGCACCAGAAAAGCAGTACCCTAGTCAATTCGAAGAGTCATTTGCCGTACTGAAATACATGGTCGAACATGGCGACATGCACCACCTGAAAACAGAGACCATGTCTTTTGCAGGCGACAGTGCCGGTGGCAAGTCCCCCTTCGCCTCTGCCCATAATTACCCACACATAAGAATCTGACACAAATTTCTTAGGCCACATGGCCATCGCAATGGTCCATCTCGCCCAGAGAAATCATCTCCCCCTGAAAATCGCCCATCTAGTCCTCTTTTACCCGGTAACAGACACCCACCAAAAGAGCACAACCTACAAGACCTTCAAGGAGGGGCCATATCTTACAGAACGCACAATGGACTGGATGATCGATGCTTTTATCCCCAATAAGCCGGACAGATGCAACTCGCTCACCTCACCGCTGAGCTTCTCGTCTGATGAAGAGCTAGCCCAGTTCCCGCCCACGACACTTTTTCTCTCCGGAGCCGACCCGCTCATTGGCGAGGGCGAAGCGTTTGGACTACGCCTGCAGAAGAATGGGGTCGATACTTCGATCTTAAGGGCCGACGGACAGATTCATGATTATGTTATGCTTGAACCTATTCGGCGGACTGCGACTGCGAGGGCGGTTGTGGAGCTTGCTGCGGCGCATTTGAAGAGGGATCTTGCATAGTAATTAAACGCACATTAGTCATATTATTCCGATAGAAAAAGCAAATCAACCATGTCAAATGCTTGAAGTGTACTTTTGTCCCTACCCTGGAGCGAAGTCTTCTAGAAGCCTTCTGTGCATGGAGAATTTGATGCCTGAATGCCTGATGGCCAACAAAGGTGGGGAAAACAGAATCTAGGAACTCCGCAGCCCGCAATTCTACCTTCTCCAACAGATGCGGGCACAATGTCACAGCTGGACGATCTGCCGAACCGGGACCTGGCCGAGGAAATCGAGGCTATAAATGCCATATACGAGCCCGACACCATTGCAATAAGTCGGTCGGCGAGCACATCCACCAGCACGCTAGACCTGGGCAGCACCGGCTCCTCCTCCAATGACCCCGCACAAACGACTGTGACGCTCCAGCTCCCTGGCCAACCACACCTTTCGTTTCTGATCGGGTTTGGAGCTTCTTATCCGGAGACGCAGCCTTTTGTCCTTGGGACTGCGTCGACTGCGGCGCGCGGGGAGGGCAAGATTGCCGTTGATGTGTTGGAGGATATTATACAGCGGACATGGCAGCCCGGTGCTGTGTGTTTGTTCGACGTGATCAGTGAAGCTGTGGAGGTATTCCCGGAACTCAATATTGGAGGGAATAAAGAGAGCGAACAACCACCCGGAACAACAGAGTCAACGCCAGCCGGACAATCTTCAAATGCAAACGACAAATCCGACGAAGAGATTGCTGTCTCGAACGAGGAATTTGCGGCCCTTTCGTTGAAGGATGCTTTTGGACTTGATAGCCCTCCTGATTGGATTCTTTCCGACGTCGTGACGGAGAAGAAATCTGTTTTCCTGGCTAGAGCCGTCCAGGTCAAGGATCTTGCGCAGGCGCAGGCATTCCTGGATCATCTAACGGCTACGGACAAAAAGGTCGCTGTGGCGTCGCACAATATATCCGCCTGGCGGATTAAGCAAAAGAAGGAAGGGGAGGAGGAGCCATAGGCTCCGATTCTGGAGAGACTGTTGTGCAGGATTACGACGACGATGGGGAAACTGCTGCAGGGGGTCGACTGTTACATGTTATGCAGTTGATGGATGTTTGGAATGTCCTTGTCGTCGTGTCACGCTGGTACGGCGGGATTCATCTGGGGCCGGCGCGGTTCCGACTCATTAATGATGTTGGTCGTGATGCTTTGGTCAAGGGGGGGCTTTCGGCGAGAGGAATCTTCGGTCCCTGAAAAGGGGAAGAAGAAAGGCAAAAAGTGATTGGATGTGGGTGTTTGGGGTTTTTTTTGGTCTTCACTGTAGATATTCAAGATCTAGAATGGCTATCAGGTACTAGAGGGGCATCGCGGATTAGTATGTCGTTCCAAGGTTCATTTTGATATTTCCTTCAGTCCTCGGGCACAGATGATTTTGCTGCGAAAGAATTTCAGGGAGCATGCTGGCATGAAAATTCAAATCGCTCACTTGGTCCTTTTGATAGACTTGACACACGGAAATTGAGTCTATATTGAACTGCGCCACCTGCATGGAATGGCTTGTCTTGGGTTGCACCAGAGTATCCCACGACTCAAGGAAGGTGGTATGAAGGAGAAAACCTTCACAACCATGTTCCGTGCTACTGAGAGGTACAGTATGGCGAAGAATAGGCTGCAAAATATGCCCATGAAACGCACTAAGGTCGTCGCATTCATGACGACCCCTTCGCCTGTGAAGTTTCGCTGGGGACCACACGACCCATCCACTTCAGTGGAGCATACGATCCAGCATTCTCAATCTCATACAGATTGAATCAGGGTCAATTGACTCAACAATATCCTCCACTTTTGCCTCCTCTCGATGTGACCATGGGGCCAATTCGACAGGTTCATGGCATCCAGAACACAGTCGAGGCCAAGAAGGAGATCAGAAGAAGGTCACGCACAAACCTTTGTGAAGAGTGTTTACACCCTCGCCGAGCGTCTCCGATCATCTACCATGGATTTGTGACTGCTCATTTTTGAAGCTATACCCACCATCGACGCTTTCTCGAAATAGTCATGGCCATGCGAGAAGAGGAGAAGGGAAGAGATGGTTTAATTGCGATGACCACCAAGTTTTATTTGTCTGCCAAGTGACCTGCAGTCCGAGAGTGATAGATCTCTATTTACCTTGTTTATGGACCAGTTTAGCCCCCTAGATACGGAATAGTTTAATCTTAAGATCAGACGGACTGTCCGGAGTACCGTGGTTCGGGCAGTTGGGAGAGCGAGTTGGAGCAAGCCTCGGCAGGCTTCGCGATCGAACGGAGTAGGTTACCTCAGTTCTTGCGAACGACATAAAACCCACCCTGGGCAGCCTCATGATGATATCCACTTCTGCCAAGTCTAAGTTCGCGTTAACCGAGATAATGCGGGCCTGCGATGGCAGGGTATCTTAATTGAAGAAATCCCATTCGTTGGTGGCGGCGATGAAGACAGGTTGAAGATGGGTCTAGATGGGGATGGCCATCAACATGAAACGCGTCTAGAAGAACCTTTGATGGAACGGTGATCGCGGATGCGGAGTATTGGATCCATGGATTCGACGTAGATGAAGGCCTGGCAATCTTACAACAACCACAATATCGATGCGGATGAGAAATCCGCATGTCAAGTCTCATGTTCGATGTTCGATGTTCGCATATACGAAGTGGATGGAATGTTGTGGAGTGAAGGGACCCTGAAAAGTCTGAAACAAACAAAGTTCGGTTGACACTTTCCCTTCCTCCCCGATGAAATCTCCACTTCACTTGATCTCCATCGCGCTAGAACCGCACCACCATCAGCCCAGCCGTCTTCTGGCTCCGCATTTTCCATGATGGGTTCCTCCAGGCGAGTATCAAAGCTTTGCCTTTTTGAGAAGGAGAGCCATCAGGGTCATCACGAAACCTGCACGACCTGGGACATGGAACACGGGACAGAGGATACGGGATTGCATCGTCAAGCGCGGGTGGCTTGAAGAAAATGTCGTACAATGGGAGATGTCTCTTTTCCGTGACAGACTCAGAGACATCAGAAGCACAATGACACCCCCAGCATGGCAGCCTCCAGCCGTTGCGTCATACCGGGATCCTCTGGGTTTCTACAGGTCGCAAGGGCGGAATCATATTGGCATGGACATACCAATCACAGCCGCAGGTCCGATGCCTCTTGAATCAACTTCCACAGTGGAGCTATCATGACTGGAAAAAAGTGACCAGAATAACGCTGAAACGGAGACGTTTACAGCTGCAGCACCCCCTGTCAGTGGGACCTTCGGTTTCTTCCGACCGATTTACATCAAGCCGGCCAACGAGAAGAGTCGGCGCTAACGCGTCCTCTCCCCCACAGCCAATACCCTGGCATAATTGCCGGTCGCCGGACCAGACACATGGGAAAGGTTGTGGAAAACCTACGATGGATGGTGCGGCAGTGGAACACTTGTCAGGGGGCGGCGAAAGACCGTGCCTTGCGTGTACCGAGACGGTGGTTGGCTACTTTCTCAGCCGCCGAGACCAGCTGGCAGATCGCAAGGTCCGGGGACTCGCATCCTCACGTCCTTACTGGCTGGACCATACTTGCCCTTCACCACACATCATCACCCACTCACCGCATCATACCTCCGTCTGAGGTGGGAGCAGAGGAAAGACGTGAAACACTGCAACTTGCAATTTTTGACATACTGTCACCTTCTCCACCCCATTGCTGCCCCCTGGTTGGTATAATCTACCATCTCCGAGCGGCCATCTATACTCCTGGTTTGGCCTAATGTGGAGGATGATCAAACTTTAGAGGTATCCGATTGATTGGCATCCATCCAGCATGCCATGGCTCGTCGTCTCCATCAAGGTCCCGGATCTCCTAATGGATCCCGCTTCTCTTCTGCCAGGGCGCACGGCCTGTCTGGCCCATCTGGTTGGTTGCGACCTGATCTCTACTCTGTAGGCTCAACCTAGATATAAAATCCTTGGCCGCGCCAACTCGGTTCTTTTTTTTACTCGTGCATTCCGATCCATTTTTCTTTCCTTCCTTCACGGTTCGACAACCTCAAACAGGCCAGTCCTGTATTCCTTTCTCTTTCTATCTCTGCTTGGTAGTCAGCCTGTGGCCGATTCCGACATTCCTTCAAGCGTCCCAGCTTCCACAAACATCAACACGTTTTTGATTGTCTCTGCCTGTGGCAAGATATCAGATTTCATTCTTCAATAAGCTCCAACAGCTTACGAACAATATACGTTTCAAAGAGACAGATTCACTGTTTCTTTGCTTCTTCATCCCGAGACATTTCATCCCAGGTGGTTTGAAAAAGACTCAGGAACATTAGCAGGATTGTACCTTCACAATTCCTGCTGTTTCACAAAAGGTATTGTCCTCGCTCTTGATTTCTAATTGAATCGCGGCTGTTACCTGTTTGTCTCATTCTCCCCGTTCCACAATGGGGAGGTTGGTGAATGATGTGACCCATTGAGGGTCCATCCGCGGCAAAATCCCTTTCTGCCTAAAAATTCTCCGATGATATTCGCCAGCCCCGTCATGATTTTATCTCATCTCTTCCACCATCATATTCTCTTTTCATCCTGCTAATAAGTTGGCGCAGGAAGCCTTCGCTCACTTTGCTCTCGCAACTACCAACATCCAATCCTTTACTGTTTGATCCTGTTCGTCTGGTACGAATCCGATCTACATTTTCCAAAAACTTCAGTCGAACCGTTAAAAAAAAAGCATTTTCGATATACATCATGATGTTCACCCAGTCTCTGCTCGCCGTCGCCCTCGGTGCGTCCATGGCTAACGCACATATGATCATGGCCATGCCGATCCCTTATAGCAAGGATTCGTTGAATAACTCTCCTCTGGCAGCGGATGGAAGCGACTTCCCCTGCAAGCTCCGTGACAACGCCTTCGAGGTCACCAAGGAGAATGTCATCGCTCAGGGTGCAAGCCAGGAGCTGACCTTCACAGGCAGTGCCGTCCACGGCGGTGGCTCGTGCCAAATCAGTCTTACCACCGACCGCCAGCCTACCAAGGACTCTGATTGGAAAGTCATCCAGTCCTTCGAGGGTGGCTGCCCAGCCAAGGCGGATGCAAATCTTCCCGGGAATGACGACAGCGTCTTCCATTTCAAAATGCCTGAGGATATTGAGGCTGGCAAGTACACCCTCGCCTGGACTTGGTTCAACCGTATCGGCAACCGCGAGATGTACATGAACTGCGCACCTGTTACTGTTACCGGTGGATCCAAGAAGCGTACCCCCGACGAGATCAAGATCATCGAGAAGCGCTCCTCCAGCTACCCACCCATGTTTGTCGCCAATGTCAACGACTGCACCACTACGGAGGGTATTGATATTCGCTTCCCCAATCCTGGTTCCCAGGTCCAATACCTTGGATATGCAAAGGATCTCGCCCCACAGGGCCAAGCTGCTTGCTCTGGTACTCCCAAGTTTGGCGCTGCTGGCAACACCCCCTCTGATTCATCTTCTGGCTCTGGCTCTAGCTCGGGATCGGGCTCTGGATCAGGCTCGGAATCCAGCTCCTCCGCTGAACCCAGCAGTGCTCCCACAACAACTGCTGCAGCGGATCCTGCCCCTGTCACTACTCAAGCCCCAGCACAAACCACCGCCCCCGCAGCTCCTCAGCCTGTTCCTTCAAGCACTCAGGCTGCCCCGGCTCCTTCTGCATCATCCAGCGGTTCCTCCAGTGGCTCCTCCAGTGCCGGTACTCTTACCGGTGCTTGCAGTCCCGAGGGTCAGTGGAACTGCGTTGCAGGTAGTTCTTTCCAACGGTGTGCCAATGGACAGTGGTCTGTCTCGCAACAGCTGGCAAGTGGCACCAAGTGCGATGCTGGTCAGGGTTCCAACCTTTCCGTGTCTGCCTCCAAGAGAGCGCATGAGATCTCTGCCCTGCGCTTCCGCAAGCGTACCATCGGTGAATCTCACCACGCCTAGATCAGACATTCCTTAGCTTCACTTGCTTTGTGACCTTCCCAACCTCCGCTGGCGTCGGTTGTTGTTACTTTCTCTCTGCATCATTATCATTCATCATTTATTTCGTTTCCGATCCTGGGCCTGTCACTCTGGGACGGACCCTCTTGCTTTCAGTGAACCATCTTTACCTTTCTTCATGTACATTTGTGGATACGAGGGTTGAGAAATCAAACATCATCTTACTTTGTTTGAGCTTAGTATTTGAGTAGACGAAACATATTCTACTTCAATTCTCCGAGTCCAGGGCGTAAACAGACACCAGCAACCTTGAAGTTGGAATGTTTTTATACTGAATTATTATCATAGTCCTACTAGTACCTAGGTACCTGTGAGATGATTGAAGAACCTGGTCTAGATAAAAGCCTAAATGTCGAAATGATTACTCTTCTAGGTAATTCTTGGGGAAATTTCTGAATGTCGTAAGAAATTCGCCTTCCAACGTTCCAAATGTGAATTAGATTTTATCATTTAGTTCTATCAAAGAGGCGTGTAATCATTCAACTCTGGAATCACTCCCGGTTGGAATAGCTAGGTATGCGGGTGTTTCCCCCGAGTGTTCAGACTACCTTGCCTGTCGGAGCATGATCAATGGCGAAGAATTTTCCATCGGCCTCGCTGCCTTCCTCATTCTCTTTCTCCCACCAACCAAGATGAAAACGATGACCGGCAAAAGTCTGGGCGAGTTGCTTGGAATCTGGATCCCAGGCCCCTCTCAGAAACTCATCTGGGATCTGTGAATCTGCTAGAAGACTTGTGATTGCTGCGATGCTACAAGGATTCTTCGGGAGAATGCGATCTGTATTCAAGAGGACCGATCCCAGAATACCCAATGCAAGCATGAAAGCCAAAAGCGCTTCTAGAATACGCGTAGAAGTCACATCTTGAACAACGCGTAGCCGATTTGAACTCGTAATATTTCCAAGTAATGGTTCATGCTGGATGCTGTTGTTTGCGGTCCCACGAGTATAATTATTGAATTGTTGCGCGGTGATGATTTTGTATTGGCGTTGGATTGCTTCAGCCACATTTTGGTTGTGCTCTTCTCTTTGAAAATTGTCGACAGAAATTGCGTATCTCCCCGAAGTAAGATCTTGGAAAAACCCATCAAACTCGGGATATTGACCATTCGAATTCAAGATCCACCACTCGGGGATCGGAGTGTATAGATCCTCTGCTTTCCTGGCTGAAGACTCGTCGGGAACCGGCGGGTTGTTCTCATCAATTTCCATCCCTGGCAAGAGGAAACGCGTGCGGACATCGACTAACTCTGCATATTGAATGCAATACAGGCCGGTGATATGTTGAATAGAGGTTGAGTTGAAATAGCCCCAAACATAGGATGTTGTGTAGTGTGATGCACCAATGACGCCATTATTGTTCTCTGTTTCGAAGTGGCACTGGCTTTCAAATGACTTTCCAAAAGGCTGAGGATTAATGTCCTGGATACTGAGTACTGAAATGTTGCCATAGCTATTGGTGTTATTGCCAGGACAGGCCAAAGTGGTCTGGTTAATAGTGAGGTAGTAGCTCCCAGTCGTCCCATCCCCATCATAAAAGCGGAAGCTTGGTTGCAGCTCTTCGGCTGTATATTGATGACAGACAGGTGCAAGCCTCACAGCCGGTACGATGATATCCACGAACGAACCGTTTAGGTTTTCGGTCCCCGGAAGCCCATCCATAGAGATTTCCGCAAAGGCAAGTTCCTCGTACGTCCAACGAGGATAGGAGAAGTTATATTGAAGAATATATTCGGCAGTGAACATACCGTCAACTTCTTTAGCTTCATTCATCAGGCGTTGAGGTCCAGCTATTGTTCTGGGATCTGGAAAGCCACCAACTCGCGTAAAGTTGGCCTGGCTTTGGGTGGGAACTTCATTCACTGAATACAAACCACTAGTAATAATAGTCAGAAACAAAGAAGCGGCGGTAGCTAGGGTCGTTGCTTGAACCGCAAAATGTCGAGAGCTGATAGATCGAAGACCATTGGTCAGACCAAGTGAATCCAGAAAACTCAGGCCCATCGAACGCTCAAAGGCAGTTCCTTCTGGTCGGCTTAGTGGAGCGTATGGAGCGAGGCATCTGATGTTGAAATCCAGGCTTCCAAAAAAAAGACCGATTCCCACCATTATCAGGGCAGGAATAATGGTCCACAAGTAGTGCATATATTCATCGTTCGAATGTGCATCTCCGAGACCATCCTGGTTTTGTGAAACATGTAGCAATATCTCTAGAACCGCAATTGCCGACAGGATCAAGACAAATATGATGATTCGGCCGATAATTCCGGGGAATGGCTTCCATGGAACATATTCAGTGCCAAATGGAGAGTCGGGTTGTGATTCTCGGTGCCCGATCTCTAGAATTCCAACGGAAGTGCCTTTATCCGTTGGCTCCAAGAAATAATCCTTATCCACAAGGCGAGTTTGAAGTTTCTTGTGAGAAGTCACTCCAGTGCCTGAGAGAGCTGATCGAAAAGCGGTGCTATTTGCTGTTATCGCCGCCATTGCAGATAAGTGGTTCGTATTCCAGGCAGCTATTGGTGTATTCGGCAAAATAAAAATCATAGAAATTGCCAGTAGTATACCAAATCCGAGACATGCCTCCATCCCGCGAAGGGGTAATTGTACCATCACCACTCGATTTTCTTGCACGATTGCAACTCCAACTGCTGTCGACTGCTTTGTATGAGTGAGACCCATGTGTATCAGCAAGGCTGTAATCGAGCGATAAAATGCTTTACCCGAGCTCTCAAGAATTCCATCCTGCCACAGGCTATCGACCGTAAGGTTTGCATCGATGAGATGTAGCCCAAGGTTAAACCCTCTGTCAATCGCCGAATAATACTCGAATTCCAAACTATCTTCGACTGGTCTGAATCCGGTGGTTGCTGTCGAGTTTTTGATTACAAACTCGGCAATATCTCCGGCGGTTATGCCTGGAAGATTAGCAACCTCCGACTCCATTATTTTGATATCAACAGCGGAAGACGATTCGGTTGCATTGCCTTCGGCTTGTAGCTTAAGAAACGACAGTTTTGGCTTGCATATCATCGAAATCGACTTTTTTAATCCGAGGTGTACCGTTTTCCAAGTCTTTTTGGCGTCAGTCGAGCTGTTGTTGGGGGGTTCCGCAGAGGTCGAATTGATTTCATAGGGCGCGGCCATCGTCAGCACGATACGATATCCATCTGATCCACTGATTCCATTGCATCTGCCCCCTTTGAAGTAGGCGGTTTGGGTTTTTTCACCCGATAGCAGGCTTATATTGGCGATCTTGCACGCCGGGGTCGATATTCCGACATCAAAATTTGTCGAATACCGGCCATCTTCATCCGCTAGATAGTCGAGAGTCCGTATTTCCAGGCTAGCTGGCTCACAGTCAAGATCGGCCATCATACCATTGATCGGTGTAGTTATCACCGCATTTTCTGGGAGACTTGGGGCCGAAAATTCTTGGAACGTCAAGTTCTCAGATGTTCCTATAGGATATGTGACGTTTTCGAAGAGTATCCCATTGAGGATATCGTAGGGTTGTGAGCCGACGGTCTCTATTTTTGAGTCTTGAGCGCTAAAGATGTTGAACAGTTGTATAGGGACGTTGTTTCTCTTAACGGGAACCTCTTTCAAAGAAAACAAACTGGTCGAGAAGATGATAAGAAGCCGTAGCAGTAACGAGCATGATACACCAGATGCCACAGCGAAATGTTTGTTTTTGAGGGCGTTCCATATTGCCACCGGTTGCAAATCAGATATATAATCAAGTAACACGCTTTTTTCAGCCGGTTGGGGACCTTCAAGCATTGCCTGCCATGGTGCACTCTGTTTTGTCTGGAATTCAACTCGCGACCAGAACGCAGCGACAATCGTAAGAATAGCGGTGGGTCCATATGTCCAGAGGTAATGGCGATCTTGGGTAGAAGTAGCTATGCCATTGCGGGCTTCCGATGATTGATATAGTACTTCGAGGGCGGCAATAATTGCAGCGAAGGTGAGAAGGAAAAGTATCAAAATTCGTTTTCGTAGGTATAATGGTCGCCAACCGGATGTTTGTGAAGTAGTCGTAGAACCTTTCGAGGGTACATTCAAGAATCGAGATAACATGACGCCTTTCAAGCCATTTCGAGTCTATGTTATTGATGCAATGCCGTATAGATGGGCTAGGTGAGCCTAAGTGAGTGAACGAGCGATATCCGACAGAAAGTATGATGATCGGAATCCATTCGAAAGGGGGCTGCATCTATATGGCTTTTTCGAAATCTCAATAGACGCTGGGCGGCTTTTCGACTATGCTTGAAGTTAACCGCCGGCCCCCTCGCCAACAACACCAGTATGCAGCTAGTAAGGAAGTGAAACGACGAGTTCATCGACGGACTGGATGCGGGCGCTTAGAACTGCTGGTGGACATCTTCCGTCACTTATATAACATGCTGCGGGGTTATTTGTCTAGAAATGAGAGTCATGGGCTCGGATAGCTGAACAAAAATAGCCCCCTATGTGATTGACGTTGCACGAGAAGGCCGGCGCTTAGAAGATGGACCTGCGAACTGTTGGTATTTTGGCGGTAATCCAGTCGATTTTACCATTTTGAGCGACTCTGAATTCCAATATTTGAATCATCGTGAATTGGATATACTCCATGTTCAAGGAAAGGTATGAATATAAGCCTGTTAGTATTTAGGGGGAGTAGGAAGGGTATATAGTTCAGTCCTGCCTTGTCCTTGAGGCATAAGACAGTCACGAGTGGAGCAAAGTGGATGACATAATTGGGCCCGTGCATGAGGCTAGCGTTCAGCTATCCCAAATGGGGAAACAAGGGCTTAGGGCTGCCCGCACCCACGACCCGCAGCTTCAGTAAGCGAAAAAATCCACAGGTGAAGCCCAGTTGGGGAACATTTGGACTTCAACCTCATCATCGACATCGACCGACAACAATGGCGTCTCGTCCTACCGTTTCCATCGCCACGGCTGAGGGCAAGGCCTCTGGGGCCACTGCCCCCCTTCCCTCCGTTTTCTCCGCGCCCATCCGTTCGGACATTGTCCAGTACGCCAACCCGCATATTTGAAGGTCTTTTTAGAGGTGGAAATGCTGACGAAAACTCTACCTACAGGCAGGTGCACGCCGGTATGGCCAAGAACAAGCGCCAGCCCTATGCCGTGAGCGAGAAGGCCGGCGAGCAGACCTCTGCTGAGTCCTGGGGTACCGGTACGTGGAGATCTTGAAAATTTTCGACTTGAAATGGAGACTTCTCAAGATGGGACGATCCCATTGAGAAAGAAGGATTTTCATATCGAGAAAACACCGCAATTGGCATGACGGATAACTAACGATACCTTTTTGATATTCAATAGGTCGCGCTGTCGCCCGTATCCCCCGTGTCTCTGGTGGTGGTACTCACCGTGCCGGACAGGCTGCCTTCGGTAACCAGTGCCGTTCCGGTCGTATGTTCGCCCCTACCAAGGTCTGGCGCAAGTGGCACCAGAAGATCAACCTGAACCAGAAGCGCTTCGCTACCGCCTCTGCTCTGGCTGCCTCTTCCGTCCCCGCTCTTCTGTTCGCCCGTGGCCACCGCGTCGCCAAGGTCCCCGAGGTTCCCCTCGTTGTTGAGTCCAAGACCTTCGGTGGTGCTCTGACCAAGACCAAGGCCGCCATCGCCCTCCTCCAGGCCATCGGTGCCGGTGACGAGCTCGTCAAGGTCCAGAAGTCCAAGAAGCTCCGTGCTGGTAAGGGTAAGCTCCGTAACCGCCGCTTCCGCCAGCGTCGCGGTCCTCTGGTTGTCTACAACCCCGAGACCGACGGCAAGGACCTCGTCAAGGCTTTCCGCAACATCCCCGGTGTTGAGACCTCCTCCGTCTTCGCCCTGAACCTCCTCCAGCTCGCCCCCGGTGGTCACGTTGGTCGTTTCCTCGTCTGGACCTCCTCCGCCTTCGAGGCCCTCGACAAGGTCTACGGTTCCACCACCACCCCCTCGGCCCTCAAGAAGGACTTCCTCCTCCCCTCCAACAGCGTTGCCAACGCCGACCTGGCCCGCCTCATCAACTCTTCTGAAATCCAGTCCGTCCTCCGCGCTCCCAAGGGTGAGGCCCGCACCAAGCGTGGTGTTGTCCAGAAGAAGAACCCTCTCCGCAACAAGCAGGTCATGCTCCGTCTCAACCCCTACGCCGCTGCCTACTCCAAGCAGAAGCTCGGCCAGACCAAGGTTGACGAGGGCAAGCCTACTCGCGCTGGTGATGCCTTCAACAAGGTTCTGTCTCAGGAGTAAGCGCATGCTTGCATGGACTTCTCTACGAATTTGTTGAACGATGAAAAATGGTAGTTTACAGAGCAAAAATGAATCAATGCGTTTTTTGCAATACCCAAAGGTCTCGGAGTATAATATGATCGGTTTCTTATCACACAGTATTCTCTCGTAGGTCTCCAGTGGTAAGTCGATCCTAGTAGATTCATCATAGTAGTACCATGTAGTCCTCAAACGTCCAACTTGAAGTTGCTTCGGTCAATCATCAAGGGAGTCTCATCGGAATCAAGCCTCAGGCAGCTGTCAGTATATAGAGGTATCTGTAGAGTATGGTACTTTGAGGTTGATCTTCATTTGCAAACATTAACAATGGAACCATTTTCCGTGAAAAGTTCGCAAGTACTATTTTGCAGGCGTCGCGGATTGGTAGCCAGAAATCCAATGGATATTCGTCTTTCGTTTATAAGATTTCATTATACTCATCATCTATTCGTAAGCTATGTGATAAAGCAATCCAACTTGAACTTGAATATATTTCGAGTTGTCATGATCTCCAATAGTAGTAGCCTAGTACGGCACCCAAACGCTTAAGAGCTAGTGTAGTATCGAGTTAGATCGTGGTAATTCTCCGAGGAAACTTGAACTAGTAGGTTCTAGTATCAATTTTATGTTATTTTTAAGGTCCTAAATAGCATCTATGAAAGTTCCAACTTGAAAATTGAAGTTCGAGGCATTCATCGACAAATAACTTTGGAAGGGTGTACTAGTAGTATTACCTACTATTAGTAGGTAGTGGTTATATATATTTTTGGTTGAACTTCAACTTCAACTGAAACTCTCCAGGCTTTAAATTGGGGCAGCCATTACTAGCCACTACCTAGGTAGCTAGTACAATACTATTTAGTGCATCAATTGATGCCACTTTGGTGCCCAGGTGCCCAGCATAGCTCCTTGCCAGTTGTCAACTTGCACTAATTACCCGTAGCGCGTGTCAGGCATGTGGATCACATGTCCGCAATATGGAATGCTTGCCTAGGCACCGCAGAGTTTTTCCGTATATTGACCGTTGAAGACAAGCAATGATTCACCGACTGTGGCAGTGTTTTTTAGAGCCTGGAGAAAGATGAAACACCGACACTAATAAAGACCGAACCAGTGTACTACTACCCCGTAGCGTCATCCTGAACCGGGGCCCATGACATTAGCGAACCCCAGCACAAGACCGGCTGACGACCTGTCACCAAGGATGATCCCGGTTCATTATGGCGATCATAATCACCAGTGCAAGCTTGCCGAGTTCATTACTGGAACTACACTTAACTTGAAACGCGGAGAAATAGGGAAGTCCTTCCAACCGTGAGTTTCCTGAACATTGGCATCGCAAGGCTCCGATCCATTCATCCACCATTCAATCCATGTCATTCATATGTATACGCAGTAGCGGACACCCCTTAGCTTGATGCGCTTCACATGTTAGCTGAGGTCCGCCTTCTAGAAGCTCAATCTATTAGACTTTCATCGGCAGGCGCCGGATCCCAGAACCCTAGGCCCGCCATCTGGAAGGACAACAAAGGTACTCCGTACAGTGAGTGCACGCGAAGAGGTTCCAGATTTCGCGACCAGGGCCCGTGTCCGCGTCCGGCGTCCGTGTCAATCGCTCTTAAGCTGCATTTGAGGGCTCTGAGAGTTACGATGAGCAATCGGAATCGGAAAATCGACAGCACAGACGCGGACGAACGTCGAGATTTGGACTAGGCGGGGGGGGGGGTTGAAGAGGAGTGGCATCCAAGCGAAGCTCAAGCGAGTGGAGAGGAAGCGAAGATCCACGGACGTGCAATGCGGGCGCCAAGGGCACCATCAGGGTCCGCGGCTGATAGTGTCGAGCTCCGAGGGGGGGATGGTCGAACTAAGTGGAGATGATGTACGTCAGGCCTGACGGTGCGCACTTGCCGTATCATGCAAAGGGAAAAGGAAAAAAAGGGAAAAAAGGGAAAATTGGAAGGAGTTGCTCTTCAAGCGAAGCGAGAGTCGGAGTCCAAGGGGGATCGTGAACTTTCTCCTGGATTGAGTTTGCCTCATGCGCAATGACAACACGAGAAAACACGATCTCATCGTGTTCCACCTTAGGCAAATGCATTCTTAAACCTTTTTTTCCCTTACATTGCGACTAGGCCGGAGCTCCGAGGCTCCTTTTGCCTTGGAATGAATTGAATTAATTGGATGAGGTTAGATTTTACTCCCCTCCCTTCCTTTCCGTGAAGCTTCCAGACAGCCGCAGTTACAGTGGAGCCCCTTCACTAGCGAGCCCACTATGAGTTAAAATGTACGGGAGCCGAACGGGCAGATGCAACCTGAATTGACAATCAGGCCTAACCGAGATCCTTCCAAGGGGATAGCGTGGGTTTATTTTGCAGTCTCCCCAGGTTCAGACCAAAAGACGGGAGATGAATCAATCCGCGGAGGCTGCATCGGACTTGAATAAATTTCCGATGTTCTGCGAGAGAGTCCACGTTCACGAGACATCCCACATCTCCCGTTTTTGACCCTATTCTCCAAGTGTAAGCATAATTGCGGTCGGACGTAAAAGGAACAGCTGGCACGAGCACCGGCAGGATCAGCCGAACGATATTACAACCCTGTATATTCTGTTACATACATCTTGTACTCCTTTGATTGAACTAGTTAATTAAGTACATGCACAAAGGTAGTTAGTACGGAAGTACTACCAGTATTTAGTCATAGCAGATGAATATTTAATCCACCCGTTAGGGAACGGAGCTCCGTTCGTCGATCCCAGAAGAGCTGTCACTAAGTATAGACCTGCCGGACCGCGGTGTGCATGTCTCAGCCAACACGAATCGGTTCAGGGGGAGAGGAAACAGGGCACGCTATCGGGACTCGGGAACACAGCCGGCGCTACTTCTGGGAGCACAGGGGATGCAAAACATAATGTCTCCTGCCCATCCGGCATTGCAGTCACGGTAGTAACTAGTCGTAGTAGTCGTAGCACAGGCTCCTCACAGAGGGGTGTGCCACGATAGTTCAAAAACGTGCCACTGGTATTCCAAGATTCACCTGGAGATTTTCGGTGTACAAAAATCCACTCTAAACCTATATTTCGGGCGCAAGTAATACCAGTTGCTCCACTTCGGCTCCATCAGATTATATTGCAGCATTGCCCTAAACTCTTAGCACCGCATGGATGGCGTGTCCCTTTTTGCTGTATCACATTGCCATCTGCCGGGTGCATATGACAAGGATTCAATGGTGCCTGAGAAGCCAGAAACCTAATTATCCGAAGGAGTGCAACCCGACGCTGCGGGCGTTCCATAGTTACCATCTGATACATATGTACTAAGGAATACATACTAACTAGTAGGATGATCCTGGCGCTGCTACAAGGTCAGAACAACCATTGGAACGTGACCGGGATTTCAGAATCTCTCCCAGACACTTTGATCCCTGTTCCATCCATTCCATTTTCTACTATCTCCCTTCTCCTCACCCGGCACTTGATAGCCACATCGTTCGGAATTCCTACTCCGCAACGTCGCAATCGGTATTTGTTCGGAAGAAAATTGGGTCCGAGGGGTGAATTGGCCAATGGCGTGATATTACCCTAAACCATCCTCAGCGACGCTTGCGAGTTTTCTCGGGTGGGAATACCAGATGGAGGCCACGAGAAATGCCGGTTGGGCGGTTGGCGTCGCGGATCTCATTGTTCTAGGTTGGCTCTAGCGACATATCAAGACCCGAAGACCGGGATCATCCGTATTATTTCACCGGTGTACGGAGTATGTATGAGTTTAGGTATTCGATATACCGATTTCGAGATCTCTCTTCCTCAATATTTGAAGAAAAAAAAACACGAAGCCAGAATTCAGGGGGTTGGGTGCTATGCTAGACTGAATTTTTTTTGCAGGGCGCAATAGTACGGAGTGTATACGGGATTTGTACGGATAGAACGAAGCTGCACTAGGGGCTGCAATCACAGGGGATCCCCCAAATGACGGGTTGCAGATCAGATCGCCATACTTTTGAGACACGATACGTGGTCAACTCCGGAGTGCATCGCCGTTGGAGTAAAGTGCTCGAGTGGGCACAGTGGAGCGAAGCCTCCAGACGGGTCCATTGGGTAGCGCGTCGTTTAGAAAGACAAGGGTTCCCTGTCGCTGCCTCGGGTGATATTGGAGTACATGCCTAGTGTACATATGTAAGTGAGATTACTACAAAGGGTAAGCATTGCAAATTAAATCGAATGAAGCATGGAATGGAAAAGTCGGGGCAGGCCAGGACTCCGTAGGAGCTAGTGGGATCTGGAGAATTGGTAAATTCCTAAATTACATTTAGACTTTCTTGTGCTTCTTGGCCGTTGAAGCAATAACATTGAAATCTTGAAGTTAGCTCATCGTTGGCGCCGAGCAGAATCTGCACATGCCGGGCTAGGCCTTTTGCACGCAAACACCTTCAAACCTTCCATGGAGATCAGAATAAGCAAAAAAGAAAAGAACAGCAACAGTGAGCAGAAAAGAAAGAAAAAGAATACAAACCCAAAAATCCACACTGACTGATAATTAAGTGCAAATAAACCCGAAGGGGACACAGGTCTCGGCTTTGGCCCTCTATCCAGTAAGTCGGAGTTAGCGCACCGCGCACATCAGGGAGGACCCGAACCATTTTTTGACTCTCAACCGAGGGTCTTGCGCAAAAATTGGAACCCATCGGAGCCCACCCAGTCCACTCGTGCACCATACGATCCAGCGATCTTCACAGAGAGGCTTTCCAAAAGAGAGATAAGCCCTGCGGCCCCAGCGCTGGATCCAGGAGGATTTGCCCGACTAGGCATCTAGTCGCCCGCGCCACCGGCCGAAGGCACCATTGACCCACTGGTGAGGGTATTCGCGGCCATCATTCCGGGCCCAAAACAAGCTGTCGTGTTGCTCCTCCACTGTAATTCATAGAGTTTCTTCAAGCCGATCGACAGACGGGCGCTTGATTTCGCCGTTAAGACCACCTTACCCGCT